TCTATGCAGTATTATGTTGACTATATAAGTGTTCGATTTGACCTTTGCAGTCAATACTGCAAGTCGCCGTGACGCCGCGAACATGCTGCGAGGAATACCATTTATAGTGATAATAATAGCGCAAGGATGTTGCATGGAGACACGGGAAACGGTGGAGAGGATGGTGATGGTCAGGACGACCGGCTCTGACCTGCAGCCAGCTGCGACTGGATATATATACAAGAAAGATGGCCACGGACCCGAGCGCGTCATCGAAATGGGAGAGCAGGAAGTTATGGAGCAGTTGTCAAAGTTTTATAAACAGCCAGAAGCTTTCGCCGCTCCCATTCCGGTCGCCGCCGGTCCTTTTTACGCCAAAGAGGAGGATGAGAGCAAAGCTGCGTCGTACATTAAACCTGTGGTGGAAAAATCTGAAGAGGATGACCATGTTGATGGTTTAGCGAATGATAATTACGATAAAATTTATAATGAATACGCCGCCAGTTTTGGAAAATATAACGATGATTTTGCTGATTATCTTAAAGATTTAGGATACTTCAAGGATGGGATTTACCATGAGCATGGAGGTGGAGAGGAAGGCGCTTCTGAAGGACATCACAGTCATGGTGAAAAAGGGGGGAAAGGTTACGCATCCGGGCATCATTACGGGAAAGGCGGTGCGGGAGATTATCACACGGAGAAATACGCAACCTTTTCAGTATCCAGGAAAGGGGGCCACAAAAAGGATTATGATGAAGGAGATGCTTATGGGAAAGACCACGCTGAAGGTCACGGATATAAAGGGGGAGACCATGGCCACAAAGTTGCCCACAGTAAAGGAGAAGAGGTCGATGGATTTCACAAGGTCTTCAACAAAGACGAATTCAAGAAAGACCATGACTTTTACGATGGAGAGAAGCATGAAGGTAGCTTCCACAAACATAATGAAGGACATTCACACCACGGATCAGATGCCGGAGGACACAAGAAGGGAGGAGAGCACGAATCAGGAGGTGACGAAGGTAGTTTCGGAAAGAGTGGTCACCATGATGAAGAGTCCGGAGATGAGAAGGAATCCGGTCATTCATTGGAAGGGAAGAGCGAATCTGCCCACTACAATCACGGAAATTTCGGCACTGACGGCGGGAAATATGACGGCAAGAGCTACGGCTACGAAATTAAGCATTGATTGTGGTTTGTTAAAGTTTATTGTTATATTGTTGACTTTTGCTAGTGTTTTGTAAATATTGTATAAATAATAATAAGTAGTAAATATAAGATATGTACTTACGCATTTGACTTTTCTTGACAAATTTTTATCTACTACTATTTTAATTATTTATTGAGATATACACTATATATATAGAAATAAGAATAATACGTGAATTGAAAGATTTATTACCTTATTGTTGCCATCATGTGCGAAAATAATAAATGAAGATGGGAGAATGTTAAACATTTTTTTTTTAATTTTTAATTTTCTGTAATTATAATTACAGCAATTATTGTCTTTACCACAGTCTAAAAAGTTCTTTATTTCCAGTCCTCGATCACGTCTAGAAAACAAAATGTATTCCGAATTGTCATGTAAATATCCAGACATATGATGTTATTAATTTATTATTGTAGCTACTGGATACCTCTCTATTTGCTACCGTTTGATGTTTTTTCTTTGTAATAAATAAAAATTTAAACATTTTATTTCCAAAATAATGAAGAAATGCTGTAACAAATCTTTTTCAATACTCCTCGAGCATCTGATCAAATAAAATTAATATAAATTGATATCTTATAAAATAAACATTATGTTTTAACTAAAATTTATAATTAATATTCCTTATTTTTCATATTTCAATTTCTTTTTGCTTTTTTCTACCTTATCTATATATGTATATTCCCAAAGAGGGTTGACGTCGTAAAACTAAAAACCAAATCTATTTGTAATATGGATAAAACCATATTACGCCGACCCCAAATGATTGGGATAAGGGTAGGAAGATGATGATCTATATATGTATATTAAAGTTTATCAATTATTCTTTTTACATAATATCCCTAAAGTTTATAAAATGAGTTCCCTGTTGAGGTTTTTCCAAGCGACTATAGCTTGAGATTCTTCAAAAAAGGGATAAAGAGGTTTCTTCAGGATCGGCGACGAGTGCGCAATGCTCATAATATTGCAGATGTTCATAGGCTACGGTAACCGCTTACCATCAGATCGGCCGTTTTACACCTCAGTGGTATAAAAATAATTTATGTTAATAAACTATCCCATCTGTGATTACGGTAGTAAGTATTTTTATTTATTACAAAGAAAAAACATCAAACGGTAGCAAATAGAGAGGTATCCAGTAGCTACAATAATAAATTAATAACATCATATGTCTGGATATTTACATGACAATTCGGAATACATTTTGTTTTCTAGGCGTGATCGAGGACTGGAAATAAAGAACTTTTTAGACTGTGGTAAAGACAATAATTGCTGTAATTATAATTACAGAAAATTAAAAATAAAAATTGTTGCCCGTTTTCAAATTTTATAAATAATAGAATGGAATAGAAAACATTTGTTGCCAGTAAACACAGAATTACAATATGAAATATAGATATCATAATTTTTTAATAAGGTATCCTATAAAATTTAGAAATCCATTCTTGCTTTGTCCAAAAAGCACAAAATTGTAATTGTTGGAGAATAATAATTATCTATAATATTAACTTTATAGCATAACTATGATTGTAACAAACTCAGTACTGCAAAATACAATAAAAGTAAGCGCGAATTCATTTGTACATATGGATCAGTTTAAACATCTACTAGAAGGTAATAAGGATAACACTTACTAGAAGGTCACAACAACGATCTTAGTATTGTATCAATTTTGTTACGAAATAAATATTTTTCATAAATATTTTTCATTTTCATTTTCATTTCATCTGTGTACTTGTGTATCCTGATCCTGTATCTCAGACAACAGCGCTCAACCATTATTAAATACTTTTTATTTTATTTTATACAACTTAGAATGGCAAACAAGCTGACGACCCACCTGATGGAAAGTGGTAACCGTCACCTATAGACATGAGCAGTACCATGGACATAACAGAGTATACTGTTTCGCCCATGATACCCCGCATGCGTTGCCATTCCTGAGGACTAAGGTGTTATTCCTCTGTACCCAGTAAATTTTATTAAATACTATAATATTAGTTTAGCGAAATTTTTAGTGCTTGAATGTTGATTTTATATATAATTAATTAATCTAATTACAAATAATATAATTACGAACAATAGCGTTCTAATAATTATGCAAATTAACGCATTTCATTTAAAACATAATCTGTTATTATTGTAATGCAATTTTATTACAGCACTACCAAGGTCGTTATTACAAATATAGTTAATTGAGTACAAGTGTTTATTATTTTGAGTCGATAGTTCTATTAAATTTCTCTACGTACTTATCTTAATTCAATCTAGAAAATATAATATTAACTAAAACAAGGTTTCCCAAATATAAATCTTAAAATCTACAAGGGCAAATTTTATTTATTTACATTCTGAATTTTAAAGAAAATATTAATAATATTAATTTATCTATTTTTTTATACGACTTAGAATGGCAAACAAGCTGACGGCCCACCTGATGGAAAGTGGTAACCGATCTCTAAGTTTGTCTGTGTCAAACAGAATAAAAAGTAGCCTATCCATCCATCTCTATTGCAAGTATTATGTACATACTTGTATATGCCAAATTTTATGAATGAATGAATATATATATATATATATATATATATATATATATATATATATATATATATATGATTATAGTTTCTTAAGGTAGAGGCCCATGTTTAGTTACAGTGTATCATAATATAAATAGAGTATGGCATGATAGTAAACTCTGTAGATTGTAAGAAGATAAATCGATGTAGAATTGGAGAAAACTTTTTTATGACACTTAAAATGACGACCCATATTATGAAAGGTTAGTAACCTTAATAGGCATAAAATGGATATCGTATAATACACCATGCTCATGCTCCACCATATCTTTTCTTAGTATTAAGGACTGTAGTGTTATACTTCCGTACACTCTGATGTCCAAATAAAATATTGTCGAATTGAAAATCTTTTCCAAAACATTACATTTTAGTAATATGAAAGATCATACATCACTTAGGCCAAATTTATTTCCTTAATTGGTTTAGCTGTGAAAAAATGCAACGTGGCTTATAATATACCTAATTGTATATTGTAGATCTAGGAGTCTAGATTTACAATATATCTGGAGTCAGTAGTAAAACATATAGAGAAGAATAAAAAAATCTCAAACATAGCGATTGTAAAAGACATTTTATGGTAAAAACGACCATAATTATTATGATATAAAACTGAAATTATACTGTGACCATATCGTCCATACCACAAATCCAATTCCTTAGATTACCTATACAATTGCAAAAATATTAGTCGAAATCGTTAAGTATAAATACCATATAAAAAGAATAACGAATTAGGAAACCTTTGTTCTGAATTTTAATTAATAATCGTATACATAAACTACAAAACTTATTTAATTATAATATTTTTTATTCCAAGAATAAATTTTAAAAGAATATCAAACAATTTCGTCGTTGTCATGTTTGGAAAATAGTAACTAAATGAAATTATCAAGCAATTTATGTTATGAATATATATATAATTTGGGAAATTCTTAACAAGTTATTTCAATAAAGACAAAAAAATTCGAATTATATATATATACATATATTTTTTTGTTTTTAAATGATGATGCAAATTTCAAACAAATGGAATAAGAAAAGAAAAAAATTATTCTTTACCTACGGACAAAAATCTGCAAAAATTTTTTTATCGAATTGTTGGAAGTTATTTCTATTATTATATTTTTTTATTCCATTAACAATTTAGGATTCTCAATTACAATTTTATTATGCATTAAATCGTTTTATATTTTTATTATTTTATAAAAAACACATCATCTGTGTATACCTCGAATTTTATAAACAAAAACGCGGTCAACAGGTAGTTGTAAGTGCCGTAACTAGAACAAGTGACTCACGAACCGAGATGAATGATTGTAGTTTTTACGGCATCGCTTAGGCTCATCGAAAAAAAAGCATTTCACGCTCAATTATCGGCAGCCAGCCCGCGAAATATTGCACAATACTAAGTTTTTCATTACCAATGCCTTTGTCACCTCTAACCTCGTCTGATAAGCAAATTGTTACATGGTTACAAGAAAGGTATAACGCACACTCGCCACCTTTTGTCTCTAACCCTGATATAAATATTGGGTAATACTGATACCAAATTATTACAGCACAGATTGTCGTGCAATACACATCTCAAGATGACAAAGGTAGCTTTAGGTGTGTTAATGGTGGCGGCGGTCGGCACAGCCATACAGATAGCACCGGCGGCCACTGGCTACATCTACAGAAGTGATAATAACGGGCCGGCTAGTCTCATCCAATTAGGAGCTCATGCTTACCAACCTGAGGCTTATGCGCCTGCGCTGCCAATCGCAGAGCCCTTAAAAACGATAGATGCTTACGCCATTGGTCCCGTACCTCTACCATACATAGCTGCTAAGCCTATTTCGATAGAAGATGCAGAGGATGATGAAGAAGACAGCGAAGAATCAAACGAATACGTCGGAGGTGGAGATTTAGAGGGATTGGATCATGGACACGCTTTCGAAAAGGGCGGTGGCAGTGATTACGAAGAGGAACATCATGCAGCTCATGGCGAAAAGGGAAGCAAAGGATACCACAGCAAAGGTCACCATGCGAAAGGACAAGCGGGACATTACGGTAAGGAGCATAAAGAGGGCCATTACGGTGAAAAAGAAGGTGGGGAATCAGAACACCATGATGAAGCCGACGCCTATGGAAAGCATCACGAATCTGGTGGCAGCTACAAAGGAGGTGATCATGGACATAAGAAGTATTTTAGTAAGGGCGAAGATGTCACCGGATACCATAAGGTGTTCCACAAGGACGAATTCAAGAAAGATCACGATTTCTATGACGTTGCTGACAATAGCGGCCACTTCAATAAGCACGGTTATGAAAAAGCGCACCATGGCTCAGAAGAGGGTGGACATAAAAAAGGAGGTCATCATGGAGCTGGATTTGACAAAGGTGAATTTGGAAAAGCTGGTTCACATTCTGAGGGTGAAATTGACGATGCTGATAGCGGTCATTCTGACGAAGCTGGCCATGATAGTCATTACGAGAAAGAAGAGGAATATGGCAAGAAGGGAGCAGGTGGACACGAGAAGGAATACTCTTACGACGACGACGACGACGACGAATATTAGACCATCGATATACTGTGATAATTGTAAATATCTGTTAATTATTTAATGACCGTTTCGATTAATTTGTTATGTTTTTTGATACGTCTACATATTATTATTGTGTAAATATATTTTTTTATCGCAAATAATATAAGAATAATTTACTTTCATTTACTTTCTATATTCTATTTTTGCACATTGAAGTTAAAACTATAAATATGCATATATATATTTTCTAGATGAATTTTAATAATAGCATTTATGTTATGGACCTAAGGATGAAATTTGCTAGGTACATATATATTTATTCATTTATTTATTTATTTTATACTTCTTATTTATTAATTTTTATTCATATGCTTTTGTACATCCACTTTATTATAACAAATTATAACAAAAATGTACACAGACCTTGAGAACCCAAAAGAAAAAAGTATCTATAGGGCTGATATATAGAACATACCATGTATGGTGTAAAATAATATAATAAATAATAAATTACAGTATTAGTAGCTATATAGTTAGTAACAGAGTATAGATAGATAAAATTAAAAAAATATATACATATAAATACATATAGATTTAGAATAACTATAATAACACAACTTTCAATTATATACACTTATTTTTACACTTTTACAATTTATACAATTTTACAATCAATTTTGCATATATATATATATATATATATATATATATATATATATATATATATATCGGTACAAGATTCGCTTCTTTATATTTTATAACAACAGACAATTTTTACCTAATTAATAAGCTTAAATTATTCTTATTTTCTTTTTTATCACTTGTAACGCAAATTATATGCTTTGTTTGTTTAAAGAAAAAGCTACCTAGTCTGTTTTAATCGAAAATATTATTGTAAACTATTTGTGTACCAAATTTTATTCCATTCCCTGCGTGATTGAGTACAAATTTATATTTCTAAACATTACAAGTGTTATACTTGTAATTATTTTCGTATGGACACACTTTAAAAGCAATCACAAAATTTAATTTATATTCACGGCTATTATTTAATAGCATAGTTTAATTGGAAATTTAATTAGATTGCAATGTCACATCATTGAGGTTAAATCACGTTATTGATATTAGTTTTATTTGTGGTTATTCATCTATTATGTAATGTAATATTTAACTTTTCGTATTATATTATTAGGGTTAAGGTACAGAGACAAATTATAAGAACTATTGAGGACAGAAGGGAAAAAATGTTGGGACACTTGATATGATACGACGAACTTATGAACATTATAATAGAAGCTAAGATAGAAAGAAATATATGTATATATTTGCCGTGTGGTCCCGGCATAGAATCGGTCACCCCCTTTCTTTCCCGTGGGTGTCGTAAGAATCGACTAAGGGAGGGCGAGGGATGGGCAGCAGCGTCCCTCTTAAAACATCTCTAAAGCCTGACTGCGGTTGCCAATTCGCCTACCAAACGTGACAACTACTGGCAAAATCCCTTAAGGGAGGCTTATTTTCAGCAGTGGATAGTTAAAGGCTGATATGATGATGATGATAATATAGTATATAATACTGTAAGGGTATCGAAAGTATGTTGTCGACATTGCAGAAATTTCTTCTTCTAAACTAAACTAACTTATAAAGTAAGTTATAATGAACGACATAACTATAACAATCAGGTTTTATATCGACTTTTCTTTCTCTGATGATTATCTTTTTCAACAATCTGTATTTTACGTAAAACATTGTACATGCTTATTTTTGATCGTAAAAAGAAGATAGTACCTAAGTTAGTCTTCTCTTGGTAAAAATGTCAGAAATTCTATAAGCTCTTGTTGCTTTTAGCTCAACATCTTTGTTTGGGGGGAAAAGGATTGTTAGTAATGGAGACTGAGAATCCCATTGCTAGCAATATACCCAACCAGGTCGACCTCCTCGCGGTTCTCCCTGGAAACGATCATGGTTAATTCCTGATGAATTCATCATGATGGACTAACTAGCCTGTTTTCATTCTCATCTATCACCCTTCACTGGTGCTCCGCCAGCGTATCCCGTTAGCGCAGGCGGGGTTACCATACCATTTTCGCCCATCAAAAAAAATCTTTGTTTTTTTTTAAAACTAAAAGGTTACGTCATCTTGTCACTAATTCACCATTCATCAAAAATAACTCTTAAAGGACTTACAAAAATAAAACTTAATAATGAATATAGGTAAAAAATATATAAGTATCAAATTAAAAAAAATAAATAAAAGGACCTTTACCTTGTTGTAATCGTAACACTATCTCAAACAACAAAACGAGTTCATGATAAACTCATCCGCTTTTCATTGTTACTAATATTAGAATGAAAGATCTCGTATCTCGATATTTTAATTACGACTTAATAAGTGTGAAAAACTAATAAATAATTACTTACTCAACCTCGAAGTACGCAAGTCGAATACTCGTCCGAAGACTTAAGAAAATCGGTAAATCAATAGAACTAATATAATTATGTGTTAGTAATTGGTGAAGGTAACGTTTTTATGTCATCAAACTCTTAGTTTTATTGTAACTTATGAAAGCAATCTGATTCTATTTATTTAAGTCTACAAGGTGTTTTATCTCTCTTATGGCAAGCAAGTTGACAACCATCTTAATGGAGAATAGTAACCGTCGTTTATAGATACGAGTATATGAACAGCACCACGAAGACAGGCTAACTACATATTAAAAAACTCTTCTAATACGTAAGAATGCCTATAGTATAATGCTGTAGTAACTTACGAAGAGATTTTTTTGAAGAGTAAATACGTATTCAGTAACGTTTAATAATAATAAATCATAATGATTTCAGCTATCGATTATCGATTTTTGATGTTGTCACTCTGGTTAGCCATCGTCATTGTGTTCTACTTCAATGAAATCGTGCTCTCTACTAATAAATTACTTTCTAGTTTGACTAAATTGTTCTTTGGATCTTTTTCGAAAAATATGAAGTATTCATTAATAGATGATTAGGATGGTTCGATAGGTAATAGCCTAATTATGGCTTGATCTAGTAATGAACAAATAGGAGTAATAAGTGGTAATTTTTTAACTACTATTTTTAACTAAATAAATATGGTAATGTTTATTCAATTAGATCGATATAATCGATACAAATCGACTTAACCTTGACCGATCCGTGTCGTTGCACCGATTACGAATCTAGCAGTGTGGAACCAGAAATGATAGCCCAGCACTCATCTTTACAAAAAAATACATCCTTGCCGGTGTATTTCCAACAAAGGCTATATAAACCCGATCGATGGCATGTATGTCAGTGTCGCAACCTACTTCAATTGCACAAGAGGTAATAAAAAATTAGAGCACTATGCAAAAGAAATTGTATTTAGCATTGTCATTGGCAATCTTTTGTTGCTGGACTGAATCATCGCCGGTCAATTTAGGAACGTTAGAATTCGACAATCTAGACACTGGTCTTTCCAATTTAAAATACGAAGTTGAAGAAGAAGACTTAGATGACTTCTCGAAACTTCTAGATGAAGCTGACAATTCTAAAAATGTAAATGATAAATCTAAAAGTAACGTTAAAACCAATGGTTTTAAAAAGAAAAATACCGCCAATATAGGAGTGAAAGGTAATCATAACGTTCAGGATTTAAAGAAGTTTTATAAAGCTGCCAGAGCGCATGATGAAGGAGACTACGATGACGATGATGTGTATGCCATAGCTGAAGCACTAGCTGGAGAATCTATTGGAGTAAAAGGAAATGAAAATAGGAAATATAGGAAGGGCACTAAAACACGTGGCTTCCATCGAGTTCATCACAAAGATGAATATAAGAAAGATAAAGAATTTTACGAAGACGACGAAACAAATGGTACAATTAAAAAAGTTGGTGGAAAAGCTATAGGGTACAAAATTGGAACTGGTGCAGGGCTTCATAAAGGGCACTTCCATCACGATCGTCGGAAGGGGATATATGGCAAGAAAGGATATGCTGATAAAGGATTCTTTGATAAAGAGTTCAGCGGTTTTTCTGATTCTCAAGGATTTGAGGGATCCTTTAACAATGAAAGTTAAATTATTAATGTGCAACGTTTTATGTTTAGTGATTAAATGTTTTTCTTTTGTATAATTAGATAATCGGAGTTAAACAAAAATGTGCCAATTTGAAATTCTTTTATTTGTATATTAAAACTAACTATTAACACAATTTTACGAGCAATACGTTAATAATGATAATTTATTTGCATAAATATGATTAAAATAGATCTTAATTAGTATTATAGAATTAGATATTTAGCCACATTGTTTTAATTACATATTTTGAAAATAAAATAAATTCTATACACAATTGCTTGGATATCGCTAGAAAAGAGATCATACACCGAAGTTTCAATATAGGTAGAGACATGAACCTAGATATACAGGAGTTTAATAAATCGTTGTGATTTATATAAAAATTATAATCTTTTATTACCAAAATAGGTATTGTGATGGTTTTCGTTTAACTCCATGAAAAGAACTAATTTCATTTTATTATATATATAAATCAATCTTTTTGAGATCCGTGAAAAATTTCTTGGTTATTTAATCATATTTTGATTTTTTACTTTTATTACTGCACGAATATTGTTAAGCTTTGTATAAACAGTGTTAATTTACTACTTTACATAGTAATAAACGTGTGTTCTGTGTAACGCACATAATTTACAGAAATGGAAATTAATATTAGATATTTTGTATCTTTTGTTTGTGAGTATAACTTGTTAAATATATATCCAAAAATGTATTAACTAATAAATATATACAATGCAATCGTACATGGGTTAATCAGAGACATTAGTTGACATATTTCAGATCGGAAACTTTTTATTAAGCATATTTGAATGCAATGTGGCAAGGAACACCATTACCAGAAAATTTGTTGAAACTTTGTATTAAATATTTCTAATTAATGTAAAGTTTTTTTTTTGTGTCGGCCAAATCTAAATTTAAGACATTTGGGGTCTATATTTCGGGGTAGTGTACTACTAGGCTATGAACTTTACAATCTTTACTAATATTAAAATGTGAAAGTAATTTTTATTATTGTTGATTTGATTGTTACATAGAATAGGACACCCCTTCCTTTCCCGAGGATGTCATAAGTGGCGACTAAGGGACGCTGAGAGTAGGGCAGCAGCGTCCCTTTTAAAATATCTCTAATGCTTAACTGCGGTTACCAATCCGCCTGCTAAGCGTAGCAATTACTGCCAAAACCCCCCAAGGGAGAGATTTATGTTCAGCAGTGAACGGTTAAGAGCTGATATGATGAAAATTAGGATCATAATAATGTTCAAAACTGGAAAATAATTTATTTCTGGTATTATTACTCGATACCAAAAATATACCTACTTAAAATTGCATTTTTTTTTCTTATTGTAGCTAGGCATTTGTGTGTATTTGCCAAGAAATTTGGAAAATATGTGTACTTAATAAAAAAAATATATTTTACAGGTATCCTAAATGTAATTTCGTCAGTTAAAATGGAACTGTGTGAGATATTGCCTTTGCCTAGAAGATTTTGCTGCAGACCATTTCAAAAAACAATTCTTACGCCGAATTTTGATAAGCAACAAATCAAAGACCTTATACAATTAAGTGCTGATAATTTAAAATCACTAAGGCTACAAAGTGAAATGGATCCTTTAACTACAAATAAACATTTGTCACCCCCTATTGTAGACGATAACGATAGTTTAATAAGTGTAGAAGCTCAGAAGGCTTTAGCTTGTTCGAAAATAGTATGTTCTAGAAAAGACAAAATAGCGCCGCTGTGCGCCTGCAACTATAATACTGGCAATGTTGTCACTTTCAAAAATGTTTGTGATATGCAGAAACACAATTGTCGATTCGAAACAGGTGTGTGCCTTTTATTTTATTTGTATTTGTTGGCTACAGGATAATAAATTACATTATATTCATAAATTTAACACATTACATACGCAAAGACTTTAAACAAAATAATATTTATTTCCTAGACATGGTTTGTTGGGTGTTGCAAATTATTGTTGCAATTTTTGAAATAAAAAAAGGAGTCATTTTTTATACTACAAAGGTGGCAAAGAAACTTATTATACTTAATGATAAAAAGATACTGAATAAAAATATCATAACGAAGCTAATTTTAGGACGTAAGTTAGATAAGAACTGAGAGAGATTGTGAGCATAAAGAAAATCAGTCTATGAGTTTATAATATCTTTTTTTTTTGAGGAATTACTAATTTATCTTAACTGATGTGTTTGGAATTGTTACAGATTTTAAAATGATACTGAATGAAATCTGCCCCTGGAAATTTGAATTCAGACGAAAAAATGGGACGAATAGGCAATTTGATTACAATAATCCAAAGTATTTTAATTAATAATGATAAATAAATTAAATTGTGACTTAAATAAAATGAGTTTTTCATTATTAATAAAACATTTTCTAACTTTTTGTATTACATATTTGTTTCTATTAAACAGAAATAAAATGTTATAAAAAAAAGAACACACACGGTCCTAAAAGTCTAAATTATTATTTTTTGTTTGTTAGACCATTCCTATACATTGTTGAGGCATCATATTATCAGTTATTTTTATTTTCTAATTAAATTACACATGGCTGTCTAGATATAAGTGCTTTGCTTCATTGTAGTGGATAATATTTTGAATAAAAAATTCGTATCTATGATATCAATTGACATTTGACATTAGGTCTGTCAAGTGGTTGGCTGGCGCTGCTCTATAATTTTTGCTAATTTGCTGAATGAAAGAAGACAAGTGTTTGTGTAAATGATAGTGAACAAAGACATTTATACGAAATAAATGAGGCTCAGTAGAGATTCGCTGTTTAACATTACTCATGAGTACGGAAGAGACCTTACTGAATCTCGGCTTCGAAAAATCAAATTCTACAATTGCGCCTACCGATGACGGCGTGGTATCATTATCAAGCAGTTCAGAGGAAATTTGTTTAGTGCCAGAGGTCGGGTTCGAGGGCAGCGTGGATTCCCCAGGGGTTAACCGGGAGTCGCAGCCGCTCCTGGGCGGCCGTGGCGACTTTGAAGTTTCTTTCAACCACTTTCCAGGTCAGTGCAAAGTATCACTATTGTGACTCATGAATTCGCACAATTAAGATATATATTTGACATTATGATTCAGTAAACATATGGTTGCGTATTGTAAATGATATCTATACATGTATATAGACACTTGTTTGTTTTCTCAAACAATTGTGCGGCTTCAATTTAAACAATTAATTACAAAAACATGTAGCGTCGTAAAAGTTACCTTGAAACTAGTTACGTCGCTTCCTTGGCACTAATTGCGCCAAAATGCGTTGTTTTCGCATAATATTAATGTACCTATATTGTTATTGATTGCTCTAACTTCATGCTATACTGAATTCAAGCTAAGTTACAGACACAACTAATGTGAATGTAGCAACAGATTCAAATTTTCAGCCAAGTGTGACGGCTGTAAGTACAGTTTTCTTCTCATTTGTTTTGTTTTCCTAAAAAGTACTTATGGATCTTCCATTTCAATGTGGTAAGTTGATGTAACATATCATTGCCACATTATTGCACTTTTATTTGTTAAAATAAAATTGTTTTATAATTGATGAATACAATTATAGAATGGCCATATGGTAGTTAACTGCGAATAATCAATATTCTAAATATTATATTACAAAATTGTTCATATATTTCACTAAAAAGATATTAATTAAATGTATTATTTTAATTTATTCATTCAAACCTATGATAATGACCTCTAACACTTACTAATATTATGTGAAAGTGAGTTTGTTACCTCCTAGCACTTTAATGGCTCAATCAGTACTCTTGAAATCTGGTGTAGACATAGTATTTGGGGTGGAGAAGAACTACTTTTTACTCTGGCTAATGAACATATTTGGCATTCAGATAAAGTTGTTTGTAAAACTATTAAAAATTCCATATTTTTTAATAAATATAACTTCTTAGTATAATGAAAGGAGTTAATATGAATAGAGTAGTGAAAAACTTGCCTTATAATTATGTCAAAGATCAAATCCATTATGAATAATATACTGTATATTAAAGCATAATAAGGTGGATAATAAGTAATTATCAATTTATTTGTACCTTCTATTTTTTATGCCTAGTTCATATCATAGTGGTGAGTAAAGACTCTTTGTAATTCTACTAATATTGAATGATAATTACTGGATCTTAGATCATTTTAAACTTACTCCAAATGGGTAAAATATTGGATTATAGCTTGTATTAAAATAAAATGTTATACATTATGATTATTACTATCCTTTATAAATATAGTTACAAATTAAAGGAAATTATAGATGTATATATTGTTAACTTTGCCACATTTATTACAATGGAAGAAAGATAAGTATTCAAGTTCCATTGTCTTGGAGCGTTCATTATCATAACATTAATGTGATTGATAAACATGTAATATTAAGAACAGTATTCAATACATTCTTTTAAAAATAAAATATTTGAAATTTTATTAATTTTTTTGATTATTATTTTTATTTGTATTATTATTTAGATATAACTGGTTTTTACTTCTAGATGACCTCTTATTAATATTATAAATGACAGTCACATTATAGAAAAATGTTTGAATGTATAAATATTTGAATCACAGAATCACCCTCAGTAGGTAGTTGAACAAAACATTTAGACTTTAAAATAAATAGGATTTAATATTCTCTTGTAATACTCCCACACATTACATCAGATCCTCTAAAATCTTGTAATTATAACAAAATTAAAAGAAAATTTAAACTGTATTGTGAAATATGTGTAAGTTATTCACAAGACAATTTAACAGTTGTAATGTTGGCACAATTGTGACATAGATAAAGTATAATGAGTTTGTATGTAAATTAGATTGTGCATATGCACGGTTCAAAGAATTTTTGCCAATTTGCTTATGTTCAGCATAAGATAACAACATTAGATATTGAAACACTGTTTCAACTATACTGTGTTTCTAGAAAATTCCTCGATTACAATAAAAATTAAATTGAACTTTACATTGTTAATATAAAGGTCATTAAAAAGGTTATTGACAAACAAAAATTTCTTTCTTTTATAAATATTTCTTCCAAAACTATTGATATTGAAAATGTATCCTTATTTCAAGAGTATAAAGTTGAAGTTTGTATAAGGGACTTTCTTTTTGGAATACAGACTGAAAATTTTTATTTAAAGTGAGCTATTGAAAAATAAGTTCTAATAATTCTAAATTTAAATAATTATAAATATTCTAACAATGACACTTGGTTTACTGAAAACTAGTTGTATGTGGGGTCAACTACCAGAACATTTAATAACTATTAAAAATATATACTTTTTAATTTTATTTCACATTCATTACTATGTTGGCATTTGGCATATGCATAAAAAAATAAGTATACTCATTCATTCAAAAACAAAAAATTATAGGTATTCAGCCAGTGCAGTATTCTATAAATAAATTATCTATAAATAAATATTAAAATATAAATGAATGTAGTCTCAGATTATTTCTCATAAATATACAACAGTGTAATTATAGCAAAGTGACATAGACAAACCTATTATTCATAAAAACTAAATCCTTCTACAGATCTATTTTAATAAAAACACTGTTTTGTCACTTTCTTTGAAGTTGGTAATTTAATTTAATGGAATTGCAACACATGGGGGTATCATGGGCGAAACAGTATACACTGTTATGTCCATGGTACTGGTTATGTCTATAGGCGACGGTTACTACTTTCCATCAGGTGGACCGTCAGCTTGTTTGCCATTCTAAGTAGTATAAAAAAAAATAAAAGAAAGAGACAAAACACTTCAATGTATATAAGAGGTTTGACATTTTTATAAATAAGGGATTAAAAATTTTATTTTTCGATCTTACTAGTAAACACAAAGAGTGTGAAAATAACTGAGTTATTATAGCAAACATTGTTAGTGACTTTGCCTATGTGGACTTCACTTGGGTCATGGGAATGTATTATACAAATAAAAATTTTTTCTTCAACTTCTTGTGTGCCAACTTATTTTTTTTTTTTTTTTTGTATCAAATGCCACATAATCGCATTATTTGCCTGCTTCTCAAGTTAGAATGCCCTCTGTTATGAGATACTAAACAACAAACACCTGGGGTCATATCCCAGAAAACTAAGACTCGCCAATTTGGACAAGTTTATTTTTAAATTGGCCTGACGGTAAATCAAACCCAGGACCTCATTTACACAAACCTTACTTACTAACCTACCTTACTAACTACCTAATTTACTATTGAAAATTGAGAAATACTTGTTTGTTTACATAATTTGTTATAAATTTATCTGCTGCCCATCCCTTGACCGTTAAATTCTCTTAGTTCACCTCTTACGACACCCATGGGAAAGGAAGGGATGGCCTATTCTATGTCGGTACCAGACAGCAATGTTACTTGCTAGTCAATAATTTTCCAATCTGTTCCATTATATTTTTTTTGTGTATGTATGTTAAGCGATATCTTTAGCCTTTTTATCTTGTTTTACCGACCTCTAGTAGGCGCTAGTAGTTTTATTAGTATTTTAATTAAAACAGATTATTGGAACAAAACAAAATAAATTATAACTGCAAATAGTAATATCAAATATGATTGTTGACAGATGACCCACAGTTCAGCGAGCTGGTGTGGCAGGCTGAGGTGGCGATCGACAATGGCATCTTCCCAGAGAGGATATACCAAGGCTCCAGTGGCTCCTACTTCGTCAAGAACCCTGGAGGGGTAATTTTTTTTTTATGGATGATAATTGAGATTGTGTTTCACAAATACACCCATTTCGGTTGTGGCAAAATCAGTTTTTTTTTTTTAAACTATTGATACAATTTTGATAATATTCCTATGTATTCAATCTGTAAGTATATCCTTTTAGATAAAAAAAAAAATCCAAATCGGTTTAAAATTGACGGAGTTATGAGATAACAATCCTAAAAAAAAACGAATTAAGAACCTCATCTTTTATTAAAGTCGGTTGATGAATTGAGTTGCGAAATGTAATACGAAATTTTACAGAATAGCATTGCTGGTAGTCTTTTTTCGATGTTTATCTTTTAAGTTTACATAAAATATTTCTTACTTTACGACATTTTTGCATAGGATGGTTTTTGCTGATAACAAAAAATATTCAGGTACAAAAATACCCAGGTATAAAAAGTACCCTGCACATCCAAGCAACATTTCGGGAATGGGGATTTTTGTGCGTTTTTTTTATGAGACTCGGTACAAAAATCAATTCATAGTCTCACCAAATGGATATTCGCTACAGGAGTAAAGGTTTTTTTTTTTATCACAATGGTTTCAGCATATACTAATGGTGCATTGTATCAGTAATAAATCATTGTAAATCTTTGTTTCGTGTCAAGATGTTCGTGCATGCTCCGAAACTGCTTTACTGATTTTAATAATGTTTTGTAAATGTGTATTGTCACGGTCAGAAAAAAAGTGGATATTGTAGGTGGTGATAGTGGGCAAAAAGGAACATTTAAGGACACATACAACCTATAAAACTAAATCGTCTTTCTACCCTTATCACAATTATTATTTGTGGTCTAGACTGAACAAATTAAAAAACAAAAATAAAATCCAAGATAAGCTCCGATTACGCAAAGCGACATCTATCACGATGCCACGGAGATTCTCGATTATATTAAAGTACTTTTTTTTTTTTAAATCATATTGCTCTGTTTTTCATACGAGTCTGTTTTTTTTCTACGTATGTAGAAAGACATATAATCAGACTTGTGACACATTGAGCATAAAATATTGTCTGTCACGGGGACAAGTGAACTTTGAGTATGGTTACTTGTTTGGTGTGATTGAAACATATTTTTTTTTTTTAAATGGATGATAATGGAATGGTAACCCCACCCGCGCTATCGGTATACACCGGCGGGGCACCAGTGAAGAATGATAGGTGAGGATGAAGTAGGTCAGTTAGCCCATTGTGACGAATTCAACAAGAATTGTTCCACACAATTGGAACCACGTGGAGGTCGACCTAATTATTGGTATTATAAAGGTATATTGCTAGCAATGGGGCTGTCAAACTCCATTGCTAACAATCCTTTTCCCCCCTGAAACATATTATGAACGAGTGATTATATTTTTTAGCAGGTTCTCAATTCGTTTGTATATTTTTTATGATTGTCGAACTCCATGTTTTATAAACCGATTTGGAAATTTATATTTTTTTTTTATCAGAATGGTCTCATAGATTTTATCAATAACAATTCATTAATTTAGAAATTAAAATAACTGATTTTATCACAATTGTAGTCGATTTTTTGTGAGACGCCATCTTTAATTATGTAATATGTAATTATCTTGGTTGATAAACATTGCTTAATTTTTTAGCAAATACCACTGATATAATTGATAAATGTAGGTTGATAAAGATATTTAAGTTTTATAAATAATTACAAATAGAGACCTAGTATAACATCATATCAGCTGTTAACTGACCTCTGGTGAACATAGGCCTCTCACTTGGGGGCATTATGCCACAAACACAATATTAAACACAGCCATGCAAACACAACTGCTTCACGGTTGAAACACGAATGGGACAAAGGTACCTAAGCAATCGACTTTTGTACAGTCTCCCTTTGGTAAGCTGTAAGTAATGCAAATAAATTATCTATCTATCTAGTATCTCTCATCATCATCATCACATCAGCCGTTAACTGTCCACTGCTGAACACAGGCCTCCCTCATGAAGGGTGATTTGCTAGTAGTTGCCACGCTTAGCAGGCGGGTTGGCAATCGCAGTTAGGCTTTTAGTGATGTTTTAAGAGCTGCCCATCCCTCGACCAATAAATTCCTATATGCGCCTCTTATGACACCCACGGGAAAGGAAGGAATACATTATCTACTAATACAAAATAGTTCGTGTCCTGTTGCCCGTATCCAATAGCAAGGACGGGGCACTTAATTCGACTAAGATTGTTGTTATTAATGCAGACTACCAGTCCTATTGCTAGCAATATACCCTGTCAGGTCGACCTCCACGTGGTCCCCCTGGAAACTATCGTGCTAAATTCCAGGTGAATTACTCACTGAATCACTAACTAACTGCTAACTGACTTGCCTTTTCATTCTCACCTATCATCCCTCACTGGTGCCTCGCCAGCGTATACCGTTAGCGCAGGCGGAGTTACCATTCCACTATCATCCATAAAATAAAAAGAAATTCGACTAAGTAGACGACGTACTCCAAAATGATACCACTTTTATAGTTCCACTAGTGTTTTTTATATTTATTTACATAACAAAAACTATAGTTATAAAACATTACATGAAGAGATACAGGAATGGTATGCAAAATTTCAAATCATTCATTTTCTTTTTTTTAAATATACTATATGGCTTCTTTCCAGCCATGACCACTAAGTGTTATAAAAAAAAACATAGTTAAGTAACAAACTGTATTCAATGTATGTAACATCGATTTCTTTTCAGTCGACAATGTTGTAACGTCAAACACAAGTGTAATGTTAAAGATTTTTTAAAATAATAACCGACTGTAGAATACTCGATTTTATAGATAGATAGATAGATAATTTATTTGCACTACTTACAGCACACAAATTACAACATACATATACAAAAAAAGCGAGATAACATAAATGATAAAAAAAAAATACACAAAGCAATACAATTTTCGTTTGTGCGTGTGCCATAGCAATACAAAATGGCCACAACTCAGTTTATTGCTTCGCCCTCGAAAGAGCAAATCACTGATATTCTGTTGCGGCCAAAGGGAATAGGGTAATAATAAAACAATACTACCAGATTATCCGTACAATAAAAAGATAGATATACAGTAAACAGACAGATATGACAGTTTATCTAGCAGACAAATGGAACATAGAGGTAACTTGCAGGAATGTCTAACTTTTGCCTCTCAATTAAGATATTTTGGATTATTAAGAATATATTTATTTTTTTATTTTGTAGTTCACGTTCAAATTGATCTTTCAAATAAAAAATTCGTTGTGATTGCAAATTAAAATTTTTATTATAAAGATGGATTTATAGAAATGCCTCTCCAGAATCGATCCTAATGTCTCTTATTAGTTGTGTATTTTGTTTAGTATCTAATATATAAAAATTCCTACATACACGCGGTCCCTCTGGAAACCATCTTGGTTAATTGTTGTTGAATTCGTCACGATGGACCACCTGACCTGCTTATATCTTCATTTATCATCACTCACTAGTCCACCAGTGTATACCAATAGCGCAGGCGGGGTTACCATTCCATTTTCACCCATAAAAATATATTTAAAATCAATTATAGCAAAATCCTTCATAAAAGAGTTGAGTCTGCGCATTGCGGATAGGGGCCATGACCGCCGTTCTGGTTTGTATCTGGCTCAAAGGATATCTCTGGCAATCCAACGCGGAAATGCCGCAAGTGTCATGGGGACCTTTGGGTCGGGTACGGATCATGAATGGGACTGATCATTAAATTTTATTTCTTTTGTGATAATGTGAAATGTACTTAATTGCTTTTGATTAAATAAATCATCATCTTCCTACCCTTATCCCAATCAATTGGGGTTGGCGTAATATGATTTTACCCATATTTCAAAAAGATTTGGTTTTTTAGTTTTACGACCGGCCACCTGCCTGACGTCAACCCTCCTTGATTAAATAAGTAATATTTTAAAATTATTCAAACAATTTTAATATAACGCTACTTGTTCCCAGAAAATAATAGGCGTGTTCAAGCCAAAAGACGAGGAACCATACGGCAGACTGAACCCAAAATGGACGAAATGGATGCACAAGCTGTGCTGTCCATGCTGTTTCGGCCGGTCGTGTCTGATCCCCAACCAGGGGTACTTGTCAGAGGCGGGCGCTAGTCTCGTCGACAGCAAGATAGGGCTTAAGATTGTGCCAAAGACCAGGGTAAGTTTTACAATTGTAATATGTGTTCTATCTATCTATCTATCCATTTAAGAGCTGCGCTCTTGTCGGTGCAGCTCTTGCCACTCACTACGATTTTCAGCAAGTCTCTTCACCTCTTGATACGACACGACACCAACTCCTTCCTTGATCTGCCTGATGTAACTATGTCTAGGTCTCCCTCTCCCCCTTCTTCCTTCTATCTTACCTTCTATTATAATGTTCATAAGTTCGTCGTGTCGTATCAAGTGTCCTAACATTTTTCCCCTTCTGTCCTCAATAGTTTTAATAATATGTGTTCACTAGTGCTAATTTACTAGGAAATAATTAAATAGATAGATAGATATATAGTGTATTTGCGTTACTTACAGTACACAAATTCTAATAGACACATATGATTAAATGAGAAATAATTAAAGTTTTTTTTTTTATACAACTTAGAATGGCAAACAAGCTGACGGCCCACCTGATGGAAAGTGGTAATCGTCGCCTATAGACATGAGCAGTACCATGGACATAACAGAGTATACTGTTTCGCCCACGATACCCCCCCATGCGTTGCCATTCCTGAGGCCTCAGATGTTATTCCTCTGTATCCTGTAAATTCACGCCATATCCCACCCTTCAAACCGAAACACAGCCATGCAAACACAACTGTTTCACGGTAGAAACACGAATGGGACAGAGGTACCCAAGCAATCGACTTTTGAACAAAGTCTCCCTTTGGTAAAATACATAAAGCTAACTACAATTTTTCCTTTTGTGCGTGTGCCATTACAATAATTGTTCTCCCTGGAAACCGTCGTGATTAATTCCTATTGAATTTGTCACTCGAAGGGAGGAACATCAGTGTCCCTCTTAAAACATGATCAAAGGCTAATTGCGGTTGGCAACCCGGCTGCCAAGCGTGGCAACTACTGTTGAACAAGTCCCCCTTTATGGCGGAGATCTATCTTCAGCAGGAGACGGTTAACGGCTGATGAAAAAGATATGATGATGAATACGTCACGATGAGCTAAGTGACCTGCTATTCTCACCTCTCCTCTCTCACTGGTGCCTCGTCAGCGTATACCGTTATCGCAAGTGGGGTTACCATTCCATTATCCTCCATAAAAAAGCACCGTATCGTACCATAGTACGATTTTAGATTATATAGAGTGTCTCCATAGAAATGCTTCGAGAAAAACGCGTTAATTTTTTCATACAATTTTGCGTGATAGATAGTTGAGTGATTCCTTTGTAACTTCTTTATTTATTTTGTATTATAATTTCTGCATTTTTTTCATGCGTAAACAATTATTTTATTTTTTAAATAATACGTCAAAATATATTTTATGCGTAAGTATATGGAACACTGATAAAAAAAAACGAGTCCGGTAATGTGACAATTAGCTGACAAAAAGTTGACCCGTTTTTGAGGCTCGATGCTCTGTCTATATAATCTAAGAGTACGATATAAGAAGGGTCATAACTCTCCTTATATGTGTCAGGAGAGGTAAATACACGACGGTGTCTAATAACGCCCACCAGAACGTCTGAACACGTTATCATACCCCTATACATGTATGTAACGCGTTCAATGACCGCACTGTACGCTTACAGCGCTATATTTTATTAGTTTTACCCGCGACTTCGTCCGCGTCACTGGCATATTTTTTTCTGACGGGATACAAAGTAGTTTTCATTATGTAGTAGTAGTGTATGTATACTAAATTTCATAGTGACACGGGTGGACATTTTTAACATTTCCCTTCACTGCTCTGCTCCTATTGATCGTAGCGTGATGAAAAGTATACTATAACCTGCCCAGGAGTATGAAGAATAATTGTAGCAAGTTTCGTTAAAATCCGTCGAGTAGTTTTAGTTTTTATATTGAACATACAGATAGACAGCTAATCACCCCCTGATAGTTATTTTGGAAATATCGTCATAGTCGTAGAATACTGACGGATCTATATATGTAATATTTGTCAGATCCGTCAGTATTCTACGACTGTGACGATATATTTCATGTACAGAATTGACCTCTCTACAGATTTATTATAAGTATAGATAGATAAAGATTGTGTCCCATAAAAAACCTACTTCAATTGTGACAGATCTAGTTATTTTAATCTAAAAACTAAACTGCTGAATTGATTTTGATAAAACTTCTATGGAACCAATCGATAAGTATATACATATATCCTTTCAGATAAAACAAAGAATTTTCCAAATAGATTCACAACTAACGGAGTTATGAAGTAACAAACAAAAAAAAATACGACCGTATTGAAAACATTTTTTTTTAAGTCAGTTGTAAATTAGCTGTGACCACAACTTCTTCCGCTTGATCGGGTCATAATTATTTGACCGGGATAAAAACTAACCTATTTAGATAGATAGATAGATAATTTATTTGCATTACTTACAGCACAATACAAACATACACATAATACAGGCCTACATTGTAAAAAGAGATAAAAAAATGAAAAACTTAAAAAAGGAAAAAAAAAACATAGGCAAAATATATAAAACAACAATGTAACAAAACAAAATATTCCTTCTTTCATTCGTGTGCCATAGTAACATAAAATGGTCACAACTCAGTTTTTTTTTATACAACTTAGAATGGCAATACAAGCTGACGGCCCACCTGATGGAAAGTGGTAACCGTCGCCTATAGACATGAGCAGTACCATGGACATAACAGAATATACTGTTTCGCCCATGACCCCCTTGCGTTGCCATTCCTGAGGACTCGGGTGTTATTCCTCTGTACCCTGTAAATTCACTGCCATATCCCACCCTTCAAACCGAAACACATCCATGCAAACACAACTGCTTCACGGTAGAAACACGGATTGGACAAACATGCCCAAGCAAACGACTTTTGTACAAAGTCTCCCTAAATATAGATTAATAAACAAGTATTTCTTAAAATAATATTTAATAGCTTTGTTTTTTTGTCACAAGTAACATGCCATAGTATGTACATATTTATTTTTCTTTATTTCCAGGTAGTGAAACTAGTGTCGGAAACGTTCAACTATTTACGGATAGACCGCGAGAGGTCGCGACTGAAAAGGGCCATCACAGAGCAGTTCCCAAATCTTAGGTTCAATAGGATGGGTCTTCCGCCGAAGGTAAGTCGTTGAACATACGAGTAATGTCTTCGAAAGGGTATATATATATATATATATATATATATATATATATATATATATATATATATATATATTCCGACTGTTGGTAAACGGTCACTGTAGCCTATGGATGCCTGCAACACTGGGGGTACTGCGTGAACGTTGCCGACCCTCAAGATATCTTAATATACCTTTTTTGAAGAACCCCATACTGTAGGCTCTAGGAAGTCTAGTCCTCGGCAGGGAGCTCATTTCACAACCTGAGCATTCGTGGGAGAAAATTTCTTTGCAACCGCACTGCACGTGACGGATAGATATATAATATAATCAAAGTGTTTACCCTGTACATTTTGTTTTGTCACTTTTTTTTAATAAATTAGTTTATACCTAACTTACGCAACTTTGTGCGAATCTCAAGTAATAACCTTGATAGTTGATTGCTATCTATCTATTAAAAAAAAAACATATTGAAAATGTTCAATACTATATGCTGAGAAATACTGTTTTTTTTTTTTTAACTATTCATCGAAGAGAAGTACTATTGAAAATCCTTTTTTTTTTTAATTTTTAACCAAAAGCACTGGCGAAATTTTTTTTTATTTATCAAGGTCTGACACGTACATACATTTGTCTTCAGATGGGATCATTCCAGTTATTTGTGGAAGGTTACAAAGACGCAGACTATTGGCTAAGGAGGTTTGAGCAAGATCCTCCACCCCCGCATGTTATGAGGAAGTGAGTCTTAAAATATAATATTTGTTTTATCGAATATAAAATATATGTATCGAATGTAAAATAAATTATAAGAGTTTAGTAGTTTTAAAGTATTAAGTATTCATTTTCAATATTTCTAAATCATTTTTAAGCAGTCAACTTGACGTATTATGTTCATTCAATTCCTTGTGTCACGGTATAGTCATGGTCACGGTAACCGATGGAAATTTTGTGTCAATAAATTGTACAAAAATCGTCATAGTCGTAGAATACCGACGGATCTGACAAATATTAAATATAACTTTTTTTTTTCAGATTCCAGTTACAGTTCGAGCGTCTCGTCGTCCTGGACTACATTATACGGAACACGGACCGCGGGAACGACAACTGGCTGATCAAGTACGACGCGCCCGCCAGCAGCCAGGATATCCCCATGAGGGAGCCCTCTGTTAGTACATACCACCACTATAGTAACCCATTGACGTCCCACTGCTGGGAACTCTTCTTTTTCTTACCTTTATCCCAATTATTATATGGGGTCGGCGTAATATGTTTTTTTTTTTTATCTATATTACAAAAAGATTTGGTTTAGTTTTACTAGAGGCTTATTTTCCTTTGCCACATTTTTTGCCCCTAGTATCATAATGCAGAATATTTAAATTATATTTAGATAGATAGATAGATAGATAGACAATTTATTTACATTACTTACAGCACACAAATTACAATAAAAAAAAAAACAAACATACACGTAATACACAGCAAAAGAGACAAAAGAATAAAAATAAGAAAAAGCACAAATAAAAAAAATAATACAAAAACAAAATACATAATCTAACAATCTCCTTTGTTACCATTCCTTCATTTATATTGATACAAATTATTGTTACAGGAGTGGGCGGCCTCAGAGATCCGCATAGCAGCCATAGACAACGGGCTCGCGTTCCCCTTCAAGCATCCGGACTCGTGGCGCGCCTATCCGTACCACTGGGCCTGGTTACCACAAGCCAAACAGCCTTTCAGCCATGAAACCAAGTCAGTATACCAAACACTTGTATATAATATGCCCCCTCATTAGTTACTAGATAGTTGCTACCAGAGGGAGACTGTACAAAAGTCGATTGCTTCGGTACCTCTGTCCCATTCGTGTTTTAACCGTGAAGCAGTTGTGTTTGCATGGCTGTGTTTCGGTTTGAAACTAAGTTTGACAGTAAATGTCGTGCAATTTTCAGTTGTCTCGACTATTTACTCATAAAGGGAATTACTCCCCTATTCTATACGTGTTTACCCGTAGAAAAAGAATGCCACAGGTTTCTTAATCTATGCATTTATTGAATTTAGTCGTTTAAAAATAAAACAAACAAAACAGTAATAATGTGTAATTATTTTTATTTAGTATAATTACAATTAATTGTGATCACATATGGATTTTATCAATATTGAAATCGGTTATTTGAAAAAAAAAATATAATAAGAAATAACTTTTATTATACAGTATTGTAATTATTTATGTCGGTTTTACTCAAGTTTTAAAGTCGGGTACTAGTTTCGAACTTGATAAGTGCTCTTATTCGTGGCTGTGGCTACTCCATCGTAAATTGACATACAAAAAATTTACATGCAAATTAAAAATTGTATCTTATTGTTCCAGGGAGTTGGTACTACCGTTGCTGTCCGACATGAACTTCGTACAAGAGCTTTGCGATGAGTTACATATATTGTTCAAAGTTAGTACAATTTATTTATTTTCACGCCATATCCTTTACAGTGTAGGCATAGCGATATACCAGATATCTATTTACATTTATATTTAACAGCAACCTACATTCACTTTTATTACTATTGAGCCTGCAGTTGTAATTGTCACAGCAGATACTGAAGAGTGATCATGTTGGTAACATAAAAATAGGGTTGGTTCTGTGATACCATTCTTTAAACCTAACTTTAAAATTAATATTTGATATCACAATGAAATAATTATTGTAAAGATCTGTATGAACTAAATTTCTAATAGATTTAAGTAATTACTATTATATATTTAGTTCATGATTGTTCATAAAACAGTAATTTGGCGAAACTGTTAAATTAAAATACCCATATTATTAAATAGGTTTATGGAAGTGTCGCCTCAGAATCGACTCAATATGTATTTAGTTTAAAATCGTAATGTATGTTACCAATCTATTCACTTTCATTCATTCTCCCTTCATTCACAGTTTACTCCTCTTTTCTCTTTTCATTTAATCACTTAATGTTTTGAACTAGTTTTAAAATCAGTTTAGACTTCATACACACGTTCCCTAATGCTATAATAATGAAATTATCTATTTGGCAGCAAGACAAAGGGTTCGACAAGGGTTTATTCGAACGGCAAATGTCGGTGATGCGCGGCCAGGTGCTGAACCTCACGCAGGCGCTCAAAGACAACAAGAGTCCCGTCCAGCTCGTACAAATGCCCGCCGTTATTGTAGAGAGGTTAGTTACGCGTTTTTTATTAAAAAAAAATAATAAGATTTTAAAGTAAAGGTACTATGCCCAAGCAGCTATAGCTGATATTACATTCTTTTTTTTTTAATGAATATTAAGGTTTTCGGAAGTAGTGAGTAGAGATAGTGTTGTACAAATATAAAGTATTATTTGCCCCTAAAACTAAATATAATGCGGTGATAACAGTCGCCTGTAGATAGGTACAGCATCAAGGACAGAAAGACATGCAATCAGATGCCTTTGTCTAAAGCTCCCTCTAGTAAAAATACTAAGAGATCTCAATTTAAAGTGCAACATATAGGGACAACAAGTATAGGGATTTAGTGAGTTTATTTAGACATTCAATAGCGACACTAGTAAAAAACATATGGTAACCGTCTCTTTTGCAGGTCAAAGAGCGGTTCGACGTCGTCGCGTTTCTTCGACTCGTTCCAACAACGTTTCCAGCACAAGTCGCCGTTCTTCTCCTGGTGGTGAGGTGTCGGTGATCTGGTTAGTATACATTACTAGATATCTCTCTCGGATTTGCCCTTATATGCACTATTATTATATCAAATTACATTCAAATTCAATCAGCTGTTAAAATGTGATTCAATAACACACAAACACATGTTTGTTTGTGAAGATTCACAAACTTTCACATATATAATTAATAAGATTTTTTATATTACAAAAATGGCAAATATGTATACAGCCGTCTAATGGTAAACGGACACTGTTATGTTATGGACGCCTGCTACACCAGGGGTGTTACGTGCGCATTGCCGCCCCTGAAGAAAACTTAATATATATTTCTTTTATGCAATTTAGAAAGGTAAACAAGCTGAGGGCCCACCTGATGGAAAGTGGTAACCGTCGCCTATAGTCATAAGCAGTACCATGGACATAACAGAGTGTACTGTTTCGCCCTTAATCCCCCCCATGCGTTGCCATTCCTGAGGACTCAGGAATAACAATTCCTGTGTACCCTGTAAATTCACGCCATATCCCACCCTTCAAACTGAAACAGAGCCATGCAAATACAACTGCTTCACGGTTGAAACACGAATGGAACAAAGGTGCCCAAGCAATCGACTTTTGTACAAAGTCTCCCTCTGGTAAAATTCTGGAATCTGGAAAAATTTATTGGCTATATCCCGCGGTTTGACCCGTGTTAATTAGGATAAAAAATGTTCTACTATTATGTCCATGGTAACCTTCATATGTTTTTTGTTATAGTTGATAATGGAATGGTAACTCCGCTCGCGCTATTGGTATACGCTGGCGGGGCAACAGTGAGAGATGATAGGTGAGGATGAAAACAGGTCAGGAGTTCTACAAGAATTAACCACGATGGTTTCCAAGGGGGACTACATGGAGTTCAACCTGATAGGGTATATTGCTAGCAATGGGGCTATTTAATCCCATTACTAACAATCCCATCTGTACCCTCGTATGTTACCATTCCTGAGAACTATATCCCTATGGCCCCATGGCCGTGTGGTCCCACTATAGAATAGGCTACCCCTTCCTTTCCTATGGGTATAATAAGAGGCGTCTAAGAAAGGACAAGGGATGGGCAGCAGCGTCCCTCTTAAAACACATCTAAAAGCCTAACTGCGGTTGTCAACCTTCTTGCTAAACTTGGCAACTACTGGCAAAGCTTCATTTATAGCGAAGGCTTATAATCAGCAGTGGAGTTAACAGCTGAAGTGATGATACCCTATACCCTGTAATTGTCAGACTTCATCTAGGATTTTATTCAAATCTCTTTAGTCTTTAAGTATGATTGATTAACAAATATACAAACACTTTTATAAACTTCACTTAACCTAAAAATGAATTTGGGGGGAAAGGGATTGTTAGCAATGGAGTTTGACAGCCCCGTTGCTAGCAATATGTCCTATTAGGTCGACCTCCACGTGGTTCCCCCTGGAAACCATCGTGAACAATTCTTGTTGAATTCGTCACGATGGACTAAATTGACCTGCTTCATCCTCACCTATCATCCTTCACTAGTGCCCCGCCCGTGTATACCGATAGCGTGGGTGGGGTTACCATTCCATTACAAACCATTAAAAAAAAACCTAAAAATGATTTATGACATAATGTTTTTTTTTTCTTTTTTTTCCAGGCATAGTTATATCAATATGGTGATAGTTCCGCAGTGACCCTGATATAGTAGAACCAATTGTATGTATATGTACGTATAATAGAGTATAGCGCATTTTATAATAATTGTATAAAGTAACAGCACAGAAGTTTCATTAGTAAATAGAGAGAGATAAATATTAAAAATTCAAAAATCAAGTGTTATAACAGAATTAAAAAAAAAATCCTTTTACATTACTGTTTCTTTTTTCTAATGCTTTTTTTATAATCCGTTTTTTTTACACTTGGCTTATTTAGTAAATAATACTGGCATGTCTTTTTTGAAATATCACCGTATGATATTAAGAAACAGGTGTAGAATAAAAAGTTTTTATGTTATGAAACTAATATCTAATATTAATTCTATTTTCAAATGTCTAATTTAAAAATTAATTCTTTTAACTAAATGTGCCAAGTAGAAAAAAAAAAAGATTGTGTTTATTAATTACTGTTTTCGAATAAGAATTTTAATAAAAATAGCCAGTCTTAAAAATGTTTTCCATTCTACAATATATTTAATATGAATAAATGTATTATAACGATCATAGGTGACTATGATGGGTACTGCAATTAAGTTTTTATTATGTACAAAAATAATATTGAAAATGCTAACAATACCAGATTTATGTTCAATTTAAATATTTCTATTTAAAAACGGGTCATTCAAATATTTCTATTAGTCTGTCACTTGATTGTAATAAATATTTTGAAATGGAACATTTGCCATATCATATTTCATATTTAATTGTTTAAAAATAATTAAAAAAAGAACACGTATCCATAGACAAATGTTATTTTTTTAATATTGCTTTAATAGGTATAAAGCTGCACGGATCTGTTCCATAATCTGTAACGGCTTCGCTAAATTTATTTTATATTGTATTTGTAATATAGTTTTCATTCAAGCGATCAAGCAATAGTCATAGACTAGAATAAAGTCAGAATAAGGCTCACCAAACTTCGGCTGATTGTAGTGTGATAGCTACTTCAATTATTTACTAGAACCCATGAAGTTTTTTTTTTTTTATTTTCTCATACGCAACATAGTTGAATAATTTTTACAACATTAACAACGAAGCGAGATATGTATTTTTAATCTGTATATTATGTAAAATAAAATATGGCAGTTGAATTGAACAAGATAAATTCATGTTCTGGATGCTTTACCGGACATTAATATAGATTTTTGTGTATTTTTATTTCAAATTATTGTTCCGTTCTCTACTGTCCTAATTACAGTATAAAAAAAATTTAGAACGAGAAATATATCTTTTTGAATATACATAACTTTTGTTTTATGTCAAAATCATAATTCCTTTAAGAAATTCTATGAATTGCTAACTTTTATTATACTTAACGTCTTTACGAAATATTTATACTTATATTTAAAAAAAAAAAGATGGATAACTTAATAGTTTTCTTTAATATACATATATGTAAGTAAGTATATCGGCGACGTTAGTGCATAGCCAGAAGAATTTTTTCATTCATGTTAAATTTTAAAAACGCTATTCAATTCTCGAATTGAAGCAATCATTGTTTAAAATAATAATATTTTAGTTACAAAAATGTATAGTCTCATGTTCAATCTTTAAAAACTGTAATAAAAAAAAATGTTAATAATATTTGTTTATAATATAAAAATCTTAACTTTTAATTCACACTACTTGTATACGTAATTGTTTAGCGGTGAAGTGAAAATTAATGGGCTCCATACATGGTCATAGCATTTTGTTATGTAGTTTTGGCATGTGTAAAAATGTGTGCACAATAGTGGAACATTTGCATCTTTGTAATGATTCTGTTACAGAGAACAATTTAGTGCTCTATGGTATAGTCGACATTAGTTTTATATGGGCACCTAGCATAAAAATTAAAAAAAAAAAGTTACACATGGTTATAAAAAACTTGCAGTTTGAATGTCGAGATTGAGAGGAATTGATAGGTGCGTGTGATACCTACCTAATATTGATGCTTAGTTTACTTACTACAGCAGTAGGCTAGTCTAAAAATTGCAATTTTTAAATCTAAAATATAGTAACTTAATTAGAGTGTACACACAAAATTCCAAATATCTGAACTGTGATAAATATTTCGGGGGTGTAGGCATTTTAATTATAACCATATGCCTTTAAGAGTTCTATCTTTGACACAACATTATAAATTACGTATCTGATTTATAAACTATGTAAAAATCTAAAAAAAAACTAGCTTACTATGACTTTCAAATGTATTTTTTTTAGAACAAATTTTTGTTCCTTTTCCTTTTTCAAATTTAACATTGAATATATTTTTTCTTTGTATACTTGTATTAAGGCAAGTCTTTTAAATAATAAATTTTAATAGGAAACAAATAACTGTAGGTTATTATTACAGATACAGATATATATATATATATATATATATATATATATATATATATATATATATATATATAGTATTTATTGTCTAATTTTGTTTAATGGCCATTCACCTTAATATCTGATGGCACTTGTAGATCTCACACAGATACAGATACACAGATACATCACGAAATAATCTGAATCGCTGCAATATAAACACTGTGTTGTTACTTTTCTTAAATCAATCACCCTATCGCTGTTGCTGCTATTGTGTTACTGTAGTGAACTTCTTGCTACATTTTTATATTCTTATTGTTATTTGAAAATTATATATATATATATTTTTTGACATACTGTTTTTACATTCAAATACATTTTGCTAACATCTGTCCCCTAATCTTTTCTGTAGTTTTCCATTCTAAAATTCTCTCATTGCATATTAAAAGTGTTCGTCTCCGTTTCAGTTACATTATCTAATATTGTTTTCCATTACAATTTATTATTTATATTAAATTGTGACTATGCATCTCGATTAGTTATGAAATCGCTTTAGCTTATAAGGATACCGGACATTAGTCAATGTGTTTGGGCCTTATATTTTATATATGCAAATTTAATAAGTCGAACCGATTTCCAATTATAATAGGTATATATTTTATTAAGTGATTAATGTATATGGGATTCTTTTAAATTAGCGACGTTTTGCTCCTAAAAATATTTTTTTAGAAACAATCTTACGTTATTTATATTCTTTATTATCTTATATTAATAATCAATTCGGTAATGCACCGCCTACTTATTTCTCTGTTTGCCTAATGGTTGACTGGTAGAGAACACCGTCCGGTGTTAAGACCGCCATATGTCCATAGAATTTCACTGTGCATAAAAGTTTAAATAAATCTTATTAATACATATATTGATGATATATGATAAGTCGATTTATTATTTTTTCATTTATTTATGGGCCTTGGTTGCCTTTAATAAAGAATTTATTTATTGATTATTACTTATTATTTGACAGATCGATCGCAGTCTGCATGGAAAGTTCAAATTGATATCAACATATCCATCCCTACTTTGAGTTGTTTATTACTACAAACTATATAGTATTTTTTTGTATATCAACACATTGGAGTCAATTCTGTGGTGTTATTTTTTATAAGTCTATCTCAAAAATGAAATTCAAATTTGATATTATTGCGTTGAAATGTTTAAAAAACCAATATGAACTAAATTTCAAATTTAATTTAAGTCAAAATTATTCTAAATTTAGTTCATGATGATTAATAAAATAGTAATTTTGTGAAACTATCAAATTAAAATATACGATTAAGAGATAGTTTAGATAGATGGCGCTTCAGAGTTGACGTCATTGTCATCAACACATATTCATTGAAGGAAAATGATTTATAAATAGTTGATTTTCAACTTACACCTGAACTCCTAGAGTAAGTTTAATAGGGATTTATTTTAAAATTACTTCCATGTTACGTCGATAATTTGTATTGAAATATTAACAGCGCCCTCTAGCGAATGCTTTTGGAAGATATTTTTATACAAACTTATCGTTATAAACACAGTCGTATCATAAATCTTTGTGCATCACACACTAGCCAATCTATTATCATATATAGATATTATATATAATACGAAATCTAAGTCTTCTTCTAACCATATGGATCACGCCATTTCCCGTGGTTTTTGCCATGTGAATCAAATCAAAGTAGCCTATTTGTAAAGTAAGGAAATACCCTATCCGTATTCCGAAATTCATTCAAATTCATTCATCCGTTTAAGTGTGATTGAGTAACAAACATACAAATGTTTTTACCAATTTTAACATAATATTATACTACTTAGTATTCAAGTTTCATATAGCCAGAAGGTGACTTAGGTTCTACCTGTAAATTCCAAAGACTTTAGTTAAACACGCTAAAGTATATAAGTACCCATACATTTTAATCTAAAAATTCTAATAATCTATTAACGATACGTTTTCGCTGCTGAATGCACGAGATAGAACGAGACAACAATATCGGGTGTTTTGTACTATCTTATGCGTGAGCTAACTAAAACGTATCCACTGATTTGTTTGGCACTTTTCTAGGGATATTATCAGATTAATTTTATTTATAAATATCTACATATATATTATTTTAAAGGCTGTATTAATTAAATATTTATATATTAAAATATTATAATTTTTAAATTGTGTTATACTATTACAGAATGCGTTCGGTCATATTCTAGTTTAATGATGTTTATTAAGATATTAAATATATGTATAACGTTTAAAATAATTTATAGTTAGCCAAGAGGAATGCTTTAGTCATTGTTATATTTTAGTGGTCCATTCAGGTATATATAAATTTGTAATGTAAAAAGTTTTTTTTTAATAAATTTTAGATTGAATGAAAAAAAAAAAATGTGAACATAACAAATGTTCATGTCACAATTTGTTGGTGATCTAAAAGTTTAAAATAGCCACTTTATATGAATCGTAATACGATTCAACTGTATAATCCGCCGATGAAAATGATCTAGTCGGTTAATATTACACCCACAGCATGAGACATCTATTAAACTTGGCTGGATGTATGAAATTAATCGTATTATAATTTATGTAAATTATTTATTTTTATCCCTCTGTTGTACAAAAACACATATATATGTATATGTACTATGTTAAATATGTAATTAATTGTTAGTAAGTTCAACACATAACTTATTTGCCGCCGTTAGTTGCTAATTTGTCTTTTAAATATATTAACAGTGCAAGGAAATGACCGCAGCATTGTATGTATATATGGTATAAACGTGCGCGGACATTCGGTCCCTCTCTACAGACATAAGGACACGTTCACACCAAATGGTAGTCAGTCGCCAACTATGAGTATTGTCTGTGAACCCAATGAGATCATGAAGTAATGCACTGCATAAATTTACAATAACACGATAATTGTGTAATGAATTATATATAAGCATACAATGCAATTTAAATTATACAACTTTGATCAATATATATCTGTTAATTATTATTACACAACATTGAGCAATTTGCAGTAATGTCAACAATTTTTAATATTTGTCGATATTGAGTTACTTAATAACCTATTACTGTCAATGACTGTTGCCAAGCAATTGTGGCTAAAAATATTTATGTCAAGACATCAAAGTAATCGCCTAGTCGCCGGCTGACTATACAAACGGTGTGAATGCTCCCTAATGTAATTATCCGGGGTGTTGTAAAATCTTTAATGGGCTAAAGAAATGCTGTTTTAGCAGTCATTTCATAAATTCTTCGGATTTTGATTATTGTATTTATATATTTATTACTATATACTTATTACAATATAGTATTTATTACTATACTGTAATTAACCTGTTAAAAAATTACAATAGTTCAAGTATCTAAAATTTACTATTGCTGTTTAAATTTTACTAATGTTTTATTAAACAATATTAGGTATAACAGTAAAAAATAAAGTCACCAATAATTATCAAAATTAACAACGAATGTGATAAATGCACAGAAAATTAATACTCTCTGGGTGGTGTATATTATATAAAAACTTTAAATGAAACTTGGTAATAATGTACCACAAAGTTGTCTCTCATATAGCTTAATTGCTTTACAGCGCTGGCATCGATACAGAATATAGTACAATACTTTGTTAAAAAAATATCCACATTAACAAGTACCATAAACTAGTTATAATTTGCGAAAGCATAATGTTTTTTAACCTTTCAGTAGTACTGCCTTATAAGAGAAAGCGCCATCTATCGGATAAATCAAATAGAGTAAATCAAAAGCGAATAGATGTCGCTATCTCTTATTTGTCAGATTGAACACTACTGAATATATTTATATGTGTAATCAATAATAAAGTGGATACTGTGTGAATGTTGTGTGTACATAGTATGCGGGAAGGCGATGTTTTATTCCGTGGTCCATTATGACAAAATTGATCTAAACAAAAAACAATAACCGACTATTGGGTGTGGCCAAATAGTACCAACATTGGAATACAAAAAATATCAAGATATACGATCAGGTGAGGTTCTAAAAATAGACCAAATAATCCATATATTTATAAGGAAAATATTTCTTTTTATTAATTACTAGCTTTTACCCTTGACTTTATCCGTATGATTGGGTTGAAAAGTAGCTTGTAGCCAACTCCATCCCATATAGTAAGTCATAGTGATTTGTTAAACCGTTAAGAGTATATAAAGTAACTCACTTTCACATTTATATTATTTATTAAAGATCTGATTGGCGGTGTTTCACATTTTCGATATATATACATACACACACACACATATATATATATATATATATATATATATATATATATATATATATATATATATATATATATAAATCTTTAACTCCACTCGACATGTCTAATCCCAAAATAACTACTTAATTTTTTTATTATTTTAATTGAGCATTTTTAATTAAGTATACTGACGGAAATTTATTAAATATTGGTAAATTTTGTCGCTGTGGACATGAATTTTAAATTGTCTATACTCTTCCACTTATGTTTCATTATTTTGTTAAAATTCCATTTTATACTGTGATACGTTAATTATTAAGTTCACTTTTCAATTGTTAATTTATTTTAATAAATTGTAATATTGCAGGATTTTTTCTGTCAACATATAAGAACATACTTAATACAAATGGTTTTGTATAAAAGTAAAATATAATTATTATCTTGTCTATCTATCTATCTATCCCATTCAAGAGCTGCGCTCTTGTCGGTGGAGCTCTTGCCACTCACTACGATTTTCAGCGAGTCTCTTCACCTCTTGATACGACACGACACTAACTCCTTCCTTGATCTGCCTGATGTAACTATGTCTCGGTCTCCCTCTCCCCCTTCTTCCTTCTATCTTATCTTCTATTATAATGTTCATAAGTTCGTAGAAGTGTACAAAACCAAAATATATATTTAATACATTTTTTTTAGTAATAATAGTGTGAATCAAATGTGTGACCACAGCGATAAAACCTAACATAAGATGTTTGTTAATATTTAACTAGTACTTCGAGATTAGTTGTTATAAAAACATGTCAGTAAGGATTTTTAACAATTTATGATCCCAGCAGTCATGAGTCTCGATTTATACTTACAACCGAGAATTTATATAATAAAAAACCGTTTAAAAATACTTAAAATCTCTCATATCGTCATAGTCGTAGAATACTGACGGATCTTTATATGTAATATTTGTCAGATCCGTCAGTATTCTACGACTATGACGATATTATTAAAATAAATAAATTTTGAAAATAAAAACACAGTTATTCTCTTCCCGCAAACTAGTGTTTTACGATGTACATTTAAGTATTGTAAATAGTTTTAATATTTTTGTTTCAATGGTTACTACATGTTTATATGCATTATTTAATTTTGGAGAAAAATATAATCACAACTGCATTTTACCGGTTATTTTTTTATTTTTAAGCCTCATACTTAACCCGTTTTTTTAATGGGTGATGATGGTATGGTAACCCCGCCTGCGCTAACGGTATACACTGGCGGGGCACCAGTGAGGGATAATAAGACTGATTTCATTGTCACCTATCATCCCTCACTGGTGCCCCGCTTGTGTATACCGTTGGCGCAGGCGGGGTTATCATTCCATTGTCATCGATTAAGAAAAAAGTCGTACACATACTAATGGTAGCAGAAACAAACAAAAGAATTCTAGTCAAATGACTTATATTTTTTTCAAACCACCATGGTAGCAAACAAGCATATGACCCGTCTGATGTTAAACAGGGTTACTGTAACCTATGGACACCTGTAGCAACATGGATATTCTAGAAAGGAAGGGTTTATTAGTAATGAGGGTTTTTTTTTAATGGGTGATAATGGTATTGTAACCCCACCCGCGCTATCGGTATACACCGGCGGGGCACCAGTGAAGGATGATAGGTGAGAATGTAGTAGGTCAGTTAGCCCATCGTGACGAATTCAACAAGAATTGTTCACAATGGTTTCCAGGGGGAACCACGTGGAGATCGACCTAAAAAGGCATATTGCTGGCAATGGGGCTGTCAAACTCCATTGCTAACAATCCCTTTCCTCCCTAATGAGGGGTGTTCCCATTGCTAATAATATGCCCTGTCAGATCGACCACCACGCGGTTCCATTGGAAACTATCGTGGTAAATACATCACAATGAGCCAACTGACCTGCTTTCATCCTCACCTATCATCTTTCACTAGTGCCCCGCGCGTGTATACTATTAATGCAAGCGGGGTTACCATTATCATTACCAGAAGGAGATTGTACAAAAGTCGATTGCTTGGGTACCTCTGTCCCATTCGTGTTTCAACCATAAAGCAGTTGTGTTTGCATGGCTGTGTTTCGGTTTGATGGGTGGAGTATGGCGTGAATTTACTGGGTACAGAGGAATAACACCTGAGTCCTCAGGAATGGCAACACATGGGGGGGTATCATGGGCGAAACAGTATACACTGTTATGTCTATATTACTGCTCATGTCTATAGGCGACGGTTACCATTTTCCATCAGGTGGGCCGTTAGCTTGTTTGCCATTCTAAGTTGAATAAAAAAAAAACTATTAAAAAAAATGGGCGTTACAGTATAACTGCGATGTACTGTTCATGCATTGTAAAATATTTATTGTACATAATTTATATTGGACACATTAAAGATTTAATATACAATGGCGGACTTATCTCTTTTTCATATCTTTAGGCGACCGTTACAGATTTCTATCAGGTGGGCCGTCACTTTGCCATTCTAAGTTACATAAAAAATCCCCACACCAACACAAACACACACAATAATTTAAATTGCGCGGGAATCGAACCTGTGTCGGTTGTAAGGTAAGACAGTATGTGCACTGATGTTCCATCAAGGTCCTCATACATTTTCATAGTATTTCAAATAGGTGCAGCGTATTTAGAATAAAAAAGGAAAAGTAAAATAACAATATTTATTTCAAATCTTTCAAACAAACAAATCGTCGGCAGCTAATTTCAAAGTGTATAAAGTAACAAAAGTCATATCTTTAAGAAAATAAGACACCGGTAGACTCAGTACAACTGAGGTGTCACCCCCTCCTACCATAAGAGTGGTAAATGAACTCATCGGTAGATACGTTATCCCTACCGCATGTATGAGATAGAATGAGACAACGAACGAAAATTCGTTTGCCTCTTGTCTAAGGGGGCTAAAGTTGTGGCAATTTAACGCCGAATTAGTTGATATTTGTGCATAAAACTATATAATTAAACCAGAATTCGTTCTTATTGCCTAACCCGCAAGGGACTTGGCGTGAAGATAGACAGATACAGTAATTAATCGGCACTGACTTTTTACAAATTTGGAACCAGTATAAAACCCAATGTAAGCTGGGGAGAGAAGGGATTGTTAGTAATGGAGATTAGCAATCCCATTGCTAGCAATATACCCTGTCAGGTCGACCTCCACCGCCCTGGCGGTTCCCCCTGGAAACCATCGTGATTGATTTATAGTTGAATTCGTAACTATGGGCCACCTGACCTGCTTCACCGTCATCTATCATCCCTCACTGGTACCCTGGCAATGTATACCAATAGCGCAGGCCGGGTTTTTTTTGATGGGTAAAAATGATATGGTAACCCCGCCTGCGCTAACGGGATACGCTGGCGGAGCACCATTGAAGGGAGATAGATGAGAATGAAAACAGGCCAATTAGCCCATCATGATGAATTCATCAGGAATTAACCATGATACAATATGAACCGCGAGAAGGTCGACATGGTTGGGTATATTGCTAGCAATGGGATTCTCAGTCTCCATTACTAAGCATCCCTTTCCCCTCGCGCAAGCGGGGTTACCATCCCATTATCATCCCTTAAAAAGACCCCAATGTAAACCAGGATGATACATTTTTTATATTTTGATGTTAGAAATGCACAACAGCCAGGATAGTGTCTTATTAGCTAAAACAAATTAAATAAATATTCGAACATTATATTCGTCGTCATTATGGAACAATTATTGTAAATAAAATAATAATATTGCACTTGATAATTACATGTATGTATTACATACTTTGTCAACACTTGCAATATACGGCAATACTACCTTTACATTTCCTTACATGTACATTATATATAAATATATATGTTACTATAAAAACTCGAACTATAGTAAATACTAAGATTTCCCAGTAAAACCTAACATTTACCAATCTCTGAATGGTCAATGACCGAAATGTCCTGTGTTACTTACTTTAGAGAAGTAAATTGTATTTGTAAAATCTTTATTGTATATAGTATATAAAAAAAAAAATATATGCAATGGTGGACTTATCAACATATATTCACAAATGGCTCAAGTTTTAAAATAAAATTTAATTATATTTGTTTTAATTTACCAGAAGGAGAGTTGTATAAAAGTCGTTTGCTTAGGCAGTTGTGTTTGCATAGTTGTGTTTTGGTTTGAAGGGTGGGATATGGTAGTGAATTTACAGGGTACAGAGGTATAACACCTGAGTCCTCAGGAATGGCAACGCATGGGGGGTATCATGGGCGAAACAGTATACTCAGTTATGTCCGTGGTACTGCTCATGTCTATAGGCGACGGTTACCACTTTTCATCAGGTAGGCCATCATCTGGTTGCTATTCTAAGTTGTATAAAAAAAAAAAATTTAATTTTTTGTTATTGTGCCATATTCAAGGTATTAGTAACTGAGTATAAGACGTGCAACATGTACTGTAAATTATTTGTAAATGTAAAAAATAGACATAATATTTAGACATAAGTTGAGCGTGGTATTATTAAATACTCGTGGTTGTGAAAGGTTTGGTTTGGTCAAAGCCCGAAAAATAATCTTATAAATTCATTACATTGACCAATTCATGTCGGTAAATGCTAAGATTTATTTTAAAAGATAGATAAATTTCTAAATAAAAGATTTACCAATGTACGGGCTTTTACAGTAACATATTTCAGTATTTATTTTATTAACTCATACAGGTGAAATCAAATTAAACAATTCATATATATATATATATATATTTCTTTGGTAAAAATGTTTAGTTACACTGGTAAAACAACAGAGGGCGTTTACTACGGTATAAGTCTAAATAAGCTTAATAACGCCAACAATTCTGATTACATTCTGTATATGAAATATATAAGTAAACATTATTAATATCTGTTTATTGAACGATATAAGAACCATATTTTACGATTTTTTTTTTGTTTTAAAACAATGTCATAATATCGTTAAATGGAAAAAAAAGTAACTTAAGTAAATAAAACATAAGGAGTAATGACTAAACAATATGACTATCGATCGAATTATAGCAAATTCGTAAAAAATTCACAGCAGTAATTTTTTTTTTTAATTATTCTTATATATTTTTTTAATTTGTAATAAACATCATGGATGTTTTTACAATGTTATAAGTTTGATCATTTAAAATGAAGACAGATAAAAGATTGCTCCTTAATCTGTATAATTTACAGCTGCAATAAAACAATATTATTGTGCATAATTAGAAATCACAAAAATCTTCAATTCCTTAATATAACATATATTGATACAACAATTTTCAAACCAAATATTTAATTGTCATTTTCTTAAAAAAGCCACAAAATCGCATAAATATATAAACTATAAAAAATTAATGTTATACTAGTATTTTGAACAAATTATACAATTTCAACTAAGGAATGTTAAATATATAGACTAGAATTCATGGAAACTACAATATAATGTATTAGGCGTTTGTTACTATAAAATTCAAAATTCAAAATTCAAAAATCATTTATTCATGTAGGAAATTTTAGATGAACGTCAAATTTTTATATCAAATATATAATTTATTTGCGTCAATATATATATATATATATATATATATATATATATATATATATATATATATATATATATATATATATATATATGATATTTGATATTAATTTATGAAGATATTAACATAAATTTAATATCGGTAAAAGTTTTATAATTATCTTGTTGTAACTCAAATAATATTCATTTTCCATGTTCGCTTTGTTTTTAGCCGACTACGGCGAAGTAAAAAGGAGGATTATGATTTTGACCTGTATGTATGTATGTTCATCTATTCCCTCGTAATAAAATTTAAATAAATGTCGTAAATCATATTGTTTGCATATACCTATTTTGGTAAAAATTATTGACTCGACATCTACATAAAAACATATTATACATATACATAAGTAAAGAATATTTTACACATGTATATTACACGTACGTAATATAGTACGTATGTTTGTATACTAAAATATATATGACGTATATTTGGTAAAAACTTGATGAATCCTATATATTTGATAGTGCAATAAAACCTATATTTTAGCACCTCAATTGCAATTTCTCTGTATAAAGATCAACTATTGAATTAAAAATATATATAATACAAAATACGTAAAACGGAATACCATCAAAAACAATGTGACGAATGGAACACTAAAAATACATTTGGAATATCTATAGGAATCAGGATTAATAATATACTAAAAAAATCTACATGTATGTACTTGTAATTTGACAAAATATTTGAGATCGTAACTATGTTTTAAATTATTATCGTTGACTAAAAACATTTTCAATTTAATTGATTTTCATTTAATATTTTATAGCTTTATACAGAGATTTCTTGAGCCTCATCTTTGAAAAACACTTTTACACTTTTATCACTGAAACAAAATTTAATAACTAGATAAAAATTTAATAAAAACAATAACAGTAATTTATGCAATTAATTGATATAAAACAAATAATAAAACATAACAACAAATTCGAAATTTAAACGTTCATTATTTAAAAAAATATAATTCGAAATTTAAGCGTTAACTATTTAAAAAAAAAGAAAACCATAAAGCACAATGACTCTAGCGCCTATATTATATCTCTACATTTAATACTTTTTGGACATTTGATAACAGAGGTTTCATTGACATAATGTTTTAGTAGGAATGTTATAAAAAATATGATTTATAATAATAATAAGTGGTTAACCGTGTATGTCCCGGCATGGAATAGGTCACACCTTCCTTTCCCGTGGCTGTCGTAACTAAGCGAGCTTATGGTGGAGGGATGGGTAGCAGCGTCCCTCTTAAAACATCTCCAAAGCAACTGCGGTTGTTAACCCGCCTGCCAAGCGTGGCAACTACTGGCAAATCCCTCCAAGTTTAAGGCTGATATAATGATGAATTATTACTTATTCATTATATATAACTTTTATACTTTATAAAACAAGTTTAAGTACTGTAAACTGTAAATTTCATGAGATTGGCTATCATATTTTTTTTTACAACACACGGGGGCAAACGAGCATGCGGCTCACCTGATGATAAGTGACTACCGCCGCCCATGATCACCCACAACACCAGCGGCATTGCAGGTGTGCTGCCGGCCTTTTGTATTGTATTGTTATTATATTGTGAATATCTTTGATATTCACCTGATCTCTATAGATTTTCATGTCATCTGAAATTACTAGGTAAATATTTTTTTATTATATACTTATTGAAGACTTAATTCTTCTTTGCATGATTTTTTTTATTGATGAAATAAATCAAGGTGATATAATTCATGTTCAAAATTAAAGACAAAATGGTTAAAAAAAATAAATTTGACAGCTATGTTTTTTTTTCTGTAATGGACATTGAAAAGGTATCCACAGACGATCAACTTAAAGTGAACTTGTTCTTTTATATAATTTTTGGGCGTTCAATGTTATTATGGAAATTTCCACCATTATGCAAAGAAGGGTTAAACCAAGTTACCTCATTAAATGACTCAAATAAAAGAAATCAAAGAAACCTCTGCGTATCCAAAATTCATCAAACGACTAAAGGCCACAAGATTATCTGTGCATATGCATCGAGTGCTGGTACTTGACGAATGCGATCGCTGCCAATTCCTTGCAGAACTCTTCTAGAACTATTAAACTTTCTACAAGTTGGTTATGGTCGCAGCTGAAATGAAATATTTAATTTAAAATTATTAAAAAAAATATATATAATTATTATTATTCTAAAAAACAAAAAATGGATATCGACTTCAATCATGGGAAATCAATGATTTTCATTTAAAGATCTAACTACTGAACAAATTTTGATGAAATTTCCATGTAACCAATCTAAAAGTATATCCTTTCAGAGAAAGAAAAGGATTTTCGAAATCAATTCATAAACAATGGAGTTATGAAGTGACAAAAAATAAAATACAACCGATTTGAGAATGTACTCCTTTATTTGAGGTCGGTTGAAAAATTTTAATTTAAATAATGAAATAATGACATTTAAGCATCAATATTTTATTATTTTTTTCTGTAACTTAGAATGGTAAACAAGCTGACGGCTCGCCTGATGGAAGGCGTAATCGTCGCCTATAGACATAAACAGCACTGCAGTCACCTAAGAATATACTGTGATACCCATAGCACCCACCCTTCATGCGTGCCTATCCTGAGAACTATGGTGATATGCTTTCATACCCTGTATGTGGGGTACCTCTATCCCACTCATATTTCTGTCATGAAACAACAGCTGTTTCATGACAGAAATATGAGTGGGGCAAACGTACCCAAGTAGACGACCTATTATTATTTTTAAATTTATAATAATTATTTATTCGTTATTACTTTTATAATTTATGAAGTATGTAAATATTGTAAACTCTAAATAAAAAAAAAAAAAAAAAAAAACTAAGTTACTTGGCATTAAATTAAGATTTCAAATTTACTTTATTTATTACTAGAAATATGCAATAAAGTGTAAATAAATAGATGTTTTTCATATTCAACTGATCTGAAATTTCTAGGTAGATATTTGACTAATATTATAATACAAAAGGCTTGTATAGCATTTACTATGTATCCATTTCCTTCCCTTACATGTTACAGTTACCAAGTCTCTTACCATATCTTGAGGATAAAAAGGGAATGGTGGCGTTATATGGAGGAAATACTTTAATACTAATTAAACATCACGTTCCATTGAAATATGCTCAGCGAAATGTCCATTTTCACTTTTACCACAACTGTAAGAATCTACAATAACCTCTGACTACCCCATAAGGATTTATAGTCATGAACATAACTTATTTTTTAATAAAAAAATACATACCTCTCATCATAACTAGGGTCCTCACTCATCAGCTGCAATCTAGTATTTTCAATAACCTTTTTGTAATTCCTTATTCTCGGTATTTCCATAGTCAACCGCCTTGCTAAATCCTGTAGCGTTTTAAATAGAGTTTGCGTCTTTTTGCCAGTTGGCAACATTGGATTTAAGAGGTACTCGTGCAAATTCGGATGTGGCATTAGTGCCAACTTTGAAATTATAGATGTCAAATGTAAATTCACTTGGTAAGGCTGAGTGGGCATTGTAGATAGTAAAGTAAAAAGCATTTTCAGGAAGGGACCTTCATCAAATTCCTCCTCAGGCACCGAATTCAAGTCCCGACTTCTCAATACTAGTTTTTGACTAAATTGACATTTGTCCTCGGCGCAATAGTTACCGATTTTTTCTATACTAGTGTTGTGCTTATCGGATTTTTCCGATTGGAACGCCTCGTCCAGGTGTATGTCCGCTTCTGGTCGGCTGTCGTAGCTGTGGGTGGAACTGGCCGTGTTATCGATATAGTTTTGGTCGGTTGGCCAATTAAATGTCGATGTAATGTCCAACCAGAGCTGCAAACGTGTATGTTGTTAAACATCTGCTTTTTACTTGCCCCTGTGGTCCCGACATAGAACAGGCCACTTCTTCCTTTCTCGTGGGTATCGTAAAAGGAGACTGGGTTCCTCCAGTCTCCTTTTACGATACCCACGAGGGATAGGCAGCAGTGTCCTTTTTAAAACATCTCTGATTCCTAACTGCGATTGTCAACCTGCCTGCCAAGCGTGGCAACTACTGACAACATCCCCTAAGGGGGCGCTTATGTCCACTAGACAGTTAAAGGTTGATACGATGATAATGAACTACTTTTTACACTACATTTTTTAAATTACTTGATATACAAAACAAGCCGAGTTACAGTTGCCCATAGACACGAATAACAATTACTATAGTACGGTCTATTAAATATGGTCTTCCGTAGTAGCTTTTTTTATACAACTTAGAATGGCAAACAAGCTGACTGCCCACCTGATGGAAAGTGGTAAACGTCGCGTATAGACATGAGCAGTACCATGGACATAACAGAGTATACTGTTTCGCCCATGATACCCCCGAAGCGTTGCCATTCCTGAGGACTCAGATGTTATTCCTCTGTACCCAGTAAATTCACGCCACATACCACCCTTCAAACCGAAACACAGCCATGCAAACACAACTGCTTCACAGTAGAAACACGAATGGGACAAAGGTACCTAAGCAATCGACTTTTGTACAAAGTCTCCCTTTGGTAAGCTGTAAGTAATGCAAATAAATTATCTATCTATCTAGTATCTCTCATCATCATCACCACATCAGCCGTTAATTGTCCACTGCTGAACACAGGCCTCCCTCATGAGGGATGATTTGCTAGTAGTTGCCACGCTTAGCAGGCGGGTTGGCAATCGCAGTTAGGCTTTTGGTGATGTTTTAAGAGAGATTCTGCTGCCCATCCCTCGACCGTTATGTTCTATTAATCACCTCTTATTACACCCACGGGAAAGGAAGGGGTGGCCCATTCTATGCCGGGACCACATGGCAACTCTCTATCTCTATGGTATCTCTCATACGTTGCTGTTTTTATATTAGTTTTTTTAATGGCTGAAAATAGAATGGTAACTCCGCTTGCGCTATCGGTATATACTGGCGAGGATGAAAGCAAGTCTGTTGACGCGTTGTGATGAATTCCACAAGATTTAACCACGATGGTTTCCAGGGGGAAACCACGTGGAGGTCGATCTGATACTTGAGTAATATACTCTATATTACTGGCTATAAAAATTTTAGTAATATATCCAATTACTAACAACGCGCGCCCACGCCTCACAATTTGTAGTTAAGGGGGGGGGGGGGGGGGGCAATTTGATAATGGACTATTTTAATTTTTTTCGAATTTCAAATGCCCGTCTATCGGTGCAAATTTAACAAAAAAAAATGGAAATATTTAGTAGTTACCAGAGGGAGACTTTTAAAAAGTCGATTGCTTGGGTACTTATCGTGTTTCAACCGTGAAGCAGTTGTGTTTGCATGGCTGTGTTTAACAAAAAAATAAATAATAAAAAAATGCTGTTTATATTTATTATGTCCATGTATAATTTGGACGGTTGACACTTTCCATCATATCAACTTGTTTGCCATTCTGAGTTGTATATAAAAAAAAAGGTTTAATTTGGTTTGACATTACCAAGATATCAACTGGGTTATTAGAGTAGTCAAGTAAACTGTCGGGAAAAATTATGTATGGAGGCATAAAAATTTTTGAATTGTTCAAGTGGGGCACGACATAAAAAAGGTTGGGAAAATTGGTATAGAGTATAGTATAGTATAGTATAAAGTACTTTATGTACTGATTCAAGCGGACAAAGCCGCGGGATACGACTAGTAAATATATACCTGATAGTGTCTATGGGCATCGTGTATGTAATGCTCATAGTCAGATCCCACCGGGTCGGAGAGTATGGCGCGCGGCAGTAGCAGCAGGAAACTGCAAGAGAAACGGGGACAATAAAACAAACCGTGTACTCATAAAAACGTTTAATGATATGTAACAAATACATCTTAAAAATAAACCATCCAAAATATATAATCACAGATCCTTACGGTGTTAAAATTATCGCTATTACAAAACTAAACTAAGTACCCATAACCATTTACGGATATACATAGACGTAGATAGATATAGATGTCGCAACGCGACTACTCGTGAACACGATTCATTTGATAAACAAATAATAGCACATTTGTAACTTGCTTTGATTACAGAAATGCAATTTATTGACAGTAAACGTCTCCAGCGCTACATCCTTTCGAAAATAACATATGTATAATGCCCAAGAACTTTATGTATGAGTACGATTTATATTTTGCACCCTTAATTATGACAAAATATGTACTTTTATATCTATTGTCAACATATATAATCATTATGTTTCTTGCAAATTAATTCATTTCATAATATGGATTATTTATATGTACCTATGTATTTATATTGTATCTTTCAAATAATATATAATTATTTGTAATTTATGTAAATATTTCACTTCTGTTTAGCACTACTATTGCCCACTCACTACTTCATATGCCACTGTATATATATATACACTAATGAATACTGAATTTAAAAATAATCAAAATATATATATATATATATATATATATATATATATATATATATATATATATATATATATATATATATATATATATATAATTAAAGATCCAAAAAAAAAAGCTACTTCAATTGTGACAAAACTAGTTATTTTGATTTAAAAAGTGAATTACTGAACCGATTTTGATAAAATGTCTATATCAAATTGTAAGTATATCCTTATAGACTGTTGCAGCTCCATTTCAAACTGATCAGATAATCGCAACTCCTGTAAATCGCGTGATACTATTTTGGTGCTAGTCCTTGATCCTTATTGGCCCAATCACCCCAGACCATCAAATTCTATAACGCATCATCATTCGAATAAACGCGAAATTAAGAGGAAACGCATAATTTTTTTACTCTTAAATAAATTAACCCAAAAACTAGTCGAAACGCTAGTACATAGATAAAAAAAAAGTGTTTTCCAAATCGGTTTAGACCTGACAGACTTAGCTCATAGCTAATAAACGTATAAAAAATTTTATTTGTTTGATCGTGTAACACTGTTATTGTTTTTTTTTTTTTTATTATAAACTTTATATAGGAACTCCAAACCATTAGACCCTATTGCATGGTCAAAACTGACACGCCCAGAATATGCAGTCGCGACATCTATTTCAATCCACGTCTGTGGGATTATACCTAGTATAATTAACAAAATAATTGTTGAACAGATCAAGCAATTTAAAAAAAAAATAGAGTACTTATATCAACAAATAAAAAAAAATACGGCCCGTTCACACATCAAGTCGTTATTAATGAACGATACGTAAACACTTGTTACGAAACTATAATTCCTAGAAACCGCCGCATAAGCAGCGGCCTCAAACAGAGTCTAATAAAGAATCACTCTCGACACACATCGACCGATTGACATTTAATTAGTTATAGTTTATTTGTAAAGTAAATTTAGTCTAGTATATTTTTCTGGTTTTCTTTGCGCCCCTTGGCTGTAGCCCTTTATATCTCACTAATAAAGAATAGACATTTTCATTTATAAATAAAATTAAACGATTTTTCTTGACGGATATTTTCAGACGTATACGTGATCTCACGCCTCGTAAGTATGAATAATATAGTGTCATAGACTTTTTTAAATCTCAGCCTTAAATTATATAGATAGAGTGTCTTCAAATGCTTCGAGAAAAAGAGGTCAACTTTTTCCTACAATTTTGCGTGATAAATAGTTATGAATGTTTCCTTTATAACTTCTATATTTATTTCGTTTTATAACGTTTGCATCTTTTCAATGCATAAAAACTGGTTTTATTTATGTAATAATTAAATATAGATACGTCAAGATACATTATATGTGTAAGTAAGTATATAGAACACTAATAAAAAACGAGTCGACTTATTTGACAATTAGCTGACAAAAAGTTGACTCGTTTTTGAAACTCGAGGCTCCATCTATATAATCTAAGGTCTCATTTAATGAAATAAAAAGGTTGTTGGTGTGTGAATAAGGCCTCAAAAGCAAATTCACCAGTGTACACAAGGATATACAAAATGTAAAAGCTTTCAGTATCAAAGAATTACGATCTATAACAGATCATTAATTTAACATTCAACTTTTAAATGTAATATAAAAAAAAATATTTAAAAAATAAAAAAAAAAATTCAACCGATTATAGTGTTTTAGTGATTCTAACACAGCCTTTTATAATTTCTTGTAGACTAATTTAATATTCATTTCTATTTTATAATAATACTTATATTCCTTTAAATTATTTTTTTAACAATTTTCTTATTTTAATATTCAGGTTGGTATTGAAATAAAATTTGTGTTTATCTCTTTTGTGGTATCGTTGGGTTCGAAAAAAGTAAATTTTTAAATATATCTAATAAATTAATGTATAAAAAGGAACAATTGGAATTTAATAACACTAAGTGCATGAAAAAAATATTAACTCAACCAAATAAGCATTAATTCCGTATCTAAATAATTATTTACAATCACTTGTTTAATGTATAAGAATTTTTTTTTCAATATATTTATTACAAATAAAAAAAAAATCTCATGGCGTTATCTTTGTACATTCAATTTTTAAAATTCATTCTTAATTATATAAAATTTGATGGCCAACAATACAAGATGGCCGACTGCTATCTTCCATATATACAATGGTACATCTGTATTTATTAATACAAATATGCACTTATTAAAATTGTATATTTATTAGCTCCTAATATATGTATAAATATACTAAGCCTTCCTATAAGAAAATAAATTATTTATTGCACTCATTCTCCGGTGGGAACTTTTTCCTCGGCCATTATTTCTTCTATTCGAGCTTTGAGCAGTTCTAGTCGTCTAAAATGCGGTAGAAAAAAATTATCTCAATAAATCTGTATACCTATTCACTGTTTACTAATGAAATAACGAGAAAAATATGTGGTCATTTGTTACTATGTATCGCCCAGACTGAGTCGTACACAGTCTGTTATTTTAGTATAGGGGGGCTTCTGAGATAGTGCACTTTATACTAATTCAGAAGTCACAAATAATATTATATATTAGCTTGTATATAATACATATGTAACATATACTTTCTATATTGTAACACAATTTACGATTATAGTGAATTATACACGATTTTTTCCAATTAATAAATTTGCAATCAGTATAAGGATTCATTGCCCACTGCTGAAAATAGGGGGTTTTGCCAGTAGTTGCCACGCTTGGCAGGCGGATTAGCAACGCAGTTAGGATTTAGTGATGTTTTAAAAGGAACGCTGCTGACCATACCTCTACTATGTAATGTAATGTAAATTGGACTCTATTTTCCATGCTAAGCCTCTCATTTCGGCCATTGTGCGTATGAGTCATCCCTCCACTATTAAATTCCCTTAGTTGACTCCTACGGACCCACGGGAAAGGAAGGGATGGTCCGTTTTATGCCGGGACCAAACAGCGACATCTTACCCATAAAACGTGTATACAACCGTGATATATATTTAATTTTTAATTTACTGGGTACAGAGGAATAACACCTGAGTCCTCAGCAATGGCAACGCATAGGGGGTATCACGGACGAAACAATACACTCTGTTATGTCCATGGTACCGCTCATGTCTATAGGCGACGGTTACCACTTTCCATCAGGTGGGCCGTCAGCTTGTTTGCCATTCTAAGTTGTATAAAAAAAAACGTACCTGTTGATAATTTTGTGTATATTCTCGCTCTCCGTGTGGTCGGTGAGGTCGACACCTTCGTGCGACAATATGTCGTTGATCTGTTCATTCACGTGGCCCTCGTGCTGAAGCTGCTTCATCGCCTCTCTGTAAAGTTTTTTTTTTTTAATAAAAAAAATTAAGTTAATTTTTTTTTATATTGATTAATTCTAACTCACACCTACATTCGCAATGAGAGAAAAAAAGTGTATTGATATCATAAAAATCAATAACACGCCATATTCCACCCTTCAAACCGATTAGTACATTTTTTTTATACAACGTAGAATCGCAAACAAGCTGACGGCCCACCTGATGGAAAGTGGTAACCGTCGCCTATAGACGTGAGCAGTACCATGGACATAACAGAGTATACTGTTTCGTCCATGATACCCCCCCCCCCCATGCGTTGCCATTCCTGAGGACTCAGGTGTTATTCCTCTGTACCCAGTAAATTCACGCCATATCCCACCCTTCAAACCGAAACACAGCCATGCAAACACAACTGCTTCACGGTAAATTGTGGCTACCTATTAATAAAAATCCATGATTACCTGTTTCTCTCTCGCTCCCTCCAGGTGGAGAGGTCGTTTAATCTGTCCCGCTCGTCGTCGTCGCCGGTTAAAGGCGAATGCGGGGAATGTTGGGCGAGATAGCCGCGGGTACACACGCGCGACAACACCAGACGGTGAATCGTGTGCTCCGTGCCTTTCTCGATTATCGTCTGCAATTATAAGTTTTTTTTTTATACCACTCAAGAGGTATCAAGCATACAGCCCATATTTTTTTTTATACAACTTAGAATAACAAACAAGCTGACGGCCCACTTGATAGAAAGTGGTAACCGTCGTCTATAGACATGAGCAGTACCGTGGACATAACAAAGTATACTGTTTCGCCCATGATACCCTCCATGCGTTGCCATTCCTAAGGACTCAGATGTTATTCCTCTGTACCCTGTAAATTCACGGCATATCCAACCCTTCAAACCGAAACACAGCCATGCAAACACAACTGCTTCACGGTAGAAACACGAATGGGACAGAGGTACCCAAGTACTTACCTCGAAAAAGCGCAGCGTTTCCAACGTGAGGTCATAGTTGTCTGTGAGGCAGTTGTTTATGAGCGTGTGAAGTAGAGGCCACTCGGAAACTTCGCCCTCGCCAACTAACCAATTTGAGAATTCTGTACACAAAACAAAATGTAAAAATACATTTAAATAGTAACAAAAAATAAATAGTACAAACTAACTGTACCTATTTACTTCTAGTTAATATTGAAAACTCAAAGATTACAAATTACTATCATCATCATCATCATCATCATACCAGCTTTTAACTGTCCATTGCTAAACATAAATTTCCCCCTTGAGGGGTTTTGCCAGTAGTTGCCACGCTTGGCAGGCGGATTGGCAAGCGCAGTTAAGCTTTAGAGATGTTTTAAGAGGGACTGGCTCATCCCTCGCTCTCCCTTAGTCGCCTCTTACGATACCCACGGGAAAGGAAGGGGTGGCCTATTCTATGCCGAGACCGTGTGGTCTCGGCACAGAATATAGAATAGAACAGCCAGTTACTATATTTTGATAATAAATAAATTCGAAAATAAGGAAGAGAAGGGATTATTAGTAACGGGGATTAGTAGCCCCATTACAAACAATATATCCTGATAGGTAGACTTTCATGCGGTTTCCCCTGGAAACCATTGTGGTTATTTCCTGGTGAATTCGCCACCATGGACCAACTGACCTGCTTTATTTTTACCTACCATCACTCACTGGTGTGCCGCCAGCGTATACCGATAGGCGGGGTTACCATTCTATTATCACCTATTAAAAACATATCGTTTAATATACAAAATACAGTTTCAATCAATATCATCAACCATATTGTTACAGACCGTAATATAATATCGTCATAGTCGTAGAATACTGACGGACCTGACAAATATTAATATTATATATATATATATATATATATATATATATATATATATATATATATATATATATATATATATATATATATATATATATATATATATCCGTCAGTTTTCTACGACTATTTCATATTTCTTTATTAACCAATGTAACAGTTTTCGTCACACAATGGCAAGTCAATATTTACATTATAATTTTGAAATTAATAAAATAAATAATAACAATAAGATTTAAAAATAACATATAATAAATATTATGATTCAGTGGAACAAAATAATATTTTTTTTTACTATTTTCATAAAATAAACTTTCCGATTATTTCTCGATATTCACCATTTAGCAAGTCGGGTGCGTCGATGACTTTCAGGCACTTGGCAAGTAGTGCGGCCACTAGAGCGGCGTGGTGCGCCGCGCCCGCCGCCGCGCCCGCGCCCGCGCCCGCGCCCGCCTCCGCCGCGCCCTCGAGGAAGCCCGCGCGGAACGTTCGCGATAAATGCGATGCGATATCTGGGTGGCACTCCTGCCAAAAGATAACAACAGGGGGAAAAGGATTATTAGTGATGGGTTCCAACAGCCCCATTGCTAGCAATATATCCATATCAGGTCGACCTCCTCGCGGTATCCCCTGGAAATTATCGTTATTAATTCTTGTCGAATTCTTCACGATGAGCCGACTGACCCGTCTTCATTCTCACCTATCATCTTCCACTGGTGTCCCGCCGGTGTATAATTGCACGGGTGGGGTTATCGTTCCATTTCCATCCATTTAAAAAAAAATTTAACTTCTAAAAGACTTTCTCTATTCGTATGTTCATATTGTGGTTATATTATGCGACTAGTATTTCAAACCGGCTTCACATGTGTAGATAGAATTTTAAAAATAATATATAACATTTGGTATTTGTTGATAATGTAGTTTTCTACAGATGAATGAATTTTTAAAATTGGCAGATTAGTTTTTGAGTGTATCCATTCATCCACATCATTATATTAGCCATTATTTGTTCATAGCTGAAGATATGCTTCCCTATATTGGGGAGTTCTGCCAGTAGTTGCCACGCTTGGCAGGCGGGTCGGCAACCCTAGATAGGCTTTTGGTGATGTTTTAAGAGAGACACTGTTGACCATATATTACAAACAAACAATCTAATATTTTCTCTTTATAATATTAGTATAGATTACATAGCCATTTTTGAATTCATCATTATCATCCTACCCATAAGGGTAGGATGATAATGATAACCCAATTAAATAAATTTTGGGATTGGCACAATATGTTTTTATTCATATTATTCAAGGTTTTAGTTTTGATTGGGATTGATCGAAGTCGCCAAATTTGAATTAATTCTTTTTGATTTACACTTGTGTTGGTCTTATATTAATTTTGTAACGATTGATTCTTGAGACTTCTTTGCGAAACTTATTCTCAATCTACTAAACATCTCATTGTTCAGTTGTGTGTGTTTTCATAATTGTAAACGCTATTTTTTTTTTCGCAGAGCATCGAATGGAAAATTTTCAGTTGTATTTACCTTCATGAGAGTGTCACAATAATCCAACCACGAGAAAAAACTCGTCAACTCTCTGTAACCATGGAATTTGTTAAAACTCTTGTCCCCAAAATCATGTGCCACATACCTAAAAACAGATATTAAGTTTGTACATTTCAATTTTAAATATTATTTAATAAGATAAATTAAGATTTTTATTCATTCTAAAATTTCAATATTTTAAAATTCTTATTTTTTAATTATATTTCTAAAAAAAAAATACATATCAGGTAAGTTTGACCATATATCATGTACATATTGCTTTCATTTAAACTCATTAGTGTGATTTAATAAGAAATCCTGGATTATTTTAAGTTATAATACAAGTTACACTTTAGTAAAATACATTATATCACTTACGCCCACGTGATGTTTAAGTGGTCAACATCAGTTGGGTCCGTGTTAGCTGGAATGCACTTGTACTTCTCCACTAGTTTCTCCACTATAGTCTCACAAGCTGGACTGCAACTGGTCACCAGATTCGCTATATCATCCTCAGGTAGTGACGACACTATCATTATGCCCTCACACGCGCGGAGAACTACTTGATTGTCCTGGAAAATGTCTAATATTAATTTAAACGCTTGGTTTGTTGTTGACACTTGGTGGAATTTGTGAGTCATGTATAAAATGTGAAAACAAATGTATTTTTCTATAGGTTTACTATAGAAGCCCACTAGATGGAGCGATAATGACAAATGTATTGTAGGGAGTTGTGGAAGAGGTGTCTCAATATCGTTCCCCTGTCGCCTACGTCGGAAGTCTACAAGTAAGGCCTTTTGTAATATGAATTAGCCACAAATGCTACATTTTTATCTAATAATATATAATAAATAGATAAGTTTTGACAGCATTTTGCAGAACAAATCGCGCAGTAAATAAGCCTAGTTTAAATTGATTTTTTTTTCTTTTCTTTTTTTTTTATACAACTTAGAATGGCAAACAAGCTGACGGCCCACCTGATAGAAAGTGGTAACCGTCGCCTATAGACATGAGCATGATTATAATGGTGATGTGTTGCCATTCCTGAGGACAGATGTTATTCCTCTGTACCCTGTAAATTCACTGTCATATCCCACCCTTCAAACCGAAACACAGCTATGCAAACAACTGCTTCACAGTAGAAACACAAATGATTATAATGGTATGACAGACAGGCTTAGCTGCAATTTGTTATGTTTTCACTAACACTGTAAGCTTAATACTTTAATAATATTATTATTAAATCAGCCATAAACTGTCCATTGCTGATCATAGGCCTTTTTCATAAGGGGAGTTTTACCAGTACTTGCTACGCTTGGCAGGCGAGTTGGCAATCACAGTTAGGCTTTGGTGTTGTTTTAAATGGGATGCTGCTGCCCATCCCTCTTTCATTAAATTGTCTTAGTCGCCTCTTACAATACCCATGAGAAAGGGATGGTTTATTCTATGTTAGAACCACATGGTAACCTTTAGTACTTTAAAATAATAATACAACACTTTAACTCACTAAAATATATGAATTCTACTTGGTATTCAATTTTTATACTATTATTAAAGTACTTACAGCACTATTTAAATATGATAGCAATAAATCAATCAATAGAAATTTATCATTATCCTCATAGACAGTTCTCTGGCTCTTGCATGATACGTCATCAGCGGAACTGCTATTTGTGGCGTTACAGTCACTACCTCCAGTTCTTACTATAGACACATTCTTCAAAGGATTTGAGGGTAGTTCCACTTCGAAGAGCGGATTCTTCTTTGGCGTTTGAACTTTCGTCTTTATTGGTATCAACTTCTGTATATCCTCAGGTATGCTTAACAAGCTCGCTTTGTCTTCTACAAAGGGTGTGGTGAAGATATTGGCTAAGCCAGGCTCCTTTCTCACAAGACCGCACAGTGTGAGGAGGAGCTCCACTTCTTCCTTTTCGGTTGGTGATGCTGGATTTTCATTGCATTGGATTAACATTCTCTGAAGAAAGAGAATTCATGTATGTATTCATTATATGAGTACATAATTAATAAGATAAATTTTTGATTAATTATGTATCCATTAAAAATGCACTCTATAAATAAATAATGCCCATGTGCAATAAAGGACACTCTTAGTCTCTTTGCCACTGCCAGTTGTATAAAACAGTGTCACTAACTGCTTTGTTTCTCTGCCTACTTCATCTAAACCACAAAATAGATTTCGATATTTATTTCACAGTCATATTCATTTTGTTATAAACTTTTGTAAAAGTAAAGAAAATTAAATGCTTTGTAATAAATTGCAATCACACAAAGCTAGAACTTGAGGGAGATCTATATCCAGATAAGAATAGGCTGATATATTTTTTTTTATACAACTTAGAATGGCAAACAAGCTGACAGTCCACCTGATGGAAAGTGGTAACCGTCGCCTATAGATACATAATAGAGTAAACTGTTTCGCCCATGATACCCCCCATGCGTTGCCATTCCTGAGGACTCAGATGTTATTCTTCTAAAAATTAATGCAACTGGGACAGTTAATTAATTATATTATTACCTGTAAAGGCCTATAAACGTGCGCGCTATTGACACACGGCTGTCTCGTGCGACGCAGTAGGGCCGTGCCCATTGTGAGGGCGAGTGCGCGGGCGCCGGGCGGACGGTCGGCCGCCGCCAGGGCTGTCAGCGCGTCCAACAAGCAGATGGAGCGTTGCACTATAGCCTCCAGGCAGGGGCCTACTGTTCCGCCGTGCTGTTCTTTCTCTTCTTCCACTATTAACTAAAATAAGATTTGATTATATTATGTGGAGATAGATATATAAATTTGAATTAGAATCTACATGTATATAAGACAAGAGATTTGTCTAATTGTGCAGAGACACTTGGCACTATTTCACTCTTATAGTGATATTGAATGTGTTATATAGCAAATAAGAAATAACACAAATTAATCATGACTTTTTTTATTGTGAATCCAGTATGACAACTGATCACAAGCTATGTGTTAGTACCCTACATTATAATTGCTTTTTTCCATAAAAAGTTATAACAGTTAGAGTGGTTCTAGAAAAACACTGACACATTGAATTATTGATATACAACAGAATGCTATCTCTGTAACTTGGTAATTATTAAAAAAAAAAAACTCTTATTGATTAACATTACAAACATTCAGTCAATCACACGAAACTGACAAGTGCAACTAAGTATACACAATTATTGACTACTTTTATATAATGTAGTACAGTGCATTAAATGTGAAGGTTTTTTTATTATACAACTTAGAATGGCAAAAAAGCTGACGGCCCACCTGATGGAAAGTGGTAACCGTTACCTATATAAATGAGCAGTACCATAGACATAACAGAGTATACTGTTTCGCCCATAACACCCCCAATGCATTGCCATTCCTGAGGACTCAGGTGTTATACCTCTGTTTTTTTCTTGTAATATAACTATTAGTTTTTATGTAGTATTACATTAAATTCATCAATCATGTAATCAAGTAAATGTAATCAGTAAATCAAGAAATTAACTATTTTAACTGGTTATATAAACTGGTGATTTGCCATTAACTTTTAACACCTTGAGTGCACTTATCTATCATCAAAATTTAACATAATTCAATCTTAACATCTTTATATTAAGATTAAATGTACAAATAACAATTTAAAAGACTAGAGGGGAAAAAGAATTAAAGAATGCAGTATATTAGCCAATTTTTTTTTTATTCTGCTAGAAATATAAGGGGTCTTCACTCCAGGGGTTAAATCCATTTTATAGTGACCACAATCACTCAGACAATAGCACAAAAAAGAAGAACATTTACCTGTAACATTTGATGCAAATGGTGAGGTATCCTTGTGTCTTCAATGTGAACCTTGCTGCTGTCATCATAGCTCTGATAAAAGTTCAGTATCATTTTCCAGTGGTACTCAAAGTCTTCCAGCCTTGTCGCTGGAGGTGCCAGCTACAAATAATTTAACAATTGCCATTTACAATATAATTTTGTTTATTCCTTCTTGTCTCCTTAGGTACTACTAATTTAGGTAGGTAACTTAGGTAGTAGTAATTAAATTTGGTATACACACTATATGAAAAGGAGACGAACATTAGCTATATTTTATGCTGGTCTTATATACTGTTTTTATGGAATTAAGTTGCTATGCTTATGGTTAATGAATAGGATTAGTGGTATAATCTAAGGTTAGGGTAATGTTTATTGTATCGATTCTTTAAATGCCTGACATTTAGTTCGGGAACTAAATGTCTCGGGAGACCAAGACAAGAGAGACAGGCTGAAGTACTATAAAAGTATACCATTGGGTAACTGCAGCAGTTAAAAGTTAAATAAAATTACAATGTTTATTTACTTACAACATCAGCTGCCGTTTGCAACACATCTGAGAATCTGCTCAACATTTTTGCACAACAACAGGGTGTATACCCAGAAGATTCACAAATTTCACTATATTATGTAAATATTAGCCTACTAAATCATTATACAAAACGTTAAACACGTTCATTAATCACAAAATACGAAAATGTCAAGATTTGAAAATTAGTCGGAAAGTTGGAATAGGAAACTCAATCGTCACATTAAATTCACGGATTATATTGTGTTAAATTATTTTATGTTCAGTGGTTGTGCTGTGATTACTTGATCTTGATGGAAAATGTAAAGAAATTTAAGAAAATTTTATTAAAATCATTGGCAATCATAAAATTACATCGTAGACTGAAGACGAAACATAACATCTAACCGGAGACCATGCTGCCTAGTCTTCAAAAAGATAATTTGTCTGGAATTTTATTTTTCTAATGATGGAAAATGTAAAGAAATTTAAGAAAATTTTATTAGAATCATTGGCAATCATAAAATTACATCGTAGACTGTAAGACGAAACATAATAATATAGATAGTATATTTATCCGTCAGTCGTACATCAAGTTTTGACAGTAGTCGACTATTCTATAACCACCTTAAGCATGGTACAATTTTTTACTCTATGCACATAAATGATCACATACCATGTAGAATACCATAGGTTCTAGACATGGTGCTCTATTTGTGTTTGTGAGATAACGTCTTCAATAGCGATTTGGCCAGAGAAACTTGTAAATGTTTTTAATCAAATATTTTTAATTCTTTAGATTTTGGATGGATATGACCTGTTATTAATCAACACTTTAAAACATATTCAAATTCAAAAAACTGGTTGCATAGAATTATAAAAAAAATAGTATTTTGTTCGAAATAAAGATAACATAACCATTCCTTGTTCGTAGGTTATATTAGACTTCTCTAGTCTGTGTTTGATTTTAGACATAGTCTCACTAATCTGTGTTATTAATATACCTTAGTTATATACTCTTTTTTTATATAGTTTATTTCGTGTAATGTCTTGTGTTATTTTTATTGAATTTTTTTATAAAATATTCTTAAAAGGACTAAAACGAAATACGTTTTAAAAATAATTTAGTGTAATAAAAAAGGGTATTTAAATGCTCGATGAAATGTAATGTTCGTGGCTTATAATTAATTAATTAATTCTATATTTGTGATTTACTTGTTATTGCATTTGTTTTGTTTATTAAAAAGAGGTTTCATAATGTCAGACGATGAAGTAATACGATTTGAAATCACCGATTATGATTTGGACAACGAATTTAATCCAGGGAGAGGCCGCAGAGCAAAAAAGGAGCAACAGATATATGGTAAATTATACATGTTGGCTATGTTATGGTCTTGTGGCTGATGAAATTAACTAGTTAACTAATATTTTGCTTATCTACCTTTAGTCTGGTATCTGTATAGATTTTTTTAATGGGTGATATTGGAATGTTTACCACGTCTGTGTTATCGGTTATGCCGGTGGGGCACCAGTGAGAGATAATAGGTCAGGATGAAAGTAGATCAGTTGGTCCATAGTGACGAATTCATAAAGAATTAACTAAGATGCTTTCTAGGGGGAACTGCATAGAAGTGAACCTAATATACCCTGTATTGTTAGCAATGGAGCTGTTAGATCCTTTTTACTAACAATGCTATCCCCTCCAGCCTCTATTTAAAGGTTGTCTGCCAGGCATATGTCTAGTGTCTTTTGTAATAATAGGGGGTAAATAATTTAACATGTAAATAGTTGAATTAAAATTGATCATTGTTGAAGCTACATTACTGTTTTTTTTTTTCATATTTTCTTAAAATATTATATTTTGAATCAATCTTAATATGATTTTTTTTATTGAATGCACATTACATAAAATGAGAAATAGCTGCTGAGGGAGCCATCTTAGACACCACAGTGTATCCTGTCATAACTGTGCAGACTGGTTTCTCTTCTTTTTTTTTATATGGCTCCTACCATAGAGGCCATGGTGATTTTCTGCCAATGGCAAGTCTAGAAAAGACTGTATAATTTATATCATGATGTTTTTTGTAGAGATAATGGGCAGCTGAAAACTACATCCAATTTGATGCAATAGTTTTTATGTGATGCTAGAACAGTTTGTTTTAACTTCTTCTCTTAAAAAGATCTCTCTTATCAATTTTTCTTTAATGTCTCCCATGTATAGATTGTCTAGTTACAATTTTATTTATTCATTTATATATACATATTTTTGGCGAGCTTAACAGATTTACCAATGCACTCACCAAAAACCAAAAATAGAACATTACAATAATGGAAAAATAAAAATAACAAAAATTTAATTATACTAAAAAATAAACATTAAAAATGCCAATCTACATAATCTGTTATCACCCTGCGAAACTCTGTGCTAGTACAGTGAATTTTTATTATGTTAGTAAAAATAGACTCTTGGCAGTTTATTTATATAATTGTAAATTGGTACATTAAAATATGAAAATCATATTCTAACAATGATTAAATTTCAAAATTGGTGTCGTTATTTGCTGATTGTATTTATTTTGCTTATTTTTTTATTCAGGTGTATGGGCCAAAGACAGTGATGAAGATGACAATGAAGATAATATCAGACAAAGAGTCAGGAAACCAAAAGACTTCTCGGCACCCATTGGGTTTGTCGCTGGCGGTGTGCAGCAAGCTGGCAAAAAGAAAGAGGAGACAAAAGGTTACTTTGTAACAAATAAATTTATTTTTCTTAAAGTATAATATCTTTTTTTTATGTTAGTTATAAAAATAATTTGTTTGCTAAACATCTTTATTACTATTTATGGTTGTTTGTAAGAGATTGCTTTTAGCGATATGGTCGCCTTTTGTATATGATTATTCTGTATAAATACTCCTTGTATACATCTCTTGTCTAAGCAATACAGAGTTTATTTCACAATTTTAAAGATATTTGCTTGGGTAAAGAAATATACAAAATATGTTAGAATATTACAGGCTTATGATACATAATTTATTTAATTTACGGGAAGGGGCAGTGGACAGGTAATAATGTCCAGGTTGTCTGTAAGAGATTGCTTTTAGCGATAAGGCTGCCTTTTTGTATATGCACATTCTGTTTAAATACTCCTTGTATATATCTCTACTGTGCGCAATAAAGAGTTTATTATTATTAATAATAATGGCTGAAATAATAAAAAATGGCAGATGAGATAACATAGGTCTCCTTTAACTTCATTCCTTCTGTACATAGAATATTTAAACAATTTATTGTATTAAGTTTATATTTCCAAATGGGTTTTGCAGAATTACAGTCATCAGAGGCATCTACGTCTCGTCCAGCACTTGCAGCGGACAGTTCAGATGAAGAAAATGAAGTAGCTATGCCTGATGAGAGTGAGACCGCCGGCATCAGGCGACAGGGGCAGGGCATGCGGCCTCCTAACCTAGGTGGTAACGTTGGGGCTTGGGAAAGACATACTAAGGGTATTGGAGCAAAGTTACTCTTACAGGTAAATCTTAATAAATATAAATCCCATGGCACAATGTTTTATAACTATTCAATTGATTTAATTATTTTATAAGTGCCTATTTTTTTCTACAATTTGAGATATTAGTAGGTTTTTTTTTATAAAATATCACTATTAGATGCCATAAGAATATATAAACTGAGTAGAAATAACAGCTATATACTTTTTTTTTTATATTGTAATGCTACCACAATATACCATTCTTCACTCCAGACCCTGCCTGGATTGGTAGGGTTGTCACAAATTGTTTTTTATTTATTAAATAATTATACGAAACGACGCGATTCACTCATCACACATATGAATACTCAACGTGGTATTTGTTACTTGAAAGCCCAACTGATTTAGTTTTTAATAGAAATATATATAAAGAAATAATGTTACCTATTTTTGCTACTGAATATAGTAATATAGAACAATTTTTAATAACATACTATTTATGCAAATGTGCAGTAAATTTAAATATTCTCTTTTGCTTTACAGATGGGTTATCAACCTGGAAAAGGTTTGGGTAAAGATCTTCAAGGAATATCAGCTCCTGTTGAAGCCACTGTGAGGAAAGGACGTGGTGCAATAGGAGCCTATGGTCCTGAGAAGGCTGCGGTAAGTTGAAACAAATTTTAAATTAATTGATTTAATTTTTATAATTAAAAAAAATATATATATTAAATAGTAATTAATTTCAAAGCCTTATTTTACATTAGTAGATGAATTTTGTTAATTTCTAATATATGTAACCTGGATTGACCTGAATGAAATAGCAGCTGTTTTTGTTTTGCATTTTTTAAGCAACATAGAATAACGAACGAACTGATGGGTGAGCTCCTCATTGTACACCATTCCCAGGAATAAGACTTTTTTTAGGATTTTTTTTTATACAACTTAGAATGGCAAACAAGCTGACGGCCCACCTGATGGAAAGTGGTAACCGTCGTCCTATAGACATGAGCAGTACCATGGACATAACAGAGTATACTGTTTCGCCCATGGTACCCCCCCCCCCCCCCCATGCGTTACCATTCCTGAGGACTCAGGTGATATTCCTTTGTACCCAGTAAATTCACGCCATATCCCACCCTTCAAACCGAAACACAGCCATGCAAACACAACTGCTTTACGGTTGAAACACGAATGGGGCAGAGGTACCCAAGCAATCGACTTTTGTACAGTCTCCCTCTGGTAAGTTTTTATGGACGATAATGGCAACCCCGCCTGCACTATTGGTGTACACTGGTGGGGCGCCAGTGAGAGATAAAAGCAATAAAGGATAAAAGCAGGCCAGTTAGCCCATTGTGATGAAATCAACAGGACTTAATCACAATGGTTTCCAAGGGGAACCGCGTGGAGGTCGACCTGATAGTGTATATTGCTAGCAATGGGACAGTTTGACCCCATTATTAACAATCCCTTCCTTCCGGGACTAACATGTTATACCTGTAATGAATAATTTGTTTTTTCCATATAGCAAAAGGCCAAGAAAGAAGAAGAACGTCGTCTAAAAGAGAAGGAAGAGCAAGAGAAGGGTCCGACGGAGAAATCTTACAAGTGGAAGAAGTCGCACAAGGGACGTTATTTCTACAGAGATGCAGCTGACGTCATACAAGAGGGTAAACCTACGATGCATACTATTACAAGGTATTTAGGTTTTGGAATATAAGCAAAAATGAACTTTAATGGTGAAAAAATAGAATTTGATTTGTCATCGATTCCTTTTTTATGAAAGATTACAAAATAATTAAATATTGTTTACAAAATTTTGAATTTTAAATTTTAGCTAGTTAATATAAAGATCAGTTTTTGCTTTTCGTAATTGGAAAATTACACTGAAAACCAAATTCGCATTGAATGACGTATATCGCAACGGCTTTTGATGGATGGACTTACCAGAGGGAGACTTTGTACAAAAGTCGATTGCTTGAGTACCTCTGGCCCATTCGTGTTTCAACCGTGAAGCAGTTGTGTTTGCATGGCTGTGTTTTGGTTTGTAGGGTGGGATATGGCTTGAATTTACTGGGTACAGAGGAATAACACCTGAGTCCTCGGGAATGGCAACGCATGGGGGGTATCATGGGCGAAACAGTATACTCAGTTATGTCCATGGTACTGCTCATGTCTATAGGCGACGGTTACCACTTTCCATCAGGTGGGCCGTCAGCTTGTTTGCCATTCTAAGTTGTATAAAAATAAAATAAATAAATAAAACATGCGTTGCGAAAAGCAATTGTGTATTATTTTGATTCGTAAAAATGAACGCCTAGTATTATCCCTTGCCTGTTGACACTGGTAATTTGTTTGGTTTGTTTGGGGCGGTTGGTTCAGCAGCGAGCTGGCCCGCGTGCCCGTGATCGACATGACGGGCAAGGAGAGGCGCGTGCTGAGCGGCTACCACGCGCTGCGCGCCGCCGCGCCGCGCTACGAGCACGAGCCGCGCCGCGCCTGCCGCCACTTCGCCGCGCCGCACCTCGCGCACAACCTCGACCTCATGCTCGACGCCTGCGAGCAGGTGCCGCCCCGCCACACCACGCGCGCCACAATACACTACACTACACCGCACCACATCACATCACACCACACCACACTACACCACACCACACCACACTACACCACACCACACCACACTACACCACACCACACTACACCACACCACACTACACCACACCACACCACACCACACCACGCTCCACCACACCACACCACACCACACCACACCAGACCACACCACACCACACCACACACTACACCACGCCACACCACACCACACCACACTACACCACGCCACACCACACCACACTACATTACACTACACCACGCCACACCACTCACACGCTACACTGGGAGGAAAGGAATTGTTATTAATGGGGTCTAATGCCGCAATTGCTAACAAGCCCTGTTAGGTTGACCTCTACGCGGTTCCCCCTGGAAACTATTGTGATTAATATTTGTCGCATTCGTCACGATAACCGAACGATGATGATGATGACTCGAACTGACCTAATTTCATGCTCACCTATCATTCCTTACTGGTGCCCCGCCAGGGTATACCGATAGCGCAGTCCGGGTTATCATTACCATTCCATTATCCATTAAAGAAAAACATACACGCTACACTGTACACTGCACGTGCATAACTACACACTTAACAATAAGAATTAAAAACATTATTAATTTATTTCACTAATTAAAACTTTCAATTTATTTTCTTTTCAGGATATCATTCAAAACGCCAGAGAACTCCAATCTGCAGAAGATGAGATAGTCGTGCTAGAAAGAGATTTAGAAGAGTGCAATGTTAAATTGAAGGAGCACGATCAGGTTATAGATAAGGTACAGGCGATACTGCGGAAGGTTGAGGAGCTGAACAGTCCGGAGGTTTCATTAGAAAAAGCTTATGAAGTTCTATCCGATTTGAAGGTAAAAATATGTATTTTTTTTTTATATTTATAATATATATAATGTCAAGTAGGTTGGCAACTGCAGTTAGGCTTTGGTGATGTTTTGAGAGTGACGCTTCTGCCAATTTCTCAACCAGTAAGTTCCCTTAGGGAACTTAGCCTCTTACGACACTTATGAGAGAGGAGGGTTTCCTGGGTATTTTTTTTATCGATTTTTAGAAGGACTTAACTTATACAATAAATTTTGCAACTGTTTTCACAGTTCTTTATATTCAGTAGGTAATTCTCCCATATAGGATCCCATTGTATTTTTGTGAAGACATTTGCGAAACAAAAAACTTGATACAAAACAAAATATGTATGTATGCCTGCAATTCCTCATTATCTAATAGTTTTTTTTTATACTTTTAGGAGACCTACCCCATGGAATATGAAGTTTTTGGACTTGGGTCTATTGGAGGCAACATAGTGAGTCCACTAGTCAGTGCTTTGTTAGCTACATGGGACCCGTTGCAGGCACCTGAGGAACCGATCGCCACATTCCTCAAATGGAAGGAATTGCTCACAGAAGAAGCATATAACAGCTTGCTATGTCAACATTATTTGACGCATCTTACAACAGCAGTCGAGTGAGTATTACTTTCGTACGTCATGTTTCTGTATTAATACCATAACCAGAATCCTATCTTTTAAGTCGGTACTCTATCGTGCAAACAAGTTCCTTAATGTATTTGTCATCCTATCAGCCGTAAATTGTTCTTTCTTTTTTTTTTTATACAACGTAGAATGGCGAAAGTGGTAACCGTCGCCTATAGACATGAGCAGTACCATGGAAATAACAGAGTATACTGTTTCGCCCATGATACCCCCATGCGTTGCCATTCCTGAGGACTCAGGTGTTATTCCTCCGTACCCAGTAAATTCACGCCATATCCCACCCTTCAAACCGAAACACAGCCATGCAAACACAACTGCTTCACGGTTGAAACACGAATGGGACAGAGGTACCCAAGTAATCGACTTTTGTACAAAGTCTCCCTCTGGTAAACTTAAGTTGCTTAACATAAGCTCTGCCCTATTGGAGAGTTTTGTCAGTAGTTGCCACGTTTAGTAAGCGGGTTAGCAACTACAATTATTGTATTATGTATGATTAATGAAAAATGTTTGGTAAAACATAAAAAAAAAATTGTTATAGATATATACTTATATTATTTATCTATTTCAAGTTGGGTTTCATGTTGACAGTATTAGTCGAAATGTTAGACCAATATAAAAGATACCAGAGGGTAGATTTATGTAAAAGTCACCCACTTTCTCTATTTGACTCAAGTGTTTACTGTTTTGCATGAAACGTTGAAAATTAATAATAAAAATATTCAACTAATTGTTAAACATTTACGTATTTTTTTAAAAGCCACAGCTCTAACGCTGTCCTAAGGGTATTTGCGGCCGTCCAGACTGCCAGTATTTGAATTATTGCAGAATGATTCACATGCTGGCTAACATACAAAAAAAAAGTAGTTTAAGTTAATGTTATTTATTTATAAATGTAAAAAAAAAGTAATTTAAAATTTGATTTAATAATTTATAGTTGGTGCAAATTAATATTGTTAAAATTTTGTGGGCCCTGGTTGCCTTTATTAAAGAATTATTATTATTATTTAAAACAATGACAATATCAAAATTATTTTACGCGAGCAACCTCGCATGCGCCCTGTTAATCATATTTTTGTCTATAAAAATTCAAAAACTTTGAGGTTTCTTACACAAGTTTTTTTTTTTTCTTTTTTTTTTTAAAACAACTTAGAATGGCAAACAAGCTGACGGCCCACCTGATGGAAAGTGGTAACCGTCGCCTATAGACATGAGCAGTACCATGGGCATAACAGAGTATACTGTTTCGCCCATGATACCCCCCATCCGTTGCCATTCCTGAGGACTCAGGTGTCATTCCTCTGTACCCAGTAAATTCACGCCATATCCCACCCTTCAAACCGAAACACAGCCATGCAAACACAACTGCTTCACGGTTGAAACACGAATGGGACAGAGGTACCCAAGCAATCGACTTTTGTACAAAGTCTCTGGTAACATCGAGGGGATATGGCAGTGAAATTAGAAGGTTGGGAGTAGAATGAGAGCAATCAGAATGGAGGCTAACATCTAAATCCTCAGGAATGGTAATGCATAAGGCTAATGGGCTTCACTATATACTTGGTAATGTCCATGTTTATGTCTATAGGTGATGGTTAGCACTTTATTTTGGTTGGACTATTGGTTTACTTCTCAATTCAAGTTATATAAAAAGAACAGACCCTTAATATTGTTTTCTGGTATTCTTGATAAATTGATTTTCTTGTCAGTTCTAACACTAACGAATGGGAGGAAAGGGATTGTTAGTAGTGGAGATTGAGAATCCCATTGCTAGCAATATACCCAACCAGGTCGACCTCCTCGCGGTTCCTCCTGGAAACTATCATGGTTAATTCCTGATGAATTCATCATGATGGGCTAACTGGCCTGTTTTCATTCTCATCTATCACCCTTCACTGGTGCTCCGCCAGCGTATCCCGTTAGCGCAGGCACCCCGCCTGCGCTAACGGGATACGCTGGCGGACACCATTTTCACCCATCAAAAAAAAACACTAACGAATGGTTTATATACTTCAGATCTTGGAACCCTCGCGTTCCTGGTCCTCTGGTGGCGGCCCTGGAGAGCTGGGCGGAAGCTGGCGCTAGTCCTGCATGGCTGGGCGCGGGCTGGGCGGCGAGGTGCGTGGTGCCGCGCTTGTTGACTGCTGTGCAAGCCTGGGACCCCACCGGTGACACACAGCCCGTTCACCACTGGGTCGGGCCCTGGCACCAGCTCGCAGGTCACTAACACTTCATATATTACTCTAACTAGTACCTAGTAGTTTACTCTAGAACCTCGTAGATTACGTCAACACCTCGCAGGTTACTCGAGCATCTGAAACTTCATATTTGTTCAAATATCACATATTTATTTACTTAACTCTTTATTGGACCATAAACAAAAATATACAATGACAATTGAAAAATTCAAGTGAAATACAGTAGCATAAATACAGATTGAAATATACACATAATAGTACAAAAGGCGGTCTTATCGCTAGGACAATCTCTTACAGACAACCTTTGGTTAAAGGAGAACAGATATGAGTAGTTGTGCTTTTGAGTAAACTTATTTTGATGGTAACTTAAGAACTAAGACAATAATTTTTATTAAAACGATAAAATACTGGCCACACAAATATTATTAGGTCTTACCCTTAGATTATATAGATAGAGCATCGAGTCTCAAAAACACGTCAACTATTTGTCAACTAATTGTCAAAATAGTTGGCTCATTTTTTTTATCAGTGTTCTATATACTTACGCACACAATGTATCTTGGCGTATATTTAATTATTTAATAAATAAAATGAGTTTTTACGCAATTAAAAAGATGCAATAATTATAAAACTAAATAAATATAGAAGTTATAAAGGAATCATTCATAACTGTTTATCAAGCAAAATTGTATGAAACAGTTGAGTAGCTTTTCTCGAAGTATTTGTATGGGAGACACTTTATATAATCTATCTCAGTATATATACATACATTAAAAAAGTCTAAGCAACACATACAAATTTCAATTTTACAATGTGTTTTCACATTAAATCCTTAGTATTTTCTTAAGTATATTATTTTTAAATGCTTTTTTGATATTAAACTACAATTGTTTTTTTTTTTCTATTTATTTTTTAATAATTTTAATTAACAATAATTACGAGTAAGTACTGTATGTACATAGTACAAAGTAAGGTGCCTAATCAACTAAACTTAAACTAAAATTAAATGGTTATACAAAAATTGCATAAATTAATACAAAGCGTGGCTTCCTCTGTTATGGAGAACTTATTGGCTCCAAGTCCTTTAAAACACGTCTCTCAAGCATGTCCCATGCATGCTCGATGGGATTGAGGACTGGCGATTGTGCAGGCCAAGGCAATACTAGGACGTTTTCCCTTGCCAAGTACTCCCGTGTGTGCAAAGCTGTATGCGAATGCGCATTGTCATACATCAACGTGAAATCGGAGCCAAGCGTTTGTGCGAATGGACGGACATAAGGCCTTAGGACATCCTCAACGTAATTTATAGTATTCATGTTACCATTTACAATAACGAGCTCAGTTCGCTTCTGTTCAGCTTCTGTTCTTCATAATACCCGCCAACTGTTGCGCACCTCAGTCTTTTAGTATTTCCTTCTAGTATCAGGCTTGAACCCAAATCGAGAATCATCGCAAAATAAAATTTTATCTCATTGTTCCCGGGTCCATGTAATGTGTTCCCTATACCATTCATTTCGAAGAGCGCGATTCCCGTGACGTATCGGTGGGCACCTAATTGGGCGTCGTGCTCGTAGGTCATACTCATGCAGTCGATTTCGCACAGTTCGGCAGCTAAAAATAGCACCACTTGAATTTTGTAGCCTTAAACCTATCTCTCGAGCGGATAACATCGGCTGGCGTCTTGGAGTCAGTTGTATGTATCGATCTTGCCGTGTGGTTGTACACCTTCCTCGACCTGGGTGCTGCTCAGCAGGAACTCCCGTGTTAGTGTAACGCTGATGAAGACGGCAAATAACGCTTCTGTTGGCACCAAAATATCGAGATACCTGAGATTGACTTCTTCCCGCTTGCAACATCTCTACAGCTCTTTGCATTTCATCTGCCTTCAAATGACGTCCCTCCATGACGTAAAAAATGTCTCAAAATCCATTTTTGTTTAAATCATAAAATTGATACAGAATACAAAATTTTAATAAGCAAAGAAAACGCTATAAAATTCGAACAAGTGAACTTTTGAATTTGTGAAAAAAAAAAAAAACAAATGATTCTCGATTTTTTCTTACAACCAGCCAGTATGTCCTCTAGATCAAAAAAGTTTACATAGGTATTACTTACTTGATAAGAAATGATATAATAATTGATTAATAATTTAAAATAGTATTTGTTGCTTAGACTTTTTTGATGTGTGTATTTATATATCTATCTTTTTTTTTTATACAACTTAGAATGGCAAACAAGCTGACGGCCCACCTGATGGAAAGTGGTAACCGTCGCCTATAGACATGAGCAGTACCGTGGACATAATAGAGTATACTGTTTCGCCCATGATACCCCCAATGCGTTGCCATTCCTGAAGGCTAAGGTGTTATTCCTCTGTACCCAGTAAATTCCCACCTTTCAAACCGAAACAGCCATGCACACACAACTGCTTCACAGTAGAAACACGAATGGGACAGAGGTACTCAAGCAATCGACTTTTGTACAAAGTCTCCCTCTGGTAAAATCTGTATATCTCAACATATTATATGTCACAACATCGTGTGATAAGTCTGAAGGAAAACGTAAGTAAAAGAAAGCGATAGAGTGGAAATTAGTGAGGAGCGTGGTGATAGTGATGGTGATAGTGATGGTGTCGGTGTGCAGGGTCGGCGCTGGCGCGCGGCGTGTACCCCGAGATCCGCGCGCGGCTGGCGGCGGCGCTGGCGGGCTGGCACCCGGCCGACGGCTCGGCGCGCGGGCTGCTGGCCGCCTGGCGCCGCGCCTGGGGGCCCGCGCTCACAGCCATGCTGCACCAGCACATCGTGCCCAAGCTCGAGCACTGCCTGCAGCACGCGCCGCTCGAGCTCGTCGGCCGCGAGAACAGTGCGTACTGCCGCCGCCACTACACATACACACACACACACACTCACATCACTCCCTCGACAAGAGAACACTGCACTCTATTCTCACTCTGTCATTCCTCGCATTAATACATTATTTTTCTGACGAGAATAACTATCAATCTTCAACAATCTTCAAAAATCTTTAATATATGAACATTATTGTAATATAATTAAACAATATTAATAGATGACATCTATCAATCTTTTAACTAGGTAATGAATTAAATTCATTACCCATAAATACTTCAATGCCATAAAAACTTGTAATTAAAAAAAAATCTTTCACAGCAGAGATCATTCTCTCGCTTGACAATATTTTCAAAAAAAGAATATCCATATAACCAAGTCAATGAGTCGAATTCAAAGAATTTTAAAATTCGAATGTTATTTAATATGTCGTTCTAAGCCAATTTGAACAAATATAGTGAGGAGAAAAGGGATTATTAGTGTTTGGGTTAAATAACAGTATAGCCTATTTGATGAATTTGACGTGATTTCAGTTGGATAACATCATAATTAATTTCTGTTAAATTCATTATGTCTATGAAAATCAACCGAGAACTGCTTTAAATTTCACCTATCATTCCTCACTAGGGGCCCACAAGTATTCTCATAAAATGCCATATACTGATTAAAGTTTGTATCTGTCCGTAGCGGCGTGGCTGTGGTGCGTGGAGTGGCTGGAACTGCTGGGTGCACCCACCGTGGCGGCGCTGGCCGGCCGCGCGCTGCTGCCGCGCTGGCTGGCCGCGCTCGCCGCCTGGCTCAACACCAACCCGCCGCACGCCACCGTGCTCACCTCCTACACCGACTTCAAGGTAGCAAGCAGCCCCCGCTCTGTAGCTAGCTAGCTAGCTAGCGTCACTGCCGCGCTGGCTGGCCGCGCTCGCCGCCTGGCTCAACACCAACCCGCCGCACGCCACCGTGCTCACCTCCTACACCGACTTCAAGGTAGCAAGCAGCCCCCGCTCTGTAGCTAGCTAGCTAGCTAGCGTCACTGCCGCGCTGGCTGGCCGCGCTCGCCGCCTGGCTCAACACCAACCCGCCGCACGCCACCGTGCTCACCTCCTACACCGACTTCAAGGTAGCAAGCAGCCCCCGCTCTGTAGCTAGCTAGCTAGCTAGCGTCACTGCCGCGCTGGCTGGCCGCGCTCGCCGCCTGGCTCAACACCAACCCGCCGCACGCCACCGTGCTCACCTCCTACACCGACTTCAAGGTAGCAAGCAGCCCCGCTCTGTAGCTAGCTAGCTAGCGCGTCACTGCCGCGCTGGCTGGCCGCGCTCGCCGCCTGGCTCAACACCAACCCGCCGCACGCCACCGTGCTCACCTCCTACACCGACTTCAAGGTAGCAAGCAGCCCCCGCTCTGTAGCTAGCTAGCTAGCTAGCGTCACTGCCGCGCTGGCTGGCCGCGCTCGCCGCCTGGCTCAACACCAACCCGCCGCACGCCACCGTGCTCACCTCCTACACCGACTTCACAAGCAGCACCGCTGCTAGCGTCACTGCCGCGCTGGCTGGCCGCGCTCGCCGCCTGGCTCAACACCAACCCGCCGCACGCCACCGTGCTCACCTCCTACACCGACTTCAAGGTAGCAAGCAGCCCCCGCTCTGTAGCTAGCTAGCTAGCTAGCGTCACTGCCGCGCTGGCTGGCCGCGCTCGCCGCCTGGCTCAACACCAACCCGCCGCACGCCACCGTGCTCACCTCCTACACCGACTTCAAGGTAGCAAGCAGCCCCCGCTCTGTAGCTAGCTAGCTAGCTAGCGTCACTGCCGCGCTGGCTGGCCGCGCTCGCCGCCTGGCTCAACACCAACCCGCCGCACGCCACCGTGCTCACCTCCTACACCGACTTCAAGGTAGCAAGCAGCCCCCGCTCTGTAGCTAGCTAGCTAGCTAGCGTCACTGCCGCGCTGGCTGGCCGCGCTCGCCGCCTGGCTCAACACCAACCCGCCGCACGCCACCGTGCTCACCTCCTACACCGACTTCAAGGTAGCAAGCAGCCCCCGCTCTGTAGCTAGCTAGCTAGCTAGCGTCACTGCCGCGCTGGCTGGCCGCGCTCGCCGCCTGGCTCAACACCAACCCGCCGCACGCCACCGTGCTCACCTCCTACACCGACTTCAAGGTAGCAAGCAGCCCCCGCTCTGTAGCTAGCTAGCTAGCTAGCGTCACTGCCGCGCTGGCTGGCCGCGCTCGCCGCCTGGCTCAACACCAACCCGCCGCACGCCACCGTGCTCACCTCCTACACCGACTTCAAGGTAGCAAGCAGCCCCCGCTCTGTAGCTAGCTAGCTAGTAGCTGGCTAGCGTCACTGCCGCGCTGGCTGGCCGCGCTCGCCGCCTGGCTCAACACCAACCCGCCGCACGCCACCGTGCTCACCTCCTACACCGACTTCAAGGTAGCAAGCAGCCCCCGCTCTGTAGCTAGCTAGCTAGCTAGCGTCACTGCCGCGCTGGCTGGCCGCGCTCGCCGCCTGGCTCAACACCAACCCGCCGCACGCCACCGTGCTCACCTCCTACACCGACTTCAAGGTAGCAAGCAGCCCCCGCTCTGTAGCTAGCTAGCTAGCTAGCGTCACTGCCGCGCTGGCTGGCCGCGCTCGCCGCCTGGCTCAACACCAACCCGCCGCACGCCACCGTGCTCACCTCCTACACCGACTTCAAGGTAGCAAGCAGCCCCCGCTCTGTAGCTAGCTAGCTAGCTAGCGTCACTGCCGCGCTGGCTGGCCGCGCTCGCCGCCTGGCTCAACACCAACCCGCCGCACGCCACCGTGCTCACCTCCTACACCGACTTCAAGGTAGCAAGCAGCCCCCGCTCTGTAGCTAGCTAGCTAGCTAGCGTCACTGCCGCGCTGGCTGGCTTACTATCTGTTCCGATTTTGATGATTATTTTGGAACTGGATGTGGATTATTTCCATTTTAATCTAATACTAATGAATATAATACCGTAAAGTAACACCATAGTCTTCAGGAATAAATTAGAAACCAGGCAGTATGTAAGGGATACCATAGACGTCACAGTGTTTTCTGAGAATACGATGTTTTTCATGTCTACTACTTTTAATGAAGTAAACTGTCAGCTCGTTTGCCATTTTAAGTATTTAAAAAAAATACTATTAATCTAATTTTATTTGAAACAAAAATATATAAATTATTATTTTCCATTACAGAAATTGTTTCCTGAAGAAGTGCTTAAGGAACCTGTGGTCCGCGACGCGTTTCGGAAAGCCCTCGACATGCTGAACCGAAGCACCGACATCGACGCAGTAGAGCCTCCCCCTCCGCCGCGCTTTACCTTCACCGACACCAAGGAAACATCCAGAATATCCGAAGTTCTGGCTTCGACGAACCAACAGAAGAGTTTCTCGGAGCTTCTAGAATCTAGATGTATAGAGAAGGGCATCACCTTTGTTCCGATAGCGGGCAAGACGAGGGAAGGACGCCCGTTGTATAAAATAGGCGAGATGCAATGCTATGTTATTCGGAATGTGATCATGTATTCAGATGACAACGGACGGACATTCAGTCCGATTAGTATGGACAAGTTGTTGAACATGGTTGAGGATTGAAATAAATAATTATTGAAGTGTATCGTTTTTTATTATATACCTAGCTGTCCTGAGTCTTTTAAATGTAGTAATTTTTTAACACCAAGCAAGGCCTTATGTTTGTTAGCAAAATGAATTAGTTTACAATATTTATATTTTTTCACACAGAAGCAATAGAAAGATGTGATACTGGTTAGTAGGGGTGGGTAATATAATATATAGCCTTAGATTATATAGATAGAATATTGAGCCTCAAAAACGCGTAAATTTTTATTATTATTTTTTTATTCGTTTTTTTATTTATTATGAAATTTATCTTGACGTATTATTTAATAAATGAAATGAGTGTTTACGCATTAAAAAGATGCAGAATTTATAAGACAAAATAAATATAGAATTTATAGTCATTCGGTAATTGTTATATTTATCGTGCAAAATTGTATCATAAAGTTGACCAGTTTTTCTCGAAGCATTTCTATGTAGACACTATCTATATAATGTAAGTATATAGCAATATTTATTGTGATTATAATAGGTATATATTGGTCCAATAAAAGATATATATCGGTTGTCTAATATATATTGAAAGAAGCACGTGATTGAAACGAATGGAGATATCAGACTGGTATAGGCTATATTAAAATGGGAGATTACCTTTTTCCCACCATCAATATCCAGAACAACTTAATACATAGAAATCGAAACGGTACTGATATTGCCCATGTCTACTTGGTAGCATTTTTTTTTTTATTTTTATATACATACCGTTTCTTTAAAGTTTTCATATGTGCTCTTTATTTATTATAATACAGATGTACAGAATATACCAATACACAGAATGTGCAAATTGTACAATGGCATTGACTGTAAATCGGATATTGACATATTCTATCAGACATTTTCATCATATCGAAGCACTTTACATACATTGATAACCTAATAGTTTATAAGCACAGTTTGGTAGTTTTGTTTTTGATTCTTGTTTTGTATGTAGTTTTTATCATTCATTCTTTTTTGTAATAAAAATCAGCCTATTCTGTTTCATCTCTGTGAATGTTGAATACAACTATAATTGGACTGCAAACTTATAATGCTATTGTTGTATTATATTGTTAAACATTTTGTTTGTAATCTGTTGTTGTACCACAAAAATAAATAAATAAAGAAGGCAATCAGACTATTTGATGGCAAGTAGCCACCATAGTCCCCAAGCATTTGTTGCAAATGAGACAAATTCGAGCATAACCGACCTATATGTTCATCTTTCATTTGATCGCTCTTCAAAATTTATATTTTATCGCTCATTTAAAGGTCAAGGTCAACGCTATCAAATTAATCATGTTTCATTTATCTTTACTTAAACATCACTGTTAGTTAACGTGATTTTTACACCGAGTTTCCTCTATTACCTACTCGTAGATCTTAATTTAGAATTTCTTATTGCATGGATTATGGCTTATTAAAGAATTAAAGCGATTATTAAGGTAAACTATGACAGTTTTATCTGTGTTATCACAACGTTGGGTGTCGTAAGAGGCGACTGACGGAATTTAATGGTCGAATGATAGGTAGCAGTGTTCCTCTTAACACTTCACCAAAACCCATCTGCGGTTGCCAACCCATTTACCAAACGTGGCATCTTGGCACTGACTGACGTTGCAAGCGCCCTTACTCTGCAGTAATCGGTTATCATCAGGCGGGCTGGATACTTAATTGCCATTTCTATGGTATAAATACAGTTTTATTCTTATCCTAAAAGTATCATCACTGGCACACTGGCAGACCATCTTAAACGTAATCGCAAACCATTGGTTAGGTTTTTTTTTATTGGATGAAAATGGAGTAAGTAATGGGCACCAGTAAAGGGTGATCAATGAGGATGAAAACAGGCCAGTTTGCCCATCATGATGAATTCATCAGGAATTAACCATGATAGATTCCAGGGAGAACCGCGTGGAGGTCGACCTGGTTGGGTATATTGCCAGCAATGGGATTCTCAGTCTCCATTATTAACAATCCCTTCCCCCCCCAGTGGTTAGGTTAGGTTAATAAAGTTATTACAGTATTGGAATCGCTATATGGGTTATCTTAGAATAAATGTGGAAGTGTAATATACTTGTCTGCAACCTTAGTGTTATAAAAAAAATATTTTGGTGGTAATGGATTAGGTCAATTTAAACAGTTTTTTTTTTTATTTAACTTAGAATGGCAAATAAGCTGACGGCCCACCTGATGGAAAGTGGTAACCGTCGCCTATAGACATGAGCAATACCATGGACATAATAGAGTATGCTGTTTTGTTCATGATACCCCCCCCTGCATTGCCATTCCTGAGGACTAAGTTATTATGCCTCTATATCTAGTAAATTCACTGCCATATTCCTTGCCATATGCTATATATATATATCATATGCCATAGCCCTTCAAACCGAAACACAGGCATGCAAACACAATTGCTTCACAGTAGAAACACGAATGGGACAAAGGTATCCAAGCATAAAGTACTAACCCACTCATGTAAAATTTAATAAAAAGATACTGTAATGTATTTGATTATAGTATAAAGCAATTATATTTACAATAATATAAGAATGTTGCGTGTGACGAAAATAAAATAAAGAGATCTCTGAAAACATTTATTTATATAACAATAAAAGCGTGCAAAACATTGCCAACAACTGTAATAACATGCATAACTAACTACTCCTTAAAACGGTCACGCTAATAAGATTCACAACAATAAAACATGGTGTGTATTGATATAAGAAAAATATCCGGGTAGAAGGGACATTGGACACATAATTTTGGAAGCGACTCGATTTTTCGATACGTTTTTCCTCACACTTCACATTTCTTTGTTTGAATAGGGTTGTCACAATACCCTAATTTTTCAATTCAACAGCACCAAATTAGTTGAGAAGTTAGGAATACAAATATGTATATAACTAAAAAATTTACGCAACCATAATTTTTTACTGCTGGCTAGTTACGAATGCAGTATTATTAAAGTAGCGAGTGTCACTTCCACCTAGATATTTTATTCTTATGGATATTTATTATTCTTGATTAGTAAATAAATGTAAAATAACACATCTAATTACAAGCTTAAGGCATTCACAAGACTGTATAAAAATTAAGATTACTAATAGAAATGGCACATTCATAAGTGGCACAGTGTAATGTAGTGAAGTATTTTATTAAAATCTCATTATAATTTTAAATTTATTTAACCATTTAAGCGATTTTTAACAATAGAACTATTTACTGGTTGAAATCGAAACTTTTATTCAACCAGACGACTGAATTTGTTCCTTAAACGAATAGGTCAAAATACAAAATTTAAGGGCTTCCTATACCAATTTGACAGCTGGACATTTCGTGTTATTTAGCATGGCGAAATGTCAAAATTAAGTCATTTTTAGTCTTTTATCTCTGGTAAAAATGTTCAGTTTCATAGGCAGAATACTTTCTTTCTAAATTATTTAAATATTATCCCTGCATAAATAGCGATGCACCTGGCAGCGTATTTTTAAACATTTTCAAATAAGTGGCAGGTTTTATATTAAATTTATCAACCATTTTAGACTTAGGGTTTATGTGGTCCAACGGTCAAGAAAATGGTTTAATATGTAAACTACATATCTAATTAATGGCAAGACTTTATGGTATTATTTTTATTAAATTATCAAATTCTATCTAACTCAAATCAGATTATTAAATGGTGTAATTAAGTATATTTGATTTTAAAATGGTAAAATATTATAAATAAATATTCTAGAATAAAATAATTCAACTTTGCATTAATTGTACCATTTTTTTTTTAAATATGATAATTAATATAAGAATTAACAATATACATGAGCAAAGCAGCTAATTAAGTGTATAAGTAGATAGACTACAATTACTTAAAGATTTTTGGTAAGTATATAAGGATTATAAAGTATTTATTTGGTTAGTAAACTACTACTAAAATTGTTATCACTAGAAAAAAAATATTATAAAAAAAAGTAAGTATAAAAGTTACTTGTGACATGCGTTCAAAAGCAAAATAATGTATTACATTATATAAGTACTTACGTAACTTAATTCACTGATGTATTGCTGAATTAATACGTAAATATAATTACGATATGACAAGTGCCTGATATCTTTCCGATACTATCGAAAAAGGTGGCAATATTGGAATCTTCAGTCGAATTATCTACATTGAAAAACAAAGTGGCCTTACAGGACGAGGCTCTCTGTTAATGCCTTATACGAGAAGGCTCTCAATTGGAGTACTTAATTACATCAGCTTGTGTACCGATTTTAATGGGTTTTTTACTGATAAGAGCATAATTTAATTTTACGCTTGTTCCATTATCGTTGATAGTGCATATAGAATCTACGGCCTCTTTTGTACTTAATTTTAAGTGATATTTTTTATGCATTCATACAGTTTGTACTAATTGCTCTTTGGCTAAGAATCACGAATTGATCTCGAAACTAGTCGAACTTTCTCGATTTAATTACTCGTAAGCTAAACCGGTAGTTATTATAATAAAATATAATGTGTATTAACGAAACTTTTAACAATAAAAATAGCGAAAATAGAGCTAAACAATATTGTTGGAATTATTGTCGAACCACCTCAGGACTATCTGATTCACCGCGTAGATCTTTACGAGGTTGCTTTCAAGTTTCTCTGGTAATTAATAGCTCTGAAGCATTGTACTCCATTAGCCAAACCTAATGATAAGTTGCACAGTGACAAGGCGTAGTTGATCGGTTTGATTACAAGACAATAGCGCGTCCAGATGAGACCGGTAGCCGCGAGGGTCGCCGACTGGGTGGGGGAGACGGTCTCCAGCGGCCGACGGTACTCATCGAGCGACACCAAGACTAGAGCCTGAAAATATTCAGCATTTAGACATTCGAAGATCAACTGACCGAAGTAACATTTGGTTAGAAAAGACTGATGCCAAAAATGAACTGTTACTTGGTTTTCTTATACTTGAACTGGGTAAATAACTTGATGGTTTACCTAATGGTAATAGTAACTACCGTCAATAGACAGGGCAGTACGATGGACAACGTGAAACACTATGGCGCCCACGATATTAACATGTCTTACCATTTTTAAGGACTAAGATGTTATACCCTTCGTACCCTGTAATTTCATTGCTATATCCCAACCTTCAAACTGAGTGGCCTCCCCTTGGTTTCAGAAGGGATCGTTAGTAATGGGATCTAACAGCCCCATTTCTAACAATATGGGTAGATGCCCTGCGTCATCTTTTACGGCCGGTGATCGGTCGTCCCTCGAATTGGAGACTGGTAGACAGCAGAGGTCGCCAGTTCGGGGGCCGACCACATACTCTTTTTTGTTGCAGTATCCGGTCGTAGTACCTTCCTAATGCTCCTCAAATATTGCGTCTAAACTGCGCCCACCATGTACCCTCTTGTAAAGGCATTCCGTCACCCGTATCCAATAGCGAGGACGGGATGCCTTAAATACTGTACCGCAAACAATAAAAAAAAAAAAACAATATGGGTATATTAACAAGTAACCCTCCACGCAGTTCTCTCTGGAAACCATTATGGTTAATTTTTGATGAATTCGTCACGTTGAACCGACTGATCTACTTTCATCCTCACCTATCATCTCACACTGGTGCCCCGCCACCGTATACCGACAATGCTGGTAGAATTACCATTTTATCTTCACCCATTAAAAAAGACTTCAAACTGAAACACAATCATGCAAGTACAGTTTGAAACATTATAGGTTATTTTATTGAATTTAATTGGATTATTTTCATACAAATAGTAATATCCCGAGGTCCCAATCATGCATCATTCATATTTGCTTTCATCACTGTACATTCCTTTGAACTGATTCCCTTAGTTTTGTATAATTCCATGCAATTATTAATTTATGCTACAGTTGCAAATTATTAGAATATTACCCAATTAAGTATACTTAAATATATTGTTTGTCTTATTACATTAGCAAGGCCCATATTAATAAATATTGTTTACACTATTCGTGTAAGGGGGCGCTGCTGACGTCAAGATACTAGGTTGCCTTTGTTTGCAAAATAGCAGCTTAGGGGTGGTATTTGGCAGTTCTAGTTTAATAAAATGTAGTGAAAATAAATTAACCCATACATTTTAAGCCTTCATTACTTTTTATTTGTACTTAAATCTGTAAATAAAAATATACTAGACTAGTAATACGGATATAATCTCGTATTATCATTATCACATCATAGTAATCATTTGGAAATATTGTTCCGAGCCATACATTACCAGATTAGATAAGTTACAATCTTAAGTTTTTAGTCTATCCATATTTTCATATGAGAAAATTAATAACTCAATTTTCATGGTTAAACGGCCGAACTGATTTGAATGGAATTTAGCATGACAATGTTTTAAACATTAAGAAAGGACTTAAACTCTTTAATAATTACAAAGTATAATTTAATTTTATGCAAAGTCGCGGATCTTATCCGCCACTTCGCATTAATTATAGGTTATATTTATAGATATAATGCCCAATTATCCATCGCTTAAAAATCCCATAAGCAATACCATGATATTGAGATGAATGGAATTATTACGAGCAATAAGGACGTACAGAGACATGACTAAACATCACTAATATGGACAAATAAATAAGACAGAAAACTGATAAATAACAAGTATATATTCACAAGTAAAACGGCTTCACAAAAATAAATAATACACTTACAAAACAATTATTTAATGTAATTTGTGTACATAAGTTGGATACCATGAATTTGTACGTACATATGTATATAGTTCTCAAACCATATACATATACCTACTTAGATAGCTTTAATTTATATCACAATAAATTATAGAGAATTAAAAAGTAATGGAACATTTATATAAGTATCGTTAGTTATACATATATTTAATGGAGATGTGTCTTTTAGTAACCATCGATGGTACTTACGAATAACGACAAAAATTGGCACTAACAAATAGTAACAATTATCACACAACTACCCGCGGAATGCAATGTAATTTACTTATTTACCTATTTATGTATAACGTTATTCTTAGCATATACTAAGCCCAAAAATAATTTATAAGTATCTAATAATGAAATACTTTTTTAATATAATCGAGTAAGTTTATTTCAGCACTTGAATTTTATTTTTATATTGGTTTTGTATATACTAAGAAAGCCTTTAGTCAGTTGATGTATTTACTATGCATTATGTAACTATAAATAAAAATATGTTACGTACACGATTTACTGTAATATAATATATATTATACTTATTTCTCGGATTGTCCAATGGTTGACTGGTAACACTGTCCGGTGTTAATTCCGCAAAATGTACATAGAATTTTACTGTGCGTTCAAGTTTAAATAAATATCTCAACTGACTAATAGAGTTACATATGTACAACTATCACAAATGTGGAACGTATACAACTTGTGAGAAATGTAGTTTTAAATTGTTTTACAGCACCGAATTATCTTAATTAGATTAGGCATTAACGTAACTCATGGTGATCGGTAACAAACTCATTATCACTCTTAGTTCGTTATTACGCAGTTACGTATATATTTACAGTAGAATAAAAAAGAATATGAATTGAAAATAAGTTTACACTCGTATTGTATTATATTTATATATTAATACGTAAAGCAAAAACTTTGTAGTCCTTTTTACGAAAATTGCGCGGACGGAGGAGTATGAAATTTGGCACATTTATTGTTTATATAGAGAAAGAGTGAGGAATGATTATATTTTGTTTTAATTATGCATAAAAAATACATTAATAAATAAAAAAAAAATTACACACACTATCATGTATTTGACACACACATGCATATATATTCTTTTGTTTAATCGTTAAAGTCTATGGTCAAATTGAGAATAGATTAATATCGTTTGTCTGTTAATATTACTTGTCTATAGTCTTACTGAATGTCAAACATAACTATAATAAATTCATTTATTACAACATACGTTATGGTCGAATTTCGACCACTGTCAACCAAATTAGCCTTGTAAATATACTTAAAAATCAGTGTAACAATTATTGTTTTAAAATTTGTGAATTATCTAAATAAAATTTTGCGTCAATATTTTTGAATAAGCTAAATTTTTACTTAACTTTTGTGATGAACGTAAGAAAACATTTTGTTACTAATAAGTCTAAATAGTAAGTAGAAAAATACATTTAATAATTTATATTAAATTATTGTTCAAGTATTGTTTTATAGTTCTTTAAACTCGTATTCTTTTAAATAGTTATTTTTATGGTTAGGTCATCATTCCATGTACATATTATACATCAGATATACCTACAGTCGTTAACAATTTAGCACCCAATCAACTAATATTACAACTCGTTGTGTATTATCAACTATACTTATTTATCTAGTTATGCAGCTGTTAATATTTGCTCGCTTGTCATGAAGGGACTTTTATATTTTTTTTTTAGTATTACCATTAAAAATGAACCATTTATCAGTAAATAAAAAAAAAAAGTCAAAACTGAGAAGTCACGTTATATCGAGGTAAATTTGTGAGTTTATTAGTTTATTACCATAAATACGATCAGAGACAAAATGTTTTATTTTTAAATGTTACTTCTTATATAGATAGAAACCAAATTAGATTATTCTAAAGAGAGTATAATTAAAGCTAGTTATGCAGAAGCCATCTTTTATGAACACCCCAGATGTGTGACATCAATGTGAGCTTGTATGAAGAGATGTATGAAGGTGAAGAAAGTTAAGAACATGAGCCAGGAACACTGGATAGAAAGCAAATGGCTGTTTATAGTCTCCGTCTATATCAAAGTTTGTTCAACATGCATTGTGTAAGACCGTTATTGTTTAATATTACATGAGTTTGTTTAACATGCACCAAAATAAATAATAAAATAACAAATCTACTGAGAATGGTTCGCGTGCTTATTGCACGCTATTTGCACGTTATTCTCTCTATAATCAAAGGCATTAAATAACCTTATTAAAATAAAACCAGAGCGCCTACCATGAAATGTTTTCCGAAATTTCGGGGCCGAACGAAACACAAATTTGATGTTAATATTACAGAATAAATACCGTTTAAAAATATTAGAAATGTTAAAATATAGTTCCTTTGGAATTTTATGGTAGAATTTAAGACGAACGAAACGTTAAGCTCCATTTTTTTGGGTCGATTTTAGAATGAACGAAAACACGAAATTGAGTGCGTGAATTCAGATTTTCATTTCATGGTAGAATCCCAGATCTTTTTAATTTATTTAAGGCGCGTACTATCACAACCTGCAAGGACCCGTATTTAACATTACCGCCACATTTTCTTCTTATATTTAATTTCTTGCTAGTATTTTATGTAAATAATTAATAAGTTAAATAAATAATAAAAATGTAGAATACCAGAATTTTTTATTTTTCTTTTATTGGCGCGTATTATCACAACATTCACAACCCTAAAATACCCGTCTATTTTACCATCACTTGTTCCCTTTATCCCTAAATTCTTGTTGGTATTTTACGGCCCGACCCAATTAGTGCAAGTTTATTATAACGACAAATACGTTTACAGTGAATAAACTGTACTTTTTTGGGATGACAACAAGAAAATATTTATATTAGACAAGTGGCTGCGAGGGATACGGACTGGGGTACGGATAGGCTCTCGACAGGTCTGTTCATATCACCTAACCCAGCTATCACCAATCCCTGAGTGTTGCAATTGTAATAATCATGATGAACGTGTCGGATTTCTTAATCCATTATTCTAATAAAAAAATCGTGACAAAGGATGGATCTATTGATTGGAAAAATATATCAAAAATGTTTATAATTGGCGAATAAATATTATCATAAAATTATTTGCATTTAAATATAGAAAGTGAAAGAGATGTGGGCAAATTTTCTAATTGAGAGTGATACCATGAGTTTGTTCAACATGCACCATGTATAAACATGGACCTTAATGTTATTTTTTGTTAACAGATTATTTGTAATAACATAAGCAACTTTTGACAAAATTTTACACAGTGCAAGTTATATGTATACTATAATATTATATATAGTATTAATATGTTATATGAGTATATAAAAATATAACGATCACAATCATTTGATATCTAAGTCAACATATAATTTACCACCTAAGAGTCAGTTATATAAATATATATTTTTATCTAAAATAAATAATTCTATATAAAAAAAAACCCTCCCACTAAATATTATTAGCTTACTTAATATTTAACAAAAAAAAATTGTACTAATTATAATCTGGGCCATTAACCCAAAAATACCCGTATTTCTATCACTTCTTCTCTTTCTCATGTTGGTATTTTAACGCCCGGCCTAATTGATACGTGTTTATAATGGCGACAAATACGTTGACAGCAAACAAGCTGTAGTTTTTGGGGATGATAACGAGGGAGTATCGGGACCAGACGATTCCAGTGGCAGCTAGGGACGCGGATTGGGGTACCGATAGGGTCTCGACAGGCCGTAACACGTCACCTAACCCAGCTATCACCAAACCCTGAAAGTGTTGGAAATATAGTATTGGCGTATATATGTAGTTGTAGTGTTGAGAAGGTGAAGAAGAAGTGGAGGCATTGAATGGTAAACTTCGATTATAACGGATTCGATAAATGTGCTTAGTAATTTAATCCAGATTTTATAATTTATCATCATTTCAGACATTTTTTTTTTATACAACTTAGAATGACAAGCAAGCTGAAGGTCCACCTGATGGAAAGTGGTAACCGTCGCCTATAGACATGAGCAGTACCATGGACATAACAGAGTATACCGTTTCGCCCATGATACCCCCCATGCGTTGCCAGTCCTGAGGACTCAGGTGTTAATCCTCTGTACCCTGTAAATTTACACCATATCCCACCCTTCAAATCGAAATACAGCCAATGGGATAGAGGTATCCAAGTAATCGACTTTTGTACAAAGTCTCCCTCTGGTACATATATTGTTGCTTGCTGAACATACAGGTTTTTTGAGACTGTGACAAACAGCGGTTGTGATTTTCAATAATACGTCTAAGATTGTCACTCTATCTTGTGGGGAATAATCCTGAATTACAGTAGAATCTCGATTATCTGGCCATCGACTATTCGATTATCCGGACTTATTTTTTACGTCTCTAATTACCAACTTAGAATAGTATTATTTATTGTTTGGATAAATAAGTATTGTGTAATCCATTATCTTTATAGCTCATAATTTTTTTTTATACTCGTATTGTATTGTTTAAATGACGTATGTATAATAAAAAAAAATATTAAAATTTAATTACTGTTTGAATTAGACTTTGAAATCGATTATCCGGATTTTCGATTATACGAAATATTCCGGATATTATTTGATTTGGACAATCGCGATTCTACTATATGTTTAATATTTGGGAATCTTAAAGGTTATCACATTTTTGTGCTATGTTGGTGGCTCACATGGCCCAATATAAATACAAATGTCACATCTCACGAACTGCGGATTAATACCAACTCGTTTTAAATTTGAAACACAAGCAATAAATATATATATTATATAAAACATTATTTTTAAGAACTTTTAAGAAAAACTATTACCAATTATGACATTGTCACACCACTAAACCATCTATCGCTAAATTATTGTTTTTTTTTTATACAACTTAGAATGGCAAACAAGCTGACGGTCCACCTGATGGAAAGTAGTAACCGTAGCCTATAGACATGAGCAGTACCTTGGACATAACAGAGTATACTGTTGCGCCCATGATACCCCCCATGCGTTGCCACTCCTGAGGACTCAGGTGTTATTCCTCTGTACCCAGTAAATTCACGCCATATCCCACCCTTTAAACCGTAACACAGCCATGCAAACACAGCTGCTTCACGGTTGAAACACGAATGGGACAGAGGTACCCAAGCAATCGACTTTTGTACTAACTTTTGTAAGTCTCCCTCTGGTAAAATGCATTTATATCTAGTTTGTACTCTGTGTATTTATATCTAGTTTTTTTTTTTTATTTAGATGGTTTTTATTTTAATGTACAAAAATGGAATAGTAACCCTGTGCTCAGTATCGGTATATACTGCCAGGATAACCAGTGAGAAATGATAGGTAAGGATGAAGCAAGTAGTAATATACATCTACGTAGGCGAATGGAATTGTCTTTATATTTGAATATAAACATTATTGATATTTTATTGTTTTTGAAAGCATTCTAATGGAAGATAGGTTTACACCTGTAAATAAAATGCACATTTGCATGTAATTAAAATTTTGTATGTAAAATGTTTTATATATATATATATATATATATATATATATATATATATATATATATATATATATATATATATATATATATATATATATATGGTCTGAATCATATATATATATATATATATATATATATATATATATATATATATATTCACTATTCTCCTTAAATAATGTAAGTAAGTGTTCCTAATAAATGAAGTATATTATTATAGTTCTATTATTTAAAATATGCATATTCATAGTCACTGTAAATATGCATATAATGGAATTAGTTGTGGCCTTTAAATTGTCCATATAAACCACATTGAAAATCACACACACATCTTAGCATAATGAATCAATTAAACATTTATAACAACAGAGGTATGTTAAATATACAATTATACCCCTATTTTTGCGGCAATGTTCGGTGATATTATAATGTAATAATACTATGACTGACAAAGTTTATGAATTTTGTTTTGTTTATGATCACTGTATTGTAAGATCTTTATTGTACGTACTTTATATTGGTCACATTGAGTTAATATACAATGGCCGACTTATCCCATAAAGGGATCTTTTAGTTAGTCTTTGAGAAACTGAAAGAAAATTAAAAATTGTTTAAGGGTAAAAATTGTAATCTGAATCCATAAATACAGATTACAGGAAATAAATAATTATCATATTAATTCATCAAATTACTATTAGAAAGGGGAAGGGATTGTTAGTTATAAGAAATAAAGGCCCCACTACCAGTAATCTCCCTTTTAATATTGATCAAATCATCATATTTATATTTTTGGTGAATTTATCACAGTGTGCCAATAGACCTCATTATATCCTAATCTATTATTTCTCACTGGTATCCTGCCAGTGTTAAACTGTTTTTTAACACTGGCAGACATAATAAAAAAAAATATGTATATAAGAATTGATAAAATAAAATTCATTATGGTCACCAAAAAAATATTTAACATGTAAATGAATGGAAGTTAATTATGCGTGTAAAAGTTTATGATGTTGCCCTTGCACAAGGTCCCAGAGTAAATATAGCATAACCTTGAATATATCCGCATTAGGAACTTACCCATTTGAATGCAGGAGCCCAGAAGAATACAGTTTTTGGACCTGTAATTTTTTTAAGTTAATTTTTGAAGGCAAAAGAAAATAATATTTAAGCTTGTAATTACTTACCTGCGTCGTGTTCCCATAATGGACGTAGTTTTGTTGGGACAAATTTATCTGCAACTGATATAACTCCTTTGTAAATTCTAGACATTTTCGTTACTTTATTAGGAATTCAAAGTTAGGGAAAGTATGTCGAACTATTGTTATTTAATTACTTAGGAGAATTTACATATTCACTTGTATCATAGTGGAAATTCGTAGCGAAGTGTAATGAATTTGATAAGAATGAAATGATAATAAAAAAATTATAAAATAAATGAAAGAACTGTGACATTTGTACTCATATTTCTATGACATTGACGTTTACATTCAAGTATTGGGACCGATTCTGAGGTGCCATTTCTCTAAATATATCTCTTAATATTTTAAACTGATAATTTCATGAATTTACTGTTTTATGGACCACTGTAAACTAGAATTTATATAATTTTGACCTAAATATATTAGAAAATTTGTTAATATTGATCCTTATAACAAAGGTTTCGTGTAATATCTTTTAATTTTAGAGATAAGTTTAGAGAAATAGTGCCTTCGAATCGATCTCACTGTACTTTTTTAATTATAATATACTTATTTTTTTTCTTTAGTGGCATTTACTTAGGTACTTACTTATCCATTTAATAAGGCCTGTAACGGTTGGAATATCATTGTTTGAATGATGTTTTCTATGAAACTATGTAAAAACCAAATTTAAAAAAAAAATCTAACTATAAAATTATAAAATAACAGTTAAAAATATATATTAATTATTTAGTATATAAATTATTATATACAAAGTGTTTTTTAATAGATGAAAATGACATGGCAAACTCGCCCGCGCTATCGGCATACACTGGCGGTACACCAGTAAAGGATGATAGTGAGGATGAAAATGCAAGTCAGTTAGCTCATCGTGACGAATTCAAGAATAAATTTGTCACGATAGTTTTCCGGGGGGACTGCGTGGAGGTCGACCTCATGAGATATATTGATAGCAATGGGGACTAACCTCCCCACCACTAACAGTTCCTTCCCCCAGGTACTAAAGTGTTGGGACTTTAGCATGAGTTCCAGTTATGGATAAGTTTTTCACTTATCCAGGTCCCACTTAACTAAGTTTTAATGTATATATGTATATGTTGGTGAAGGTATAGAGAATGTGTATGAGCGAGCGATAGACTGATTCATGACTGACTTAGGATTTGTTGTACGTGTAGGTCAGCGTCACTTGAATAAAATTTATGCAACTAGTTTATTAAATTGAAAATTTTTAATTATAAAATGTTTAAGTTTATTACGATATAGATATAGATAAGATATAGGTATTTTGGATAGGGACATATTATGAAATAGTTGTAAGATACTATGAATATTCATTTATTCTGTTGATATTTCTAATGGTTGCATAAAATAATTTTTCAGTTTCGTCAAATTAACTATAGTGCTGATGCTTCAATAACGTAATTATTACTCTGTGTGCGTGTGCGTAATCAATCTGACATGGCAGAGCTTTGAGTGCGTAACTATATGTGATTTTCTTTGTTTATTTTATTATCTTTTCTTGTTTATCTTCTTTTGAGTTACTTTTATTCATGATTTTTGAATTTTGAAATAGTTGTGAATATGGGTACAAGCACAATGGGCAGTGATTTGCATTCAGATAAGCAGGACAAGCTTTTAAAGTTGCAAGCTCGGAAGAAAGAATTGGAGCAAATGCTTGCGGCTAAAAATGAGGAACTTTACAAATTGTGTGTGCAAGAAGTTCAACTGACTGGTGTAATGCCTCCTGAGGCGCCATTGAGTCCCGATGTGCCCCAACGAGAGAGACTGGGAAGTGTTAAGAGCACGGAACGTTCTACAGACGGCACAGACGTTCATGATGGCTCGGACAATTCCTCTAGACGCATGAGAGTCGCTGCTCCCGACCGGTTGCACGAGGGTGACCAACATTTCCGCAAAAATATTTCACACAGGCTCTCTACGCCATCCATATCAGGTATGTCCACAAAGAGTGCTCACCCAAGACATATACGTCGCCCCGAGACCAGTTGTTCTAATTTCTTCCCATCCCCACCTCAGGATCGAAATCAAGACACGTTTTCTATACACACTTCACATACATATCCTGCTTTGGCTGGCCATCAGGATGTAGTGTCTGAAAATATGCACCATGATTCTCAGAAAAGTCCAGTGTACAGACACCACACAATGACATCGGAGTATGTTAACAAGATCTATTACAACAATGTACCAGAAGCTCACAATGTGTCACGGCTACGGGAAACACATTTCAGCTCCAGCCACCCTGATATTACTACTCATTATAATCAAGGAACGATTCCAACACATCCAGTTCAAAACGTAATGCGTAATACACCACTGTTGTATCAATATGCTTCACATTTGAAAGCTCAGAACCAGCATCTTGGTGCTTTGCACCATCATCAGATGCCAGGCCAGTCAAAGCGAAGACCTGAGAATGTACGTCGTAATACGTTACAAAGAACCCAGACGTATCATCTCACTTCTCATAGTGATTACAGTCAGCATTTAGAGAATATGTCTGAAAATTATCGTCATAGATCTCAGCCTGATATTCAGGAGCACTCAGAAAGAATACAACCACCAGTTGAGAGAGTAGCTGTTGTTCCAAATTCACTGCCTTTGCGTGAACGTAACATGAGACATCCAATGCACATGCAACTACAAGTATCAACTGATGATCACAACCGAGACGAACGACGGGCATACCCCGATGCTTTGAGTCCTGTTAGCCAGATTTCCGGTTACTCAATACCAAATTTTGGTTCAGGGAGTGTGAACAAATTTTCACCACTCTCCCAATCAGATATGAAATTAAAGGAGAAACAGTGGTATGAGACATCTCTCGATTCACCAACGAAGGCTGAAGCTCCTCTTTTGAAGAAGAGCAACAGTTTAAAACGAACTTCCAGTATAGGTAACTCGCAAGCTTATGAAATAATGATATCGTCAGGGCGTCATTCTGCGATGCAGAGTCCTAACCAAGTGCCAAATAGTCCACCAGTTTTATCACCAAGCGCTGTGTCTCTGGAGTCACCTAAAAATTTAACAGTTATTGAACAGGGTAAATGTATACCTTACAGAGAGGAAACAAAGCCCTTTGAAATGTCTGATTTTTATAAATATTCAACAAAGTTTAGACAAGCAAATAGCCAGAAGCCTCAACCAAACCCCGTGCCAAGCATAGCCACTGTAAGTAATATGTATAATAAACTGCCCATGGAATTGCCACAATATTCACAGGAACATTGGCATGGACAAGGTAACTAAAACTAAATGATATTATAGTTTGCATTAGGCATTTTAATTGTTATATGTGGATTTAATTAATTAATTTTGTTATCATATTAATTTTAATATATTAATGGACTTTATCAATAGTACTTACAAACTTGCTTTTATTCTGATCTCTTCAATTATGCCACTGAAAATAGATTTAACAGCTAAATAATGAAATGTCAGTGTTTGAGGTATATTGCAGTGTCAAATATATAGGATCATTGCTTATTTATAGCATAATGTATCAATTTTAAATGTTATTAATGCATAAACTGTAACACTTATACAAAATAAGGAATGTGCATGTGTAATACTGAATTTTTATCAATATTTGATATCTATTCTTCTTGTTTGATGAACAAAAACATTGTACGAAATCTTTTTTCCATTCATTGCCTATAAAAATGTCAAAATAATACATTTAATAATAAAAATTGTCTATTTTAAAAATACATATCTACTATTATTTGTATTGGGCAGCCATATTGCCTATCAATATGTTTTATCAGGTCTTGAAACAATATTTTTACCTATTTATCAGTTCTGACAAATATAATGATTAATGATATGCATATTTCCTAATACCCTATGAATTGATATTGTATGTATGAAGTATATTAATTAAAGGAGAGTCAGATATATAAAATGAAATATATATTTGCAAGGTTACAATATTTTGGTAAAATAGTGTTTTATACCTAGTTGTAATTTGTTTTTAAATATTTATAAGATCTTCACTCCAGATGCCTTACAGGGTAGACAGAGTTATGTATATAGAATAGAATAGAATAGAAATTATTTATTCAAATAAACTTACATTGAAGCACTTTTGAATAGTCATTACATTTTTTTTAATCTACCGCTCGTTCGGAAAGCTGTCTCATCACAAGAAGAACGAGCAAGAAACTTGCGTGTTGCTCTTTTAAATAATTTTATTATTACTTTGTAGTGAGTATGAGTATACTATCTTTGTCTAGTTGCTAAAACATACATTGCATATGAATTGTCTTTAGACAATTCTCTCGGTATTTTGATAATTAGAAAGGGGTAATATCTGATATCTATATATTGAGTTTTTTTGGACATTGATGACCACTCACTGTGATATCACCTATACCAGTGGATATTTATATTCATTATGAAAGGGTTCTTTGTTCGATATTATATTATGGATAACCAATATCTAATATTTGGTCAATATATGTATAGATTCAAGTACAATATATAGATATTGCTAGATATTACTCACTGCTATTGATAATTAATTATACAACTAAAGCCTATTTCAGAGGTAACTGAGTTTTTTTAAATTATTACAGAAACATTATTAAAATAAAATTATAAATATTTTTGATTTGTATTACTGTTGGACAGTAGCAGACTGTATATATTTGGGTCATATTTGGGTCAATTAGTTGTAAAATTTACATTTTCATTGATTTCTATTGAAAGTGACTATAGATAAATATTAAAAGTCAAAACGTATGTAACATTTTGTTTTTCATAATACAAATTTGAAATAGAGGATTTGTCTCATAATGTACTTGTTCTGTTGGTTTGTTTGGTGTCTAACATATTAAACATCTATTATATTTAAACACTATGCAGTGATATAAGGATGAAATGAAATGGAAAATGATTGTACTGTTATTAATTTTGTACCTTATAACGGTATGTGTATAAGGTTGTTTTTTAATTCATTTAGTTACAACATGTACTGACATTTTTTTATACTGTGTAAAATAGGTATTGTATTCATAGAACTTTTATTTAATCTGTGGTTGTAAATTAAGTTTATGACATATTTTGCTTTATTCTTCTACTTAATCGACCAATAAGTTAACGCTAAACTCTATAGATAGATGGTATCTTATTTAGAATCTATTTGAAAGAAGATCGTTTATTCCTGGATTACAGGAATTCTTATTGTCTCCATCTGACATGTACTCCAGACTCATGTGTGTAATACAGTTTAGTGTTCTGAGAGACAAAAAATACGCCAAGGATTGCCCCTCGTGTGTAGGCACCTATAATTAAGCAATTAATCTAATCCTATACATGCAATACTATTCCCTTTGTTTATGTAAATTAGATTCAGATCAGGTTTTCTCAAAGTATGTGAAAAATATCTATATAATTTTACCGCGTCCCAATGAACCGGTTTAATAATAGTATATTATTTGTGCTTGTATTTGGGGGTTCGTGCCCCTCAAGTTACGTACGTTGCAGTGTCGTTCACCTGGAAAACTACTGATCTAGATATATCCTGTGATAGATTTACATGCCTTTGTATTGATATGACAATAATGAAAAAATAATTAGATATAAGTAATTTATTGTACTGTATTTTTGTTTGTCACAATCCTAACGTAATACGTGCTTTACCCACCGCTTGTTTATATAATACGATTTGTAAAAAAAATGTATTATTGCCTTTTAGCTTTACAAACATTGATATATAAAAGAAAGATATACTGCCGCACTCAGAAGTTAATTAAATTAACACTAATAAGATATTTGTTAATAATAATTAAAATTATGCAAATTGGACTTTATTTACCGCGCTAAGCCTCTCATTTGGCCCATTGTGCGTACAAATCGTGGCTAGTGCAGCCAGCCCAGTTGCGCCTAGAAGCACACAAGCTTACTGGGATGTTCACAGGTCTCACGGAACGACCTCAGTGTTCCGAGGATTTCCAAACGTTGAGGGGTCACAGCTTTACATTTCAGGATTACGTGAACAGCCGTTTCTTTGGCGTCAAACAGCCGCAATATAGAAGGCTGTCTGTAGCTCCTATTGTGTATAATTGGAATTATTAATGTTTTAATGAAATTAATAATTGTCATTAACAGTCCTTAATTAATTAATTAATCGATTCTGAGAGGTATTTTTTATATACTAAGGTTTTACTTAAGCCATCATTAAATGATTCTGAGTGCGGCAGTAAATATTTTACCCTACTAGAAGTAATGTTTGTACATCTGTATTTTTCATGACTGAAATAATCATTGATGAGCCGCTTTACTCATCACTTGACTGTGACTTAACAATTAAGTGACTTAGGTTTAACTTAAGTGATACTTATTTAGCTACTTTAATTCAGAAACAGACTCAAAATCTTCGTTTGTAAGTGAGCTTGATTTGATTTGTTTTGTTTTTATTGTCAAGCGCGCACGAAGTCCATACAATAATTTTCAAATTAGAAAAAAAGTGTATGGGCATCTATAATCTCTTAAATATTTTAGACATTGCCAGTATATTTTTTTACTCTTGCTGAAATCATTGCGTATGGAAGCATAACACCTAAGTTCTCACAATTTTCAGAAATGCCACAAGTTTCATGGGGGATCTGCAGTGATATTTGCTTTGTGTTGTTCATATCTATATGCGATGTTTTTTTTTAATGGGGAAAATGGAATAGAAACCCTGTTTGCGCTATCGATGATGCTGAAAGCAGGTCAGTTGGGCCGTCGTGACGAATTCAACAATTACCAACCACGATGGTTTCCAGGAGAATCGGATTTCGACCTTATAGGGCATTTAGTAATGGAGTCGCTAGTTCTCAATACTAACAATCCCTTCTTCACTTCCATACGCTACGGTCAGAAGGACCGTCAGACCGTTTGTCCATGTGTTATGTATAGAAATTTCATAATTGCTTACATTGGCTCTGAGTCTGTTCTGAATAAATACCTATATACATATTGGCACCATTTACATATACACATATGTATACATATATCAATCCCCTTATTATATATATATCTTTCTATATTAACCATAATGTATATGTATATCTAATGTGACTGTAAGTCAAAATGAAAAGTCTTTTGTAATTTTTTGTGTTCATTAGCATTTGGTTTAGGAATACTTGCTGCCGAATTTCGTCTATCTTTTAATACATATCAATATTTCGTCATAGTCGTAGAATACTGACGGATCTTACAAATATTACATACAGTCGCGTCGGAAACTATTTGCGCGTTGTAAAATGAACAAGAAATTTTATTTTAATTGCAATTAGAGATAACTAAAAAGGAAAATTATGCACAGTCTCGAAGATTCATGTGTTTATAAGAAAATAGACACATGTGGGTTAAAAATTGTTGCTTGTAATAAACAAAATTAAATATTAATCATAATTAGTTAATTCGGAAAGTATTTGCGCCAAAAGTTTTTCTTTAGTTTTTCGTGTTTAAATTGTATATGTTACTAAAAAATAAGTGTTTTTTGAATGTTTATGTTTAGATTGACTTTACATCTCCTAAAATTTTAATTAATTAATTATTATAATATTAATATTCTTATCAGAATGCCTAAAGAAATAGAATTAACGGTTCAAGAGTGTGAAATAACAATGAATATGAAAAATAATGGAATAAAAATTTCTGAGATTGCTGAAAACATTAATATTCCACTAAGAACAATTCAAGATACGATTAAAAAAAATCTGAACGAAATTCATCAAACTCTTTGCCTCGAAGTGGCCGTAAGCGCAAAACAGGTCCCAGAACATACGAACGAATCGTTTGACTAGTGAAGGAGAATCTAAAGATAAGAGCTACAGAAATAAAGAAAACTTTAAATCTCGATCTGGTTATAATACAAATTAAGTTCAGGACTTTTGAAGCTGGATTTGCAGGCCGTATTGCCACACGAAAGCTATTTATTAGCGAAAAAAACCGAAAGGCGAGATACGCAATTGCCATCGAACACCAAGATAAACCATTGGACTTTTGAAAAGCGATAGTTTGATCTGATAAGTTGAAATTTGATTGTATTTGATTAAAACGACGACAATATCTGTGGCGAAAACCAAATTCAGTGCTAGAATCGAAAAATATTGTGGGCACCGTTAAGCACGGCGGTGGATCAGTACTTGTATGGGGATGTTTTTCATATAACGGTGTTGGAAATCTTCAGATTATTAAGGGCAGAATGACCGCAGACGCTTATATTAATATATTTGAAGATAATTTGAATTCATGATAAAATGAATGTTGATAAAATGAATTTAAATAATGACTGGATTTTTCAACAAGACAACGATCCTAAGCATAAGGCTAAAAAAACTATGTTTTGGTTCGAACCAAAATAATTTAAACTACTGACTTGGCCTGCTTAAAGCCCTCATTTGAATCCCATAGAGCATCTATGGGATCATTTGCATGAAAATGTAAAGAAATCGGACCGACAAACAATTAAAAATTTTATAAATCGCCTTGAACAAGAGTGGCATAATTTACCATTACAAGAACTACAACATCTTGTCGAGAGTATCCCAAGGTACTTACGAGCAGTCATCGCAACTAAACACGGCCCTACGAAATACTAGAAATAATTTATTATTAATTAAAAACAATTTAAAATTAAATATTAAGTGTGCGCAAATAATTTCCGACTGCATGGATTTGAGAATATTTTGAATATTTTTTAATTTATAAATAATTTTGATTTGCATTGCATTGCATCTGAATGATAAACAATATATTTCACTGTTTTCTTAAATATCTTGAATAATTTGAATCATATTTAACACACAAATTCATTAAAATGTTATAAAATTTTGCGCGCAAATAGTTTCCGACGCGACTGTATATAGATCCATCAGTATTCTACGACTATGACGATTTGTTCCCTGTTTTAGGTATCGGGCGTTCTTATAATTTATTTTAGTCGGTACGATATCGTCGATTTTACCGTCACGATGTTATAGGAGACCGAAATGTAGTGCAATTGTAAGGCACCTGTTTTTAAATTTTCATTCACATCTGTGATATCATTGGGGAAAAACAGAAGTGTATCCATACAAATGCATACATTTTGTTCTTGTTAAACAAGGTTTTTAATATGATTATTTTTAACTAATTTCCGAATTAATATAAATTTATTAGGCTTTCAGGTACATACTACAAAGTTAATGAATGAATGAACATTTGTTGTATTTAAAGTTTCACCTGTATGAAATTCTCCTATTGTACTGTTACGTTACAATGGCAGTATGTCGTATTGTCCTACGGTAAATTATAGACACGTTCATTACTTGTAAAATATTTTGTGTTGTCAAATAAGGTGCCTATTTACTTACTGTTTTAGCTATAACTAAACTTGAATTATTATTTATAGTCTGTTATTATAGAATTTAACGAAAAGGTAAACGTATTTTGTTGAAATTATTAGAGAAAGTTGAAATAATCGATTTTTTATTATAGCCAACATTAGCTGTTTTATGTTTGGGTCTTGTAATACGTATTCATCATCATCCCAGCCATTATCTGTCCACTGCTGAACATAGACTCTCTTTCCATAACATAGAGCGTATATACCCCTATAGATTGCCATAAAGAACGGTCTTGAGCCACCTGTATCTACTGACTCCCTGCAATACATTTTGGACTCCATGTAGTGGGGGATCGTTACATTGTGTTTGCTCATACGGGGTCACAACTCAAGAACCTTTCTTCCTCATCGGTTGTGGATTTTTTGAGCTATGTGACCAGCCCATTGCCACTTCAGCTTGCTTATCCTTCGGGCTATATCGTTGAGTTCGTTTTTTTTTTGCAGATACCCTCATTTCGGATACTTTACGTACATTTCTGTAAATACGTATTTATTTGTTTATATTTTCATTGAGATCTATTAGAACAGATAACATGTATGTGGTTTATATTCTTGTCTGTTAATTCAATGTTTAATACAAAAACACTAATACTTGCCAAGCATTTAAAACTTAACTTTGATGCCTTAACAATTTCAATTAATCTTTAGATTTTTTAAGTTAATTTAGAATAAATTACGCTGAATGAAACTTTAGATGTATTTAAATATATTTTGTAATTAATAATTATTTGGCAATAAAATTGCAAATGTGTTGCAAATGACAAATTTAAAAATATTTTTATACCTGTATAGTTTATAAGGTTGTAAAGTGCATGAGGCACCATTTATGTAAATGTAATGAAGTTGTTTTTGGATAATATACATACAGTACGTCAGCGTACTGTTTCAATAAACATTTTAATTCGATTTTTTTTTAATTACTCTCTAACGCCAACGTCGAAACCATGTAACTCGATTTATAATTAAAGCTGTTTAATGATAGACTCCTAACAGTAAAATTATATATATAAACGAGAATTGTTATAATCGATTTTTTAATGGATGTAATGGAATGGTAATCCCGCCCACGCTAACGGTATATGCTGGTGGGGCACCAGTGAGGGATGATAGGTGACGATGAAAGCAGGTCAGTTAGCTTATTGTGATGTATACACCTGGAATTCAGCATGATGGTTTCCACGGGCGACCACGTGGAAGTCGATCTTGTTGGGTATATTGCTAGCACCGAAGCGCCTAGTTTCCATTACTAACAATTACAATAGATGAAGATAGTTAACCCTTCTTTGCATAATGGTGGAAATTTCCATCATAACATTGAATGCCCAAAAATTATTTAAAAGAACAAGTTCACTTTAAATTGATTGTCTCTTTCCTACCTTTTTAATGTTCTTTGCAGAAAAAAAAAACAGTTGTCAAATTTATTTTTTAACCATTCTTCTTTTAATTTTGAACATGAATTATTTAACAAATAAAAAAAAATCATGAAAAGAAGGGTTAAATTAATTGGTCCATTGTGGCAGAATTAAGAAATAACTATGCTTACCAGAGGTTATCTTGTGCAGGTCGATCTGACTGTATTTCCCCCTTTTAGGATTTGTTAAATATAAGAGTATGGAATAGCGAAAACCCCTTAACTATTGAGGACGACAGGTGAAGCGATGCTAAAGTTGTAGAAATATATAAAAATTTTAGATTTAAAAGAGCTTCTAAATCAGTCTATTCTTTTAATGGATGATAATGAAATGGTAACCCCGCCTGCGCTAATAGTATATCCTTGTGGGGTACCAATGAGGGATGATAGGTGAGAATGAAAAGGCAGGTCAGTTAGTCCATCGTAATGAATACACCTGGAATTCAGCACGATGGATTCTAGGGGGGAGAGGGGCACGTGGAGGTCTTCCTAACAGGGTACATTGTTAACAATGGAAGTAGTAATCTGCATAACTAACAATCTCTTCCCTCCAAACTAGTCTATTAGGATAGAGATTGGTTTCTATTCAATTCTAGTTTCAAATTGCTGTGCCCGACAAGGTCTACGATATACTTTATTAATTATTAACATCTTTCATAATAATATTGTAGAATGCAATAAATAAATTGAATTGAAAAGAAAAAATATATTTTTTGTGTTACTGTCTTTTGGCTTCTGACGGCTCACCCATCAGTATTTACAGAATAAGTAATATGAAATGCATATACTTCTATTCAGTCCAAATTACACTTTTCTGGTATCAACACATTGAATATTGGGTACTAAATTGTAAAAGAATTTAGTTTAAAATTTAAAAATTATAATGTTTATATATAATATAATATTTTTGGTAATATTTGGACAGTGTTACACTTATAAGTTGCTAGTGGTTTTCCCGTTGCCACGGTCAAGTCACATAACGTTGGGCCATGGATACGTGAGGCATTTGCTGAAAGCTGGCCATCAGGTATTTTATAAAGTTATAGCTTGTAGTTTCTACTAATTATTGATTGATTTTATTAATTCTTTACTTAACTGTGTTCAGAGATACCCAAGTGGACGACTCGAACAGAGTCTCCATCTGGTAATATAGTATTATATTATCTGTGGTGAGCCACATGTTAATCACGGTTACCTGAGGGTAAACGTGATTAAGCATCGAACGCTCAAATTAAAAATCTTCACAAACTTTCGAATTTATGATATAGACGAATTATTTCTAATTTTTTTTTGTTTAATTATATAGGTAGTATTATTGGGGGTTTCAGGTAACGTACATCACACCTAAGCCACTCAACATGTCATCTACGAATCTTAAACAGGTTAACCTTGCATCACTTTATGACGATTTTCCAGTCGGTAGGTAATATTTCTGGTCATATTTATTTAATAGTTTTATTCTCAACTGATACTGGGGTCGATTCTGAGATACCATTTCACTAAATCTATCTCTAAAAGCTCTCATTTGTAGACCGCTATATTGTGTAGACACACAATATAGCGGATCCTTTACCGTGTATGTTGTTAGATTGTAGAATTCTCTCCCGTGCCTATCCCTGGAGTCAGAGATACCATACCATCCATTTTCACGTATCAAAGAAAAAACTGTTATGGTGTAAATATTTTTTAGTAGGTTTTTTTACTGTGTCTGACAATTAATCGTTGTGCTAATAAAATTGTCTTACTACTAAAAACATCTCTCGATTTCTATTATTTCCCTCTAATATTTAGCGCAAACTTTATATAAAAAAGGTTACGGGCCCAGCACGTTTCTACTAAAATCTAACCTGATCATCAATAAAAACATGTCATTTCAGAAAACCTGATAAACCTGAAGGATGTTCTTATAGATAAAACAGTAGCTAATGACATCAGAAACATCATGAAAGTTATGTTTGAACATGCAAATGCCACTATATTTCATAAAAGTGTGCAAAGCTTGATACAAGATACGACGGAATGGTTTGATGCTATCATCGCAGAGTATATGTTTAGTGGACTTTATTCAGGGTGAGTTAGCCTAGTTAGAACAGTTTTTAATTCTTTTTAAATTGGTGATAATGGAATGGTAACTCGGCCTGCGCTATCGGTATACGCCAAAAGGGCACCAGTGAGGGATGATAGGCGAAGATGAGGTCAAGTCAATTGGCTTGTCGTGATGAATTCACTGGAAATTAACAATATTGATATACAGGAGACTTGATATGGTATATTGTTAATAGTGGAGAATATTACTAATAACGATTCTCCGTTCAGAAAGAATATTAGGCATACTCCGCTAATGCTAATGGTGTATTAGCATTATTCGGGGGTTTTTTAATAGATGTTAATGGAATGGTAACCCCGCCTGGGCAGGGGGGAAAGGGATTGTTAGTAATGGAGACTGAGAATCCTATTGCTAGCAATATACCCAACCAGGTCGACCTCCTCGCGGTTCTCTGGAAACTATTATGGTTAATTCCTGATGAATTCATCATGATGGGCTAACTGACCTGTTTTTATTCTCATCTATCACCCTTCAATGGTGCTCCGCCAGCGTATCCCGTTAGCGCAGTCGGGGTTACCATACCATTTTCACCCATAAAAAAAAAATACTGCCTGGTCTAATGATACAGGCTGGCGGGAAGCCAGTGAGGGATGATAGGTAAGAATGAAAAGGCAGTTCAGTTAGCTCATCGTAATAATATACCTGGAATTTAGCACGATGGTTTCCACGGGGATTTGCCACGATTTGACAGAGTATATTGCTAGTAATGGAAATAGTAGTCCGCATTACTAACAATCCCTTCATCCCCTAATTCGGGGTTTGGTAAGGCCCAACCGCCCCCCCCTTTAAATATAGCTGTGGGCATCAGTAAAGGATGAAATGATGAGAACAAAGTCAGACTAGTTGGTCCATCGAGACAAATAACCATGATTGATGATCTCAGATCATCATGGTTAAAATTTGTAATACTCGACTGATTTCAATGGACAAAATTATTTATTTTCCAAGAGACCTTTGGTCTCCAGTGGGGAATTCATTTTGTCTATTTTGTGTTTGTATATTTTTAAAGGATTCTAATTTCTACCTATATTTTAATATTTTTAATTTTTGTGCTATACTTACACTTGGTATTTCTTTTTTTTTTTATGTAATAAAACAGTGATCTCGACTGTAACATGGGACCGGTTATTACAGCTTTTCGTGTAAATTTACATACTTATCACAGTGTAGATATGTTAAAAGACACTTCGTAACTGAATGCAATTTTTGTCAGTCAAAAATGATGATGGCCTACTTGATGGAAAAGGATAATCCATCAATAAATGTACAATATTTGAAACTTTTAACTTCAGTAGGTAATATTGACGGTGCATCATCAATCATTCAATAGTATGGCTTATGCCTTTATTATTTAAGTATATATGTGTAGACATACATGTGTTATGTTATAAAAGAAAATATAATAATAAAATACGCTGGTTGTTATAATACAGAAACAAATGATAATTTTTTTTATGAAAAATATTTTTATATAAAATAAGTTTTTACATGTGACTTCATTCATGTGACTCCGTTGGAGCACTAATGGAAGATGATAGGTAAAAATAAATGCAGGTCAGTTGGCTCACTATGATGAATTGGACAAGAATTAACCATGATAGTTTCTAGGGGAACCGCGTGGAGGTCTACCTGAGAGGGTATATTTCTAACAATGGCGGTATTAGACCTCATTACTCGTAATCAATTTCCTTCTACAAACCCGGCTTCGTACGGGTAGACAAAGTTTTCGAGAAAAACTATGTTACTTATTAATAATGTTTTAGTTTTAGTAATTAATAATTAACCACATTTTTATAGGTGAAAGAATTTTCAAAATCGGTTAAGTACATTTTTCCTCTTTATAATATTATTTTATTTTACTGAACTAGAACTCCAAATTACCTACTGGTTATTTGATTAGAATTACACACACACACACACACACACGCACACGCACACGCACACGCACACGCACACGCACACGCACACAAATAATTCAGTATTAGTTATTGTCGTTGTGTTGTCATATTTATCGAGGAGAAATTGCTATATATACATATTTCTAGATCTTACAATGACACATTACCTTAGACTGTAGTATTTGTTTCAATTACAGGTTTTCATCTGTGTTTAATTGCCCCTTCGTCTGGTCAGTTTCAATGCAGCCACATAATATCCACGTTGCTCTGATAGACGAGCTCCAGAACCCCGCGTATACCTACAACCATTGGTCAAGCGTGGACCCTCCGTTTTCTTTTACCGAACGAGTGACTGAATTATATGAGACTATTAGATACTATTATTATGCATGGTACGTATCCCTTAAACTCATTAATATCTATAATAATAAATAATATTTAATTAATCAAATATAGTCATAATAATCAGAATGGCGCAGATCGCTTATGTTTTCAAAGTTTAAACAAAAAGATTATATAAAACAATTAATAGTTTTTTTTATGCAACTTAGAATTGCAAACAAGCTGACGGCCCACCTGATTGAAAGTGGTAACCATCGCCTATAGACATGACCAGTACCATGGACATAACAGAGTATACTGTTTCGCCCATGATACTCCCAATGCGTTGCCATTCCTGAGGGCTCAGGTGTTATTCCTCTGTACCGTATAAATTCACCGCCATATCTGCCCTTCAAACTCAGCGGTTGACTGGAGGAAAAGCCCATCTGTGTACATTTTTGCTGTAACTTAATATTTATACTATAAGTGAATGTACATAAGCATATAAATAAATAAATAAACCATATTCTTGGCAGGTTACTGTCTGGTGATGAAAATAAATCATATGTTAATGCATTCTCTTCAGCTGTGGAAAAAAGAGGAAATGTTTTGCCGCCTTATAGTGAAGTGAAGTATAATGCATCATTAATATTAGGTAACTCTGACATCTCATGTGGTCACGCTATGCGTTTACCAGCTGCATACAAGCAGATAGGTGGATATCATATCGTTGACATTCCACCACTGTCAAAAGTAAGTGGTGTTTAAAACTATGAATAAATGTATGAAAATTATTTATTATTTTACTAAAAGAAAGAAATATTTAAAGTACTAGTAGCTTTTATCGGCATAAATAAATTTTGTGTATTTGTGTAATTTACTATAGTGATTCTTTTTCTCATATTAAATAATAGGAAAATAAATTGTTTTGGTTCTACAATAACATTAAATTATTGTAATGTTGCCGTCTAGTCCCGGAAGAGAATAGGCCATCCTTATTTCTTCCTTTCCTATGGGTGTTGTAAGAGGCGACTAAGAGAATTTAGTGGACAAGGGATGGGCAGCAGCTACCCTCTTAAAACATCACTAAAACCTAACCGCGGTTGCCATCCCACCTGTTAAGCGTGGTAATTGTGGATATTTACCCCTCCAACGGAAAAGCCTATGATCAGCAGTGGACGTTTAACGGCTGATGTAAATGTCGATGAAATAGAATGTAAATGTTTTTGAAATTGTTTAGAATTTACAAGAAATAATGGACAAAGCGCGCGATGGCGTTATTTACTTTAGCATGGGATCTATACTCCGGAGCAAGGATATGACGGATGATATGAAGAATCGATTACTAGATGTCTTCAGCAGTCTAAATCAGACTGTTATTTGGAAATTTGAGGAGCGTTTACGCAATTTGCCAAATAATGTTAATATTGTCGATTGGGCTCCACAACAAAGCATATTGGGTCAGTTTTTTATTTAAAATTATAAATGTGTTGAAGAACAGACAACTCACAAAATTTTAATATTTTAAACCACCAGTCACCGAAGGCTATGAACGCCTGCAATACCAGGGGAATTACGCGTCCGTTGTCGACCCTAATTGTAGAGATTTAATCCTAATTGTAGTGATCCAGACAGGACTATATAACAAACTATGATATAGAAGAAAGTACATCGAAGACGGAGAGACAAGGAATGTTTTTTAGTAGATGAAAATTGAATGGTAACTCCACCAATGCTATCCGTATACGCTGCATAACCAGTGAGAGATGATAGATGAGCATGAAAGCGGGTCAACATTTGGCCCATCGTGATAAATTCATTAACCAGAATTAACGACGATGGTTATCAGGGAAATCACGTGTAGGTAGATCTAATAGGGTTATTGCTAGCAGTGGAGCTTTTAGACGAAGATTTTTTCCCCCAAACAAAGAATATTAGTTACAGTTTATGGAACTTCTGTGAAAAAATCTTATTTTTACTATCTTCAGCTGTGCATTGTTATTAATGTAATTAATATCGGTCTAGTTATATGGAGTCAATGAACTGTTTTGAAAAATATGCAACGGTTTTGAGTCAATGATAATGCGATGGCGCTGGACTGACTCCATGCTGTTTACACAATGACAGTAATTGGTCAGCACTGTGTTCTCTCAAGTTGGGAGATAATAACTGACCGAATGTTAATCTATTCTCAGGCAGTAAACTTTTAATAACGGCATACTTTTTTATTCTTGTAGGGCATCGCAATTGTCTCCTTTTCATCACACATGGAGGATTACTATCCACCATAGAGGCTGTTCATTTTGGCGTTCCTATCATTGGTTTGCCAGCTTTTGGTGACCAGTACAAGAACATCAATAGAGCAGTGAAAAAAGGATTTGGAAAAAGAGTAGACTTGGACATGGAAATGCCAAAGAATCTACAAGTAGCTATTAAGGACATATTGCAGAATTCAAGGTAAGTAAATTTAAATTAAAGCTTGTAAATGACTTTATCGTTTGAAGACATTATATGAAGTATTACATAAATTTTAATTGCGATAAAATTTTTAGTCTGTCGCTATTCAATAATAACTCAATAATGTTTGCCTGTAAAAAATAAATACCCGTACAAGTTAAAAAATAATCTAGAAAACTAAGCAAATACACTAAACATAATAAATAAAATAAACAGAAATAAACTAGTTGAACATCTCGCTCCGCCGCGCAAAACAAGCTAGTCACTACTCGAGCCAAAAGTTACTATGGCGAGCGAACGAGCGCCTACCTTATACCGCGATTAGTAAATTCTCTACCTACCGACTTGCGAAACAATATCACTGTTAAAAACATAAAGTTTAAACTGAAAGCCTATTTACTGTTCAACCTTGTTAAAACAGCAGAATATTAATCTAAATATTGACATTTGAGAACGAAATGTAGAGTATCACACATAAGCCCAAAAGGTTTAAGTGGTACTAAAAATCCAGTTTTTTTTTAAATGTATTTATGCATCCTAATTAAATAAAAAAAAGAACACCAGCAGCTTAAGTTGAATTAAGAAATCCTTATTCTTAAATATTTTCACATTATGATCAATTTCTTTAATAATTTATATTGTTTTTTCTCCAAACAATTTTATATAACAATGTAATTTGTAATATCCAGACAATTATGTATCGAAAATCGGATTCTTAAATACGATGTGAAAATGAGTGGTCTTCCAAAAGTTTAGTCGCTGTTTTACCGTGATTACTGCGGTTGATGTCCATCGAATCTAAATATTAATTTTTTTTCCAATCTGCTAATTGGCAGTCTGTTTCTTATAGCACAATGATCCAATCTGCTGTTTGGATGTCAGGTTTAAATTTTGTTATTATATGATGAGGCGAATCCATTAACCAGCTCTTAATCTCTGCCTGTAAATGTTTCTACTAGTCCTTGGATGCTGTATCTTTTTAATCAAGAGAAACTAATGCTTCCCGATCCCTGTAATGCGAGCGGCCAATTCATTCCTATGCCTATTCAGTCTAGATTGATAATTTTTGTTGAATGTCTCGATTTTCTGTTTTACCGTTTTCAGTTTGATGTATATACATGAATTTATTACTTATATATTGTGGTATATTGAAACTAACATAATAATTTAGTATCAAATCTTTCAGATATAAGGAAAAAGTGAAGGAGTACTCGACGATATACCACCACCGGATAGCGCATCCTGGCGAGGAGTTAGTGCACTGGGTGGAGCATGTAGTACGTACGCGCGGCGCGCAATATTTACGTTCGTCCGCACTTCTTGTGCCCTTATATCAGAAGTTGTATCTAGACCTTGTCATTTTGGTAACGATTACTACATTAGTTGTTACAAAAAGTGTGTTCCAAATAAATATTTTAGTAATTAAATATTTTTATGTGAAAAATAAAACAGAATGATTAGATAAATTGTTGAAATGAGCTGAAATTATATTCATTTGCTGTGAATGTTGTACATAATGGGGTGGAATTAATGACAATAAGTAGCTTGCATATTCAGCCAGTTTGGCATGCAATATTTTTATACATAATTCATAATATTTTATCTATGTATTAAGTATTCATTCTTTTGATTAATTAATTAATACCAGAGGAAGACTTTGTACAAAAGTCGTTTGTTTGGGTACCTCAGACCCATTCGTGTGTCAAGCGTAAAGCAGTTGTGTTTTCATGGCTGTGTATCGGTTTGATATGGCGTGAATTTACAGGGTACAAAGGAATAACATGTGAGTCCTCAGGAATGGCAACGCATGGGGGGTATCATGGGTGAAACAGTATACTCTGTTATGTCCATGATACTGCTCATGTCTATAGGCGACGGTTATCACTTTCCATCATCCTTTCTAAGTATAAAAAAATATGATGTCTTTGTCATGATCATCTTTGAAATTCAGAGAAGATGCTAGCGTTTATAAATTATAGGCCATAGGTACTGAAATAGATATTGAATAAAATAAAAGAATGATTAATTTGAATTTTCTTTTTATTTATATCCTCATGATATTTACAGTGTTGATAACCTTATTTGAATATTAACGGTACCCTATAGCTACTACATGACTATATATACTATGGCTGTATGGTCGATCATCCGTTGCTTTCCCGTGTGTGGCGTAAGAGACGATTAAGGAAAATTAATAGACGAAAGATGGGCAGCAGCGTTCCTATTCAAACATCACCAAAGCCTAATTGCGGTTGCCAATCCGTCTAACAAGCTTGGCGATTATTGGCAAAACCCCTGTCATGGGAAAGGTTTATATTCAGCAGTGGACAGTTAACGTCTTTGAGTATTTTAAATTTTAACTTTTCATAAATAGTAATAGGGATAATAATATCCCAGATAATAGGGAGAGAAGGATTGTTAGTAATGGGGACGTTAATCCCCAATGCTAACAATATACCCTGTCAGGTTGATCTCCACGTGGTTCCCCCTGGAAACCATCGTCATTAATTATCGTCAAATTCGTCGTGGCCAACTGGCCTGACTTCATTCTCATTTGGCATCCCTCACTGGTGCCTTGCCAGTGTATACTGATAATACAGGCGGGGTTACCATTTCATTGTCATTCATTAAAAAAAAAGATAGTATCATATATTTTTTTATTTTATTTTATGACGATGGCAAATACTCATAATTATGGTAGTCTGATTGTGAATCTATCTTAAAGAAATCTTTTAATGTTTTTTTTAAAGAGCTGTAGTCTAAGAAACATAATTATATGTATAACGTCATAACTTGAGCTCTAAAACATATCAATGATGATGTAGGTACTTTTGGATTACGTATGCAAAGTTTTGTATTAACATTCAGTAACTTATATTATTCGGTCTCTTACGTATTGTTCTCAAGTGAACTATCTAAATAGTGATCTAACATCAATGTGTCCTTATTTGTATAAAACATGTTAACTTTTATTTCAGTCACTCACCTTCTTTCTTTTTCTATAAAATATATTCTTCTTAAAGTATTTTTAATTTCAACTTTCTTGACGTTGATCACGAGTACAGTTTCATAAGGGTCGGAGAACAAATAAAATACAGAGCTATTATGTCGTTATTATTTTTTATTTTGTGAAACAAATACTTTAATTAAGTGATATTTTAAAACCATACAATATTCCAAAGTGTATAACTATGTATAACACTGTGCAAGAAAACTGCGTTGTCATTGACAACGTATTTCACATAGTGATCATAAATTCGTATTTTGTACTTTTTATTCAACATTTACTGTTCAAAATTCAAATATATAATAAGTGAAAAACCTACTTGATTCAAGGCGATGATATAATTAATTATAAGACCTATTAAAATAATAATTGTTACTCTAATTTTATAATTCAAATCGCTATATGCAATCAAACTATTAATTTATCAATTCATAATATTACTATTATATAAGTATTAATTACCTGTGATGTTATTTACACTTTGTATTTTATAATATATTACTTCAATAATAAAAACTATGAAACATATACCCATTAAGTATAAATACACATATATAAATCCTTTAAAATCATTCAAACTTAGGGGCTGAGGATCTTTAACTGCATTTGTATTGTCTAAATGTAGAGTTATCATACTTTTAAATTGTTCATCTTTAGTTGCTTTTACAACAAATCCTGATTCAATTGCTCTTAGAATGAGTTCGTTAATTCTTTTTGCAGCTGGCCATCCACGTCTCATGAATAAGCAAGAGGGTGCAGAGTATGTCCTCGAACCAATATATTGTAAGTCTGTACCTAAATTTAACAGTTGAATCACTAGCTTATCGGCGAATACGATAAACCTTTTTCCCTTCGCAATATGTTGAAGCCATGTATAATTACCACGCATTTCGATCGTTTGATAATCATTTTCTAGTTTAGAGCCCTTTAGCATTGATTTATATAGGAGTCCCCCTCCGTAACCTTCAACTTCATTTACTGCATCATCCATAGACGTCCACGGTGCCTCCAAAAATACGTTTTGTAAGCCGCTCGTTAAATTTGCTTGAAACACCTGACGTACAACGACACAAAACCAGATCCACATAGTAAAAAGACTAGTAATTAAAGCTGATTTAGTTTTAAATTTAGTTTCTTGTCCTAGAAAAATCGAGTATGCTTTAATAAGAACATCTTTTTCACCTTTGTGTCTAAGTGAATAACATTTTGGAATGAATTTTAATAATACTACAAATATTGCGAACGTTGTCCAGAAAAATGGACTAATCGAATTGCTAAAGAAAGCGTGTCTAATTTTGGACCACGTTTCAATTGCTCTCCGCGGTGGTCCTACCCAACAATATATTTTAACGTTATACACATAAGATATTTGTGACAATTTGTACCTGTACACATCCAATACTGTACTAGGTATTACTATATCACTTATACGATCTCTCACATTTGAAAAGAGTTCGGTGTTGGTTGAATTTGAAATATTAACAGTTAAAGAGGCAGGTAAAATCTCCAAACTAGCATTCAGTACATAACTAAGAATAAAAGGTAGCTCAGCTTCTGTACCAGCTATGGACGTGACTGTATCATTTACTTTATTATATGTAATGTATGGATTAAGATGCATTAAAGTAATTTTAATTGGGCAGCCTTGAAAGTTTTTAAATTTATTTTTGTGAACCACTTTTATATCCCATACATCATTTAACAGGACTGGCGTAGTATCATCACAGATTCCATTACTATATGGAAAATATGTATATATTTTTGCTGTATTATTTTCGTTATGTAATATGAAGATATCAGCGATATCATATTTCCAAGAAATGTTAGTGATTTCTGTTAAGTTTGCATCTTCATTAGTCAACACTAATATTATTCGAATAGGTTCAATTATAATTTCATAAATTAAATTAATGTAGTTTTCAAACTCATTAGACTTTGATATAAAAAGGACGACTTGTTTATAGTTACGAGTATGTGTGATTTTAATTTCACGTACATTGTCGTTAATTTCTAATGGCGCACGATACGTGAGACCTTGATAATTTGATAAAAACATTGTAACATCATCACAGCTATTTGGAGACCACATCACTGTTGTTACAGAGTTGTTATAGAATATGGAATGTGCAATATTAACAGATATATCTATTAAATCAGCACCTTTCGCACTTGTTAACAATGTTAATGTGAATACAATTAATACTTTATTAATGGCCATTTTTAATTTAATGTTGATAAAACTTGAAAGTGAGGATGTCTTGTCAATATGGTGGCAAAAACTTTCTAAAGCATTGAATATGAAATAATAAATCAATTTGACAAATAATGGGAACATAATTAGAATTTCATATGAGGAAGTTACGATTATAATTATAGTAATTAATATTCCAAACAAAATAATATATTATTATTTTTGTTTACATACTTAATTGAAATATAATTAGAGGTACTAATGAATTGTACGTGTTATGAAGCCGATCGATTTATTTGTTAGAAATTTATAAATATGATTTAATATTATATTCATTCTCATCAGAAAATAAGACAAAACTAACACACGACTAAACCTGTACATAGGATATAAAGGAGTTAAAACTCTTATGGGATAGTAGAAGTATAAGTAGAATTAGATATATATGGATACAAGGATACATTTTATATTAATTCATGCAAGTAAATCAGTGGTGCATAATTAGTATGTGCAAATGATAGTCGGCACGATCTAACAGAATAATTTTATTAATGAAACTTCATAGAAGTTGATAATGGATAATTAATACTGAAGTGGATGCTCGAACTATTTGGAGTACTCAGATTAGGTCGTGATTAATTAAATATTTGGACTATAAATGAACGAGACATTTGAACCTCTGTACTAGTGTGATCGAAATTAGCCGTAACATTTAGTGAGTTCAAAACAGTTACTAACTGTACAAAATGAAAGTTATCGGCTTGCTGTGTTGTTTAATAACTTTGGCGTATTCTAAGACTTATTCAAAGGGTTACCGTAAGTACCTATTTGTTAAGTAATATGTATATTACTTATTGAACTGTTGTTCAAATACATCCTTACTTCCATATTAATGTTATAAATGAGTCGACTTCTATGGTGTTACCTACCGCTAGGTACATTATTTTGCGTAAGATGATTCTGGGTTCGATTCTCGGTCGGACCAATTTAAGGTGCTACATCCGTTGAACGGTCATTTTTAAAATGCCATCCCTAGATTAGAGCAACAGTAAAAAATCTAAAAAAAAAAAACAATATATATAAAAATTTGGTCGTTAAACTATCTTATTTAACTAACTTATCGTTAATCGCTGCTGCGCAATTTCCAATGGAATTGTGCAGCGGTGATTATCTGTATACTGCTTAATATATTGTATGTGTGTGTATGTGTATTGTGTATGTAAATTTACTAACATTAGTGTTTAAGAATATTGTTTCTAATAAATATTTAATGGACCAAAAAGTTTGAAATAAAAATTATTATTATTATTATTAAACTACAAAGAATAAAACACACTTTAAAATTTATTCAAATTGTAAGTTACATAAATTTAATAAACGGAAAGAGTATATTATTTTTAAAAATTTATATTCCGCCAAAACCGATAAACAGAGTTTCAAAATTCTTTAAATTGTGTGTTTAATTTTAAATTTGGCTAAAATTTTGATATCCAACCTGAATTTATTTTAAATATGTATTGGAGAATTGAAGAGGGTCTTTGCGCGGAACGCCTGTTGTTATAGATTTTTTTTATACAACTTTTTTTTTATACAACTTAGAATGGCAAACAAGCTGATGGCCCACCTGATGGAAAGGGTTACCGTCGCCTATAGACATGAGCAGTACCGTGGACATAACAGAGTATACTGTTTCGCCCATGAAACCCTTCAATCGTTGCCATTGCTGAGGACTCAGGTGTTATTCCTCTGTACCCAGTAAATTCACGCCATATTCCACCCTTCAAACCGAAATATGGAATATGCAAATTATCACCTTTCGCTCTTGTTAACAATGGTTATGTGATTTAAATTAAATATTTTATTGATAGCCATTTTTAATACAATGTTGATAAAACTTAGAAGTAGTGAGGTCTTGTTAGTATAATGACAGGAACTATAAAAAGTATTGAATATGAAATAATAAATCCATATGACAAATAATGGGAACGTAATTAGAACTTTACATGACTATGTAACGATAAAAATGGTGAAAATTATTAATTCAAAACAAAATAATATGTTATAGTTTTTACTCATATATTAATTGAGAGATTGAATAAAAATTAGAGGTACTTATGAATTATACGTGTTACGAAGCCAATCAATTTATTTGATAGAAATTAATAAATATGATTGAATATTATATTTATGCTCATAAAGAAATAAAAAAAGACAAAATATAAAATTGATACAAAAGTTTTTTTATTTTTTTTTATACAACTTAGAATGGCAAACAAGCTGACGGTCCACCTGATGGAAAGTGGTAACCGTCGCCTATAGACATGAGCAGTACCATGGATATACCATAACAGAGTATACTGTTTCACCCATGATACCCCCCATGCGTTGCCATTCCTGAGGACTCTTCTGTACCCAGTAAAGTAAAGCCTATTTATAAGATATAAAGGAGTTAAAAGTTTTTTTTTATTTTATACTAATTCATGCAAGAAAACCAGCAGTACACAACTAGTAGGTTTAATGATAGTCGGCACGATCTAACAAAATAAATGTATTAATGAAACTTCATAGAAGTTGATAATAGATAATTAACACTGAAGTGGATGCTCGAACTATTTGGAGTACTCAGATTAGGTCGTGATTAATTAAATATTTGGACGAGACATTTAAATCTCTGCACTAGTGTGATCGAAATTAGCCGCCATTTAGTGAGTTCAAAACAGTTACTAACTGTACAAAATGAAGATTTATTAGTTTACTGTGATGTTTAGTAACTTTGGCGTATTCTAAGAGTTATTCAAGGGGTTACCGTAAATATATGTTAATTAATAGACAGTCCAAATAAATCCTTACTTCCATACTAATGTTATAAATAAGACGACTTCCATGGCGGAGCGGTATATATATATACTATATAATATCTAACATATATTAGGTATATAGTTCCTCCTGCACCGCTCATCTTTGCCCCCCGCCTACTATACTCGCACGGCCAGCACCAGCGATCACAAAATAATTTTAACGGCTTATTTATTTTTACATCGCATTATCTTCTGACCAACTGTCTTAATTAACATCCTGTAAAAAGTAAACTTTGTCTCTATTAAGTTTCCGTTTTAAATTAGCTATTTGATTTTATAAGAATTTAAAAGTATACGCCAAAAATATACAAACTTGTAAAATTTATTTTACTTTTAATATAAAAAAAAATCTTTTCGGCTGCATGTTTAGTATAAACTTAGTTTGATTCGCGGACTTTTTTGTGAAATTACAGGGAGTGAATATATTGCTACAGAATGTTTTACTTTATCTCAAACCATGGATTGCATTTATTGCGATTAATTGTTGAAAATATATATTGAACAAAATTAAAAGCAGTCTATAACACTCAGAGATAATATATATTTCTGCAATTTGTATCATTAATGAAGACCTTTCCCGTATATCAGACTGGAGCAAAGCTTACGGCCTCACCGTAAATCCATCAAAAACGCAATGTATTATTATCGGTAGCCCTCATTATATATCTAAATTAAATTCAATTAATCTTCCACCAGTAGTTTTTAACGGTCAAGTAATTAAATATAGTACTAGTGTGAAAAATCTCGGAATACATTTTGATCAAACACTGACCTGGTCTTATCAAATATCTCAGTTAAGCCGTAAAATATTTGCTTCAATAGGTAGTCTCAATCGGCTGCGAAACTTTCTACCAGTCGGTACCAAGACTGCATTGGCACACTGTCTACTACTTCCTATTCTAGATTACGCTGATTCCTGTTATGTTAATCTTACAGAAGATCAATTAAATAAACTTGAGCGACTTCAGAACATATGTATACGGTTTATATTTAATCTTCGCAAATATGACCACATTTCTGATTTCCGCAATCAACTCAAGTGGCTTCCAATTCGCCTTCGCAGGAACTGGCACATCCTATCTCTTCTTTACACTATTCTTTTTCATCCTTCAACTCCCGATTACCTCAAAATGTGCTTTGAGTTTCATGTCGATTCTCAGGGTCGTACATTGCGCAGCGCGAGATCCCTTCGTTTAGTAACTCCTATTCATTCTTCTAAATTCTATTCCTATTCTTTCACTATAAAAGCTATCCGTCTCTGGAACTCCTTACCTCTTTCTATTAGATCAGCGCAATCTCTTGCCTCGTTCAAGAGGCAGGTAAAATCTCATTTCCTATCTCTCTAATTTGCTTTGACGTTTACTATGTGTGATTTATCTTGATCTATTTAGTATATTTATGTTTATGTATTATTATTTGTATTATATATATGTATGTTTATGTATTATTATTTATATTATATATGTATGTTTATTTAGGTTATGTAATCTTATTTTTATATTTAGAATTTTTTGCATTTTGTCTGATTCCTTTTATGCATTTACTGTGTCTGATTTGCGCCATCTACCTTTCTCTCTGTACTTATGCATTCTTTATGCCAGGTTGTCTGTAAGAGATTGCTTGTAGCGATAAGGCCGCCTTTTGTATATGCACGTTCTGTATAAATACTCCTTGTATACATCTTTACTGTGCGCAATAAAGAGTTTATTATTATTATTATTTCTCAAAGTGAAAGAATAGAATAGAAATCATTTATTCAAATAAACTTACATTGAAGCACTTTTGAAAAGTCATTACATTTTTTTTAATTTACCGCTCGTTCGGAAAGCTGTCTCATCACAAGAAGAACGAGCAAGAAACTTGCGTGATGCTCTTTTAAATAATTTTATTATTATTTTACATTTTTAAGTTTAATTGTGTGAATACAAACCACCAATTAGCACTAATTCAATTAAATACTCAAAAAGAAAAAAAAAATTGAATACATAACCAACTGGTTAAACAATTAATAAGAGGAAATCAGTCATAGTGATTAGAGCAGACCAGTCCCTACAAGCAGTACCCGTTCACGAGTATGACGGATGAGCCAGCCATCACTGCGCTCGACCATATTTTAGGGAGCCCAATGACCCGGCCCACCACGCCGCCACAAGTCTGGACATTTTAGTGAGCATGACTACTCAAAACACTAGACCACGTCAAAGCTACTCACAATTGCCATCTGATAGTTATAGTATTCACATTTTACATAAGAATGCATGCGGCAATTAATACAAAAAACCGCTACGCTTTCATATTTCTAAAATTAATCAATTAAATCAAGAAAGCAATGAGAAAATAAAATTATAACGTTGTATGCTAATAAACTAATTATTTACTTGATAAGTTGTCATCTATGAATTCGTCTATCCTGTAATAGGCTTTCTTACATAAAAATTGTTTAATATAAGATTTGAATTGCCTCTCTGTCAGATTTAATGCAGATTCCGGCAGTTTATTATAAAATCTTATGCAATTACCATAGAATGAATTACTGATTTTGTGCAGACGGCATTTAGGTAAAATAAGCTTATTTATATTGCGTAAGTTTCTACTTGTACAGTCTTTGAGTTTTTTAAAACTCGCTAAGTTCTTCCGTGTATACATAATATTTTCATAAATGTATTGTGAAGTAACTGTGAGGATATTTGAGTCTTTAAAGCACTAACGTAATGACTCTCTTGAACCCATACCATAAATAGAACGTATGGCTCTCTTTTGTAAAACAAATATAGTATTTATATCGGCTGCTTTACCCCACAGCAGTATGCCATAAGACATTATGCTATGGAAATAACTAAAATATACAAGTTTAGCCGTCGCCACGTCTGTTAATTGCCTAATTCTTCTAATTGCATATGCAGCAGAACTGAGTCTACTGGCCAATTTTGAAATATGGGGCCCCCATTGTAATTTCGAGTCCACTGTTATACCTAAAAAAACTGTATCATTAACAAAATTTACTATTTCGTCATTAAGCAATAACTGTGTATTTATTAGTCTTACATTAGGAAGTGTAAATTTTATACACTTTGTTTTGCTGGAATTTAATAATAGGTTATTACATGTAAACCAATTTAATATTGCAGACATAGCACAATTTATATCGTCTAATTGATTACTTTGACGTCCAATTTTAAACACTAACGAAGTATCATCCGCAAACAGCACTATATCTGCAATTTTCTCTACCATAAAGGGAAGGTCATTTATGTAGATTAAAAAGAGAAAGGGGCCTAAGATTGACCCTTGTGGAACGCCCATCTTAATATTAGCTCCCTTAGATTTTACACCGTCAATATCTACAGTTTGAACCCTATCCTCTAAATAAGTTCTCATTAATTTTAGATCATTATCTCTTATACCATAATGTTCGAGCTTGTACAAAAGCGTTTTATGATCCACACAATCAAATGCCTTTGATAGGTCACAAAAAACTCCGAGTGCATCCTGTGACCTCTCCCAAGATTCGAAAATATGTGTCATTAGCGCAACACCTGCGTCAGTGGTAGACTTGCCGGCGGTGAAACCATATTGCTGACTGTGAAGCAGTCCGTTAACCCTGAAGTGATGTAACATTTGATTTAACATTATCTTTTCAAACACCTTACTTAGAACTGGCAAAATAGATATAGGTCTATAGTTCCCTGGCTCAAATTTATCTCCTGATTTAAATAGTGGGATTAATTTGCTAAATTTCATTAAATGTGGAAAAACGCCATTATCAATACATTTATTAAAAATAGTGGCTAGATATGGAGCAACAATATCTATGAAAGAACTAACTACTTTTACAGACATGCCCCAAAGGTCTTCCGTATTTTTTAAATTTAGCTGTTTGAATATTTTTATGATATGAAAGGGGCTAACATGTGAAAATTTAAATCTTAAAGAACAACAACCGATATTAGTCTCTAGTAATTTTTTTGCTCGAGATTGAGATGAGTCCAGAGAAGATGTAATATCAATCGGAATATTAGCAAAAAAATTCTCAAAATCCGATTTGTAGTACCGAAGATCACCCCGAATATACAAACTCTAAAATTTACCTCTTTATAATATTATTAGCGTAGAGGTAGACTTGCCGTGTGATCCCGGTATAAAATAGGAGACCCCTTCCTATCCCGTAGGTGTCATTCCTATGACACCTACGGGATATGAAGGGGTCTCTTATTTTATAGTCAGCTCCTGCCGACTAAGGTAGGGCAACTTATGGGCAGTAGCGTCCCTCTTAAAACATCTCTAAAGTCAATCTGCGGTTGCTAATCAAGTTGCAAAGCGTGGCAACTACTGGAAAAACCCCCCAAGGGAAAGGCTTATGAGTGGACAGGCAGTGGACAGGTAAAAGTTGATATGATAATGAAAGAGAGGTAGAGTAATATTAATAATTGTTTAAAATTCAAATATATGTATAATAAGCGGTAAAATTTGCTAACATTTAGCAATTAGATGATTAGGTCTAATTCCTAATAGTATAAATTATTTGATATAAAGCGATGATATAATGAATAATTGTTATTAAAACACTAATTGCCACTCTAATTGTATAATGATCTTTAGTATTTACGATTACACACAATTTATAAATTCATAATATTACTACTAGAACAGCATTTATTGTCTGTGATGTTACTGATATTTTGTATTTTATAATATATTACTTCAATAATAAAAACTATGAAACATATACCCATTAAGTATAAATACACATATATAAATCCTTTAAAATCATTCAAACTCAGTGGATGAGGACCATTCACAGTGTTCAGATTGTTAAAATATAGATTAATCATTCCTGTAAATCGTTTATCTCTAATTGCTTTTATAGTAAATCCCGCTTCAATAGCTCTTAGAATGAGGCTGCTAATTCTATTTGCAGCTGGCCATCCAGGTCTCATGAACGCGCAAGCGGGTGCGGGGTATGTCTTCGGACCAATATATTGGAGGTCTGCATCTAAATTCAAAAGTTGAACCACTAGTTTGTCGGCGAACACGATAAATCTCCTTCCCTTCGCAACGTTTTGGAGCCACGTATAGTTACCACGCATTTCGATCACTTGATAATCTTTCTCTAGTTTCGAGCCCTTCAGCATCGCTTTATATTGGAGTCCCCCTCCGTAACCTTCAACTTCATTTACTGCATCATCCATAGACATCCACGGTGTCTCCAAAAATACGTTTTGTAAGCCGCTCGTTAAATTTGCTTGAAACACCTGGCGTACAACGACACAAAACCAGAGCCACATAGTAAAAAGACTGATAACTAAAAGTGATTTACCTTTAAATTTAGTTTCTTGTCCTAGAAAAATCGAGTATGCTTTAATAAGAACATCCTTTTCACCTTTGAGTCTAAGAGGATAACATTTTGGAATAAATTTTAATAATACTACAAATATTACGAATGTTGTCCAGAAATATGGACTAATTGAATTGGTAAAGAAAGCGTGTCTAATTTTGGACCACGTTTCAATTGCTCTTCGCGGTGGTCCTACCCAACAATATACTTTAATGTTATACACATAAGATATTTGTGACAATTTATATCTGTACATATCTAATAGTGCACTAGGTATTACCATATCGCTTATACGATATTTCACGCTTGAAAAGAGATCAGACTTGGTTGAATCTGAAACATTAATAGTTATAGAAACAGGCAAAAATTCCAAACTAGCATTCAGTATATAACTAAGAACAAAAAGTAGATCAGCTTCTGTACCAGTTATGGACGTGACTATACCATCTACTATATTATATGTAATATATGGATAAATGTTTACTAAAGTAACTTTAATTGAGCATCGTTGAAAGTTTTGAAATTTACTTGTAAGAGCTACTCTTATATCTCTTCCATCATTTAATAGGACTGGCATAGTATTACCACAGATTCCATTACTATATGGAAAATATGTATATATTTTCGCTGTATTATTATGGTTATATATAATGAAAATATCAGCGATATCATATCTCCAGGCAATATTAGTTACTTCTGTTAAGTTTGCATCTTCACTAGTGAACACTAATATTATCTGAACAGGTATAATCATAACTTCATAAATTAAATTAATGTAGTCTTCGAACTCATCACACTTTGATATGAAAAGGACAACTTGTCTATAGTCAAGTGTGATCTTCATTTCTCGTATATTGTCGTTAATTACTAATGGCGCATGATAAGTGAGCCCTCGATATTTTGGTAAAAACATTGTGATATCATCACAACTATTTGGAGACCACATCACCGCTGTTACAAATTTACTATAGAATATGGAATGTGCAATATTAACAGATACATCTATCAAATTACCACCTTTCGTTCTTGTTAACAATGTTAATATGTTTAAAATTAATATTTTATTGATGGTCATTTTTAATACAATGTTGATAAAACTTGAAAGAAGTGAGGTCTTGTTAGTACGATGACATGAACTGTATAAAGCATTGAATACGAAAAAATAAATTAATTTTATAAGTAAATGGAACATAATTAGAACTTCACATGACGATGTAACGATAAAAATGATAAAAATTTATAATTTAAAAATGAAATAATATATATTATTTTTATATATACGTTTAATTGAAATATAATTAGAGGTACTAATGAATTATACGTGTTACGAAGTCGAACGATTTATTTTTTAGAAATTAGTAATATATTTTTAATATTTGAACCCTATAAGTTATGACTTAGTTGACGTAATCAGATGGCGTGGGTAAAAATCGGCCCCTCCGCCACGACCACCGTATAGCATGTGACTCCCAATGTTTTATTTATGCTTATCAAACAAACAAATAGACAATATTAATATAAAACTAATATAGAAATAAGGCCTATATATATAAGATCATGATTATACCGTATTAGCCGTTAAGTACCCCATTATAGGGAACGAGGGAGGGAACCCTTTATAGAGAAGGCGTATGTTCAGCAGTGTACTGCTGAACATGGCCTTTCACAAAGGGGGGTTTTGGGAAGGGGGGGTTACAACATATATAGTATATATTGTAAATGTAAATGTTATTTTTTGCATCTTTACGATATACTATATATTGTAAAGATGCATTTTAAACTAATTAATGCAAGTAAACAAGCGTCACGAAACTGTAAGTGAAATTTTAAATCTTTTTGATATTTTGAGTTACTCTACCGACATTATATTTTTCTTGCGTTTATTTTATACTAGCTTTTACCCGCGACTTCGTCCGAATGACTAGGATATGCTTATTGACCGGGATAAAACGTAGCCTATACCCTTCTACATCTTATATAATACGTGTATATCAAGTTCTATATTGATTAGGTTTAAGTAGTTAAAACAGTCTAATGTAACAAACTCCTTTTCTCATTTATAATATTAGTAAGGATTGAGTATACGTGTATTTATCTTTCTTCTGTAAAATTGGATCTATTAGGATTTTCCTGCTCTTTTACAGACGGTCCAAGAAGATGTGTCAACGTGTGGGATGAAGGCTGTATCAACGGTCAGCTTAATGGTGCAGGTAATATTAATTGTATTACATTAATGATAGTTTTAAATCGAATAAATTATATTAATTTTAATGTTTATTAGAGGGAGACTGTACAAAAGTAGGTACCTCTATCCCATTCGTGTTTCAACCGTGAACCAGTTGTGTTTGTATGGCTGTATTTCGGTTTGAAGGGTGGCGGTGAGTTTACAGAGACAGACGTATAATACCTGAATACTCAGAAATAACAACGCGTGGGGGGCATCATAGGCGAAACAGTATACTCTGTTGTGTCCATGGTACTGCTCATGACTATAGGCGACGGTTACCACTTTCCATCAGGTTGAATAAAAACAATTGCAGCTGTCCTGCGAGAAGCTGAAGACCGTGCAAAATGGAATAACATCATAAGAGAGGCAACAGACACCTTTCAAGCACACGACCTTCAGCAATGAAGAGGACGAAGAGAGAGAGATTAAAAAACCTTATACTTTAATTCAATGTCATTATTTTGAAATATTTTTATTTTTTATTAGCAGGATATTTCCCGCGGCTTTGCTTGCATGAATCAGTAACATAAAATATCCTATGTATTAAGTTAGAATATAATCTACTAGTGTAATTTCATTCAAGTCTGTTCTGTAGTTTTTGTGTGAACAACTAACAGACATGTATCCGTCCATTGTGTTTCTTTAAACATTATTGATAAATAAAATGTGGTATAAAAGGTTCGAATTAATACTACAGGTATTCTCTAGTCAGTCTAGTCAACCTTGAAGACATGCAAAAATACTCGATGATGGTTTAAAAAATAAAATTATTTATGGTCATCATATTATATCTATTTATTATCTGTTTTACAGATTTATTTTTTTAACGCGCCACCTACCTATTTATGCTTTAATTCCTTTTACCCAAAGGTTGTCTGGAAGAGATTGCTTAGCAATATGACCGCGTTTTGTACTACACTATACGTATTGAAAATTGTTCAACAAATCTTGTTATATTAGTGCAATAAAGTGTTAAATAAATTAATTAAATAAATAAATATACCACTTTATGTTTCACTATCCATTTACTGTCCACTGCTGGACATAGGACTTTCCCATAATAGGGGTTTTGCCAGTAGTTGCCACGCCTAACAGGCGGATTGGCAATCATAGTTAGGCTTTAGAGATGTTTTAAGAGGGATGCTGCTACTCATCAATCGCCCTTCCTTAGTCGCCTCTTACGACACCCACGGAAGAGGAAGGGGTGGCCCATTCTATGCAGGGACCATACGACTATATATTGTAATGTAAGTGATGATTTCAGGTGGTGATGATGATTATCTGAGCAACGGATTCACCCCCGGCAAACGTTGCGTTAACATGTGGGACGAAGGATGCATCAATGGACAGCTGCCTGGCGCTGGTAATTGTCTATTATATATATAATATATATATAATATACTATATTAAAGAGTAAAATCTTAAAAAAATAGTAGTTTTTTCAACCGACTTCAAAAACAAAAATGTTTTTAATTCGTTTGTATTTTTTTATGTTTTATAAGCATTATAAAATTCGAATATATAGTAGTTCAGATTATGGAATGATCTCCCCAATCATGATGATGATGATGATGAGGTTTTTTCCAAGAGACTACAGCATTGGGTTCTTCAAAAAAGAAAGAAGAAAGAAAGAAAGAAAGAAAACATTTATTGACAACAACAAAAAGTTACATAAATTATGAATTAAAAAACAAAAAAACTTTACATTTATTATTATATTAAAAAGGGGTAAAGAGTTTCCTTTAGGGTCGGCAACGTGCCCATAAATACCCCCGGTGTCACAGATTTTCATAGGTTACTGTAACCACTTACCATCAGGTGGGCCGTTTGTGCGTGCGTGCACACACACGTGCTTGTTTACCAATTCAGTGGTATAAAAAAGTCTGTACAACAAAGTACATTTCTTTTGGAAATTACAAAACCTTGTTTTCTCTGCCTATGTAAATAAGCGACCAAACAAGCAGATAGAATATATGCTACTATCTAGCATTCTGTAGTTAAGTCTCCAGGATTTAATGGAGAAATTAGTCATGCCCGTCTGTTCATTTTTCTAACTATTCACCTAATCTCTTTTCTGTCAGTCTGTACATTAAAGTATTATAACATTTAGCATCATCATATCAGCTGTTAATTGTCCATTGCTGAACATAGGTCTCCCCCATAAGAGAGAGCTTTGTCAGTATTTGCGTAGGTTGGCAATCGCAGTTAAGCTTTGATAATGTTTTAAGAAAAGTGTAAGGTAATATTCTAATAAAAGGTGGATTCTCCAAACAACAAAATGGTGAGGTCCAGCAGGAAAAAGAAGTGTTGGAAGGCAAAGAAAGAGACGATCTGATGATATAACAAAGACAGCAGGAAAAAACTGGACAAATACTGCTAGAGATAAGGAGAAGTGGAAAAAGATGGAGGAGGCATTTATACTTGGGGACCATTGAAGTGGAGAGAAAGCTGTAATAATAATAATAGTTTTTGGTGGATGTGACCATACCGCATGATGAGAACCTCGTGAAAGCTGAAACCGAGAAAAAGAGGAAATATTTCGACTTGGCTCACGAGGTGACCGAAATGTGGGGGGGTGGCGTTCACCGAAATCATTCCAATCGTTTTGTCGGTGAACGGTCTTATCCCAACTAGTCTGGAACAACATCTCAGACGGTTGGTATTCCATGGCGGCTCACACTCGGGAAAGATGCAGAAAGCGGTGCTCTTAGATACTACCCGCCGTACTGTAAGTCAGTTTCTCTCCCTGGGGACTTGAACCCCGGCCGACTGTGCTTCTGCTGGGGGTTGGTTTGCCATCTCCTCTCCTTAAGAGTCCTCTCTTGAGGGTGAATTTAAAATAATAATAATAATGTTTTATAATACTCTCCAATTATCTTTCCCTTCTCACCGTATTGGTTACGCTTCAAACTCTTTTCTCCTACATTCTTCACGACTCTGGAACGCGCTTCCTGATGCCATTAAGAGACTACCGACTAAACCGTCTTTCAAAAAAAGCGTTCACGCTCACTTTTTATCTTTATCCGAGCAGTAAGTGCTTTATATAGTATAGTATATATCATATATGTATCATATATCGTGTATAATATAGTATATATCATATATGTGTAAGTATATTTGTTATTCATATATATTTATTCGTTTATATATGTAATTTTAGTATGTATTTATATCAATAATTAGTAGTACCGCATTCGAGTATTCTGACACTTCCCTATGGTTGACTGGGAGAGAATGCTTTTAGCATTAAGTCCGCCATGTACACATATTTGTACTAATGAATAAATAAATAAATATTTTAAGAAGGACGTTACTGACCATTCTTCGAATAGTAAGTTATAATACATTAAATTAACATAAATCGTAGTGAAAATCGTGAATTATAAATACAATTTCAGGTGGCGATGACGGCTACTTGAACGGTGGCTTCAATCCTGGGAAACGTTGCGTTAATATGTGGGATGAAGGATGTATAAATGGACAGTTACCTGGATCGGGTAAAGTTACACTTACTGCTAGGAATATTTATTTATTTATTATTTTTGAAGGAAGCTTACAGCTGTAATCTATACTTATAATAAATCTGTAGAGAGGTCAATTTTGTACATGAAATATATTTCCAAAATAATTATCAGGGGGTGATTAATGATCGATACTGATGCCAAAAATGCAATCAGCAAAATTTTTGTCTGTCTGTCTGTATGTTCGGTATAGAAACAAAAACTACTCGACGAATTTTAACAAAAATGGTACAATTATTCTTCATACTCCTGGGCAGGTTATAGTATTAGGTTATTAGTATTAGTAGTATACTTTTATCATGCTACGATCAATAGGAGCAGAGCAGTGAAGGGAAATGTTGGGAAAACGGGAGAAGTTACTCCATTTTTAAGCTTCCGTCGCGTGTGCAGCCTTAATGGCCACTTTTTAAAATGTCAAAATGTCCACCCGTGCGAAGCCGGGACGGGCCGCTAGTAACTTAATAATTAATTATACATGACAACAACAAGCTAATTAAAAGCTACCACATATGATTAACGAAAATTAAATTACTTACAGTCTAGATAATTATTAAATGTTCATTAAAACACAGGTTAAACATTTAACTTCGTTAAAATCAATATAATACTGAAATCATTTGGCAATTCAACCTTCAAGTGTTCTTATCAGAACTCTATTCTTTACTGACATTTCCTATCCCCTTTTTCTTATCCATTTCTTTCATGAGAACTTTAATTATATTTTTTATTGTTGTTATTTATCTAAATTCATTTATCTTTTTCACTATTTTCATGTTTATTCTTCATTATTTTTATTCTTCCTTCTTGATTTTGTCATTATTATTCTATGCATTCTATTTTTTTGTTTTTATTTTATTTATTTTATTGCTGTTTTGTTACTTATGATAGATAGATACAAAATTTATTTGTATTACTTATAGCATACAAATAACAACATTCATGGATACGTACACAAAAAAAAGAAATAAAAGAATAAATATACAAAAAAAAAAAAAACAAAAAGTAAAAAGTAAAAAAGTAACAAAATTTTTCATTGTGAGTATACGCCACAATATCATAAAATGGCCTTAATTCAGTTTATTTCTTTGCCCTCAAAAGAACGAAACACTGATAGTCTGTTATGGCCAAGAGCCATTTATGATTAGATATGTTCTCTTATAACACACGATATGTATATCTGATATCAGATACGCACACTATGACAATGCGCTTGTATTGTGTGTGTATCTACAAATAAAACTTACAGGCGTTTGTGAATGAACATATTGTGATTTTTTTTTTAATTAATTGTTTTATTGCAGGTGGCGATGACGATTACCTTAACGGCGGTTTCAACCCCGGTAAACGGTGCATCAACTTGTGGGATGAAGGTTGCGCCAACGGACAACTTAATGGAGCAGGTATGTTTCATACCTATCCAGAGTTAAAGTTTAATTTGTTAGGAGAGAAGCGTCATATAGACGTCTATAGATGTTTTTTTATGGGTGAAAATGGTATGGTAACCCCGCCTGCGCTAACGGGATATGCTGGCAGAGCACCAGTGAAGGGTGATGGATGAGAATGAAAACAGGCTAGATGGCCTATCATGATGAATTCATCAGGAATTAACCATGATAGTTTCCAGGGGGAACCACGAGGAGGTCGACCTGGTTGGGTATATTGCTAGCAATGGGATTCTTAGTCTCCATTACTAACAATTCCTTTCCCCCCGACGTCTATAGGTTACGGCAGCCTCTCCAAAAGTGGGCGATAACGCCCCCTTGTGGGCGCTGCAGACCTAAAGGGGGGCGGTAAGAGAATCTATACTATTGTATTTGATATATATATATATATATATATATATATTGTATAGATATCCCTATATACATTGTTATATAATTTAACGGAGAATGAGTAATATATATAAATACCTTTGAACATAGCCTATATTCGTAAAATGTGTGTTTTGTTTTTTTTTATCGTCTTCTATAGACATACATGACATTAACGGAGAATGAAGAACCCCATCCTGTAGTTTCTTGGGAAAACCTTAAAAAACTTGTTTCGTGAGAAACTCTCTGAATATGTGCAGGACATGTTGAGATGGCTACGGTGTGTATGTGTGGCTGTGTGTCGTATCCCGAAATTTCACTGCCATATCTCATCTTTCAAACCGAAACACAGCTATACAAACACAGGTTCTTCATGGTAGAAACACTGGTGGAACAAAGGTATTTATGTAGGCGACTGTCCTACAATTTATGCGATTGAAATTGATTGAACACGATGAAGGACGAAATGACTGTACGCAGAAGTTTCAAGTTGGTCAGCAAGTAATGGAGAGGGCTATTATCGGAGTTTTTTTGCGTGATAGAATCCAAAATGACGATATCTGTAGAAGGACCAAAGAGATCTGCCTATTTCTTTTATTCTTCTGCAGATTAGTGCTACTCGCTCGGTTTATGTCGAGCACGAAGGATAAGCAAGTTGGTGTGCTAATGGATTGGCCACATACCTCGAAAAAAAAGACAACTAATGGGGAAGAAAGTTTCTTCTGTGACGACCTCATATAGACAAACATCCACTAGGCAGAGTGACGACCAAAAACGCATTATAAGGACAGTTTCTTTGCGATCCCATACAGGCAACCTTTCACTAGACGGAGTGACGACCTCAAACGCATTATAGGGAATTAGTGAATGCAGGTGCCTTGGATCTGTCCTTACGGCAGTCTATGAGGGCAGGCCTATGTTCAGCGATAGACAGTTAATGACTGAAATGATGATGAAATCACGGGAAAAGCTAGTTTTTTCAATTAAATTATTACTATATTAAGCATGTGTTATTTCATTTTCAGGTAGCGATGACTCTTATCTGGGTGGCGGTTTCAATCCAGGCAAGAGATCGCTTCATGAGATTTTGGCAAAACTACAAAAGGCCCACTCGAAGAAGCAATAAAATTTTTCCTTTGCTGTTTAATAATTTTCATATTTTTTTTTTGGAATACAAGTAGATCTGTCTTATTATTTATGCTAGTCTCATCACTGTATGTATTTAAAAATAAAATAATATAAAACGCCTCCTATCTTTTATTTCATAACACGTACGAACACGTAACGAGTACGTTATCAATTCGAACGAATAGTTTAGGCTCTACAATTAATATAGATCATAATTGCATTTAAAAAAGTAATTTTTTAAAGGGAAATTACATGAAGAACATGCGATTTTTTTCTAATTTATGTCATATTCAGGAACAGCCCACTAAACTTCAATTAATTTTATTAAAATTAATTATACTACTTGGCTGTGTGATCCCGGTATAGAATAGGCCACCCCTTCCTTTCCCGTAGGTGTCTTAAAAGGCGACTAAGGAAGGACGAGGGATGGGCAGCAGCGTTTATCCTAAAACATCTCCAAAGCCTAACTGTGGTTGCGAATCTGCCTGCCAAGCGTAGTAACTACTGGCAAAACCCTCCAAGGGGAGGTTTATGTTCAGCATTGGTCAGTTAAAGGCTGATATGGTGATAATGATGAATGTGATAAATGTGTTAAATATGATGAATATGATAGGCGACTAAGGCAACTTAATGAAGTTGCCTTAGTTGCCTCTTACGACACTCATGGGAAAGGAAGGGATTACCTAATCGTATATTTGTATATTATTGTTTTGTAGTATTATAATATAATATACATTTGTAGTATCGACAATATAATATAAAAAATAGATGTACGGCTAGTTTACTTCTTTTAGCACGAAGGTGGCAAACAAGTATATTATACAGATCATCTGATGGTAAATGGTTACTGTAGCCTATAGACGCTTACAACCTACCCCTAAGTATTACGTGCGCATGGTCGACCCTGAAGAAATGTTAATACACTCTTTTTGAATAACTCCATACTGTATTGTGTGATAAAACTCACCAATTCCAACCCGCCATAAACTATAAAGTTTCATCCCAACCATCTGGACGAGTGGCGGTCCTTCACCGTGCCTTTTTCAAGGCACTTTCTCCCACGCACAACCACTCTTTGGAATCAACTTCCAGCAGCGGTAATTCCGAACCGATACGACAACCTAACCTTCAAGAAAAGAGTATATTCCTTTTTAAAAGTCCGGCAGCACACATGCCGTTGGTGTTGTGGGTGACCATGGGCGGCGGTAGTCACTTACTATCAGGTGAGCCGCATGCTCGTTTGCCTCATGTGTTGTAAAAAAAAATTAATACCTCCGAAAAATGTGCCATTTAATAAAAGTTACAAGTCGTCGAAAGGGAGACACTTTATCTATATATTAACGATCTATGTAGTAGATAGTAGTATAATAGATAAAGTTTAAAACTATGAACAATAAAATTTTTTATATCCTGTTATAAATATTTTTGAGCTACTTCAAGGATTTTGGTTAGATTAATATAATAAAAAGATAGGTAAGTATTGATTAATACCCTGGCTGTTATGCAAGAAGTATTAAATTTCTTCCGGGGGTCGGCCTCCACGCGGGGGAAAGGGATTATTAGAAATAGTTTTGATCGATCCCATTGATAGCAATACACCCTATCAGGTCAATCTTCACGCGGTAACCCCTGGAAACCATTGTGGATAATTCTTGTTGAACTCTTCACGATGTGCCGACTGACCTGCCTTCATCTTCATCTATCATCTATTACTGGTGCTTCGCCAGCGCCTTTCACCCATTAAAAAAAAGACCTCCACGTGGTTCCCCCTGGAAATCATCGTGGTTCGGTAACTTATATGGCAACCGCAGTTAGGCTTTAATTATGATTTAAGAGGGCCGTTGCTGCCCATCTCTCGACTATTAAATTCACTTAGTCGCCTCTTACGACACCCACGGGAAAGGAAGAGGTGGCCCATTCTATGACAGGATCACACGGCAATTATTTATTATATGCTTTTCATATGTATAATATGTGACGGTTACCACTTTCCATCAGTTGCGTCGTCATGTTCAAAGAACCGTCGTGATTGATAATAATAATAAATAACAATAATAATTTATTTCAAAATAAATGTTACATTTTAAATATAGGTAAAACTCTGCTCCCTAAATAGGTAAATCCTGTACTTTAGGATAAGCAGTGCTCTTCCCTATACGGCATAATGACACAAAATTATATATATAAAAAAAAAGAAACAATACAAGTTAAGGTACACTAATACAGTAATAATTTAATTTGCCCAAATAATATTTTGTAAATGAAATCTTGACTGTGTAATTTGTGAATGTATGGAATGGATGAGTTATTTTGAAATGGCAGTCATAACCTAACATACTACTAATAACAAATGATAGCGTCGTATTGGCCGATGTTTTACGAATACATCACGCACCTGCCGTGTGCGGTGTAATCTTTGAAATGTTTATCTAATATTATTATATTTGGCGATGCGTAATCTAATCCCATTTTTCAGGTTCCGCAGTTAAATGGCTAAACCAAAACACTAATTATGAGAACGACAAGCGGAGGTCTAAAAAAAACGAAGTTTTATTAAAATTAATTTGACGCCAAATGTTGCAGCATAAAATTCTTACCTATATCTAATTTTTTTATACAACTTAGAATGGCAAACAAGCTGACGGCCCACCTGATGGAAAGTGGTAACCGTCGCCTATAGACACGAGCAGTACCATGGACATAACAGAGTATACTGTTATGTCCATGTCTATGTGGGCGACTATGATACCCCCCATGCGTTGCCATTCCTGAGAACTCAGATGTTATTCCTCTGTACCCTGTAAATTCACGCCACATCCCACCCTTCAAACCGAAACACAGCCATGCAAATACAACTGCTTCACGGTAGAAACACGAATGGGACAGAGGTATCCAAGCAATCGACTTCTGTACAAAGTCTTCCTCTGGTAAATTATTATTAAAATCCCTGCCAAGTTCGAAGTGTGAACCAGGAGTGAGTTTTGAAGTTGTCACGTAGACCAGCCTCATGCTGTAGCGTCAGCAATTACCTAGTTAGGCATTTCCACGGGTTTTGGATGCGATGCGGCCAGCGGTCTCTATGGTGGCTCGCTATGTAACTTACTTGTAATACCGCTGTGCTTATTTATTTTTAATCAATTATTTTTTTTTATTAAAGAAAGACCAATAGCTAATAAAATTATAATAAAAAAGACAATATATAAAAAAAGGCATGAAAAAAAGTGTTTGGACAGACACATATACAGGCTAGTTGTATCCAGCGGTTTCTCACACAGTTGTATCGGGATGTTGAATAGTTTATAACCTAGGTACAGTAAAAAAGATTTTGGAAATCACTCATATCAGAAGATACGATTAATGTATGAAATCTTTATTATCGAACGAGCACGTGGCTCATCTGAATGACAATTGCCGTGTATGATCATCCACAACACCGAAGAAATTATTGCAGGTCTGCTGCCGGCCTTTCAAAAAATAATATACTATTTTCTTGAAGGTTATGATGTCATATCTCTTTAGTAATAAAGTTGCAATAGGCTGGTCACACAGCTCGGAGAACTGACAACCGATGGGGAAGAAAGATTCTTGAGTGGCGACTCTGTACGGCTAAACGTAGTGTAAGATGACTCTTTGTTAAATGGAGTGACGACCTCAAATGCATTGCAGGGAGTCAGTGGATGCAGATGGCTCAGGACTGTTCCTTATGGCAGCCTATGGAGGAGGCCTATGTTCAGCAGCAGATGATGATGATGATCTGTTTGGTAATGCTACTGATGTTGGTTACAAAGTATGATTACGTTGTTTTTAATGTAAATAATTTAATAAATTATTTATTTATTTATTTATTAGTACAAATATGTGTACATGGCGGACTTAATGCTAAAAGCATTCTCTCCCATAGTCAACCGTACGGAAGTGTCAGAATACTCGAATGCGGTATTAGTAATTATTGATATACATACATACTAAAATCACATATATATTAATAATTATATTATTATTATCTTACTATTATGATAAAATTGTAACTAGATGATGTCTGCATATAGGAGATGTTTAAGAAAAATTTATATGAAGGCTCTTTATAAGAGGAATAGAAGCCAAAATAATATTTTTTAGAAATTTTGTCTATCTATATGCTATTTATTTATTTTTGTGGTACAACAACAGATTACAAACAAAACTTTTAACAATAGAATACGACAATAGCATTATAAGTTTGCAATCCAATTATAGTTGTACTCAACATTCACAGAGGTGAAACAGAATAGGCTGATTTTTATTACAAAAAAGAATGAATGATAAAAACTACATACAAAACAAGAATCAAAAACAAAACTACCAAACCGTGCTTATAAACTATTAGGTTGTCAATGTATGTGTATGTTTGTTCTGGTATCACGCAAATATTACAGCACGCGATTGGATACGGTTTTCACAATTGTATTACTGAAAGTCTAACTTAAATACAGGTGTATGTCTTAACTTCATATCCCATCTAGAAGTAATCTATGTCATACTTTCTCCACTTCTGAAATCCAAGCGAACGAAATAGCCAGTATGTATAATTTCTTCATAATTCGAGGGAACCCTTTTGTTTTATTTGTATTTGTATTTTAGGAAATCCTTATATGTTGATATTATCTGCAGATTATTATTATAGGGCAGTTTGAGTGGTGTATGAAGTACCTATACTTAAAATTCTCCTACTAGCGTTGACTGGCACAATCAGTATCTAATTACGCAAAGTCACACAGATAACATTATTAGTAGTCGAGTCATTATGACTATAAATGTAATATGTTTATATAAATTTAAATAATTCGATGTACGTGGATTAATTTATTATAAATTGTGAGTAAATGTCTTAATTGTGCATTAATTGTTTAGTGTTTATAAAGTATAGTAATTATAAAGGTTTGTTTTTAGTTTTTTTTTTTTTTATTAAATTGTTGATTTAATTGTAGGTTAAGTTTTTTTTTGTAAGTAAGTAAATAATATTTTGCTTTAAGATTACATAGAGTGTTTTTATACAAACGCATTGAGAGAAGCGGGTCAACTTTTTCATATAATTTTACGTGATAAATAGTTTTTTTTTATAACATCTATATTTATTTAGTTTTATAATTTTTGCATCTTTTGAATGCATAAAAATTGTTTTTATTTATTAAATAATTAAATATAGATAGGCCAAGATACATTATGTTTTTAAGTATATAGAACACTGATAAAAAAACGAGTCAGCTAATTTGACAATTAGCTGACAAAAAGTTGTCCCGTTTTTTAGACTCGATGCTCTATCTATATAATCCAAGATGTTCCTATTTCGTATATCTTATTTTGATGACTTTTATATAATAGAAAGGGTTATTTTCATTTTCCTTCGATAATATTTTTGTTTTTTATTTTTTAGTGTAACAAATAACTAAACATTTATTCTAAAATTAAATTGGTTAAGCCGTTAAAGCTTCGAGATGTAACAAACATTGTTTGTTTGTTACATCTCGACACACATATTTATATTTATAATATTAATAAAAATTAGTAAAGAAAATTATAAGACAATCGATAAGAAAAAAGTATTATAATAGTATCGCATTATTTTAAACCATACTATAAAAATAAAGATTATTCTTATGAGGTCTCCCCAGTATACAAGTACAATTTATGTATTTCTTTAATTCTTTATTGTACACACCAGTTAAAAGAATATGATAGAGGTAATCAAATGTACAAAGGCGAGCTTAACTCTAATAGAGTTCTCTTCCAGCAACACCCAAAGTGGAAAGGAGCATCAGTGTCAGCGGGTCGAGCGGTGTACAATAATATCAAAAAAATTTTTTTTTTTTAAATTTGCAGAATGAACAAGTTATGTTTCTTGATATTCGTGTTTCTGAACGCGAGCTTCTCCGAAAGCTACAAAATATTGGTATCATTCCCTGTGCCCAGTAAGAGTCACAAGATTCTCGGTGATGGAGTGGTCAGGCATCTGGTGAAGGCTGGACATGAGGTATGTCATTTTATTACTTTTATCTAATTAGCTGTATTCCGTGGGCTCGTTTGGCATTACGGCATCATCAGCGTCATGATCATCATATCAGCTTTTACCTGTTCACTGTTAAAACATAACCCTCCCCTTTAGAGGTTTTGCCAGTAGTTGGCATGTTTGGCAGGCCACCACCTTAGCATTGGCAACCGCAGGTAGGCTTTGGAGATGTGTTAAGAGGGACGCTGCTGACCATTCCTCGCCCTTATTGTTATGAGATTATGGCATAATGTTAAATAATAAATAATAACCATTCCCAAGGAATGAGTTATCAAATGCAAAAAAAATCATAATATTTTTTAATTAAATTTTTTTTATATTATTATAATTTTAGAATTTAGTGCGTTAAAAAACTGTTTTGTTAAACTCTTCCACTTTATTATACTTAGTAGTACAAATTTTACGTCATCTAATCTTTTTCTTCCTTCCTTCCTGGATCTTTTAGACTGGAGTCGTTCTTGAGTGAAAGTGAATTACCAGAGGGAGACTTTGTACAAAAGTCGATTGCTTGGGTACCTCTGTCCCATTCGTGTTTCAACCGTGAAGCAGTTGTGTTTGCATGGCTGTGTTTCGGTTTAAAGGGTGGGATATGGCGTGAATTTACTGGGTACAGAGGAACAACACCTGAGTCCTCAGGAATGGCAACGCATGAGGGGTATCATGGGCGAAACAGTATACTCTGTTATGTCCATGGTACTGCTTATGTCTATAGGCGACGATTACCACTTTCCATCAGGTGGGCCGTCAGCTTGTTTGCCATTCTAAGTAGTATAAAAAAATAATTATATTTATACTTTTTTATAGCACGATTTATAGCATATACGAAGGTGGCAAACAACCATACATCTGATGGTAAAGGGTTAGTGCAGCCTATGGACAGCTGCATGCATTAAATTTGTTTTATTTCTAGGTTACATATATAACACCGTATCCAGCAAACAATCCACCATCAAGTCTCCGACAAATTGATATATCTAGTGATGTGAATGCTTTCCCAGGTATGAATAATTTCTGCTTTTAGAACTAGCCAAGTCAGACTTTAGGGCTTCAATATATTTGAAGCCCTAAAGTCTTCGATGTTTATCTATATATGTATCTATTATAAATATAGCATCGTTGAATTAGTATCCCATAACACAAGTCTCGAACCTACTTTGGGGCTAGCTCAATCTGTGTGATTTGTCCGTATATATTTATATTATCCTAAGTTTTTTTTTGTATTTCGTTTTATGCTACTTAGAATGGCAAACAAGCTGACGGCCTACCTGATGAATAGTGGTAACCGTCGCCTGTAGACATTATTGTTTTAAGAACAAATTACATTTTAAGTTGTTATAAAATGTTTGCATTGTGCGGGAATCGAACTTGCTACCTTCGAAAAGATATTAGAATAATTCTTCTAAGATTGGTAAAATCATTAGATAACTTAGTATTATTCAATTTAACTATTATATTAGGTATAATATTAACTAACTTAAAAGATGAGAGGCAGGCATTTTCAGTATATTGTTAGTAATGGGGTTTAAAATCAACATTGCTAGCTATATACCCTATCTATAGGTTATTTCTTATGGAATTCGTCACGATGGGATGATTTGTTTAATGGTCTCGTCCATTCCATTTTTATCCGATAAAAAAACTTAAAAAACGTGATGAATGAAGAATGCTAAGTAGTCATTTTTAATTATGTATATATTTTCACAGATGTTATCAATTTAAAAGCAATATTACAAAAGGAGGTAAATGTACAAGATTGGAGACAATTTTTCGCCATAGTAACACGAGTGGCTAATGGTACCCTGTCAAATGTAAATGTACAGAGATTACTAAATGATCCAAACGAGACATTTGATTTGTTTATAACGGAATGGTTTTTTACTGAGGTCCAAATAGGGTAAGGTCTATTTTTAACCGACTTCTAAAAGTAGGAGTTTCTAAATTCGGTTGTATTTTTTATGTTTGTAACTTTTTCATAACTCACAAAGTTGTAAATCGATTTGAAAATTTTTTTTTCGGAAAGGATATGCTTATATAGTTTGATCCTACAGAAATATAGAAATACTATCAAATTTCTATAAGTTTTTAATTAAAATTTAATTAATTTATTTAAGATTTCCTTTTGTAACTGATTCAATTTAGTTTTGTGTGTTGGGAATTGTATCAAATTCCTGTTTCTTCTTTTTAGGATAGCTGCCGTGTATGATTGTCCGTATATATGGGTTTCAACGATAGAGCCTCACTGGGTGATAACGAGGCTAGTCGACGAATATCTACACCCGGCTTATAACTCCGACATGTTGTTAGGCAGCTCTCCTCCTTTTAGTTTCTACGAACGCGTGCTGCAGTTAACCAGCCAGCTCATGATGACAGCAATAAAAGTGTTGTAAGTAAATCATCGTCATTTTTCTATTCTTATCCCAATTATTATTTGGGGTCAGCGTAATGTGGTTTTATCCATTGTTAGTGTTCTAGCTGTATTTTGCTTTATTTTAATATTTTAAATTTTATGAAATAAAAGACTTGTTGACATCTAGAAAAAGAATAAGTATTTTATTTTTTATTAAATTCAAATTATTACAGATAACCAAAAGTTTTCATGTGCTAACATCCATATTACTAAAGGTTATAGTTTTACGACCGGCCGCTTGCTTGAGGTAAACCGTCTTTGGTAAAGTGGTATCTACACTAATATTATAAAGATAAAGATTTGTATTTTTGTGTGTATGCTTGTAATGAATAAACTCAAAAACTACTTTGCCGATTTCAAAAATTATTTCTCCATTAGAATGCTACATTCATGTATGTAGAATAAATATAATAGATATAATATAATATAATATAATAGAAGAATAAATATATTATTGCTAGAAAAGATTAGGGGTCCTTACTAAAACTTTAGTAACGTAACTCAAGGTGTAAAAAAAATGCTATAAAATATCTTTCGGCGCGTGCGCTGCGGAATCTATTAGTATGAAACTATTGATAGAACAAAAGTATGTTCTACAATATTGAAGAAAATATCAATAACTATAAAAAACTTCGCGGCACTATATGTCCAACTATTATCGTTATGTCACAATAACCACTTTTTAAAATGTCGTAAAAAATGACCACCCGTGCGAAGCTGGGATGAGCCGCTAGTAAGTTAGTATTTATTTTTTGTTTTAAAAAAAAACTGTCTTTGCACATACTTATTATATGTAATTATAAAAGTAATCTTGTAATAAATCTTAATTTAAAGTCATCGTTATCATCATATCAGCCTATAATCATCCTTCCCTTGGGGGAGGGGGGGGGGGTGTTCTGCCAGTAGTTGCCAAGTTAATTTAAAGTGATACTGTAAACATTTAAATGTGATTATCTCGCATCTTAGACCAGAGTTTTTTTAGTAGATGATAATGGAATGATAACCCCGCCTGCGCTAACGGTATATGCTGGCGGGGCACCAGTGAGGGATAGTAGGTGAAAATGAAAGCACGTCAGTTAGCCCATCGTGAAGAATGCACCTGGAATTCAGCACGATGGTTTCCAGGAGGGACCAACGTGGAGGTCAATCTGGTTGGATATATTGCTAGCAATGGGGCCCCTAGTCTCCATTACAAACAATCACCTCCCCCCCCACATGAGTAGGTGTTTTTTTAAAGGGTGAAAATGGAATGGTAATCCCGCCCGCGCCATCAGTTGACGCTAACGGGGCACCTGTGGAAGATGATAGGTGAGAATGAATGCAGGTTACTTGGCAATTCGGCAAGAATTAACTATGATAATTTCCAGTGGGAACCGCGTGGACGTCGACCTGAAAGGGTATATTGTTAGTATATATTATATGTTATATGTATCACATCTGCCATATTTAGAACTAACAAAATTTTTCATCGTGCCTTCCACCAAATTGTTTATAATTACTCCTCTCCATCCAAAGGTTGCCTGGAAGAGATCGCTTTTAGCGATAAGGTCGCCCATTTTTTTTTCCTTGTGATTATTACTTGTAATTATTTATATTTATAATAAGTTTACTATTGTAATCTTTTGGAGGAAACAATAAAGAGTATCTATCTATCTATCTATATTGTTAGCTATATAAGTATACTGAAAGGGTATACTGCGATGGAGCTATTAGACCTCATTACAAATAATCACCTCCCCTCCACAAGAGTAGGTTATATACTAACTTAAGATATAGGCCATTTTATGAACTGATTAACGTGAATGACTTCAAAAGAGAGGGTTTTTTTTATGGGTGAAAATAGTATGGTAACCCCGCCTGTGCTAACGGGATACGCTGGCGGAGCACTAGTGAAGGGTGATAGATGAGAATGAAAACAGGCCAGTTAGCCCATCATGATGAATTCATCAGGAATTAACCATAATAGTTTCCAGGGAGAACCGCGAGGAGGTCGACCTGGTTGGGTATATTGCTAGCAATGGGATTCTCAGTTTCCATTACTAATGATCCCTTTCCCCCCCAAGAGAGAGGGTTAGTAAAATACACTATATAACACTTTTATCGTTTCAGTTATACAAACGGGATAGAAGAAAAAACGTATACAGACGTATTTAGCCCACTACTAGCTAAGAGAGGGAAGGTTCTACCTCCATATAATGAAGTTTTATACAATGCCTCTCTAATAATAGGCAATTCACACGTGTCGTTGGGACAAGCGACCAGGTTACCGCAGAATTACAAGTCTGTCGGAGGATATCATATTGATGACGTAGAAACATCATTACCAGAGGTATCTGTTTATTTTATGGTATAACTGGAAAGAGTCATATATATGTCATCATCAATTTTGATCACTATTATTACTTTACTTTTATTATATCCATGGTAGTTTGTATGGTCCTGGCATGGAATAGTCCACCCCTTCCTTTCTGGGTTTTGTAATAGGTGATTAAGGCAGGGCGAGAGATGGGCAGCAGCGTCCTTTTAAAAACAACTCTAAAGCATAACTGCGTTTGCCAATCCGCCTGCCATGCGTGGCAATCACTGGCAAAATTGGCCAAAGTGGAGGCTTATGTTCAGCAGTGGACAATTAAAGGCTGATATCATGATGATGATGATTGGTATTACAATGTACAATTTTTTTATGGGATTATAATGGAATGGTAACCCCGCCTGCGCTATCGGTATACGCTCACGGGGTATCAGTGAGTGATTATAGGTGACCATGAAAGCAGGTCAGCTAGCTCATTGTGATAAATTTAACAAGTCTTTATTTGAGGAGAACAATAAGAAGAAAGAAAGAAGAAAGAAAGAAGAGAGAAAGAAGAGATAAAGAAGAGAGAAAGAAGAGAGAGAGAGAGAAGAGAGAAAGAAGAGAGAAAGAAGAGAGAAAGAAGAAAGAAAGAAGAAAGAAAGAATCTTCATTTTACAGAAATATGCGATTTCTGTAAAGAGATTTTCATTTATTCTTTCATATGATTTTAGGATTTAAAACAGTTATTGGACAATGCAAAGTATGGTGTGATATATTTTAGTATGGGTTCAATTTTGAAGAGCAAAGATATGCCGGATGAGATAAAGACCGGGTTGCTTAGAATATTTGGCGAACTTAAATATACTATATTGTGGAAATTCGAGGAAGCGCTACCCAATCTGCCGAGTAATGTGCACATAATACAGTGGGCGCCACAACAGAGTATTTTGGGTAATTAATTGCAGTTTATTTTCTATAATTATAAATTTTGTTATTTTTAAAACAGCGTCTGTAGTTGCAGTTAGTTAATAATGACTAATATAACTTCACTGTTCTTATTTTAAAACGAATTAAATCATAGATGGGTGATGAGATGACTTATAAACATTTTGAATTTAAAATATTTGAATTTAGACTGTGAATGTAATTTTTTTAAAAATCTAGCATTTTGCTTGAAACTTATAAGAATTATCAAAATCAATTCAAAATTGGAAAGATATTGCTGACACTCGCGTAATTATATAGAAAAAATTACGTTCTGAAAAAATTTTTAAAAATATACATAAGCCTTTTTATATGCAAATCGGAGTGGTTTACAAGTTGATGACCCACCTTAAGGTGGTTGGTCACTAAAGAAAATTAGACACGAAACACTAGATGGCTCTGGAGTCGAGACTTGTGGTTTTTGTTGAATATATTACCATTAAAGATAATTTGAAGTAAAATTTTTAAATTAGCGAGTGATTTTTATTATTATGTATAAATATAAAATGACAGGTAATACGTGATTTTTTGCCTTATTAATTATAACCCATACAATAACGATGTTTCTTGTTAGTATATGTCTCTTTACAAAATTGTACAATATAAAAGAATAAAGATAAAAATTATGATAAATTATTACTATATCGGTGAAAAATAAATATAACTACTCGCCAATTGAGAAATTTTACTTTATGTACCCTTAAATTATATATCCATCTAGTACTTTGTGTCTAATTTTGTTTAGTGACCAACTACCTTCAAGTAGTCATCGTTGCCTACATACATAAAGAACATTATATCAATTAATTTTATACGATTTTTATAATCAAAATATTTTGATCTTTTCTAGCACATCCCAACTGTATTCTCTTTATAACACACGGCGGTCTCCTTTCAACGACAGAGGCGATTCACTTTGGGAAACCCATAATAGGGATACCAGCGTTCGCTGATCAATTTACTAACGTGGATAGAATGGTGAAGAAGGGCTTTGCGAAGAAAGTTGATTTATCATTTACCCTAGCTGAAGATCTCAAAGAGACTATTGTAGATATTCTTAAAGATCCTAGGTAAATTTTTAAGTATCAATTATTTAGATTCCATTGTTTAATCTTTGTTTCTTCCATTGTTTAATCATTTGGAGAGAATGGATGAAAGAAGAATTACGAAAGAGATTTATCGAGCAAGAATGAATGGAGATGTCGGTAGGGGCCGCCCTAGATGGACGTATGTCGACCAAATTGGTGACGTGCTGAAGAAGGGCCAAATTAAAAGTACCCGTAACCGGCGAGCGTGTATGAAAAGATTGATGAATGTGGAAGAAGCGAAAGAGGTTTGTTTGAATCGAAGCATTTGGCGTTCCATTGTTTCTGCCTACCCTAATGGGAGACATGCGTGACAGATATGTATGTATGTATATGTTTAATCTTACAGTCTCTAGCACAGGGCTGTAGTTGCACCCAAGTTTAAAGTAGGGCTTTAGCTTAAAGAACGTTTTAGTAGGGTAGAAACCATAATTAAGTGACTTCGAAAAAGCGAATCTGTCTAATTTTCTTGGGCCTTTCATTTTAAGATAAGGCATTGCCCCTCAATGCCTTTGTAAAAAAATTGGGTGGTGGTATGGATTCAATTCAAATCTATTTATTCATAACAATGTTACATCATGTTGAATATTATTTATGTCATAAATTATAGAATGGTATCATAAAAAATTTTTAGATAATACAGAAAAAGTATGAAACAATGAAATAATGAATAATAAATTGTCTAAAAATTATAAAATTGACAAATGTCATTGGAAATAACGTGCCATCATTGCTTTTCAACTTTAGGATACTATAAGCGTTAGTATTGCCAGATTTGTTGTCTTCTCGCAATTTAAGGAAAGGAGTGGATCGCCCCTGGCCTTTTTGTTCTGGAGGGCCTCCAAACACGTCCATTTTCTTGATCTATTTGCTTCATTTCAACTAAAAATACTTATATGTATAAACATTTATATTTATAATTACAAACGTGAATTGAATAAAAACCTTGTAAAATTAGATAAATTTCTTTAACTGGGAGACATATTTAGCTTTTTCTCCCTGGGCCTCTGAAGGGTTTAGTCTGTCACTGGTACAGGGTAGAATTAAAATCATTGGCATTTTAATTTAAATGAAAAAAATTTAAAAAGTTTATGAAGCCATATTAACGAGGCCAGAATAATTGTCAGTCGAGTTCATAACTAGTTGGGCAATCCCGAAGTGCATAATACTATGTAAATAATTATGATTCTAATAATTTTTATTCTCAGTTACGCGAAAAGAGCGAAGGAGCTATCGTTTATATACCACGACAGACCAGCAACCCCTGGCGCGGAGCTGGTGCACTGGGCGGAGCACGTGGTGCGCACGCGCGGCGCCCCTCACCTGCGCTCGCCCGCGCTCCACGTGCCGCTGCACCAGAAGTGCTACCTCGACCTGGTAGCGCTCCTTGTAGCCTGTTTCATACTTATAAGAATAGTGTTAAGAAAATTAATTAATTTGTTATTTAATAGGAAAAAAGCTGTAACCAAGAAGAAACAGAATTGAATAAAATAATTTAAAACAAAGAAAGAATAAATATTTATTCGGTGAATCACCGTATCAGCCTTTAATTGTCCTTTGCTAAACATAATCCTCCCCTTTTGAGGTGTTTTGCCTATAGTTGCCACGCTTGACAGGCGGATTGGCAACTGCAGTCAGATTTTAGAGATGTTTTAATAGGGACGCTGCTGATCATCCCTTGCTCTCCCTTAATCGGTTCTTACGATACCTATGGGACAGGAAGGGGTGGCTTATTCTTTGTCGGGACTACACAGCTATTTGGTGCATACCAGTGACATATTACTATTTTTTTTTATACAACTTAGAATGGCAAACAAGCTGACGGCCCACTTGATGGAAAGTGGTAACCGTCGCCTATAGATATGAGCAGTACCATGCACATAACAGAGTATACTGTTTTGCCCATGATACCCCCCATGCGTTGCCATTCCTGAGGACTCAGATGTTATTCCTCTGTACCTAATAAATTCACAAGTGCAAGTATACAAGTAATCGAGGAGACCTAGATTGAAACCTCTTAAAACATCACCAAAAGTCAAACTATTATAATATATAATATGAATAATTTCTAGTTTTAACTAGGGAGATTCCTCTGCCAAGCGTGGTAGCTACTGGCAAAATCCTCCCAATGGTAAACCGACATAAGAAACGACCCTGTTCCTGATGAAAGTCTATGGAGGGAGGTCAGCAGTGGATAGATAACGGCTGATATGATAGAAGTACCTTAGAACATTGATCACTGGTAAGCGTGTCAGAGATAAAATTAAAGAACTTTGACTAGCCATAATTTATAAACTATAGTTATTAAGTACATTGTCAATATAGCCAGTTATAGTATCTCCTTATGATTATTAAAAAATCACAATTCTTGATTTATCCACAATGGGTTATAGAGAAGTGCCGTGAGTTACTTTGAGAAAGAGATGATACGGCTGCGCTCGCTTGGCGTGTTCACTGCCGTGCCCCCTGATGTATTTTAAAATAATAATTACAGGCAGATATTGCTAACATACTGTGATTATATAATGTTATATTCGTAGATGTATCTATGTAGTAGTTATCTTGAAATATTTGTCAACTAGACATGAGTAAACAAAATAATAAGGAAAATCGGTCATGTACTAGTTAGGCTCGCAATCATGAGCTGAAGTTCCATGCTTAAAAATAATCTGTCTGTAAACAGTTTTTTTTAGGATAAAATTAATTTGAATATTTACACAGAAGATAAAATGGTTTTTTTATTGAAAATTGAAACCGCATAATTAGGTTTCTTACTAAACGTTCTTTTTTATAATTTCTTTAGAAATGTGGTACTTTTTATTTAATGTTAAAAAAGGTTTATTTGTTTGTTGCTTCTTGGTGACTTGACTGCTTTAGAATTAGTTTTAGAAAGCTCAAACGAAGATCGATTGTGTGTAAAGAAAATAATAAAAATTATATATTATCGCACTCTTAAAATACTATATTTTAACACGGAATTTTAAAAAAGATAATATTAAAAACGATATATCATTGAAAAAGATAGATAGATAGATACTCTTTATTGTTTCCTCCAAAAGATTACAACAGTAAACTTATTATAAATATAAATAATTACAGGTATATACACACGCACACGCACACGCACACGCACACGCACACGCACACGCACACGCACACGCACACGCACACGCACACGCACACGCACACACACGCACACGCACACGCACACGCACACGCACACGCACACGCACACGCACACGCACACGCACACGCATATATTTAAATATCATTAACCAGTTATTTTGATAAAATTTCTATGAGACCAATCTGTAAGTATATCCTTTCAGATAAAAAAAAGTATTTTAAAAAATACAACTGAATTGAGAACCACCTTTTTTGGTAGTCGGTTGAAAATAAATTGTAACATCTTATTTATTATGCAACATAATAATATTTCTGGTAAATAGAAAACACTACTATAATATATATATATATATATATATATATATATATATATATATATATATATATATATATATATATATATATATATATATATTATAAGTAATCGAAACAGTCAATCAATTAGTTGATTTTTATTTGTACCGCCTATTGGACATCAGCAGAATGGCTTATGGATGGGTAAGTTACACGTTTGTTGACGTTTTTATATATCTGTCACGCCTGTCTCCCATTAGGGTAGGCAGAAACAATGGAACGCCAAATACTTCGATTCAAACAAGGCTCTTTCGCTGCTTCTCCATTCATTAGTCTTTTCATACACGGTTTCGGTAAAAAAAGTACGTTTTTGTTAACTTCTATTAAAAGACTATATAGTATTATAGTTTTGTTCTAGTTGTTTTCCGCGACGCTGCCCGCGTGAATCTGTATATACAATCCTGAGTTAAAATATGATACATAACCTACCTTCACAAAGTTTCAGCCAATTCAACTGATCGGTTATTTTATAGCTTTTTCTATGCGATCCTTTAGTTTGATATAACTTTGTTATTAATGAAACGAATAAAATAAAACAAACACTAAATGTTAAGTGAAATAAACTGCAACACATTAGTGGAAACCGCATTCAAATTGGTTAAGCTGTTTCTGAGATTAGCGTAAACTAACGTAACTTAAAATCATTGTTTTGGGTTCCATTGCGTTCATGCACGTAAAAATTATTAATTTACTCTTGCGCCACCTACTCACTTCTATCTGTTCTCCTTTAACCAAAGGTTGTCTGTAAGAGATTGCCCTAGCGATAACACCTTTTGTATCTTTATGCATATATTTTAATTTGTACTTTATGCTATTGTGTTTTACTTGATTTGTTTATATGCCATTGTTTATATTTATATTTCTGATGTAATAAAGAGTTAAATAAATAAATAAATAGACTATAAATTGAAATTTGACATTGACATTTATGGACGAAAATAAATCGTATCCCGTTGCCGACGCCGTCGAGCGACACAGTGTTCACTTTTCAACAAGCAATCGTTTATTACGCAAGTCCATTGTGATAAGTATCATTTAAATGGTCGCATCACTGTGATATATGAAAATTGTGTTAATTTTTGGACGTTCTTTGTAGTGTATTGTGATTATATATTTAAATATTAGTTATATAATTATCTAGATATGCCAATGTAGAATAGTAGGTGCCTTATTACATGTATGTAATTACATTTAGTATGTAACTAAGGTTTTTAGTGGACATCAACGAGTTTCAAAAAGCATAAGGTATTTAATTACATATAGTTTTTTTATATTGATGAATTCTGATTAATTAAATTTGATGATTATTTTTAAATCGATATCATATGCTTGTTTGTCTCATGTTAATTTTTTTGAGACACATTCTCATAATTTTTATCTAGATAAATATGTATTAAGTAGATATATTTAATTATAATTTGTCGTAACGAAAACAACGGAAATATGGACATATAAAAAATAATAATATTTTATGGTCGTATACAGGGTGAAACTTAAAGCACCATTTCGGGAATTGATAGTGACTTTGAAGTGACTTTGGAAAAAAATCCGTTTTACTGTAGAAAAATCTAAATAAAAAATAATTAAATAGGTTTAATAGTAAATTTTGATTTTACTTGTATAACATCTGTATGTACCTGTTTTGTATTAATAATTATTATATTATTATTTACCTAAACTTTATCTGAAAGGTAAATAGTAATCTTTTAATTTTGATTGTCCTATATATTTGATGTGATCGTCATACCTAGTACATACGTAATAGATAATATTATAGATACTGTTGACGCATTTGTACCTACAACTATTTTATATCAATCAAGGAAGGTCACTGTTATTAATATGTACTCATCACATTATTACGCCATCTATTGAGATGGCTGTAAAAAAAGACCAATTTAAATACGTAACGTATGTTAAAATACGTACAGTTCTAGTTCCTGACTGACTACGTCCATATAATTGTGCGATAATGATTGTTTGATACAAAAAGTATCCTATGTCCTTCTTCATCTCGAATAATAAGTGTATGTTAAACTTCATGATTACTAGTTAAGTTCTTAAAGCACCAAGAGCTAACAAACAAATTAACTGTCCCATCTGATAAAAGTGTAGAGGTCAAATGTCTGTAGATAGAAAAAAAAAACGTTAAAAACCGAGAGAACATATCCACATTTTAATCAAATTTTTTGTTTTTCTGTCTGTTTGTACGGGCTAATCAACGAAACTGTTGGACCGATTTAAATGAAAATTTTGCAAGGTGGTACCTTACACAACCCGGTCAACATGTTTTTTTTTACACTTTTAATCACGGAAAGTTAAAGAGCGAACTCTTTAAATATAGTTAGATATAGTGAGATAGTTAAAAAACTATAGTAACTTATACAGCTTAGTACACAACCTGGGGGGAAAGGGATTGTTAGTAATGGAGACTAAGAATCCCATTGCATGCAATATACCTAACCAGGCCCACCTCCTCGCGGTTCCCCCTGGAAACTATCATGATTAATTCCAGATGAATGCATTATGATAGGCTAACTGACCTGTTTTCATCCTCAGCGATCACCATTCACTGGTGCCCCGCCAGCATCTCCCGTTAGTGCAGGCGGGGTTACCATTTCATTTTCATCCAATAAAAAAAAAAGTACACAACCTACTTAAGTAAAGTCATTTTGGCCTAAGACAAAGAGTGAGAACGACACGTCATTTGTTAATTTTGATCCATATTTCCAGATATAATAAATAGGTAGGTACATATATCGATACATATAAAACAGGAATAACAAATGCCACGCGTACAAAGTCGGGGGCATCAGGTAGTTTATTATATTAGTTAGAATTCGTTACTGTACAGTCTGGCAGCTTCATTCATAATTAAATACAATTAGAACTGGCTGCAACATGTTGCCTTGAATCCATTGTATGTGTAGTCGCTATGTATTACTACATACAAATTATAATATCTAAAATTATAAAGCAGACACTGAATAAAGTGCACGTCATGTCAGTTATGTCTTCCGCCATCGTAATTCTAACAAACATTGTAAATGTGCAAATACTAGGACTGGTTAATATATAGCAATACTTTTAGAATATATTTATTTATTAATTTTCTATTGCATTCCATAATATACTTAGTAGATAAATTATATCACGATAGGTACGTATTTTCTTATTATTATTATTATTCATTATTTAAGTATTGGTGTGTATCTATTCATGTCGTAATTGTTATTAGTATTATATAGTTATTTAATATATTCTGTAGTTTATAATTATTTACATTCATATTGTAAAATTAATTAATAAATAGTTTAATAATAAAATTTCAGCAATGTCAGTTTTAGCTATGTCTAAAATCATTATTAATTCATAATTAATTATTTATTTATAAATTACAAGATAAATTCTGCTTGTCATTCAAGTATTCGTCAATGGTATAGTAGCATTTAGTAATTAATAATATTTTAAGACTTCTTACAAAAATATTGTCATTTTCTTAGTTTTTTAGTGTTTCTGTTTTCTTGATTTTTTAGAATATCTGTATGCTGATCCAATAACGAATATATTAAAAGTTTGTTATCCAAAAATAAATATTGGAAAACAGACTTTTACCATATATTGTTTATGCATCATTTATATAAGTATGTATTTATATAATACAATTTTATCTCTGACTGTTAATTTGGTCACACAGGGTTACATTCTGGGTTTGTTGCACGCGTCCGTGTAGCCTAACCTCAGGCTGCAGCTGAAAATCGGTGCTTTGCTTTCAAACAAAACTATCACTGAGCTGTAGTCTATTTGGGTCACTACGACGCTCATGGCGAAAACATATTTTCGTTTTCTATCTTTTGTTTTATAGATAGATAGATAGATACTCTTTAGTTTCCTCCAAAAGATTACAATAGTAAACTTATTATAAATATAAATAATTACAAGAAATAATCACAATGAGAAAACAATGGGCGACCTTATCGCTACAAGCGATCTCTTCCAGGCAACCTTTGGATGGAGAGGAGTAATTATAAACAATTTAAAAAAAGTGTAATTAATTTGATAGTATGAACTCATTTGTTAATTTACGTATGTCATAAATGGTTCAAATAAAGTGTTTATCTATTTATCTATTTGAAAATAGATATTCGTCTGATATGTATGATATGATAAAAATAAATAAAATATTATTATAATATTAATATATATTTAAATTAATATTAATATTTATTTATACTTTAATATAAATAAATATATATTAAAATTAAAATAGCGTATTGTTAGAAATGTAGTCTAATAGTATAATAGTCCCATTGCATCTGTGTATATCGACAGCGGAGACGGGGTCACTATTTAATTTTTACCCATTAAATACATTTTTTACTATATTTACAGAATTTTTTTTTACAGAATGAAGAAATTATTATATTTTCTAATATTTATTTTCCTGAAGGCGAGTTTCTCAGAAAGTTACAAGATACTGGTATCGTTCCCTGTGCCCAGTAAGAGTCACAATATTCTTGGTAATGGAGTGGTCAGGAATTTATTAAAAGCTGGACATGAGGTTTGTTGATTTATAATTTAATCTTTATATATGTATATGTATGTATATATGTATTACCTATAAATAAGTAGATATATATGCAGTGTGGTCCCGATATATAATGGGCTACCCCTTCCATTCCCTTGAGTACCCTAAGAGGCGACTAGAATAAGGGAATTTTATGGTCGAGAGAAGGGTTGCTGTGTCTTACTTAAAACATCATTAATACCTAACTGCGGTTGCCAACCCGCCTGCCAAGCGTGGCAACTACTGAGAAAACTCCCCTTATGGGGGTGGCCTATGTTCAGCATTTCTGCATGCAGCAGCATTCATGATATGATGATGATGATGATGATGAATATATATTATATTCACTGACAATCCATCCTATATATAAAATTTTGTTTTGATAATTATTTTATATAGTTTTTTTATCATTATTTAATAATTTTACAATATTTTTTTTATATCTCGTTGTTGTCTATTTGGATGATTTAAATTAATTTATTTATTATTTTTAGGTAACATACATAACACCATATCCAATAAACGATCCACCACCAAATCTGCGACAAATTGATGTTTCCGCTAACATAAATCTTATGCAAGGTAAAATTATAAATGAATAAAAATATTTTTTATTTAAGTAAATTAAATTACAAGCGTTTTAGAACAGTAATTTCTTTGTGACTCTATCGCTAAGTTCAGAATACAATTTCGGCTGAGAAGAACGGGTAAGATAAGTATCTTACCCGTTCTTCTCAGCCTGCTCTTGCATCTTTTGCTCAGGCTAAATCTTATCATGGCTTAGAAAGATCTAATCTCGGAAATAGCATATACTACCTATTATGTATTCGTAGATACGTCAAAATTCCTAGTCCAAATAAAATGATAAGTGAGCTTTTAATTTTAATATTTATTAATTTTATATTATACTTTGGAAATACAAACTCTATTTACTATTAGATAAATAATTCTTCTATTAAATTATGCATCGCCTATTTATTTCTCGGTTTGCCCAATGGTTGATTGGTAGAGAACACCGTCCGTTGTTAAGTCTGCCAAATATACATAGAATTTTACTGTGCATTAAAATTTAAACAAATAAATTATATATATATATATATATATATATATATATATATATATAGAACATGTTTGTGTATCGTAATAAAAATGTTTATATTTACAGACAATATAAATATAAAAACAATAATGGAAAAAGAAGTAGATTTAAAAGATTGGAAATTTTTCTTCAAGATGGTAAAAAGTATAAACAGGGACACATTATTGAGTGAAAATGTACAGAGATTGTTAAACGACCCCAATGAACAATTTGACCTCTACATGCCGGAATGGTTTTATACAGAATCACATATAGGGTAAGTTTTAAATTATTTTGTAAACTATACAAATTAATAAGTAAATAGTTAAGTAAATTTTGTTCAACAAAAAGATTTTAATATCGACAAAATACATTAATAAACAATGAGATGTTTTGTAGATTAAAATAGATAAAAATAAAGACAAAATAATATGGCACTGATACGACAATAAACCCTTTTAACAGAGGGAGACTTTGTATAAAAGGTTTTTGCTTGGGTACCTCTGTCCCATTCGTGTTTCTACCGTAAAACAGTTGTATTTGCATGGCTGTGTTTCGATTTGAAGGATGTATATGGCAGTGAATTTACAAAGTACAGAGGAATAACATCTGAGTCCTCAGAAATGGCAACGCATGGGGGTATCATAGAATTCGAAACAGTATATTCTGCTATGTTCATAGTACTCCTTATGTCTATAAGCGACGGTTACCACTTTCCATCAGGCGGGCCGTCAGCTTGTTTGCCATTCTAAGCTGCATAAAAAAACTGTTTGTTTTATATAATCTTTTTGTTTAAACTTTGAAAGCATAAACGGTCTGCGCCATTCTGATTATTATGACTATATTTGATTAATTAAATATTAATTATTATTTACTACCTACATCAAACGCAAAAAGAATTATTAAAATCGGTTTAGATGTGTTTTTTTTATTATGTATCTAAACATATTTATAATACCAAAATTTTATATTATTAACTAGAGACTAATCTAGTTTCTTTAGGGCTTTTCTCACTAAGCCCTTATTGAAAATTTCGTAAAATACACCATTTAAATTATGTGCTATGAAATATTTTCTTTTTGCAATAAAGATTTTTTCAACGGTGTTGAATTTTTGGACCTTTTAGCATAGCTGCTGTATTCGGATGCCCATATATATGGATATCAACGGTTGAACCTCATTGGGTCATCACGAGGCTAATTGACGAAAATCTTCACCCAGCTTATAATCCTGATATTCAGTCAAGCAGCTCTATCCCCTTCAGCTTCTACGAGAGAGTGCAACAATTAACAAATCAACTTACGATGACAGTAATACAATTATTGTTAGTATTTTGTTTAGACAGATTCAAAGAACATTATGTTTTTTTTTATGGATGTCAGTGGAGTGGTAACCCCGCCTGCGCTAACGGTATACGCTGACAGGGCACCAGTGAGAGATGATAGGTGAGAATGAAAAGGTAGGTCAGTTTTTTTTTGATGGGTCAAAATGGTATGGTAACCCCGCCTGCGCTAACGGGATACGCTGGCGGAGCACCAGTGAAGGATGATAGATGAGAATGAAAACAGGCCAGTTAGCCCATCATGATGAATTCATCAGGAATTAACCATGATAGTTTCCAGGGGGAAAGGGAAGGTTTCGCATGTAGGCCGACCTGGTTGGGTATATTGCTAGCAATGGGATTCTTAGTCTCCATTATTAACAATCCCTTTCCTCCCAGGCAGGTCAGTTAGACCATCGTGATGAATACACTTAGAATTTAACACGACGATTTTCAGAGGAACCACGTGAAGGTCGACCCGATAGGGTATATTGCTAGCAACGTATCTGGTAGCCTGTATTACCGAGAATCCCTTTCCCCCACTTTCTTGAAATTCTACTCCTATCTAAGGGTGGACATCATCAGAGGAATGTTTATTTTCGATGCCGCTGCTTTGAAGTGCGGGATTATACTACATACTGTGGCCAAATGACTTCAGTAGGTTCTTTAGCCATTTAGCCACCTCTTGTCTTGGTACTTCTTTTACTAGCAATCTTTCCTTGGGTCATTAACTTTAAGATTGCTCATGATGTGATTTTAGTACATCTATTTGTATTACCGATACGACAACATAACCTTCAAGAAAAGAGCATATTCATTTTTAAAAGGCCGGCAGCACACCTGCAATGCCGTAGGTGTTGTGGGTGATCATGGGCGGCGGTAGTCACTTACCATCAGGAGAGCCGCATGCTCGTTTGCCCCCTGTGTTGTAAAAAAAAATTTTTTGATAAACAAAATATAAAATCCCTCTTATTTTTCAAAGTAGGATACTCATTTTTCCTTTATTCATACAATCTTTATACAGTCTAAACGTATTATGAATATTTTGAGAAATTTCTTTCCTTACTCGATTGCATTCAATTTTGTAGTTAGATCTTCCGTTATATTTAAGTAAGTACTTAAGTAGGTTTTGTATTTTCTTCTTATTTTGTGGTTTTTTTTCTTTAACTCCATCTTAAAGAATTAAGAGGTTGTATAAATGGTTAAAGATATTCCTTTTATTTCAGTTACTTGGATAGACTTGAAGAACAACAATATACGGATGTTTTCAAACCAATATTAGCGAAAAGAGGGAAGACATTGCCAGCGTATAATGAAATTTTATACAACGCATCCTTGACATTAGGTAACTCGCATGTATCTTTGGGTCAAGCGACAAGGTTACCGCAGAGTTACAAGCCTATCGGAGGATACCACATTGATTATAATAATACTGCGTTACCAAAGGTGGATTTTGTGTTAAAATTATATTACTCTAACTTATTTTATAGTTTTATGAAATATATATATATAATAATCACATCAGACGTTAACTGTCTACTGTAGATCAAAGGCTTCCTCCTTAGGAAGTTTTGCCAGTTGTTGCAATGCTTGGCAGGTGGGTTGGCAACCACAGGGTTTGGTGCTTTAAGAGGAATGCTGTTGCCGTCCCTCGACCATTACGTTACTATAGTTGCCTCTTACAAAACTCTCGGGAAAGGAAGCGGTGGCCTATTCTGTATTAGAACAACATGGCGACTACCGCAATATAATGGGATTATGAAGTCGTTTATGTGTTTTTAGGATCTGAAACAAATATTAGACAATGCAAAGAATGGCGTGATTTATTTTAGCATGGGATCCATTTTGAAAAGCAAGGATATGCCGAATGAGATTAAAAAAGGACTTTTGAAAATGTTTGGTGAACTTGAATATACTGTGCTATGGAAATTTGAGGAAACGTTACCTGGTCTACCCGATAATGTCCATATATTACAGTGGGCTCCACAACAAAGTATTTTAGGTAAAAATTATTTGTAAAACATTTTTTTAAGACACGAACAGCACTATAATATCAAGTCTATTCGGTTTTCAGATTATAAGAAAGAAGGATTTGATTTTTTATATCTTTATTTGTAAGAGATAAGCTTAAAAACTTTTCAATTGTTTTTAAAAGTTATTTCACTTTAATTATTAGTCAGTAACACAGACATAATTCTAAAAAAAATCAGAGATATCTATGAAAAACACAATAATATTACCCGAAATATGAAAATTTTGCCTATTAAAACCAAGACATATGTAATACGTATAAAATACTAACTTCTCTTTCTATTTATCTAGTCGTGCAAAACTAGAGCGGAAACCTAGTTTAAAATATTCTGATCTTTTCCAGCGCACCCCAATTGCATTCTCTTTATAACACACGGTGGTCTTCTTTCAACGACGGAGGCAGTTCACTTTGGGAAACCCATGATAGGGATACCAGTATTCGCTGATCAATTTATCAACGTAGACAGAATGACGAAGAAAGGTTTCGCTAAGAAAGTTGATTTAACATTTAACGTGGCAGAAGATCTTAAAGAAACAATTATAGATATTCTTAAGGATCCCAGGTAATTAATTATATATATAAATAAATTGGGTTCAATTACTCAATACTAGCGGCCCGTCCCGGCGTCGCACGGGTGGTCATGTTTAACATTTCCCTTCACTGCTGTGCTCCTATTGATCGTAGCGTGATGAAAAGTATACTACCACCTGCCCAAGAGTATGAAGAACAATTGTACCAAGTTTCGTTAAAATACGTCAAGTAGATTTTGTTTCTATAACGAACATACAGACAGACAGACAAAAATTTTACTGATTGCATTTTTGGCATCAGTATGGATCACTAATCACCCCCTGATAGTTATTTTGGAAATGTATTTCATGTACAGAATTGACCTCTCTACAGATTTATTATAAGTATAGATAAGACTTTGTATGAAATAAAAATACTGAACGGTGATAGCTCAGTTGGACAACGCTTGTTTGGGATTCGGAGATTGTTAGATACAATCTCAGCCTAAATTTTTAAATTGAAGATGTGATGTGTATCCAATAAAAATATTACATAATGCAATATATGAACATTTGATATTTTTTCACATTCGTTTCTCCAACTACTATCCTTACATCCTATATGACTTTCTTACAGGCTGAAGAATTTAAACAGTCTACACATATTCTTAAGGATCTTAGTAGATTGTAGATCCAAATACATTCACTCTGATGTTGGCATTGAATGTAGTAATTATTTTAAAATGTACACATAGTATGTTAAAAATTTATGAATCCTTTCTCTTTCAGTTACGCGAAAAGAGCGAAGGAGCTATCGTTTATATACCACGACCGTCCCGTGTCACCTGGTAAAGAGTTGGTGCACTGGGCGGAGCACGTGGTGCGCACGCGCGGCGCGCCGCACCTGCGCTCGCCCGCGCTCCAAGTGCCGCTGTACCAGAAGTGCTACCTCGACCTGGTAGCGCTCCTTGTAGCCTGTTTGATACTTATAAGAATAGTGTTAAGAAAATTAATTAATTTGTTATTTAATAAGAACAAAAAGATAAGAAAAGAAAAACAAATTAATATAAATAATTTAAAACAAATTGAAAAATAAATATTTTTTCGGTGAATCACCAAGTATCAGCCTGATGGAAAGTGTCCTTTGCTAAACATAATCCATGGACATTTTGAGTATACTGTTTCGCCCATGATACCCGCTTGACAGGCGTTGCCATTTCTGCAGGACTCAGAGATGTTATTCTTCTGTACGCTGTAATCATCCCATATCCTCCCTTAATCGGTTCTTACGGTTGAAACACGAATGGGACAGGAAGGGGTGCAATCGACTTTTGTACAAAGTCTCCCTCTGGTAAAACAGTATTCTCAGAACGATGATCTAACTAATAAACTGAATATGAACAATATTTAAGAATAGTTTACCTAGATTGCAATTCTCGTGTTTAGTGATAAACAACAAAAGATGCAATAAGATCAATAATAATAATAATAATAATAATAATAATATAATTTATTTGCTGAAAAACACGGTATACAGATGTTAGCAATAATATGTTAGGAACAGGCGTGCTTTGCCAAAACAATGGCATGCAAAATTTTAATATTTATGGTAACTTCTTTTCTACTAAATACTACTACTACTAATACTATTAACAAAATATTATTTCATGTGCTTAAAAGTACGAATTATTCTTTAGTCCAACAAGTCCTTAATTGACTTAACATTTGTCCAAAAGCCATTTGTAAAACAGTGTGTCTCAAATTTTGTCAGTGTTTTTATATTTATAAATCCGAATATATTATTTAAAAAGTTTATACCATATTATAACAATTTTTTTAGATAAATCAACAAAGATTCTGTTTAATACTAGTCTATTTGGATTTCTTCTATTTCGCATAATGTTCTTTGGCAGTAATAAAGACTTTTATATTTTTAAAATTAAAAATACAGTTTTATAAATATACATGCAATGCTATTGGAAGTATTTTATATTTTTTAAATAGTGGTCGGCAAGACTTCCATGGTGGAAGGCCGCAAAGAGCACGGATACATTTCTTCTGTACCAAGAAAGCCTTATTAATGTCTGTAGAATTACCCCATACTATTAAGTGTTTCGCAATTGTGAAACATATCCGTGATATGCCATCAGGCTTGTGTTTCTCATCAAGTAGTTTTATGGCTTAATCTTCTAAGGACATATACAAATTTATTTATTTTGTTACAGACCTTATCTATTTGGGCTTTCTAGTTGCAATTATAGTCCATTTTGACTCCAAGAAATGAGGTTTCATGAAGTGACTTGATGCTTGGGGTCGACCTCATTGCATGACGTAGCTCAAGACTTCATTCTTTATTTATAAAATTAAAATTTCAGTTTTATATTACAGTGAAATGTCCGTAATGAGTGAAATGTGAAGTGGTTTCTCTTAAAACATCTTCAAAGCTTTCCCGTGGTCGTCGATCTTTGTACAATCAAGTCGTTTGCTGGTAACTACTGTCACATTCCCCCCCCAACCGTGAAACAGTCATGTTTGCATGGCTGTGTTTCCAGCAGTTTGACAGGGTAAAGGTTGATATGATGACGATGAATCTAATTAGCTAATCTCTAGCTAATCTATACAATCAGGGGGAAAGGGATTGTTGGTATTGGGTATCATTTTTTATTTATTATATTAATTATTATTATATTTACATAAATATAACACCATTTATCTATATCATTTATTATTATTTTACAACATCGAGTTATTGCGGTAAATAGAACAACAAACAAAACAACGAGTTTGTATTCGTTATGTTATGTTCTGTTATGTCCATGCTACTGCTCATGTCTATAGGCGACGGTTACCACTTTCCATCAGGTGGACCGTCAGTTTGTTTGCCATTACAAGTTGTATAAAAAAATCGTTTTAATATATTGAGAGAATTTAAATTTCTTGAATAATCTAAGGATAAATTCCTTTAATGTGATTTTGACTATTATTATATATGGGGCGTTCATTTTTTTTTAATTTCATTTCATTGATATGAATTATTGTAATTAATAAAACAACAAACAAAACTTGCATTAATTTATTTTCTTTTTCAGATCAGATTTTTTTAATAATTTGAGGAGTTTGGTTAAAATTATTTTGACTATTACTATTATAGCTATGATGAGTGCGGCGAGATCTAGATAGAATTTTTGGTAGAAGGGTACGTCGAACGCTGGTGAGCGGAGGTGCGGTGCACCGTGGGTACGTACCACGTGTTCTACCCAATGCACTAGCTCTGCACCTGGGGAGATCGGTCTGTCATGGTGCACTACTGATAACTCCCTGACTTTCTCTCTATATCTGAAAGAGATAGAATATAGCGGGAAAATAATAATAATAGTCAATAAGGAAAATAGCAAGTAAGATATTTTTTAATCTGTATATTGAGTATGCATAGGCAGTATATAATGTATTAGTAATAAACTAGTAATAAAAATAATTAGAAATAGGTAATAATAATGTAAAAGATAAGTTTATATATAAGTGCATAAACAAATAAACAACAGAATAGTAAAGACAGACAGACAAACAAAAAAGAACCCAGCAAAATGTATTCCCTATATATATTCCCACCTATACCGTAGTCAGTAAATGTGTATTAAAATAGCAAACCTGGAAATTAATACCCGAACTTAATATAATAAAAAAAAATATATATATATGAAATCAGTCATTAAAATTTGATGAATTTTGGATATAAACACATGATTTAATATGATTTGTTGAGTATTGAGAAAATGTAAATTATTTGTTAATAATATCTATTGAAAAAAAGAACGCAAAAAATATAACATCGGACTTATTACTGATTAATTTTATTAGGTATTTAATAGGTAATCTATTCAATAGGATAAACATATTGAAAACCTAGTAGTAAATTCTTGAAAGAAATATATATTTACCAGAGGGATACTTTGTACGTAATATATATTGTGTTTCAAAAAATTTCGGTTTGAAGGGTGGGATATGGCGTGAATTTACAAGAAATAACACCTGAGTTCTCAGGAATGGCAACGCATGGGGGTATCATGGGCGAAACATTATATTGTTATGTCCATGATACTGTTATTCTATAGGCGACGGTTACCACTTTCCATCAGGTGGACCGTCAGCTTGTTTGCTGAATTGTATAAAAAAAAATATATATATATCAGAAAACTACAACAGTTACTGCTGGGTATTGATCTTTCCTTATAAGGGATGAAAATGACTCTAAGAACAGCATGATAGGTCGTTTTCCTTATGTTAGTTACATCTGGATTGTTCTCCTAGTAATCTCTTACTTAAAATGATTTAGCTATGTACTTACATAGGGTTTGTTAGTACTTCATCTATAGCTCTCTTTAAATCTTCTACAATATTACTACTTAGTGGAACATGTCTACCGAAACCTTTGTTCACTGCTCTATTAATGTTGACGTGTTGATCAGCAAAGAGGGGTATACCTATTAGTGGCACACCAAAATGTAAAGCCTCAGTTGTGGATAGTAAACCACCGTGTGTGATAAAAATAATGCAGTTTTGGTGAGCTGAAATATAATTTAAAAAATCGTTAGTGAAATCAGTAACAAGAATATGGTTAACAGTTGCGACAGGTATCTATAGACATGAATAGTAAGCACAAAGGGCATTATAGAATATTCTACGCGCGCTGTCAATACTGAGGTTTAAGGTATTTGTTTATTTATTTATTTAACTCTTTATTCCACCAAAATCATAAAAATAAACAATTCAACTGAAATACAGTAGCATGAAGTACAGATCAAAATATACATATAAAGGTACACAAGGTGGTTTTATCGCTACGGCAATCTCTTACAGACAGCCTTTGGTTAAAGGAGAACATATAGAAGTTACACAAGGTATTGTACCATATTGTCTCTCTATAGGACATAGATTGTTTTTAATCCCCTCTCATGGGTCCCTTTACTCTTTTATTCTTTATTTAAAAGTGGACATTATTTTTTTTTATCAATACGCTGACTTGGTATAATGTTTTATTTCAAATTATTCTTCTCTTGCATTGTGCTGCGGTTCTCCTATTATATTCAAATCTTAAGGGTGAGTAGAGTTTTTTACTGCGACATATTTGTTCCTTATTCTGTTATCACACGGACATTTATTGTATAATATTTTTTGATATATAGTTTAACACTTTGGCTTTGAGACCCAAATCTGTGCGAATTGGACTGTAAAGTATCTAGGATAGCTTTATCCATGTCTGAAATTTCTGTCAAAAAATGTTTAGATTTAAACGAAACAAACAAATACAAATATTTATACATTTGAACGTCTACCTCGATAAGGATTAATGAAATCAACTAACCTAGTATGCTTTGTTGCGGTGCCCATTCTAAAATGTGCACGTTTTTCGGTAAATCTGGTAGCACCTCTTCAAATTTCCATATCACTGTCTGCTTCAAAGTGCTAAACATTTTTAATAAGTCCCTTTTTATAACATCTGGAAAGGTTTTACTTTTCGCCATTGATCCTAGACTGAAGTATATGACGCCGTGTTTAGCATTGTCCATAATTTTTTGTAACTTCTGCAAAAAAAAGTTAATAGTCCTAAATGGTTCTGGAAGGCTTGCTTTTTATTACAAAAATGTGATATGAATTTTTTTTTTTTATTTGTTTTTGGGCCTCGTACATATAGGAGAAATAATACAGGACTAATACTAAGAGTAACATTAATAAACTATTTAAATAAAAAAACAAACAAACGTAAAAATAATATATGTGGCAACAAGGTCTAAGAGGTCATAACTTAGTCATGATATGCTCACTGACCTAATTGCATTCTCGTCTATAATCTTTCACTGGTCACCACATCAGCATAAACTATGTATATAATAGAGCAGGCGTGGCTACTATATCATACCTATAAATTTTTTTTTTAATGTTCACGTCTGGTATGATGATAATGATCAATGCAATCAATGATTACCTCAGGCAGTGGTTGAACTTCATCATCCATGTGGTAGCCTGCGATGGGCTTGTAATTTTGTGGTAGTCTCAAAGGCTTCCCTGATGATACATGAGAATTACCTAACATCAACACTCCGGTATGTTGCGCTTCATATAGCGATGGTAAAGTGCGACCGCGTTTTGCTGCAGCCGATTAGAAAGCTTTGGTAAAGATTTCACTATCAATATCATATAACCTCCTGGAATGGAAACAAAGTTTTAATAAATACATGAATGTTAAAAATGTTTAATGTAGAGTAATCTAATGTGGCCGTGTGGTCCCACCATAGAATAAACCATCCTATTCTATTCCGTGGGTTTCGTAAGAATCCACTAAGGGATGACGAGGGATAGGCAGCATATAGCATAGGATGTCCGTCTTAAAATATCTCCAAAGCCTGACAGCGATTGCCAACTCGCCTGTCAAGCGTGGTAACTATTTTTTTTGTACAACTTAGAATGGCAAACCAGCTGACGGTCCATCTGATGGAAAGTTACAACCGTCGCCTATAGACATGAGTAGTACCATGGACATAACAGAGTATATTGTTTCGCCCATGATACCCCCCATGCGTTGCCATTCCTGTGGACTCAGGTGTTATTTCTCTGTACCCTGTAAATTCACGCCATATCCCACCCTTCAAACCGAAACACAGCCATGTAAACACAACTGCTTCACGGTTGAAACACGAAGGGGACAGAGATACCCATGCAATCGATTTTTGTACAAAGTGTCCCTCTGGTAAGAGTGGTTAACTACTGGTAATCCTAAAAAATCCATGCAATCATTGTTTTGTTTGTAACATTATATATTTACAAATGACTTCAACAAAAGTTTTCGAGATTCAAACAATGATTTTCGAGTAAGTTGTAAATACTACGTACTACATTACCAGATGTTTCGTATACTACAAAATAGACGTATATAGTGAGTATTGTTTGTGTACATATATTAGTTATTGTAAACTAGTTATTTGCTCATCAAATAAAAGCATATGATACAATTGTCACAAAATTAGAACGAAAATAACAGAGAACTGTATGTAATAAAAGTAATAAAAGAGTTTAGAAAATCGATTCAGAATTGGCGATAAAATAACAACATATTTGCATAGAACTCAGATGAATTTATTTATTAATTGCCACCTGTGCTGTAAAAAAAAATGGTATGTGATCCTTAAGCTAAAATTAACAAGGTCTGATTAAATGTTCATTTCCTAAACTGATCCAAGAGAGTACAAGATACAGAAGAATAACACCTGAGTCCTCAGGAATAGCAACGCATAGGGGCAAACAAGTATACTCTATTATGTCTATGGTACTGCTCATGTCTATAGGCGACGGTTACCACTTTCCATCAGGTGGGCTGTCAGCTTGTTTGCCATTTTAAGTCGTATAAAAAAAATCGAAATTTTAGTGACTATTCAAGATATTTATGACTAGCCGTTTCCCGCGGCGTTGTCCGCTGTTAACTATGTAGTTCCCGTATATCATTCCCATTGGAACTGTTCATGAATCCGGTCTTATATTATATACTTAAATGATATTTATATACATATAAAAAAACGAAATGAAGCCCAAAAATTCGGAACTTCATATCATGGTAGGCCCCCTGATATCGAATATGACTTGTAAATTTTTTATCTATTTTTATCAGACGTGTGTTAAATGTCTTGATTTGTAAACAGACGTTCGAAGATAATCATTACATAATTGGTACGTCATATCAAATTTATAATGGAATTCTTAAAATGTTAGATATAAATTACATACTAGTATAAATTATACTAATATAATTTATACTAGTACGGAATATATATTTAACACTTTATCAGACTTATATAGTTATATAAGTCTGATAAATAAATAGATACGCATGAGTTGTAATTTTATATTTGTTTATTTGTAACAATTCTCTGTTCATAGAATTCACCAACATTTGAATTTAGAATCGATTTTAAAAAAATCAATTTTGATAATAAAAAATATCTTCCGTATATATTCTAGTAGTGCTTGATCGTCAACGTTTCGAAGTCAAATATATGCATGGCAGAAATTGTTACGCACAGTGCGGTTTCATAGGAGCTTCCTCCCACGAACACTCAGGTTGTAGAATGATCTTTCTGCCAAGGTTTCGCGAACACTCAGGTTGTGGAATGCTTTTCCTGCCAAGGTTTCCCTACAGACTACAGTATGGGATTCAAAAAGGGCGTATTATTGTGGACAGCCTGTCAACGTTTCCCTACAGACTACAGTATGGGACTCAAAAAGGGTGTATTAAAGTTTCTTAAGGGTCGGCAACGCGCGCGCGACAGTCCTGCGGGTCTACCATGAAATGAAATTCCGAAATTTTGGACTCTATTTCTATTTCGTGTTTTTGTTTATACCAAAATCGGATCAATAAATGGAGTTTAACATTTCGTTCGTTATACATCCTATCATAAAAGTCCGAAGGTACAATATTTTAACATTTTTAATATTTTCAAACGGCATGTATTATGTAATTTTAACGTTAAATTTGTGTTTCGTTTGGCTCCGAAATTTCGGAAAACATTTCATGGTAGGCCCTCTGGAGTTACAGACGTTCGTAGGCTATGATAAGCTCGTTTACATTCACACGGGCCGTATGCTTGTTTGCCACCAAAGTAGTTATGAAATAAATTGGTATGAATTAAAGCAAGGCTATCGTCGTTACTCAAATTAATTTGTTTTTTTATCAGTATTAATATTGACATACACATATTTTAATGTCGGTTAGATTTTTTTGGTTAGATAGATCGATAGATACTCTTTATTGTTTCCTCTAAAAGATTACAATAGTAAATTAATAACTTGGTTAGATTGAAGTTTATATGTCGGGATAGTTTAGGACACGTCACAGATTTTTTTATTTTATTTTTATTTATTAATAATTGTCTTTATTGAATAATAATTTATATTTAGTTAGATCTACTAGCCACCGAACTAGGCCAAGCTTGTATCTCAATGGATAGTTAAATGGATTCCTTTGACTTAAATATTTATAAAAGACGTTATAATGTCGAATATTAACACACTCAAATTTGCAATGTCCAAGATACTGACATTGATGCTCCTTTCCACTTTGGGTGTTGCTGGAAGAGAACTCTTTTAGAGTTAAGCTCGTCTTTGCACATTTGATTACCTCTGTCATATTTTTATTTATAATTAGTGTGTACAATAAAGTATTTAATTAAATAAATAAATACTTTTGGTGCAACATAGTTAAATGTGGGTAGCTTCATATTACCTCTCTTACAGTTACAATTATAGTTTACCCACCCAATTAATATATATATATATATATATATATATATATATATATATATATATATATATATATATATATATATATATATATAATTGGTTAGCCACTTTTCGTTGTAATTTTATAACTCAAAAACGGGCTTACCTATCCAAACCAAATGTTTAGGCTTTGTTCGGACTATTTAGTAGATGGTTTATGTGAAGTTTGCACAAAATCGGTCGAGCGGTTCTTCATTTATCACATTTTTTTTTGCAACAAATGAATTTAATAAATGGCGGATCATTTTATCAATGGGGATTTTTGTGTCCAATTCAATTTTTTTTTAAGATGGGGATTGTGCTGTCAAATTGAAACTTTTTTCAGTGTTGACAGTACAAGCATGTTGTTATGTCATTTATGCGGTCATTTGATTTTGGACGTGCTTCGATTAAAGCAAATTGTCAGCGATAATTATTGCTTTGTGTTTATATTTTTAAACATATTGTTCAAATCGGCTATTCCATTCAATAGATATTACGAATTTAATAATTCATAGAAATAGAAAAAATAACGCTGTCGCGTTATACATATTATTCGTACCTATTTTAGCGGTGCGGGAGAGGGGCAGATGGGGGTGGGCACATCTATGAAATAGGTAGCTAGGTAGGTACAGATAAAAATGTAAAATGTTGTAAAAATGTCCTCCGTGCGAAGCCGGGACGGGCCGCTAGTATGATATATAATTTGCTAGTCATCATAGCAACTACATTAAGTGTTGACTTACGACAAATAATATAATAATAATATATTATAATGAACTAATGTATGGAAGCAGAGACCAAGTATTGTTAAATATATTATTAGATTTACAATGCATGTATATATTGCCAATTCACTTACAACAATTTATTAGTACATTTATGTTTTTTTTGTCATTTTTACTTTTACCATCATCATTTCAGTCTTGTAATCTATCCACTGTTAGTTCTTCCCTAGTAGGTGCGGTCCTTCGCCTTTTACATCCATTTTTAAATATCGATTCGTTAGTCTAGTTAGTGTGACGTGATCTATTATGCTCTCCAATTTTTAACACGCTTAAAATAAATTATACATAAAGGAACCTTACCATCTTAAAATCTTCAAATGTATTAGAGTCCACAGTTCCTTTACTCGTTGTAAGAAATTAAATGGTGGGTCCTCCTGCGACAAGTGGTTTGAGGTGTAGGCAGGATTGGGATCTTCATCTATGAGAGACAGCACCATGCTGTGAGGGTCCATTGATGATGACCAGATCAACGGACTGTCGAATACAGTTGCAAATCTGTAATTAAATCGCGGAGTACTTAAATAAAATATATAGCTTAATAAAGTTTATTATAGTTAAAGTGCTGTATTATTTTTTTTATTTATTCTTTATAGCACAATACAATTTTGTACCAATCTTATCTGTATCTGTATCTGAAATTAGTAAAAATATCGGTCAAGATTCAGTAAAAGAATGCAGCTAGAATTGGAGCTTAGGGAAATTTTGTTTCAAAATGTTTTAAAATTGAATTTAAACAATCATCATCATCATATCAGCCGTTAACTGTCCACTGTTGAACATAAGCCTCCCCCTTGGAGGGTTTTGCCAGTAGTTGCCGTGCTTGGCAGGCAGATCCGCAGTAAGGCTTTGGCCATGTTTTGAGAGTGTGTGCGACCCATTTACGACACCCACGGAAAAGGAACGGGTGGTCTATTTTATGCCGGGATCATAAGGCATTTATTAAATAAATTAATTTGAAACAAATTAATGAATAATTGACGACAATTTGTTTTTCTAATAAAAATCGTAAAATATTTATATGCCTAAATAAATGGTATAGTAATAGGTGTATGTATATTTAAAAGGGAACGTAATCAAAATAAAGATCAAAAACAAATAAAGATCATAAGACAGTCTCCTGATGTGATTATCTTTATTTGTTACTCATTTATTTAGAGAGCATTTTTGAAATAAATTCAAGTACATTTTGTTACTATTCATATTACATAAGTTCTATTGAAAGAGACTAGACATTTTCTCACCCACAATAAAGTTCTGTATACAACCATTCCACAATAACAGCATCGAAATGTTCTTCGGTGTCATGTATGAACTTCTGTACATTGTCGCTGAATAACGTGTTATTCGCTGTATTTCTTACGAAACCAAATATTGCAATTTCATCTTTTAAGTCGATTTCTTTGTTGAATTGTTTCTTAAGATCCAAATCTTCTACTGCAAATTAAACAATCATTTATTTACGTAAACATGTATAGTTATAAACCGTAATAATAATAATAATAAATCTTTTATTTTCAGGTATATTTTCAGGTATATACCCAGGGTACAGAGGAATAACACCTGAGTCCTCAGGAATGGCAACGCATGGGGCGAAACAGTATATTCTGTTATGTCCATGGTACCGCTCATGTCTATAAACGACGGTTACCATTTTCCATCAGGTGGGCCGTCAGCTTGTTCACCATTCTAAGTTGTATAAAAAAAAAAAAAGTGTACAGCTATTATGATTTAAGTTTCCTTTTAATTAATTATTAATTATACAAACTATTGTTATTATTTTTAAAATACACATTAATTACAAATACACATTAATATTGTCGCATTGTATTTATTTATTAAAGTACTAATTATTGCGTAACTAATGAAATAAACTATTTCTAGATGGCGCAGCAAGAGAAAACAAATAACAGATTTTAAGTATGGACATATCTGTGAAAGTCGTATCTATGTATATTGATATAACGATTTTCGTTTCATGCCTCAACAAACAAACATGTAGACAGACAAAATTCCTTAAAAATTATTATTTTAATTTCTGTTGCTCTTATTAAGAACGCCTCATATATATTCTTTTAATATTTCCATGTAAAAACATCGTTTAGGTATAATTTTATTATATATATCTGTACTACGAGTATAATAAAATTGAATTGAAGGCGCTTATCCCTTGAACTATATTAGTCGGATTTGAAAAATCATTTTTTCATTTACATTCAATATCACGATACGACCACAAGCGCAGCCACGGGGTAGAGCTAGAATAGATATAGATTATTTTATTTTTATTATGTTTGAGGAATGTTGATGACTATAATAACTTAATAGTTAAATATATATGACAATAATAAGCCAATTAACAGCTATCAAATATAGTTAAAGAAAATTGATTGATCAGGTACAGTCTTGATAACTAATAATTTGGCATACATAAACTAAAGATTATTATAACTATGGAAATAATAATTTGCGACGGGTATTCTTTTATAATTGCTGCTACTATTAAATTATTTTTCTTTTATTTATTTATTTATTCTTTATTCTACACAAAAAATTACAAACAAATAATATACTACTACACTGGGTTGGCTGGAAGAGATCTCTTTCAGAGATAAGTTCTCCCTTGCTAACAAGTTGTTAAACTAATCGTATATATATATATATATATATATATATATATATATATATATATATATATATATATATATATATATATATATATATATATATATATATATATATATATATATATATATATATATATATATATATATATATATATAAAAATATACAACAGGCGAGCTTACTCTCTAAGAGTTCTCTTCCAGCAAATTCTGAGTGGAAAGGAGCATTAATTACCAGCGGGCAGTGTACGTAGAATAATAGGAGGAAAGAGTACAGTTGTTTCTATTAAGAAATAATAAATATGTTGACATATCATCATTATCATCTTCCTACTCTTATCCCAATCATTTGGGGTCGGCGTAATATGATTTTATCCAAAAAGATTTGGATTTTAGTTTTATGACCGGCCGCTTGCCTGACGTTAACCCTCTTTGGGAATGCATTTGTTGGTGGTATCCGCCATCTACGGTATGGTGGAAAGGATTGAGGAAAAAAGGAAGGGAACGTTAAAAATGCGTAAAGGAAATTGGTGAATGAGAGGAATAAGGGACTTATGTGGCAAAGGAAAGGGGGGGGGGGACACTGCAGTTGTGGAAAGGACTGGGACACTGCAGCGGCTCGGGAGGCCGCATATCCGTATGCCGTTATTCTAGAATCGGACAGATTTATAGAGAAGAACACCCCTGACATATGTATATAACTCTATATATATATAATTAATAGTATCTTTTTTTTATGCAACTTACAATGGCAAACAAGAAAATAAATAAATACAAAATACATATATACATAAATATAAAATATCTCTTCACATACAAAATACGTACATATACATACATAGACATAATAAGTTTATGAGGACAGAAGATGCTCTTTTAATCTGCTCTTGAATTATAAAATTCTGTTAATTTTACTTACAGAACGTAAACAGCTCTATGTTACTTGATACATCAATCTGTCGCAGATTCTTGTGTGGATTTTTTATGGGCATAGCAGTTATATATGTGACCTGAAAACCATAACCAATCTTTATATAAGAATAGTCTACTTGTAAAGTAAGTAAGTAATTTATACACTTCTGTCAATCGTGATTCTTCTGCTACATATGTCATGTTTTTTTTTTTAAATGGATGGTAATGGAATGGTAACTCCGTCTGCGCTATCGATATACTCTGGCGGGGCACCAGTGAGGGATGATAGGCGAGAATGAAAAGGCAGGTCAGTTAGTCCATCGTGATGAATACATCTGGAATTCAGCACGATGGTTTCCAGCGGGAACCACGTGGTGGTCGACCTGACAGGGTACATTGCTAGCATGGGACTGGTAGTCCGCATTACTAATAATCCCTTTCCCCCAATCTGCTGTGCTTGCATGGCTGTGATTCGGTTTCAATGGTGGGATATAACAGTGAGATTACTAGGTATGAGGGTACAAAATCTTAGTTTTGGGGGAACGGATTGTTAATAATGAAGACTGAGGACTTCATTATCACGCAGGTCAACCTCCACGTGGTCTCCCCTGGAAACTATCTTGCTGAGGACTAGGTTTATTCATCACGATGGGTTGGCTGAGCTGTCTTTTTTTCTCACCTATCATCACTCACTGGTGCTCCACCAGTGTATAGTGATGGTGCAGGCGGAGTTAAAATTCCATTATCACCCATTAAAAAGAAAAACACTTTAGTGCTAAAAGATGGCAACGCATATCAGATACCATGAGTGTCACAGTTTATTGATCTTTACGGTGCTGTTCACGTCTTTAGGTGACAATTTCTACTATACCTATTTGGATACCAATTTTGTTTGTTACTCTAATTAGTATCAGAAATGATACGTATTTATTAAGTAAAATGGAAAGAAAATAATACAATGTGTCACCAGCTTAGATTTTGTTCCAAATTTCCAAACTTTTTTTTGTTCACCAGAAAAAGGAAGACAATAAAAAAAGGTAAACTTGATATAAATCTTATATTATTTAGTAATAGAATACTTTTTGACGCTGTATGCTCCCGGCATAGAATGGGCCACCCCTTCCTTTCCCGTAGGTGTCGTAAGACGCGACTAAGACAACTTAATGGTTGAGGGATGGATAGCAGCATCCCTAATAAAACATCAGCAATGCCTAACTACGCTTGACAAACTCACCTGTTAAGCATGCCAACTATTGGCAAAACCGGGGGGTTTAAGGGGTTATGGGGAAGGCTTTCAGCAGTGGACTGTTAACAACTAATGTCCTGATGATGATAATGAATCTTCTTGTAAAGACCCCAGTCTAGCAGTGGGTCATTTATGTAATTCCTTGGTATTGTTTTCTAACATTAAGAAAGGGATGTAAACGACTTTTGAAACTTAACTAATGCTAAATATGGTGTTACTTTTATGGAATATTTTGAAGACAGATTGTTCAAGTGTTGTGACAATTGCTTATGTAAATTGATAGGTACACAATCATACAGTGACGTAAATAATAGATAAATGTATGTAATCAAGATCTATTTGATGATAGCAACAATGAAACATGCCACGACCGTGTGGTCTCATATTTCTGTTTTTGTTTACAATTTGAATGTATGAAAACTCTTTATTGCTCCTTCAAAGAATGATACAGATTATAAAGATTATATTATACGCACACAAATAAAATGAATAATATTTTTTTTATGCACCTTAAAATGGCAAACAAGCTGACGGGTCACCTGACAGTAGTAAGTGTCGCTTACAGATATGAGCAGTTCATGGACATAATAGAGTGTACTGTTTCGCACATGATACTCCCCATGCGTTGCCATTTCTGAGGACTCAGTTGTTATTCCTTTGTACCCTATAAACCGAAACTCAGTCGTGCAAACATAATTGCTTCACGGTAGAATACGAATGGGACAGAGGTACCCAAGCAAACGACTTTTGTACAAAGATTACCTCTGGTAAATTTCATAAAAGCAAGATAAAAAGGCAACAATGTACGGCGTTATCGCTAAATAGCGATCTCTTCCAGGCAATCTCAAGATAGACAGGAATAATTAAAATTGTGTTTGGTCAAAGTGTAACAAAAAAATAATAAAACTATTATAAAAAAGTTGCCCTTTTTTAGTTAGTTAAAAGGGGTTAAAGATAAATTTAAACGCAAATAATATAATTAATAATATACTATATAATTTATATATTTGTATGTTTTAATGGATTGGAAATGTTTTGGTAAGTGACATATTTTGTATTATCTTTTATTATATAAAAAATCAATGTTTCTTTTTCACAAGAATATTGTGTAATAATCACAACATACATGCGTTTATGAAAATGGCGATGTTTCGTAGACACATTAGATTGAAAATGTATGAATTTAAAACGCAAAATCAGTTACGAAAAAAAAAGAAATTTTGCTTTAGAACAGTTCAGTTTTTTTGCTCCGTTAAGAACGACAGATGCTTCAAACGTTAAAATTTAACATGGAATTAATATTAGAGTAAACATTATATATAGCAAATCCGAGCATAATTGTCAAAAAATGAAGGCAAAATTAATTAATTTATTCTTTATTGACAACATTACAAAAAAAAAAATCTGCAACAAAAGGCGAGCCTAATGCTTGCATGCATGCATTCTCTTGCAGTCAACTTTTGGCAAAACAGAAATGTAATTATAGTCAAGCGGTTAAAAATTGAAAATTGTTGTAGAAAAATAGTTACACATATGTATTCATACTGGCTTACAATTATGTAATGAATAATTGGCGGTTTATTTCGTATAAGTAAAAGATAATTACTTATTAACCCATATATCAACGTACAGCTAATATCGCTGTGTTTAGAATTTTAAAATTTTGCATATAGATTTCTTACATAGTATAGATGAACAATACGAAAGAAAATTCTTCCGTATATTTCATCATTCCATCACTTTAGCGGTTGAAATCTTGTATAGAATTTCGTAACTTTAAAAGTTAGACACGGGAAATTTAGATATAATTTTTTTTTATACAATTTAGAATGGCAATCAAGCCGACGGCCCATCTGAGTTATTTGGTTGAAAACAAAAATTAATATATTTATTGGGTTTTAGATAATTCATCCCTGAAGGGGTGAAACGGGAGATTTTGGCTTGTATGGGAGCGAGTGAATCCGAGGGAAAAAGCTAGTAGTATAATACAGTTAGAAAAAATCTTGTTAACTTATTTGAATTTTTTTATATTAACTATAAAATTAACACAGTTTTGATATATATTTAATGTATTTTTTTTATATCACGGAGGCGGTAAATAGGGATACAGCCTGTCTGATTATGATAATAAATTATTAGTATATTAACTGTCTGTTGCTGAACTTAGGATTTCCCCATAAGCAGGGTTTGGCCAGTAGTTGCCACGCTTGGCAGGCAAATTGGCAATCGCAGTTAGGCTTTACAGATCTTTTAGGAGGGACGCTGCTGCTTGTCCCTCGCCCTCCCTTAATCATCTCTTACGACACGGGAAAGGAAGAGGTGGCCTTTTCTATGCCGGGATCACACGGCCATGTGATGATTACCCACTTATAAAAATAGACTTTAAAATTAAAAGTAAGAAATATTTAGTATTAAGAATTGTACATACCTCATGTCCAGCTTTGAGCAAGTGCCTGACATATCCATTCCCAAGAATTGTATGACTTTTGCCCGGGTAAGGGAATACTACAAGTATTTTGTATGCACACACGTAACTCAGTAACGAAAACAAAATAAGGGTCCTAAACATTTTTTTTTATATCAACAATTTATTTATTTTCTTTGATCTTATTAAATTGATCACAGTCACTGTTGGCTAACGTGGTCAAATGTTTGTGTATAACGCGTTGTCCGACCGTGTCGTCTGATTATTATTTGTTGAAACACACTAATATAACATTACTGTGAATAAAAACGATAAAGAGCATCGGAATTGAGATACGAATGCTTTATATAGGTAGTAGCTACTTATGGTAGCTTACGTATTAATTTTTATCCGCGACGTGCCTCGCGTTGACTGTTTTTTTATTCAACTTAGAATGGCAAACAAGCAATCGACCCACCTGATGGAAAGTGGTAATAAAAATTATGTTAAAATTTATAATCTAAAATGTTATAATATGAAAATATTAGATTAATTATATATATATATATATATATATATATATATATATATAAAAGTGTTAGTTTACCGAATAAACACAGTTTTTATTTTGTAAATAATTATTATTTATATGCTTTTGTACACTCAATTTTAATATACATTTAATACATCAATATATCAATTATATATATATATATATATATATATATATATATATATATATATATATATATATAATGGATTTAGTTATATTCTTCAAAATGGTTAATGAGCACTCTGGGCGCTGCGTATTGAGTAAAACAATTGTTTACTCTTTTAAAGGTGAGACTAGGTAGGTCAATCTGGTGAGGAATATTGCTAGCAATTAAGACTTTTATTACCAACGATCTTTTTTCCACTAATATATATATATATATATATATATATATATATATATATATATATATATATATATATATATTAAAGATATATACAACAGGTTACAATCAATAACATTATAGACATTTAGACATTATATAAAGATAATAGTTTGAACTAGATTGAGACCCAGACAGGTGTACACACAGCATGGTTAAAGCAGTCGGCAAACAATGTTAAATTATAAAGTTACATAAAGAAAGCATATGAATGTGGTAAATAACAATGAAGTACATACAAATAATAAAAATACATAAAAATATGGACATGTCAAAGAGACTAGATGGCTGATTGTAAAATGCTTTTGAAGGTGTTTAGACGTGAGTTGAAGATATTAATTTGATGACATTTAGCTGAGAATTCATTAAAAGAACAACACATACGGATAAGCGGGTTATAATACGATGTATTGTTATAAACGCAGAGTGCAAATGTTTTAGAACTCCGTGTTATAGTTTTTATATTGAAGGTCAAAGCAGAGACTAGATAAGCCGAGTGAATATGATAATGAACTATTTTGTGTAAAGTAAGTAAGTCGATCTGTTTTCGTCTGGTAGATAAGAGAATCACATTAAATTTTTCTAGTCTTTTTTCATAACTTGATAGAATACGCCCATATCCACTACGATAACTTAGAATTTTTTTAGAATTTTCGCTGAACAGATTCAATTCTATCGGAATGGCATTTATAGCAAGGTGACAGAACCGTATTCAAGAATACTTCGTACCAGAGCATTAAACAAAAGAATAAGGCTTTGAGGATTCTTAAAATCAACCATGACCCTAGCAATAAAACCAAGAAGTTTAAACGACTTCGTAATCAATGTACTATAATGCTCTTTAAATGATAACTTTTCATCAAACTCTATGCCAAGATCTCTGACCACCATCCTTCTAGTAATAAACTGACCGTCAAGATCGTAATTGTAAACTAGTTTGTTCTTTTTATTTGTAAATGAGATCACGAAACATTTTGATACATTGAGATACATGTAGTTCTCTCTATACCATTTCTGTATAACATATAAGTCGGTTTGCAAAAATGGACAGTCAATTATTATTATTAATTTAGAGGTAGTAGCGTCCCCCATAAAATATCATCAAAAGACTAACTGTGGTTGTAAACCTATTTGGCAAGCGTGGCGATTATTAAAAAAGCTCCCAATGGTAAATATGAGGAAGAAATGGTGATACCACTATTTCTGAATAAGGTAGCGGTCATGGTAACGGAGGAGCAGGAGCTGCTAAGAATCACCGGCAGAGATTCCGCTATTACCAAAAACAACTGGACTCGGCAACATACAATGCTCGTATTTTGAGAACCAATGAGAAAGTTGTGGAGCTGGAAGAAGAGGTGGACACTAGAATTACACTAAGATACACTAGGATTTGTTATTGAGGACAGAAGGGGAAAAATGTTAGGACACTTGATACGACACGACGAACTTATGAACATTATAATAGAAGGTAAGATAGAAGGAAGAAGGGGGAGGGGGAGACCGAGACATAGTTACATCAGGCAGATCAAGGAAGGAGTTGGTGTCGTGTCGTATCAAGAGGTGAAGAGACTCGCTGAAAATCGTAGTGAGTGGCAAGAGCTCCACCGACAAGAGCGCAGCTCTTAAATGGATAGATAGACACTAGGATTATCTGAAGTCCGAAGACAGAGGGAGGATTCCATGATCCTTGAATTCGGCAACGCGTTCTACCATTGTGAGGACGAACATCCGGCCCATGGGGTTATCGGTTTTATCGTCCATATGGAAATCAATCGATCTAGTCCATCAAACCGTTATCAGTCAGAAACTTATAGTAAGCATGACTAGCTTCAAGTTACTTGAATATATCATGAGTACAAATTACTTGAATACACTACCTATGTGATTATCAAAATACCCATGTATTACAAGAATTGAATTGGCATTTACAGTCAGAACAATCTGTATCTGTATTTCTATACTAATATTATAAACAAGTTTTATGAGTTTATATATGTTTTTTTTTTACAACACAGGGGGCAAACGAGCATGCGGCTCACCTGATGGTAAGTGACTACCGCCGCCCATGATCACCCACAACACCAGCGGTATTGCAGATGTGCTGCCGGCCTTTTAAAAAGGAACATACTCTTTTCTTGAAGGTTATGCTGTCGTATCGGTTGGGAAATACTGCTGCAGGAAGTTGATTCCAAAGAATGGTTGTGCGTGGAAGAAAGTGCCTTGAAAAACGCACGGTGGAAGACTGCCACTCGTCCAGATGATTGGGATGAAACTTTTTTTGTGGCGGGTTGTACGGTGGTGAAAATCAGCAGCAGGTATCAACCCGAACAATTCCTCAGAACACTCCCCATGGTAAATTCGATAGAAGATGCACAGAGATGCAACATCTCTGTGCATTTCTATGTATATAAATCTGGCCTTGTGGTCCCGGTATGGAATAGGTCATCCCTTTCTTTCCCGTGGGTTTTGTAAGAGTCCGTCAATCCGCCTGCCAAGCGTGGTAGCTATTGGCAAAACCAAGGGGGAGGTTTATGTTCAGCAGTGGACAGTTAAAGGCTGATATGATGATGAAATTTGTGAGTTTGAATGTTAGGTGTAATCTACGGTATTACAAATCCAATTTTGAAAATTTTTTCACTGTTCATACTTCTTATATTATATACTATTACTTATTTTATAATATAAGTATATATTTTCAATAATTAATCACAATCAATGTAATTAAAGTCGGCAAAAAATCTGTAATAATTTGCTTTGAAATAAATGAAATAAAGGAATAAAATCTATAGAAAAAGTATTCAATACTTTCAGCTTTATAAAAAAGTCCGACACAATACATATAAAAGTTTAATATCTCATCAAAAAAAAAAAATGGTTTTGATGTTAAAAGCAAAATTAAATTTGCATACAGGTTTGACGTATACTTTACAAATTCTTATAAAAATAAATAGCTAAAATAAAGTGGGAATTTCATAGAGATAATGTTTATTTATTATAGCATGTTAATTTATGCAGTTGGTAAGAAGATATTGCGAAATAAAAACAAAAAGCGGGTAAAATTATTTTGTTGTTGCTTGCGCTGGTCGTGAGAGAACAGTAGGTAGGGCGCAGAAGGGAGGGACGTAAGAGGAACTATGACAAATGCGCGCACATCAAATTGCTAAATAGGCCATTCTGTTTAAAATCTTAGAGAACATTAGTGCAGTACTTTCACACACGGCAAAATACCTGCCTTACTAAAATGTGTTGAACAGTTTAAAAGTTATACAAACAAATTAGTACCCGTGCGAAGCCGGGATGGGTTGCTAGTTAATATAATAATGTCAATAAGATAATAAATATAGGAGTATGAATAATAAAAATCAATGTCATTTTTATCAATTAAATATTTATAGAAATATGAAAAACAAGAGACGTGTTACTAAAAAAAACAAGAGACGTGTTACTATAATCGTAAACTTTATTTTTTAAGCGATTGACTATTAACAATTTTATTATTTTTCTTATTTTTTGTTTTAATAGTATTGGTTTTTACAATTTTATTGTTTGCAATGTATGAATGAAGTACTGGCAACACAATCACCGCTATGATGATAAAAATGACAGCTACTAATCCAATAAGATCGAGGTACAACTTTTGGTAAAACGACAATGTTATAGCTGGTGAACGGAGGTGCGGCGCCCCGCGTGTCCGAACCACGTGCTCCACCCAATGTACTAGCTCCTCTCCAGCACTTACTATGCGATCATGATATATTCGTGATTGCTCTTTTGCTTTTTCTAGGTAACTGTAAATAAAAAAGTTTTTTTTTAATGGATGATAATAGGTAACCCCGCCTGCGCTAACGGTATACGTTGGCGGGGCAACAGTGTGGGATCATAGATATGAACGAAAAAAGGCAGGTCAGTTAGCCTATCGTGATGAATACACTTGGAATACAGCTCAATGGCTTGTAGGGGAATCACGGGAAGGTCGACCTGGTTGAGTATATTGCTAGCAATAGAGCTCTTAGTCTCCATGACTAACAATCCCTTTCCCCAATAAAAAAAAGTCTATAATTATTTAATTTTTACGCCAGAGTTGTAATGGGATTTCTATTTAAGGTTCTTGATACTTGTTTGCTTCATCTCCTTTCATAAATCGTTTTATACACATACGAGTACTCGGTTTTAAAGATACTTGGCTCCTTTCTCAGATAGCAGTTACAATACCAGATTTGAATGAACATAGGTCTCTTTATCCTTATCATAGTGTGCACTTTAAACCAAATTGCCTCACATTACTGTATTACGAATGCGGTCTGCCGACATTTTGATCACTTTTATCACCTAGATAATTTTCGTTATCACCGGCCGATATTGTAGCGATAATTATTCCGATTGTGCAATAGACTCTCATATAGTAATTAATTCAATTAATCATCAACATTGATATCTCTTTTTATATCGACTATCTTATTCTTAACGAATCCACATTAAATACATATAATTTCATATAATAATTGAAATTAATTTTATAATTATTGGTAATAACCTGGCATTATTAAGAACTTCGTTTATAGCTATTTTCAAATCGTGAGCTATCATCGAAGATAACTGTACTTTTTTGCCAAAACCTTTAATCACTGATTTATCAACATTCTGGTATTGATCTGAAAATAATGGAATTCCAATAATTGGTATTCCAAAATAGATTGCTTCAGTGATTGATAGAAGACCACCATGCGTAATGAAGAGGATGCAGTTGGGATGAGCTGAAATGACAAATAAAATTATGTATCTGATAATATATATATATATATCTTTATTGCACTAAAACATACAGTAACAACAATAAGTTAATAACAATGTTAGCAAAGGCGAACTTATCTCTAAAAGAGATTTCTTCCAGTCAACGCAATGGCACAGGAAGTAGTGAGTGATGATATGACTGATGGTAAATTTTATGTGTAAGCTTAGCTTAGTATAGTATTGAAAACTATTTCTATACTAACGTAGCACTGGGTTTATTTATGCAATATATATTTTATAATGCTGAATTTTGATGTAAAGAGCAAGATTCTTTGTAATCTGATATATTTAATGTTGTTAACGACAAATTCAATGCTTTTCATGTCTGCAAATGATGATTAACAATCATCATTTTTATTCGTTTATTTGTTTGGCCAACTTCCAGTAGTATTAAGATATAACTCATTAAATTAATAATTAATAATAATTGACATGTAAGCGAAATTATATTTATTTTATTTTAATTTGGTTATGATTATTCTTTGTCTTGTTGATTGTATTGTCAAATATTTCATATTTATTTGTAATCAAGTAATGGTAATAGTATTTGAATGTTCCGATGTTAATATAATTGCTGTTCTTAAATTGTTGCATGCCCGATAGGCTATAACTGTTGATACTGATGTCAAATTCAAAGCAATGGTTACTGCTATATGTATGTACACAGTTAGCAATAAAATTCTATTCTATTCTATTCTATTCTAATAATGGAACTGCAATATTGAATGATAGCTCGAAAAATGTGAATTACAAAGATCAGTACAACGTACAAACTCACATAAAACACTTTGTTGTGGTACCCATTTTCGAATATGCACATTTTTCAGCGTATTTATTTCATTATCTTCATATTTCCAAATTACTGTCTGATTCAATTCACTGAATGTTTTCATGAGTTCACGCTTAACATTGTCGGGTAATTCAGAACTTTTTACAATGGAACCAATGCTGAAGTAAATTACTCCATATTTAGAATTGTTCATTATTTTTTGCAAGTCCTGTCAATAAGCAAAATGTAATTATAATGCATTAATTTCGAGGTTTTTTTTTTAATGAGTGGTAATGATATGGTAACCCCGTATGGGCTATCGGTATACACTGGCGGGGCACCAGTGATAGATGACTGATAAGGATGAAAGCAGATCAGTTAGCCCATCCTGACGAATTTAACTAGAATTAGACAGATGGTTTCCAGGGGGAATAACGTGGAGGTCGACCGGATAGGGTATACTGCTGGTAATGGGGCTATTTGTTCCCATTACTAACAATCCCTTTTCCCCTAATTTTGTTTTATATGTGTGTATAAGTAAAACAACACTAACAAGGGATGATAAGTGAACATTATTTGTGATGAAGATAAAGTCAGATCGGTTGGTCTGTTAGGATAAATCAGGAACTAATCGTGATTCTTCTTAAGAAGTATGTTTAGCAGTGGACGGATAATAATATAATAATAAATAATAAATAATAGGATAATGGCTGAGATGATGATGATGAAGATTTTCAAGAAGACCCACCATAGTACTATTGGCGTGTATTTACTGGGTACAGAAAAATAACACCTGAGTCCTCAGGAATGGCAACGCATGGGGGGTATTATGGGCGAAACAGTACACTCTGTTATGTCCATGGTACTGCTCATGTCTATAGGTGACGGTTACCACTTTACATCAGGTGGGCCGTCAGCTTGTTTGCCATTCTAAGTTGTATAAAAAAAAGTAATTTCTCTTATTTAACAAAAACAACTTGAGCCTTTCTCTTTTTTTGCACAATTAGGCTGTTGTACTATATTTGAACTTATTCAGCATTTATACTGCCGCATAGACCCCCTCTTGTAGGATTTTAAATATCTAAAATTAAGGTAATTTTACATTTAAGCCTATTATAAAATTAACTCTCATATTGTAATTTGTGTCACTCAATAGCAATACTCATGGCGAAAACATATATTTGTATTTTATTTTATAATAAACTTGTAAACTTAACCCGTAATATTAAGAGATAAGTTTACAGTAGTGGCGCCTCAGAATCTGCCCTATTGTCTAGTTACTTTTGTTATTATGTACATGAATTCCGCAGTACAAAAATAAACATACAACCTGTCCATGTAAAGTAAACAAAATTGGTGTGATGTCGTGCGTCAAAGGGGCTCTAATAGTATGAACAGATGGTGAATGGAACTTACTAATATTAAATATGCGAGAGAGTGTTTGTTTACTATTTGTTGCTGCTATATGCCCATGTGATGGTAAACAGTGTTACCGTAGCCTATGTACGCCTGTAACACAACGGATGTTATTCGCGCGTTGCCGAAACCTTAAACCTTTTTGAAGAACCTAATACTATAGTCTCTAGGGAAAGTCTCGACAGAAAGACCATTCCACAACCTGATTGTCTACGGGAGGAAGCTCGTTTGAAACCGCACAGTGCGTGTCTATTTTGGTTCTAAGGTGTAAGATTGGATTCATTGCCGGTAGCGAGCAGTGCAATGGTGGAATAACTCCAATTTAACTCTAATTAATCAAAATATTGAAATATTCTTTATTGCGATAAAACATACAGTAATAGTAACAATTAGATATAATGTAAGTAATGGATAAATTTATCTCATACAATAGTACAAACAATAGTACCAAGAAAAGTCTGTTTCAATAGCATTTAATGTTTCATAAAATTTTATTGAAATTGCCACATAAACACTCTCATGAATATTGGTAACGAATCGAAATATTCGATCAATTACTCGATCTTTTATTTCTACTACTATTGAATATCAATGGATTGTCTTATGGTCGTGTCGATTATTTTGTTTGTTTACATTATATTAAAATAAAAATAAACTATATGGTTTTATCTATGGATATCATTTATATTTGGAATGAAATAAATATTTATTTGCCAAAACGCTTTTACATGGATGATTAACTCTACGAATTACACATTAGACATAGAAGGCTATATCATGTAATTTGGAAATGTGATTTAGCCATGGTGATATATTAAGTACTTGGTTGAGATATAAACATGCAAACAATAAAACAAACCTAAAAAATAAACCTAACAAAAATAAATTAAGAATAAGACCATCATTTTAAAAATATTTGACATGTTTGTGTGATATTATTAATATTATATGAGCCATTAACTGGCCACCGCTTAACATAGGCCTCCCCCATAAGGGAGGCTTTGTTGGTAGTTGCCACGTTTGACAGGCGGGTTGGCAACCGCAGTTACAGTTATATAGCATAGGAACGGAAGGGGCCGGCCATTCTATACTAATGATTTTAGGGACAGAAATTGTATGATTAAAAATCAAAAACGATATAAAATTTTGAAAAGGTTCTCTCTGAAGAGATTGAGATGTGAAACCTAAAATTTCGTATTTTATCGATCCATATTAGCTTGAGAAAATCATTCAATTTTACAGAAGATTTCTTTAACAGGATCCTATGATTTCGATATTATCTTGTTATATAGTCAAATAACTTGAGCATGTTTTTTTTTATACAACTTAGAATGGCAAACAAGCTGACGGCCCACCTGATGGAAAGTGGTAACCGTCGCCTATAGACATGAGTAGTATCATGGACATAACAGAGTGTACTGTTTCGCCCATAATACATGATTTTTACTATGAATACATTTTTATATTTTCAAATTTTATTTAGGAAAGTTTGTATATCGTATGCTTTATTATTTATTACTCTAAATTAGAATTATTTGTTGCAAACAGTATAATTAATAACACTACGCTTCTTACTGACATTATGAATATGAATGAGTTTGTTTATTACCTCTTATCGCCGTAACCGCTTAATCAATAAGAAATTCGATATACATGAGCTAACAAAGAAGAAGTTAGGTTACTTTTTATACTCAGTCAGTGAAGAAAGTCGCAGGTAAAAGCTAGATGGTAGTATATGAAAGTGGAGACAGCCTTAGTACCATGAAATACTTACATTTGGTAAGGATTTCACTTGAGCTTCGATATGAAATCCTCCAACGGGCTTGTAATTTTGGGGTAAACTTATCGCTTGTGCCAACATAGCGGCATCACAGTTAGACAGTATCAATGACGCATTGTATCTCATATCTTCTAACGCTGATATAGGAGTACTTCTTCCTCGCTTGCTCATGAAAGGAATCAGTAGACTGTATAATTTTTGCTCTTCGATTGAATATTGACTGTAAGTGTAAGTGTAAGAAAAAAACTGTGTAATTATCATTATCCTTTATGCTATAATTATAGATTATGTCCTATAAAAAACTAACTTTGATTGTGACAGTTATTTTGTTAAAAAAACTAAATTACTGAATCGATTTTGATAAAAATTCTAAGGGAGGTATTCCCAAGAGACTACAGCTTGGGGTTCTTTAAAAGGGGGGTAAAGAGGTTTCTTCGCTGGTATTACAGGTGTTCATAGGCTACGGTAACCGTTTACCATCAGGTGAGCCGTATGCTTGTTTGCCATCTCAGTGGTATAAAAAAACATGGGACCAATCTGTATTAATTAATTATTAATTAATAGTGTAATTTTTTTTATAATTTCCTATCAGATAAAAAAGAGAGTTCCTAATCAGTTTAGAACTGATGGAGTTATTAGGTTAAAAATATAAAAAAAAAATAGAACTGGGTACCTTCTTCTTTTCGAAGTTGGTTGACTTTGTACAAAAGTCGATTGCTTGGGTACCTCTGTCCTATTCGTGTTTCAACCGTGAAGCAGCTGTGTTTGCATGGCTGTGCTTCGGCTTGAAGAGTGGGATATGGCGTGAATTTACTGGGTACAGAGGAATAACACCTGAGTCCTCAGGAATTGCAACGCATGGGGGGTATCATGGGCGAAACAGTATACACTGTTATGTCCATGGTACCGCTCATGTCTATAGGCGACTATTACCACTTTCCATCAGGTGAGCCGTCAGCTTGTTTGCCATTCTAAGTTGTATACAAAAAAATAAGATCTTCATATCAGGCGTCTAGTGTCCACTGTTGAACATAGGTCTCCTCTATAAAGGGGTTTTATTGGTTTTAAATAAGATTTATCAATTGATATTTATTTAATAATAAATTTAAACACTTGTAAATGAAAAATCAGCAAATTGCTTCTGCAATATATAACTGTACTTGATAACTGACGAACAAGACGATTTTATCAGGCGCTTTTTTTTATACAACTTAGAATGGCAAACAAGCTGACGGCTCACCTGATGGAAAGTAGTAACCGTCGCCTATTGACATGAGCAGTACCATGGACATAACAGAGTATACTGTTTCGCGCATGAGACTCCCCATGCGTTGCCATTCCTGAGGACTCAGGTGTCATTCCTCTGTACCCTGTAAATTCACGCCATATCCCACCCTTCAAACCGAAACACAGCCATGCAAACACAACTGCTTCACGGTTGAAGCACGAATGGTACAGAGGTACCCAAGCAATCGACTCTTGTACAAAGTCTCCCTCCCTCTCCCTCCCTTCCTCCGCTTACGCTTAATGCTCTGTCTTACTTATTTATGTTCACGATTTCTGCAAATATTTTATTAAAAAGAAACATTTTGATAGACTTACAAGTGTTTGAAGTAATAAACTCGAATTTGATACCACAGTTGGGTCACACGTTGTTGGAACGTAAATGGGGGTGCAGTAAGACTGTTATAGCTTGGCACGTATGCTGGGCTCGTCACGTCATCAATTAGTTCGAGGATCATCCAATGAGGATTCAATGAAGACAGCCAGATATATGGACAATGCAGTACAGCTGACAAACTGGAAGAACTTAACCTTTATAGTTACTTTAAAAAATGTTTACTTTAGAAACCAAATAATAGAATCTGTTACAAGGAAACTTAATAAAAGGTAACCAGAGGGCCTACCATGAAATATTTTCCGAAATTTCGGAGCCAAACGAAATACAAATTTGATGTTCAAATCACGCAAAACTGTATGAAAAAGTTGACTCACTTTTTACGAAGCATTTGTATGGAGACCCTATATATAATCTAAGTCTGTTACATTATAGTTCGTAATAAATAAAAGGTTAGAATAACTTACCCTGAAAGTACCTCAGAAAAAAACCATTCTATTATGAGCACGTCGAAAATTTGCTTCGGATCGCTGATTAAGCGTTTAACTTCTTCATTCTCGAGTACTGTTTTTGTAGAATTTAGTGATGTATGAAAAGGATCAAAATTGAAATGTGTATTTAGGTGTGGATTTATAAAATTTGTGATATTTTTCAAAATTTCTGCAAAAAAACATTATCCTACAATAATAGATAGTAGATAAAGTTGAATTTAAAGTTCATTGACGATATTGGCCTTTTTTGAAATTACAATATTTACTTGTACACCTACAATTAAATTTTTTTTCAACACAGGGGGCAAAAAGCATGCGGCTCACCTGATGGTAAGTGACTACCGCCGCCCATGATCACCCACAACACCAACAGCATTGCAGGTGTGCTGCCGGCCTTTTAAAAAGGAATATGCTCTTTTTTTTAAGGTTATGATGTCGTATCGGTTCGGAAATACTGCTGCTGGAAGTTGATTCCAAAGAGTGGTTGTGCGTGGAAGAAAGTGTCTTGAAAACGCACGGTGCGTGACCGCCACTCGTTCAGATGGTTGGAATGAAACTTTAGTTTATGGCAGGTTGTACGGTGGTGAAAAACCAGAAAATATACATTACTCAAGGAAACCTTTTATAATAAAAAAATATTGGAATGAAACTAATACACGAGGGCGGTTGTACGGAAACGACTTTGTACCAATAGAAATTGTATGGTAAGCGTAAGGCTGACAATCTAGTTCCTCGACTTAATAGCGAACTACACCCACCGATGTACGGGATAATATTACTATTAATAACATGAATGTATATTAAAAAAAATAAAAAAAAACTTCTTGCCTGATGTTAATACAAGTTGAATAGCTCAATGTATTTAGCATTAATATAAACTTACATGGTTTCTGAAAGCTAATAGAACGTGTTTTCTGCAATTCTGAGCTTCTGTAATAACAAATTAATTAAATAAATAAAAAAAAATTAATTAAATTCTTGTTATTTACTTACTCGATTCTTGTTTTTTGTTAATATTAATTTGTGTCAAATTTGGATGTGTGTCTTGTAAAGGCATTGCTGCTATGTAAGTAACCTGCAACAGTGCGATATTAATCAATATGAATACTATAATAATTTATAGTTTGTTTCATTTGAATTTAATGTAAATGTAAATAAACGAATTGACCAGACCATAAGATATAGCTAGGCCAATAGTAGTATACAAATATAATAGTACAAAATAAAAACTGATTTCAAATTAATAGAACGTTTGATTCTTAATTTCATTTAGAGAGTATTCTGGGATAATTTCAACGAAACTTGATTACTTTTTCATGAAACTCAATCGAAACAAACTATATTCAAATATACTGTATTTTCAAATATATGTACTGGATTCCATTAATAGTGTTATATGTTTACTTATCTTAATCTAAATAAAAAAAGTCAATCTCACAATTTAGTTACCAGTCTCACGATAGGATCCATGGAAAATTGTTATTTTTATTTTGTTGAATTTGTTTTTTTTTTATTTATATATATAAATACTTAAAATGGTTAAACAGATGGATGTTTGGGATATCGATAGAATACTTACAGTATTCTTGTAACATTGGCTCCTTTCCCGTGGGTGTCATAAGAGACGAATAAGGGAGAGTAAGAGATGGGCAGTAGCGTCTTTCTTAAAACATCTCCAAAGTCTTACTGCGGTTGCCAATACGCCTGCCAAACACGGCAACTACTGGTAAAACCTCCCAAGGGGGAGGCTTATGTTCAGCAGTGGACAGTTGAAGGTTGCCACGTTAATGATGATATTTTTGGTTTATTGATGTCACATAGAAGATATATTAGATCAAAAGTATTTAAAAACGAATTTAAAACGCGGAATCGTGTGCTTATACTTTTCGCAACGAGCAATTTTTGTTCCAATAAAATAAACTGTAGCTTCCTTCTTACTTCCGTAATATGGTCACAAAAAATACAGACGAATCGAGAAAGGGACTGACCGACACTTCTTTTGAAGTCACTTAACAAGTACATCATGACTATTTATTATTAGGATAAATAATATATATATATATATATATATATATATATATATATATATATATATATATATATATATATATATATATATATTTTTTTTTTTTTTTTTTTTTTTTCTGTTATCCGGGTTGAGTGATATCTCAGTGAGAAGGATGTGGGTTTGAATCCCATTGGGTCGAGTTGGGAATTTAGAATGACAAAAAGCTGACGGCTTCCTGAAAGAAGATGGTTATATGTCGGAGGAAAAGATTGTTAGTCATGAGGGCTACCAGTCACATCGTTAGCAATATACCCTGTTAGGTCGATCCCCACGTGGTTCCCCCTGGAAACTATTGTGTTGATTTCCAGGTGTATCCTTCACGATGGACTAACTGACCCGCCTTTTTATTGTCACCTATAATCCCTCACTGGTGCTCCGTCAGCGTATACCGTTAGTACTGACAGCGTATACCGTTACCATTTTATTATTATCCATTAAAAAACCATTGCTTATAGCTCTGAACAGCACTATAGACATTATAAAGTATACTGTGACGCCCATTTTATGCGTTGCCACTTCTAAGAACAAAGGTGTTATGCCTGTACCCTGTAAATTTACTGTCATATCCAACTCTTCAAACCGAAACATTGTCATGCAAGTATAGCTGCTTTACGACAGAAACACTAATGGGACAAAGGTACCCAAGCAAATGAGTTTTAGTAATTTATTTAACATAATACAATAATTGACAAAATATTATTACAACATGCACGTATGTATTGAATTCCGATGAGTTTATTATTTTTATTTTTTTTGTGTAATAAATTTTATATATTTGTCTATACGCTAAAGTTGTGGCAGAATAAGATTGGACCATAATTTTCTTCTGATGGGAAACTTATAAAAACATATTTTATTCTAGCATATAAATGAATTCTTATTCTGATTTTTTTTTGCAATGATTTTGGGTATAAAACATTTGATCTTATTAATTAAAAGTACCTTACAAAATCTACTTAGGTCAAGCGTGCAAATATTAAAAATAAAAATTACAATGATTTAATTTAAAATTTTTTTTAGCATTTATACATTACGAAATTATATAATAATGAAATAACATTAATTAAAATATTAAGGAATGCGATACAATTTAATTTTAATTTATTAAATTTTTAATTTATAATTCTAAAAATAATTTAGTTCCTAAATATAGAGTTAGGTAAAATATATTCAATTATACCTCATGTCCAGCTTTCAGAAGTAGGCGTACACATCCTTCTCCAAGGATACCGTGGCTTAAAGTAGGTATGGGGAACACAACTAATATTTTATATCCATCGTAACAACACAAATATGAGAGCAGAACAACTAAATATACGCCTGCCTTCACCATTGTATTTTTATAAAATAAAATATAAATGAATGTGCCGATTTTTCTGTTTCTTGTTTGTATGACTGTATAAACAAAATAATATTCCAGTACACGCAAGTATCAGTCATTTTACTAATATAATAGAATTGTAAGTATAGACTGTCTGTTTATTATGATTTATTGTTATTATAACAGTCGTTTAATGCCCACTGCTGGATATCTGAACAGTTTGGATTTGAAAAAGGAAAATTAAGAAGCGTGCTTTATTTTAAATAAATAAGAAGAAAACTTTATGGACAAAAAGATTTTAGTAACTGCGATATTATTTGCTATGAGCAAAGCTTTTGATAGTGTATGTCATATAATTCTTTTATCTAAGCTCTAAAGATACGGAATTTGTGGTCAAGCTTTTAATTGGAATAAAAATTACTTAAGTGACTTAAGTCAATGTTTGGAAATAGGTAAACTAAGCAATATGAATATACAGTTTGTTGCTCAAGGTTAAAATTCAATTAATTTGGAGTGCCGCAGGGTAGTATCTTGGGGCCGCTGTTTTTCTTATTGTATATTAATAACCTCTCAAATGTAACCAAATATTCACGTATTTTATTTGATTATGACATATTGATTATTACTGATATGAGACCCAACGGTGACCACCATAAGGAAACAAATACTGTTAGAGATGCGGTTGAATGGTTAGTTTGCAACAATCTTCGCGTAAATGCACAGACAACTACATATAATACTACACATAATAATACTTGTTCTACATGGTCTTAGAAAAACCAGTATTCAAAAAACTGCTCTTGCAGCATACGATGGATTTGTTTCCTCTATTCTGAGATATGGACTAATAATAAAAGAAAATTATGATTTAATAAATCGTCCTTTTATAATACACGAAAATTGATTCGTACAATTTGTGGGGTTGATCCTTTTGAATTTCATAGGCTTTTTTTAAAAAAATTTAATATATTGACATGGATCTTTATGTACATATTTGAAATATGTGTGTTCATTAAAAATAACATGCACTTGTAAAAAAAAAAAAGTATGAAACAGGTGCACGCCAATTGGTGGGATTCTTCTATAACATGAGGGTTTAAGCAAGAAATTATGTTTGTTCATGTCAATGATACTATACAATGCGTTGCCAGATTCTATCAAGGAACTTTGAATTTCTAAATTTAGATCTGCGCTGTTTACCTAATTATAACAAGAACCTTTGTATAGTATTACTTATTCATGCAATAAGAATTTATGGCATTAAAATTAGTTTTTTTTTAATTGACTTTATGCTCAAATAGGCTATTTTTACATTCGATCATTTTATTTAATTTTTAAGCTTTCTACAACTTACGGACATATTTTTCTGTTTCATTTAGATAGAGGGAGACTTTGTACAAAAGTGGCTTGCTTGGGCACCTCTGTCTTATTTGTGTTTCTACCGTGAAGCAATTGTGTTTACATAACTATATTTCGGTTTGAAGGGTGGGATATGGCAGTGAATTTACAGGGTACGGAGAAATAACACCTGAGTCCTCAGGAATGGCAACGCATGGAGGGTATCACGGGCGAAATAGTATACTCTGTTTTGTCCATGGTATTGCTAATGTCTATAGGCGACGTTTACTACTTTCCATCAGATGGGCCGTCAGCTTGTTTGCCATTGTAAGTTGCATAAAAAAAAGATACTTTTTTATTAATATATCTATTATTAATTATAAATATTTCGCATGTTAGTTTCTGGCGTAACACGTTTGTATTTCACTAACAATACCAATATAATTACAGTCTTTGCCCGCAAGTAAACAAATAATAATTATTATTGGTATGACCAATAGAAAACGGAACAATAATTTTTAGAAATTTCGTCTCTGTCTATGTTTGTTCAGGCATCATACAAACACTACACGAAAATACTACTGTACCAAATTGGATGCGACTTTCACAGCGTGTACCCGAAGGTTCAACTTGAAAACTGGTGATGTTTAATGTCGATACGACATCTGGGACTAGTCTCTTCATTAGTTTTGAAGTCCACGCGTACAAAGTAGGGGGCAAGAAGTTAGTTATGAAATGTAGTTAAATAAAAACTGCTAGCACAAGTGTTTCCTTATAAAGATTAATACGCAACTGTAATTTCACAACACATACATACGAGTAGTGATGCGTTACTTGGACACGTTTATGTTATGTTAGTTTTTATCTGCGACTTTGTTTGTTTCACTGTAATATTTTTTTAATAGGTGAAAATGGAATAATTTGCTATGCTATTCGTACTGTATACCAGTACGAATAGCATAGCAAATTCTCAGGTGGGGGTTAGTCCATCGTAACGAATTTTACAAGAATTAATCACGATGGATTCCAGAGAGGATCACGTGAGCTCCATTATAAGGTATATCGCTAACAATGTAGTGTGTACATATGTATGTACATTCTTTCATTTTTGATAATAAAAGAATTTTCCAAATCGCTTTACAAGTGATGGAATTATGAGGTACCAAATATAAAAGAAATACAACCAAATTCAGTTCTTCCTTCTTTTTAAAGTTGGTAGAAAATGTCCACCGAGTTTTAAAATAAATGTCAAGGACTTTTATCATAGTAAGTTTTTATCTTCATATTTTTTTAATATTTGACTGGTTAGGATACTCATCTATATATATATATATATCTATATATATATATATATATATATATATATATATATATATATATATATATATATATATATATATATATAAAAATATATATAAAAAGAAAGATATCTAACAATTTAGGCACTTTCTTCCACGCACAACCACTCTTTGGAATCAACTTCCAGCGGCGGTATTTCCGAACCGATACGACAACATAACCTTCAAGAAAAGAGCATATTCCTTTTTAAAAGGCCGACAGCACACCTGGAATGCCGCTGGTGTTGTGGGTGATCATGGGCGGCGGTAGTCACTTACTATCAGGTGAGCTGCATGCACGTTTTTTCCCTATGTTATAAAATAATAATTATTATTAGTATAAAATCTAATTAAAAAGAGCATAGAAAACTACTAAATAACTAGAGTTAGTTGTGTTGGAATTGGAATTATCCGATTCGGTACTTTGATACTTTTCTTTTATGGATGACAATGAAATGGTAACTCCACCCGCGCTATCGGTATACACCGGCGGGGCACCAGTGAAGGATGATAGGTGAAGATTAAGCAGGTCAGTTAGCCCATCGTGACGAATTCAACAAGAATTGTTCACGATGGTTTCCAGGGGGAACCACGTGGAGGTGGTAGGAGCAATGGGGCTGTCAAACTCTACTGCTAACAATTCCGAGGAATGTCCGGAGGGAAACCCTCGTTACTTTGGTACTGTATCCGGTAAATGTTTAGCTGCTCGAAAACCGGATTCAGTCTTCCAGATTGAACTCCCAATTGATAGCTGGATGTACAGGGTTAGCGAGGAAGGTTCACAATATTTGTCGTGGACTCCTTAATCACCTGTGACGATTGGCTTGACCAAATTTTATCTTGATCCAAAAAATAAAATATGAATATATATAATTAATAAGTTGGAGAAATATTTACGCCATTACAAATCTCGTTTAAATTTGTTCAGCTGCTTTAAACTGATACTTTAACAGATAGACATATTTTGCAAATGTACGCTGAACCCCATTCTCTTGATTATTTCTAGCCTTTCTAGATAATTTTTGAAAAAAAAATCTATGTACAGACTATTTGATATTTACGATATTATTATAGTACAGGTTGTATAATTAGTTATGTACTCACTTACTAAATAAATAACTTATCGTGTCAGTTCCAAGCAAAATGTATTTTATAGCCAGATGTGCTGTCGATATATGTCATGAAATATAATTAATGAAAAATTATTTACATCAATAAAAATAGTTTTTGATTTATTAATGTTATTTATATATATATATATGATTTTATATATATTAGGATAAGTCTAATGATTAATAATTGAAAGAGTTTCTTTCTTTCAATGTGGGTTTAAAAAAAAAGTGGGTGCGTGCGTACGTGCATCAGTTGTATGTGTGCGTTGTCGACTATTACCTACCTACATCCTTTTTGAAGAAACCTCATGCTATGTGGTCTTTAGTTTTAGCGAAAACCTTGGCAGGAAGGTTATATTTACTTGAGTATTTGTAGAGAAAGCTTCTCTGAAACTGCACTGTGCGTGACCATTTTGGTTTTGATTTGTGTGTGATTAATCTAAACAGATAATATTATTATTATTTTTGCACGGCCCATCTGATGGAAAGTGGTAACCGTCGTCTAAGACAAAAGCAGTACCATGGACATAACAGAGTGTAAACTTTCACCCATGATACCTCACACGCGTTGCCATTCCTGAGGACTCAGGTGTTATTCCTCTGTACCCTGTAAATTCACTGCCCTTCAAACCGAAACACAGCCATGCAAACACAACTGCTTAACGGTAGAAACACGAATGGGATAGAGGTGCCTAAGCAAACGACTATTGTATAAAGTTTCTCTCTGGTTACCGAGGGTTATTATGAATGCTGGGATAAATTAATTATATGTTCGACAATGTTATTTAAAATAACAGTGCCGTGTGGTGCCGGCATAGAATCTTCTTGTAGGTGTCGTAAGAGGTGACTAAAGGAATTTAATAGTTAAGGGATGGGCAGCAGCGTCCTATTTAAAACATCGACAAAGCTCGCCAAGCGTGGCAACCACTGGCAAAACCACCCAAGGGAGAGGCTTATTTTCAGTAGTGTCGATGGCGAGCGGTGGTGATAATAAAAAGTGACTGTGGGTATCATTTCAAACAGTTCCTCAGAACATAACCCGTTATACAAGTGGTAGAACATATAAAGGGAGTAGATTTCAATTGTATACAACACGTGGCTTTGTCCGAGTGAATGAAAAAGTAGGATCAATGTATGTATGGACAGGTAATGATGAGGATCTTGCGTACGGTAAATAAAATTTCCAAGCAAATCATGGTTATTATAATATTTAGACTCATAATGATTATTTATGTGATTAGATCGCGATGACTGAAGCTTATCAGTTAGATAGTTATATTTTCTTACTGATATGCCAAATATATGACTATCTGTCGAGTATTTCGATATATTATAAATCGGAATCAGTATAAATACAAATGTATACGTGAGCCGATTATTCCGTGATTTGTACCGATTTGAGTGATCGTTTTTCTAACTGAATAAATTTATACCAGGTTAGTACATCGTTAATTTTTTTCAGGACTAAAGCGATATATTAAGAAACTTCTTTCTTATCGGATTCTTATCGGATTTGGTCAGTCCTTTCGTAATCATAAGGGCTTATTCCCATGTTGGTTTTATTTTAATTTTGTCATTGAAGCAGCTGTTTTTTTTTCTGTGAAACACAATCTTAAATTAATTGTAATATCATTAGAAATTATCTATTTAAATTATTATTACCACCGTGGGGTGAGGGCCTGGTGATCTGTAACACAGATTTATCCTACTTCAGACACCAGTTCTTCATAATACATTAACTTATGTAACCTCCAAAAATAAATATATTAGTATATAAAAGATGTACAACTGGTATTGTGAAGAGAATAAACTTTATTATTATTATTATCTCCTAGTATAAATACCGTTGGATAGCTGTGTAGGTCCCGGAATAGAATAGGTTACCCCTTCCTTTCCCGTGGGTGTCGTAAGAGGCGACTAAGAGAGGGCGAGGGATGGGCAGCAGCGTCACTTTTAAAACATCTCCAAAACCCTGACTGCGGTGGATAATCCGCCTGACAAGTGGCAACCACTGGAAAACCGTCCAAGGAGGAGGTCTATGTTCAACAGTGGAGAATTAACGGCTGATATGATAATGATGATAAGTACCGTATTTGTATATCAAATTTTATACTTTTTTTTAATACCACTGAGGTGGTCAAACAAGTTAACGCCCCACTTGATGGTAAGCGGTTAGTGTAGCCTATGAATGGCTGCTATACCAGATACATTACGCGTGTTCCAAACCAAATATTATTGTTTGGTTTGAAACACGCGTAATGTGTATTGATATATATATATTGTTATTTTTTTCAGATAATGAAGGTGTTGTCATTTCTATTCTTTGCTATAGTAGCATCTAGCTTATGCGATGCGTACAGGATCTTAGTTCTTTTCATGGTGCCAGGCAAGAGTCATGGTATACTTGGTGATGGTGTGGTGAGACATCTATTAGAAGCTGGACATGAGGTAAGAATAAGAGAATGTAATAATTTGGGTGGATCATCATCATCATTGTCATATCTATCTGCTACTGAACATAGTCCCCTCATACTACAAGGAACTGCTACAAAGTATGTGGGGTGGCAACCGCAGTGAGACATTTCGTAATGATTTAAGAAGGATGCTGCTGTTCATCCCTTGACCGTTAAGTTCCCTTAGTTGCCTCATACGACACCGACAAGAAGGAAGGGTTAGCCCATTCTATACCGGGATCTGTCGTGTGGTCTGAATTATCATAGTTTACATTAATGATCGCGTTAATTTTCTTTTTTTTTTTAACTTTAATTCTCTATCAATATGCACGCCAAAGTCCTTTCAGGGCAGGCAGAAAGAACCAAGTACCAAATACTATCTAACCTTAAGTACAATTCTTCCGTCCTGGATTTTTATAATTCGTCTCATGCATGCACGTCAGATTCAGAAATTCTTGAAATCTCCTTCTGATCTGTCTGTCTGATCATAATTATTTAGTCTAGATCTCCCCGTGGCCTACATTTATTCACATTAGCATTGTATATCCGTTTTATAAACCTTTCATTTAGCACTCTTTCCATGTACCTGAACCACTGTAGCATGCCTTTTCTCATTTTAACACCAACGTTTTCATTCAAACTAACTCGCTCACGTATTACTGCAATTTCTGTTATTTGTAAGCTTCTGTAATTATCAGAAGGTAGAGTAGTATTATAAGTAAATAAATAATTAATCACATAGTTTTTATTCTTACGGTAGCCTTTATTTTTGACCTTCCTTAACTTAGTTCTATTTAGTACTAAATTAAGAAAGGTCAGAAATATCAACTATAGATTAATATTTTCTTTTCTTATATATTGTTTATTTAATTTTAAATGGTGTTTGTTATCCCTTAAATATAATAATTACTAATAATATATTGTTATACAGGTTACATATATTACACCATTTCCTCAAAAGAATCCTCATCCTAATTTACAACAGGTAGACATCAGCAAAAATGCCGAATTAATGGATGGTTAGTAGAATTTTTTTTTTTTATATTAACGTATTTCTAATACGTAGGTGAAGGTTCCATTTACAAAAATTAAAAAAAGAAATTTAATTATATTTCGTTTTAAAAAGTTGCTGGCACCAAAGCATCATTTATTTATTTATTACATCCACTGGATCAGCCTTACAGTCTTCTAATACGCTCACCCAGGAAAGCATGAGTACAATAACATATAAAAAGGAATATTAAACAAAAAATTATATATAAGTTAATCCTGGCAATGGCCTGTTTATGTAAGTATACATACTCGTAATAATATGTATAATGTATTTTAATCAAAAAGAGTTTATTTCTCGAAGAAAACATTCCACATTAAAAGAGAGAGAAAAAAATAACATCAATTTATAATTTCACAGAGAAAATGTTTGATTTCAAGACAATTTTAAATAACGAAGCGATCTTTAGGAATCCCATAAAAATGATTCAAGTAATGAGTGGTCTATTTGAGGCGACAATTCAGAATCCCAATGTAGTAAAAATACTCAATGACACCAACCAGAGATTTGACGCAGTTATATCTGAATGGATGTTCAATGACGCTTACAGTGGGTATGTGTTTTTGTCACTATTACGTTAAATATATGAGAGGAGGTTACCTCTTAAACAGTGAAGATGATGGTGATTAGAACTTTCACGATTGTATAATGATTCATCAAAAAAGGTAATGATATCGTGTAACATCAAAAAGAAATCTCGAACCTTGTTCTTTATAAAGACGGTTCCAAGTGTTATTATTAATCATATATTTTATATTTTTTAAATATTTAAAATAAGGTTTTTTTTTCGTAATTTTAGGTGTTTATCAGAAATTCAATCTACAGAGTTCACAATTAAGTTTATACTATAATTTAGTCAAATTAACTATTTCAGTTTAGCAACTATATTCGATTGTCCGTTCATTTGGTTTTCTTCCATCGAACCACATTGGATAATACTCAGTTTGATTGATGAAAGTACAAATCCAGCTTACGTACCAGACAGTATGTCAAGTATAATACCACCATTTAATTTCAAAGAGAGAGTAAGTGGACTTTTCGCTCAGCTTTTTGGCGCTGCATTAAGATTTTTGTAAGTATGCATTAACAATAATATTAAAACTAATATTTTACCTACTAGGCATGTCCAAAAAGCTAATAGCCCACCACATGGCGGAAAATAATAATCGTTCACTACAAAAATTAATGAACAAGGATATTTTTTTACTATATGATTTAAGATTTTATTTCCAAAAAAGTCCGGCTTCATTTGTGGCAAAACTAAGTATTTTAAAAACTAAACTACATGGTTGATTTTGATAACATTCCTGTGGGATCAAACTAAAAGATAATATATAAAGATCAGATATAAAAAGAATTTTTCAAATTAATTTATAAATGACGGAGTTGTAAGTTAACAAATAAAAAATACAATCGAATTAATTGCTTCCTCCTTTTTTGAAGCCCGTTTGAAGGATAAGTCCCGTCACCAATACACATAAACAGTATCACGCACATTACAGAGTAAATTGTTTTAAATATTATACGATGCATAGTCTATGTGTTTGTTATTTATTAAAATTAGAACGGCATGCTTTCAAATTTATTAATTTCACTGCTATACGAGTACAACCTTGCCTCGTTAACAGTACTTTATTAAGCACCTTGGGAGAACTTGTACAAAGTTTCCATGAATATTTATGAATCTTTAAATGTAGAAAATAGAGTCAATGAAATAGAAATATTGAGCTAACCTAAAATAATAGAAAAAATCAACAAAGAGTTAGACCAAGATGCAATAGTTTTTTTTATGCAACTTAGAATGGTAAACAAGCTGACGGCCCACTTGATGGAAAGTGGTAACTGTCGCCTATAGACATGAGCAGTACCATGGACATAACAGAGTATACTGCTTTGCCCATGATACCCCCCATGCGTTGCCATTCCTGAGAACTTAGGTGTTATTCCTCTGTATTCTGTAAATTCACGCCATATCCCACCCTTCAAACCGATGCAAATACAACTGCTTCACGGTAGAAACACTAATAGGACAGAGGTATCCAAGCAATCGACTTTTGTACAAAGTCTCCCTCTGGTATGATGGATATATACAATAGATATGCAAGTTCTTTACTTTATATTGTATTTGAATTTAAAAATTTTTTACTTTAGCTATACGGATGGTATTGATGGGAAACAATTTTATAAGATTATTGGACCATATTTAACATTGAGAGGAAAAACTATCCCTTCGTATTATGATGTACAATACAACACATCTTTGATTTTGGGGAATTCTCATGTATCACTAGGACAAGCAACGAGATTGCCGCAAAATTACAAGCCTATTGCAGGATACCACATAAAAAGTGATGTGGAACCATTGCCTGAAGTAAGTATTTTTAATTTTCTTTTAGCAGAGTGGTTGATAATCTTCTAAGAGAAGATGAATCGAGAATATTGTTTGTTAATCTTTTTTATGCTCTGGATATTGTAAGAGTCGATTAAGAAGACAAACAACAATACGAGTATACTGATACAAGAAATGAACACTGTGTAGAAATACAGGCGACGGTTATCACTTTCCATCTGGGGGGCCGTCAGGTTGTTAGTCATTCTAAGTTGCATAAAAGAAATACACAAATTTTTATGGAGAAAAATCTATTTTTGTTTAGTAATTGTTATGATGTCTTGTTTAAGTTTTAAATTGAGTTTAAATGCTTTAGTTGAAAATGTGAAGTTTTCAGATATTTTTAATAAAATTATGCTTAAACATCTAACTAGACGTTATCAATGTTATATGTAATTGGTGAGCAAAGACGTGGTTTACGGCTAGTCTTCGCTAATAATAATTTTTTGTTTAGACTAAAATATAATGGTAATATTTAATTATACAGGACTTGAAAAAACTTCTGGATAATGCAAACAATGGCTTGATATACTTCAGCATGGGGTCTAATCTAAAAAGCAAGTATCTTCCGGATGAATTAAAACGTGGATTCCTGAAAATTTTCAGAGAACTTAAACAAACAGTGCTATGGAAATTTGAAGAGCCGCTTCCTAATTTGCCCAAAAACGTTCACATCGTGCAGTGGGCCCCGCAACCTAGTATATTAGGTATTCTGAAATTTTATTAATATTATTAATATAATGTGAATCTTGGTAAAGGAGATTGAATGTGTATTATTCAATAACTACTAATTATTAAACAAAAGGACTGCATCCTAAATTCACGTCATTATATCACATCAGCTGGTAACTGTCCACTGCTGAACTTAAGCCTTCCCTTTGGGGGTTATTTCCACTCTTGGCAGACAGGTTGATGATGTTTTAAGTGGGATGCTGAGGCCCATCGTTCGACCATTGCGTTTCCTTAGTTGCTAAAAAGTTTAGTACCTATGGGAAATGAAGGGGTAGCCCATTCTATACCGTGACTATACGGCCATAAAATTAATATAATATTGGATAATATAGATAAAACTGAATATATCGGATCTGGGTTTAGTAAGGGTAATAAAGACGCTGCAGATATATCCACAATGAACAATGAACGCTAGAAATGTTATGGTTGGAATGATTGTAAAGTAAGTTTCTATTCCAGTTCAATTCTATAGTGAAAGTCGTGTATGTAAGAAGAAGATTGATAGTAGGACAAATGCATTGATTAACGATAATTGTGCAGAATTTACGAAGTAAGGTTGTTTTTTTTTAATGGGTGAAAATGCCATGGAAATCCTGGCTGTGCTATCGGTATACACTGACGGGTACCAGTGAATGGTGATAGGTGAGAATAAAAAGGTCAGTTAGCCCATGGTGACGATTTTAACGACAAATTAGTCATGATAGTTTCCAGGGGGAACCGTGTGGAGGTCGACCTGATAGGGTATATTGATACCAATGGGGACTAATTACTAACAATCCCTTCCACCCCGAAGTAAGGTTGTTAGGTCTCATTTGTAATACAGTAGTGCGAGGGCGAATTGATCTAAGATAAAGTGTCTATATATTAATAACCATAGTATGTCCTTTGTATTCTATCTTGAAGTCTGCTCAATTGTGGAAAGAATCCAGAAATGGCATGCTGCGTTAGTTTCACGAATGATTAATGAAGCAGTTAACAAATATAATGTAAAAGTTGATGAAATGTTTATTCTAATTACCAAGAGTAATATAAATTAAATTCCAGCGCATCCAAACTGCGTCCTTTTCATAACACACGGTGGACTTCTGTCCACAACTGAAGCTGTTCATTTTGGAAAACCCATTATTGGAATACCAGTGTTCGGTGATCAGTTCACTAATATCGAAAGAGCAGTGAATAGAGGATTCGCAGTAAAAGTGACTCTGTCTTATGAAATGGTAGACGAATTGAAGAGTGCTATTGATGAAGTACTTAGTAACCCGAAGTAAGTTGTGATCTCAATTAATGTAGTGATTAATATGATTATTTAAGTCAAATATAAATAAATATTATTTAAACATTTATTTATATTTGACTTTATACATACTACATACATACATACATATTTGTCACGCCTGTCTCACTTTAGGGTAGGCAGAAACAATGGAACGCCAAATGCTTCGATTCAAACAATTCTCTTTTGCTTCTTCTGCATTCATCAATCTTTTCATACACGCTCTTCGGTTACGGGTACTTTTAATTTGGCGTGACGATAATATAATATATAGATAGCCATAAATAAATGAATTACAGATAGAATATTAATAATATTATTTTTCATTTTAATTTATCTATGCCACAAACAGACTAGGTATAGATGTTTTAGTTGCTCTAGATTTAAAAAAACTTGTTTGTGGTAATAAAATACATGTATGTAGTAGGTATAGATTAGATAATTAATTATTGGTTCATTTGAGATAATATTTAATTATTATCCAATTGTACACATATGTACACGATTAAAGTAAGCGAAAGAATACTTGAACAAATATTATTTTTAATTGATTGTTTATATTTTACGATTGTGTAATGAAAAGAAAAATCTATAATGGATTAATATAAATAGATATTCGTATATAATTAGAAACGTTTTCAGGTACAAGAATAGAGTGAGAGAGCTCTCGGCCATTTACCACGACCGTCCTGTGTCTCCTGGTAAAGAGTTGGTGCACTGGGTGGAGCACGTGGTGCGCACGCGCGGCGCGCTGCACCTGCGCTCACCGGCGTTGCATGTGCCATTCTATCAGAAGTTCTATTTAGATTTATTGGGACTTATTGTTGTAGCAATTATCGTAATTGTAACTGTAATAAAACTAGTCTTAAGGTCAAAGAAGAAGGAAGATTTAACGAAGAAAAACAAATGATTCTAATAATTTTAGTCGTTTCATTTTAAACGTTAATTTTTCACACATACGTGTCTTCTATAGACTGCGATAAGAAACTGTTTCTGCTACTTGCATTATGTAATGCATTTGAGGTAGTTGCTCCGTATTGTGGCATTTATTTATTTATTTATTTATTAGTATATATACAAATGTATATGGTGGACTTAATATTTAAAAGCAATCCGTCTGCGTTTGTCTGAAAAGGGTTACCAGTTGAGATCTTTTCTTTCCTATCAGTTATTGGTTACTGGCTATTTAAATAGTTTTATTTTTATATATAGAAATTGATATTTTCTTTATAATATCTTTTTTATGTATTTTGTGAATAAATGCTACTAAATTTTTTGAGTCTAATTTTTTATATAAAATCGACATATGACCTATCACACTATAACGAACTAAGGGATATATCCAAGAAATAAAAAAAAGAAATTTTTATTCTTTCAAATAAAAAAATCTTTTTTTATTACTTACAGATTAGTTCTATAAGAATTTTATCAAAATTGATCTAATAGATTTTTGAGATCAACTGCTTTTGTTATAGTTGAATATTTTTATTTTATGATAGGACACAATCTTTTTAATTAGTCAGAAATTTAATTTAATAGAATTGAATGTGGTAGTATTATTACAAAACGATAAATATTTTGAAGACGAACATTTTTTTTTATAAATCAAGGAAACATTTATTTGCTCTAAGATTTGAAATTGTGATGTTGACAGGAGTAAATAATTTCGTTTGATAGACATATTAGTTTTTACTTTATTATTTATTTAGTATTATGGCCGTGTGCTTATTATATCCTGGCCATGATTCATCAAGCCATCCTTTCCTTTCCTGTGAGTGTCGTAAGGGAGGGCGAGGGATGTACCTCTTGTGCGTCCCTCTTAAAACATCACCAAAGCCTGACTTCGGTCAATCAGCGTGCCGAGCGTGGCAACTACTAGCAACTCCTCCTAAGGGGGAGGCTTATGTTCAAAAGTGGACAGTTTTTTATTGATGGGTGAAAATGGTATTCATAACCCCGCCTGCGTTAATGGGATACGCTGGCAGAGCACCAGTGAAGGGTGATAGATGAGAATGCAAAACAGGTCAGTTAGCCCATCATGATGAATTCATCAGAAATTAACCATGATAGTTTCCGCGAGGAGGTTGACCTGCTTGGGTATATTGCTAGCAATGCGATTCTCAGTCTCCATTACTAACAATCCCTTTCCCCCCAAAAGTGGACAGTTAAAGGCTTATATAATGACGACCCTCCTCTAGATGGATTGCCGACCTAAAATGCATTACGGGGAGTCAGTGAATGCAGGTGGCTCAGGATCGTTCTTTATGGCAGTCTATGGAGGAAGCTTATGTCCAGCAGTGGACGGACAATGGCTGAAATGATGATGATAATAATGATGATGATGATTATAAAAAAGTTTGAAAGTTCTTCAATCAAAACTGCTGAATCGATGTTGATAATTTTTTTATGAAACCAAACTTAAAAGTATAAACTTTCAGATAAACAAAGTATTTACCAAATCGGTTTATAAATGATGGAGTTATAAGATAAGAAACATAAAAAAATATATTTTTATGAGAATATAATATATATACATACATAAATATAATATTATATTGTGATATACCTTTTTTTTATACAACTTAAAATGGCAAACAAGCTGACGGCCCACCTGATGGAAAGTGGTAACCGTCGCCTATAGACATGAGCAGTACCATGGACATAACAGAGTATACTGTTTCGCCCATGATACCCCCCATTGCGATGCGTTGCCATTCCTGAGGACTCAGGTGTTATTCCTCCGTACCCAGTAAATTCACGCCATATCCCACCCTTCAAACCGAAACACAGCCATGCAAACACAACTGCTAAACGGTTGAAACATGAATGGGACAGAGGTACCCAAGCAATCGACTTTTGTACAAAGTCTCTCTCTATTTAAATATTAATTAATATATAGTTAGAGCTGAATTTATTTATTCAAAATTCAAAATTCAAAATTCAAAAATCATTTATTCATGTAGGACATTTTAGCCGCTTATGAACGTCAAATTTTTACATTATAATTTTATTTTTTTCCCTACCGTCCAGTTCGGTATATAGATCCATATTACTTTTTTTTTAAAGCCAGTTTATTTACAATGTATATTTATATAGGTGTCTATGTCTAACATTAAATGAAAATTCAGTGCATGAACAATTATTGCCATGCACACTAGTCATTCAAGTAATCGTTTAGTGAGTAATAGGCTTTGCTCAGTAAATATGATTTAACAGATGTTTTGAATTTATTTAAGAACTTCCAACATATCCTTTGGTAAATTTTTATATATTCAAAAAGACAATTAACTTTTTCTAAACGTACAGCCACAGATAATATAAATATTATGAATATTGCACAGTAATATTGAACAGTTAATTGAACTTTTCCTTTAAATATGGTTTATATTCAATCAATTATAGTACAGCCACAGATAATATATACACTACACACACAATACTATACAAATAATAGTACAGCTTATACTCAGTGCTATGCGCAGATCCACAAGTATTCTATTCTAGAGAAATTGTTGTCGGCTTAGAAAAGAAAAGGCCTCGAGGCCAAATGACTCACCGTAAGTGTTACGGCCAGAAAACAAAATATTTGTGTATTTCATTTGTATTTAACATTTAGCGGAGTGCGTATCATTTAAATATTATAATGAATTTTAATTTTAAGTTAAAAAAAAAAAAGAATCCAAATAGGCTCTTGTAAAGGAATTTATAAAGGAATATGGAAATTCGATTTGTGTGATGTATTAAGTCGTACGATTCAGCGGTTTCTGAACTCATGTGAAAAAAAAAGTGCGGAGGCTGTACACTGAAATAATTTGTTATCTTGAGAAGAAAAAATATTATTGAGGTTTGTTTTTTTTTTATTTTTAAATTAAAGATAATATATCTTACTTTTGCGTTATATAAAATGGGCCATACCTTTCTTTTTCCTTGGGTGTCGTAAGAGGCGATTAAGGGAACTTAATAGTAGAGGGATGTACAGTAGCGTCTCTCACCATCACTAAAGCTATTGCGGTTACCAATCCTCCTGCTAAGCTTGGCAACTACAGGTAAAACTTATAAGGGAGATCTATCTTTAACATATGGTATGGTATGGTATAAGACGTAAACAAAATAAACATAAATAAGATTACTTAACTATCAAATAAATTAAATACTATACTAACTAGAAAGAAATTTAATATTACATATAAAAATATATAAATATCTATAGGATTTCAATGTAAATTCATTATTAGTGGTATCATCTATTATATTAATGTATAAAAATTAAACATTCAAAATAAAGGCAAGTGTAATTTCTTGTTTCTCCCTACGCTGATGGGAGACAGGCGTGACAGATATGTATGTACTCATATGTGTCGTTTCTAGTAATAAGCAAGTACACGGGGGTAAAACACATTACTTTTCAGGAATGAGAAGATATAAAGATATTCGCAATATATATCATGCGCGTTACAGTGAAGAATATTCTATAACAATTATGGTGATGTTCATATTCATGGGTTGGTAAACATTTTTTTCTGTTCTGCGATGCTGAGACTGGGATTATTAACTGAGCTATCAAAAAATAAAGACAAAAAATGATTTTTTTTTATCTATGATGCTATTGAGTATTATAAAAAATATATATTACCTTTTAAAATTTTAATTAATTTATTTATTCATAAAATTATGCATCATATATAAAAAAATAATAAATACAGTAAATTTAAGTGAGAACTGATACAAATATGGCTATTTTTATTTATGAATGTTTTTTTTCAGATAATGGGAAGTTGGTCAGGCCTGTTTCTTACCATTGCGGTATTTTTTAACATAAGCGACTCATATAGAATATTGGTTGTATTTCCTTTGCCTAGCAAGAGTCATAATATTTTAGGTGTTAATATTGTTAAGCATTTATTGAAGGCTGGACATAAGGTAAGAGAACAATAACAAAGATAAACATAACTATAATTTTTTACCAACTTTAAAAAGTACGAGGTTTTCAATTTGTTTTTTTTTATATTTGTTACCTCATGGCTCAATCAGTTTTAGACCAATTTCGAAAATTCTTTTTTATCTGACAACTTATACTAATAGATTGATCTATAGAAATTTTATCAATCTCTCCTTCCTTTTCCGTGGGTGTCGTAGGAGGAGTCTTACGACACCCATGGGACTTACAACTTACAACACCCCAGATACCTTTGTCCCATTCGTGAAGCAGTTGTGTTTGCATGGCTGTGTTTCGATAGAATTTACTGGGCAGCAATAACACCTGAGTCCTCAGGAATGGCAACATATGGGGGGTATCATGGGCGAAACAGTATATTCTGTTATGTCCATGGTACTGCTCATGTCTATAGGCAACGGTTACCACTTTCCATCAGATGGGCCGTCAGCTTGTTTGCATTTTAAGTTGTATAAAAAAAAAAACTTAATGGCCGATAGATGGGCAGCATCGTCCCTCATAAAACCTCACTAAACTACCTGCGGTTAACCAAGCATGGTAATTACGTTCAAAACCGTCTCTCTTAAAATCTCAACAAATTAACCGCGATCACCAACCCGCCTGCCAAACGTGGCAACTACTGCCAAAAACCCTTTTTATGGACAGACCAATGTTCTGCAGTGGACAGTTAATGGCTATTATGATTCGCAACATACAATTGCTCCTGATATGGCTTACCAGAAAGACAGACTATTTTTCTTGTAAAGTAACACCTATAAAAATGTACCTTATTCCAGCAAATAAATTATTTCAATTTCAATTTCAGATCTCGGCTTTATGCAAGTGACAATAATTTTAATCTATTAAAAGTTTTTTTTTATCTATTTATTTAATATTGCATTTCATAATGTGTGTTTTTTTTAATGGATGGTAATGGAGTGGTAACTGCCTGCGCTAACGGTATAAGCTGGCGGAGCATTAGTGAGGGATAATTGGGGAGGATGAAAAGGCAGGTCAGTTAGCTCAATATGACAAATTCAACGATAAATTAGTTATGATGGTTTCCTGGGAGAACCGCTTGGAGGTCGACATGACATGGTATACTGACAGCAATGGGGACAAATCCCTCATTACTAACAATCCCTTCTTTCCATCTCTATAATGTGGTTGGTAGATATTAAAAGATCTCTAATTGTGGATCCTGTTGGGCAAACCAAGTAGGAGAAATATATTTATATATTATAACATATATATATATATATATATATATATATATATATATATATATATATATATATATATATATATATATATATATATATATATATATATATATATATGTAGGCTTTATTAACACATTTATCTTCGGGATTGCTCGACTAGTTACAGAGTCAATAGGAGCTCATATTTATAACCACAATTTGGGTAATCTCGAAGTTAAATACATAACTAAAGTGGATTTGATTAATTATTATACCTAATGCTTATGTCATTAATATATAATATGTAATTTCAATTGAATTGTATAAAGAATAATAATAGATTAATTCAAATATGTATTTGCATGTCTGTAAAGACTAAAAGTAAGATCTATATAACATAAATAACCATACCATCTATTATGTACTACTTTTATAACAAATAAATTTCATTTCATTTCATTTCAATTTAGGTTACATACATCACGCCGTTTCCTGTCAAGAACTCTCATCCAAATTTACAAGAGTTAGACGTCAGCGAAAATTTTGACAAGAAGAACGGTAAGTTTATTTTGATGGTACGCCGGCGGTAATTAGTTTATATATAGTTGATAAATATATTACTATCGATAGTTTTTAAGTACACTTAGTAACAAAAATGGATCCAAGTTGTCTAAAATAAATAAACCAAAAAATTTAATTAAAATTAGTCTTTTAAATTAATTTTTAGATGCTTTTCATTGAAATCAAAATATTATCGTATATATAATTATTGTTATATATATATATATATATATATATATATATATATATATATATATATATATATATATATAACATTTTTATGATCAATTTTCATTCAAAGTCCGATAGCTCAGTAAGAAATGGTCGTATTGAGATAAAAAAAATGTTGAAGCTAAGTGAACCTATCTAATTCATAAGGTGGTTAAGTTAGAAAAAGTTTTTTCAAGTCCGTACACCAAAAATAAGATAGAAAAACATTTTGCATTTTTTTTCATGATATAACTTTTTTTGCAAGGTAGAAAAATTAGGAACTTCAAACCTTAAATTCCTTTTTTTACTCCAATGCGAATGTTTTTATCAAAGATACAGCAATTTGAAAAATCGCCGAAAATTTAAATTTTTTTGGTCCTTTAAAATTTAAAATCACTAGTGAATATATATTCAAAAATACAGTCTGACGATTTTAAATTTATATAACTATACGATTAGGATTTATGGAAAACCATCGACATGTTCTTTCATATAGCCCTTTATATAGATAACAGTACAAAGCATCACTAACAATAATTACATTTGAAAATTTTCAGAAAGAATGTTGAATGTTAATGCATTATTAAATAAAGAATTCAGTTTTGATAATCCAATAAAAATGTTTCGATATACAATTGATTTATTTGAGAAAACCGTTCAAAATCCTAACGTTGTGAAAGTATTTAATGACACCAACCAGAAATTTGATGCAGTGATAGCTGAATGGATGTACAATGATGCTTATTCTGGGTATGTACATTTACTAAGTTATTTAAGCGTATTTGTAAAATATATAATGATATTTCATTGTTTACAAAAAAAATAATTTGTAAATAAATTAAAACAAACAAATTGAGCAAATAATAAATTGAATAAAAATGAATAAAAATATTTGAAAATGTTTCTATATTTTTGAAGACTAATTTTGAAGTACAAAGACAATATTGAATTTGTTGCGAGAAACTTAAAAACACATAGATATAATGGTATCTTGATCATTCCAGGATTGCTACTTTATTCGACTGTCCTTTCATCTGGCTTTCCACTATGGAACCGCATTCGATTATACTTAGTTTGATTGATGAAAGTACAAATCCAGCTTATGTGCCAGACAGTTTGTCAAGTAATATACCGCCATTTAATTTGAAAGAACGAGTCAGTGGATTATTCTTCCAGCTTTTAAGTTCAGCTTTTAAAACTTTGTAAGTATATAATTACGTACTGGTTATTCGTATTTACTGATAGAATTGCAAAAATTCTTTTGAAAGAATATATGTCCTAAAAAAAATTTTATCTGTAATTGGCCCCATAAATTTTTTATCAAAATCGGTTAGCTAGTTTAGTTTTTAAATGAAAATAACTGGTTTCGTCACCATTGAAGTCTAATTTTTTTGTGAAAAATCTTAATTTTAATTTACATTATTTGGAAAATTATTTTTTATCTGAAGTTTATCCTATACTTACCGATTGGCGCTATAGAAATTTTATTAAAATCGGTTCAGCAATTTAATTTTTATGGAACATAATTTTATTCATATTTTACATTATTGCAAAATTTTCAGTTATTGGAACGGCGTCGTTGAAAGAGAATTTGAAAGATTGCTCGGCCCATATTTAACTCAGAGAGGAAAAGCTATTCCGTCATTTAATGATGTTAATTATAACGTGTCTCTAGTTTTGGGAAATTCTCACGTATCTTTAGGACAAGCAATAAGACTACCACAAAATTACAAGCCCATAGGAGGATACCATATAGATACTGATGTAAAACCATTGCCAGAAGTAAGTGTATATTCGCTTATTTGCATCATTATCAACTGTTATTGTAATTTCATTACACTTAATGTTTATGTCGTTTGTGTATTTTTTACATTTAAAAGTGTTAATGTTTTTAATGCCAAGTTTTTTTTATACAACTTAGAATGGCAAAAAAGCTGACGGCTTACCTGATGGAAAGTGGTAACCGTCGCCTATAGACATGAGCAGTACCATGGACATAACAAAGTATACTGTTTCGCCCATGATACCCCCCATGCGTTGCCATTCCTAAGGAGTCAGGTGTTATTCCTCTGTACCCAGTAAATTCACGCCATATCCCACTCTTCAAACCGAAACACAGCCATGCAAACACAACTGCTTCACGGTTGAAACACAAATGGGACAAAAGTACCCAAGCAATCGACTTTTGTACAAAGTCTCTCTCTGGTAAATTTTAAATATAAAGATAACAGATATAACAAATTTAACAGGATTTGAAAAAACTGTTGGACAATGCAAAAAATGGCTTGATATACTTCAGCATGGGATCAAACCTAAAGAGTAAGGATCTTCCAGATGAACTAAAACGTGGATTCCTCAATATTTTTAGTAACTTGAAACAGACAGTGCTATGGAAATTTGAAGAAGCAATTAATGACTTGCCAAAAAATGTTCATATTGCTCAGTGGGCTCCACAACACAGTATATTAGGTAATCTGAACTATACATACATATAAATCTGTTACGTCTGCCTCCCATTAGGGTAGGCAGAAATAATGTAACGCCATATGTTTTAATTCAAACAAACCTCTTTCGCTTCTTTCACATTCATAAATCTTTTTATATTATAATTTTACAATAGTTTAGATATAATATAGCTTACATTTTGATGTAAGAATTTCATTTTTGTTAATATAATTTCAGCACATCCAAATTGTATCCTTTTCATCACACACGGTGGGCTTTTGTCTACTACAGAAACAGTCCATTTTGGAAAACCCATTATTGGAATCCCAGTGTTTGGTGATCAGTTCACTAATATGGAAAGGGCTGTTAAGAAAGGTTTTGCTATAAAAGTGACTCTGTCTTATACAATGTTGGACGAGTTTAAAGTTGCTATTGATGAAGCTCTCAATAATCCTAGGTAAGTAATGAAATATCTAAAAAAAAAAAATTATATATTAATTGTGTTAGTACATGTATGCTGTGTTTGCATGTTAATAATTGTAACACTTAGTTCTAAGCTCCATAATTGTATAAGTAGTTACACTATCTCGTGGAAATAATTGTTGGTCAACTTGAATAAATAAGATAGTAATCTTTTAACTATAAATTTATATATATAAACTTATATAGAGGACCTATTAAAATGATTATGAGTAAAAACGTGGGATTCAGAATAACAATTCCATTTTATTTGCTAAACGGATTCTTTTAAATCATTTATGGATTATAAGCCATTGATAAGTACGTATCATAAATTTTGAAACTATCTTTATCATTGTTAAAGTAAATTTGATGTAATAAATCGTTTACTTATTTATTTATTTTATTAATAAACGTAAGTCCTTCTGTTTCATTAAATATTGTCTCCCTCTGTTTAGTTACATGTATTTTTACATTTTTACATTACTGTATTATTTGAATTATTACTATTTAATTCTTTGTGTTTTTTTTTGTTTGTAAATTTTTCGTACAAAAATATTTGGAAGAATTCATTAGAAACTATAATTTTCAGATACAGAAATAAAGTGAGAGAGCTCTCGGCCATTTATCACGACCGTCCCGTGTCACCTGGTAAAGAGTTGGTGCACTGGGTGGAGCACGTGGTGCGCACGCGCGGCGCGCCGCACCTGCGCTCACCGGCGTTGCATGTGCCATTCTATCAGAAGTACTACCTAGATTTATTGGGGCTTATTGTAGTAATCCTTCCAATAATAATAATTGTAATAAAACAAGAATTGACGTTGAATTCAATGAAAAAGGAAAATTTGAAAACAAAGAAAAACTAATTGATCGAATTTTCTGGTTTAATGATTCCTAAAATAAGTTCCATGGAACTCGTAAAAAAGTCATTAGGGTTCCGTGAAGTTATTTATACAGTGAAACAATTTCATTCTTCACATTAAAATTAAACGAAACTATAAAGTTTTAAAATATTTCTAATAAAAGTTTTTGTTTTTATTTAAATCACAGTGTTTTTGATTTGTAATCGTTTAATATAGGGTTCCATAAATTAAAAGGTATTTGGTGGGTGTTCCATTACTTAAAAGTTTAGAAGCCTCAAGCAAATTAAAATAGTAAACGTGCACTACCTTTGCTCGTAGTATATCAGTCATATTATTATCACACACCCTATACAGTCTCAGTCAGACAATTAAATGTAACGCAAAGAGACTGCGAGCATAGTAACCATCGAGGTTACTATGCTCGCAGTCTCTTTGCGTGATAGAATCGCTCGTTAACTCCAGCTCACTTTTTAAATATAACGCCCCTAAAGTGTCTTTTGGCCAGAGAAATAGAAGAAGATAACTTACACTTATTGACGCGCCACGAATATAGTATATATAGTGATAAGTGATAAACTATTCTAGTCGTTCTGGAAGCATTGGAAAACTGACTATTTAAATACGCTCCAAACCACGCCAGCCAATCCGATTAAATGTGGCTATATCGTGATTATTATGGTTCATAATGTACCACCGCTTCATTGGCTGTTAGGAATAGTACAGGAAGTTTTCCCTGGTTCAAACGGTGTTCTTCGTATAGTATGTAGTGGGACTGCTACAGGTTCCTATTTACGTCCCGTTGAACGTCTTTGTTTTTTACCTAATAACTAATTTCATTACATTTTTAGTTACCTAGTTAGGGTGTTAGTTCATTAGATTAGTGTAATTGCATATATATTTTAGATAGTATATTTTTTTCTCTTTCCTTTAATCTTTGAAGGCAGCACTTCAAGTTCGGGGATATGGTCGCGTCAAATTTATAAAATATTTTTAATTTATGCCCGCTCGATTCCTGTGAATATACCTCGTATAAAGAAGTATGTAGTGTGTGTTAGTAACACACTGGCACTGTTTCATCGACATCAAGTTTACGCATCCATCCGCAGAGGGCGCTGCTGGTAAAGAAAAATCAAATCATCGTCAGTTGCTACTATGGCCGCTTAAAATGTAAAAAAATACTTATGGCGATGCTTAATTAACGTAACACTATCGTTGTTCTATCGCTGTACAACTCGCGTGTGTGTTTTTAGATCATAGCCGTGACAAACTATCAAGAAATTCGCTACAGAGCAGTTCTACGAAAGAGCAAGGTACAGTGCCTGTCAATATCTACTGCTGATGTATTAACTGATTAGATAAGTACAGACATAATAAAACCATAGATTGACCAAGTTTAATTACTCGACTTGATAATTGTCTATTTAAAAGTTTCGAGGTCAAATGACGTATTGTTAGTACTATGGCCAGAAAACAAATCTATACTATATTTTAACTTCATTCGTATTTGTCGTTCCATGGAGTGCACATCACTGAAGTATTATTATTAATTTTAACTATAAGTTTATTATATTATAAATAATTATAAATTAAGGATAATATAAAAAAAGGAATTTTGAAATTAGTTTCTGTGATAATAAATGAATCGACTTAATGGAATTTAAGTTAATGTGAAAAAATTATATTGAGAAAAAAAATATATAAAGGTTTGTTTTTCGTTTTTTTTTTATAAGTCAAAGAAATATTATTGTAATATTTACTATGATTGCAGTAAGTAATTAATAACAGCTTACTAATAATTGACGTAAACCAAGTAAAAAACAAAAAGAAAATTTAAGCAAGATAAATTTGTTTATTTTGATTTTTTTTTTCAGATAATGGACAGGTGGCTATGCCTGTTTCTTGCTGTTGCAGCATTCTCAAACATATGCGACGCATACAGAATATTGGTTGTATTTCCTTCGCCTGGCAAGAGTCATAATATTTTAGGTGTTAATGTTGTTAAACATTTATTGAAAGCTGGACATGAGGTAAGAGAACGACTACAAAGATAATTAAAACTTTTATTTTTATTATTATAATACATTAACTGACCTTACTTGTCGAGATAACAATTATCAAATGTTGGAACAACAATAATAACTACTATAAATATTATTACTATTTCTACTACCACTACCATTACCATAACCTCTTCTACTACTGCAGAAATTATACCACGTTCTGTTTTCTTATTTATTATTTCGAATTTATATGTCACAAAGGAAAAAAATATATTATGAAAATGTAAAGAGGTATCTTGTCAGAGGTTCGTGAGGATGATGTTCTCTGATAGTAAGAGTTTACAGGTGGCAGAAGTATTGGTGGTAGTAGGTATTACTCTTACTACCACTATTACTAAAACTACCATTACCACTCTATTACTACTACTAATTTATTATTACTATTATAATTATTTATATCGATAATATTAATATTTAACCTCAATATACAGAAATCCCGTGTGTATGAAGATATACAAATACATAAAGCCGATATTACTAAATTATGATACTTAATGCTTATGTCATTTCTATTTATGTGGTTTTTAATGGATGATAATGGAATGATAGCCCCGCCTGCGCTAATAATATACGCTGGCGGGGCACCAGTAAGGGATGGTAGGTGAGAATGAAAAAGCAAGTAAGTTAGCTCATCATGATATTATAATACATCTGGAATTCAGCACGATGGTTTCCAGGGGGAATCACGTAGAGGTCGACTTGACAGGGTATACTGCTAGCAATGGGACTGGTAGTCCGAATTACTAACAATCCCTTTCCCCTTTCTATTCAGGTTACATACATCACGCCATTTCCTGTTAAGAACCCTCATCCAAAATTACAACAATTAGATGTCAGCGATAATTTTGACTTACTGGATGGTAAGTTTATATTGATAGTATGGTGATGGTTATATACTTGTGATATGTCATCATTAAATATTAAATATCATCATCATTATCAACACAAACCATTAATAATATTCCGCTAATAAGTGCGGATTCCTATAAGAGGAAACTAGTATATAATTTCATTTGAAGTTTTTATCAAAAAATAAACCAAAATATTGTTCGTTCATTTTTCCCATATTCAGGATCTTTTTTGTTACATTATAGATAAATCGTCGTGTGTGCTCGGCACAGAATAGGCCTCCTCTACCTTTCCCGTGAGTGTCATAAGAGGCGACTAAGGGAGGGCGAGGGATGGGCAGCAGCGTTCCTTTTAAAACATTTCTAAAAGCTTTTTGAGCTGCCTGCCAAGCATGTCAATTACTGGCAGAACTCCCCTTATGGGGAAGGATTACGTCCAGCAGTGGATAGTTAATGGCTGAAATAATAATAATAATATAGCTAAATATATAACAGTCATATAGATATGCATTAAGTATGTTAGATCTTAAAAATATTTTGTTATACATTTTGGAGTCTTGAATTTGCACTATTCAGGCTGTTCAATGTACACAGTATTGAAATGGCGTATGTTACGCCGTATATACTTGGAGATTCGCCTATATTCTGACGTAGGCGTTGAAGACTGGAATTATAATTCACACCGTTTCCTCATAAGATCTAGAGTACCATCAGAGAATTTTTGGGTTATTTTTGAGCTTGTAAAGTTTAGCTTGGACAGTTTTCACTACCTTATTGTTGCTATCGTCCATTGTTTCTTTGGAGGTATTCGATAAGGACATATGAAGATCGGAGCGTAGATTTTATCAAACGAAACCTTTCCAACGTAATATTTTGGTTCAATGTGTCTATTGCTGTTCAGTGATCACTTCCGGTTTTCAACCTGTTGATCATTGTGATATCATTAAATAAATGGCGATTAGTCATTATGATAAATTCTATCTCTTTTTTTGTGTATCGGTTGGGGCTAGCCCAGGTCTATTTTCTGTGTGGCCACTTTTGGAAGAAGGGGTTCATCATAAAGAGTCTCTCCTCCATGTAATCAGCCAACTGCTGTCTCCTAGAATTCCTCTACTCGATACCGTCTTTCCTTGTGCCCAGTTAAAATAATGCACTTATATAAGAAAGAACAATAATATTTTATAATTTTTAGAAAAAACGTTGGATGTGAAGACGTTATTAAATAAAGAAATCAGCTTTGATAGCCCTATAACAATGTTTGAAATTACAAATGATTTTTTTGCGAAAACCATCCAAAATCCTAATGTTGTGAAAGTGTTTAATGACACTAGCCAGAAATTTGATGTAGTAATAGCTGAATGGATGTACAACGATGCTTATTCTGGGTACGTATTTTTATTTAATTTAATATACAAATCTTACATTTGTATATGTAACATAAGAAAAGTGTAATAATAATAAAATCATTTATTCAGCAACAAAACATAACAATATTAATCACAACTTTATACATTAAAATTATAATTCTGTGGTAGTAGCTGAAATGGTTCTTATGATATTATATATATATATATATATATATATATATATATATATATATATATATATATATATATATATATATATATATATATATATATATATTATACTATGGTAATGAATGGACCTTATAGAAGACATCAATTATATATATGAATATAAAATATATTATTTATTGTATAACATATGTAAGGTATAATGAAGATATATAAAATAATTACGTATATTATGTTACTTACATAATTGTGTATTTTAAGTATTATCAGTTATAATTTATCTGTCAAATTTACAGTTTTTATAAACAATAAAACTAATTTAATTTATATCAGATTAAAATGAATTAAATTATATTAGCACTTAATGTTCTTTTATTTGTGAAAGCTGATTTTGAAGTAACAATCTCATTATGCAAATTTTTGATGATTGAATTTGTCACAAGAACCTTAAAAATACAGATGTAACAGTATCTTAATCATTCCAGGATTGCAACTTTATTCGACTGTCCTTTCATCTGGTTTTCCACTATCGAGCCACATTCGATTATACTTAGCTTGATTGATGAAAGTACAAATCCTGCTTATGTGCCAGACAGTTTGTCAAGTAACATACCGCCATTTAATTTCAAAGAACGAGTCAGTGGATTATTCTTCCAGCTTTTAAGTTCAGCGTTTAAAACTTTGTAAGTATGATATTACGTACTGATTATTAAATCTGCATACAATATCAAAAATATAAATTTTGCATGTATAAACTATTGACATCATAACTATTTTTATTTGAAATTAGAGATATCATGGTAGTAAAGCGACTGGTAGTAACACTGAAAATGTATAAGTCAAAAGGCGGTAGTCTATGTGTTACTAATTTTTATCTCATTGGTTTTGAAGCATTTATTATATGCCGCAATTGTACGTTATTGCTCTGACCGTTTGCCTGTTCGATATCTTCATTAAATAAACTAAATATTCAATTGTTTTAAAAATATATGCTGATGCAAATACTGAAGCATTGTTGTACATTATATAATTGCTATATTTTCAGTTATTGGAATGGCGTCGCTGAAAGAGAATTTGAAAGATTGCTCGGGCCATATTTAATTCAGAGAGGAAAAGCTATTCCTTCTTTCAGTGATGTTAATTATAACGTGTCTCTAGTTTTGGGGAATTCTCACGTATCTTTAGGACAAGCAATAAGACTACCGCAAAATTACATACCCGTTGGAGGATACCATATAGATTCTGATGTAAAACCATTACCAGAAGTAAGTATAATAGTTACTGTAATTTTTACATTTAAAATTGTTAGTATTTTCAAAGTTAGCAATTACAATAGCTGAATGATAATAATCATTATAAGCTTGGATATCTTAGTTTTGTTTATAAATTTTATATTTTTATATTGATAACAGAAATAACAAATTTAACAGGATTTGAAAAAAATATTGGACAACGCGAAAAATGGCTTGATATACTTCAGCATGGGATCGAACCTAAAGAGTAAGGATCTTCCAGATGAACTAAAACGTGGATTCCTCAATATTTTTAGTAACTTGAAACAGACAGTGCTATGGAAATTTGAAGAAGCAATTCCTAATTTGCCTAAAAATGTTCATATTGTTCAGTGGGCTCCACAACCTAGTATATTAGGTAATTTATATTATGATTTTATAATAATTTAGGAAAAAACAACTTACTGTCTGATTTAAAACTTTTAATTCTTGTTAATGTAATTTCAGCACATCCAAATTGTGTACTTTTCATTACACACGGTGGGCTTTTGTCTACTACAGAAACAGTCCATTTTGGAAAACCCATTATTGGAATCCCAGTGTTTGGTGATCAGTTCACTAATATGGAAAGGGCTGTTAAGAAAGGTTTTGCTATAAAAGTGACTCTGTCTTATACAATGTTGGACGAGTTTAAAGCTGCTATTGACGAAGCTATTAGCAATCCAAAGTAAGTAGAAAAATAACTTAAAAAATATTAATACACACTTAAAAACCTATACTGAAGCAACAAATAGCTTTAAAATGATAAAAATAGTTGTATAAGTAAAACGTAGGAATCAGAGTAATTCGGATTTAAGCGATAAACAGATACTATGAAATTGATTATACATTATTGGTAGTAAATACTATCTTATGTTTTTAACTTCAGAGATTTATAAAATAAATAAATTAAAATTACAGATTTAAATATACTTGATATTTTTTCCAATTATTATATATATATATATATATATATATATATATATATATATATATATATATATATATATATATATATATATATATATATATATATATATATATTCGCAGGTGTGAGGAATACTCATCAGTATAAAGATATTATTAATTTCTTCTATTTATTTAAACTTTACCAGAGGGAGACTTTATACTAAAGTCGTTTGCGTGGGTACCTCTGTCCCATTCGTGTTTCAACCGTAAAGCAATTGTGTTTTTCATGGTTGTGTTTCAGTTTGAAGGGTGGGATATAGCGTGAATTTACAGGGTACAGTGGAATAACACCTGAGTCCTCAGGAATGGCAACGCATGGGGGTATCATGGGCGAAACAGTATACTCTGTTATGGTGCCATGGTACTGCGCATGTCTATAGGTGACGGTTACCACTTTTTACCAGGTGAGCCGTCAGCTTGTTTGCCATTCTAAGTTGTATAAAAAAAAACTAATCCTTCATTTGGTTCTATATAGGTAATCTATACCTATTGTTAACTATTTATTTATTCCAACGGTTATTTGCAGTAAAAAAAACATAATCGACAATAACTTTTTCAGATATAGAAATAAAGCGAAAGAGCTCTCGGCCATTTACCACGACCGTCCCGTGTCACCTGGTAAAGAGTTGGTGCACTGGGTGGAGCACGTGGTGCGCACGCGCGGCGCGCCACATCTCCGGTCACCAGCATTACACGTGCCTTTCTATCAGAAGTTCTATTTAGATTTATTGGGAATTATTGTAGCAATCCTTTCAGTAATAGTAATTGTATCAAAACGAGTATTAAAATTGAAGTGTAAGAAAAAAGAAAATCTGAAGAAGAAGAAGAACTAATAGATTCTTCTAATTAATTTGCTGATTATTATATTTACTTAAATGAATTTATTGATAATATTAAAATAGTAAATCAAAATGACAATCATACGTTACCCTTAATCATAGTACGTCAGTCATACTATTATCATAGAGTGGATGCCTGAGAATTAAAATGTAATAGGTGATTATTATGCTACTATTTATACGTATTATTATGCTGCTATTATTTATTTATTTATTTATTCATTAGTACAAATATGTGTACATGGCGGACTTAATGCTAAAAGCATTCTCTCCCAGTCAACCATAGCGAAGTGTCAGAATACTCGAATGCGGTACTACTAATTATTGATATACATACATACTAAAATTACATATATAAACGAATAAATATATATGAATAACAAATATTATATATATGAATAACACATATATGATATATACTATATTATGCTGCTATTAGTATTTTGTACAATATGGACGGCAGTTAACAAAGACGTACCTGATCTTTGTTATATGTCTGCATATTATTTGAAGTAATCAAATTATATATTTTAATATAATTGTGATTTTATGAACTGTAAATATTTGTACAGCAATTATAAAATTGACCATATAAGAAGGCTTTGATTTTCTTTTAATAAAATTTACGTTAAATATTTAAAAAAAATTATAGATAAGTGTGATAGATTAAGTTTTATTTCGTTTGGTGTACAAAATAATACTACTGACAACGAAGGTTTTCTTCTCAATTATATTTCCCAATAACTAAAAGCTGTGATGAACGGATCATAAATATATTAATAAAAAAATATTAAAACTAAAAATCTATGAATTCTAACTATTCACAATTTAATTTATTCATGTTTACCAGAATTAAAAAAAAAAAAACTTAAAATAACTGGCATTCCTCGTGATTCAAGTCTTTAAATGGTTCTCTTATATATATGGGTGTACCTCAAGGATGTATTTTTGATCCGTAACGGTTACTTATGACGTAATAGAGGATCTTCTGATCTTTCAAACTTAATGTTAGGTAGTAATATAAAAATATGTTTAAAATTTTCAATAAAAATTGTAGGTTTAAATTTTATTATTTCTGGTAATAAGATTGAAACTTACAGAATATGGATATTATTCTTTACTACTTGTTACAAAATCATGTTGCATCGAAGTGTAATCAAACATTTAGTTTAGCTATATAGGTGATACCGAAATTATTATTATTCTCCTAAGGAACTTTTCTGTCAGTAAAACTGAACATTTTGCCAAATTTCACCCAACATACGTCGAAAGAGCTGAAAATAAAGAACTTAAGTAGTCCTTTGATAAATTAAAACCTGGAAAAATATTACAATATTTTTTTTTAGTAATACAAATCAGTTAACGCCTAGTCGTATTCAATAATTATTACTATTATTTACAACTAACGACTAGCCTTAGTTGCACAAGGTATTTTTTTTAGTAAAATACAGCCTATGTTACTCGCTAATAATGTAACTTCCTATAAGTGACCGAATTTTTAAAATCATTTAAATTCTTTTTCAATTTGTCCATTACAAACAAAAAAATCAAATTATTCCTTTTTATAAATATTTGTCTAGATATGTCTAAGAAGAGTGTATTAACAAAATAACAGTAATACAATTCTTGATACTATTCGTTAAAGTAATTAAAGATTTTGACCCACAAAAAATCCAACATCAATTATGACAAAACCAGTTATTTTAATCTAAAAACTTGATTTAAAACCGAATTTGATCAATGATGAATGATTGGAATAATCTATAAGTATAGTTTTTCAGTAAAAAAAAAAATATCCAAATCGGTTTAGAACTGACAGAGTTATGAGGTAACAAACATAAAAACAAATACAACCGAATTGAAAATCTCCTTTTTTGAAGTCAATAGTATAATGTTATAAAACTGTTTAATGATACCAACGAAAGTTTTGATGCTGTTACTGCCAAGTGGATTTTCTGTGATGCTTATTCTAAGTATGTATTGTATAGAAGTGAATTTAGTCTATATGAACAAAAATAAATAAATAAAAAAGAAATAGAATACATCAAAAGCCTTTAAGAGGAAAAGATAAAAAATAGGCTATATATATATCTCTCAAGAGCTATATTCTTCCTATAATATAGAACTAGGCCTGTTGTTTATTCGATTTATAGTGTAATCAGCTGACTTACTTACTGATAAGATAAGTAAAGATACAATAAAATCATAGATTGACCAGGTGTGATTACTGGTCATGATGATTGTTGTCTATAATAAAAAAGAAGACTCGAGGTCAAATGACGTACTGCAACTGCTGTGGCGAGAAACCAAATCTATAATACATTTAAACTTCATTCGTGTTGGTCGTTGCGTGTAGTGTGCATCATTAAAGTATCATTAGTTTTAACTATAAATTTATTCTTATTAATAATAATTAATTTTTGTGATAATAAATCATCTGATTCAAAGGATTTTGAGTTAATGTGAAAACATTTTTATTGATGAAAAGGTTTGTTTTTCTTTTTTTTTTATAACTAAAGGAAATATTGTAATATTTACTATGTTTGCATTATGGAAAAAAAATAAAGCAAATAATTAGTCATATCTTATTAATAAACGAATAAAAATCTTAATATCTTAGTATTATCTTATTGCGATGATGAAACTTTTTTGTTCGTGTGTTAATTAACTATACTGCTAAAAAGTTTTTTACATCCTACATGTGATTCATAGTCTTTTTTTTATTTAACAAATTTAGTAAACAAATTCTGCGATTTAAAAATAAAATAGCCAAATTTTGTTTCTAAGTTACGTTAATTTATAGTATAAAGTTTATATTTGTTTATTTACATAACCACTAACCATACTCCTGCCACTAATTTAAACAATCTAAAAGTATTTTTAATACAATATAAATATACATATAAACTTCTTTTTTAATTTTGTTTTACTTATTTGTTTGTTTCGTGCACTTCTATTGTATCGAAACGACATTCCACGATTTTTGTTGTATTAAGTATAAAACATAGGGCTATCTATTATATTTACCATAGAACCTATCCGCATACTATAATATATAATCATATTACACATAGAAATAGTTATTTAAAAGTAATATAAAAAGTATATAAAAATAAGAAAATTTAAGCAAAATAATTACGATTAATTTTACTATTTTTATTTTTTCAGATGGGCAAGTGGCTAGGCCTGTTTCTTGCTGTTGCAGCATTTTCAAACATATGCGACGCATACAGAATATTGGTTGTATTCCCTTTGCCTGGCAAGAGTCATAATATATTAGGAGTTAATATTGTTAACCATTTACTGAAGGCTGGACATGAGGTGAGAGAACGATCACAAACATAATTAAAACTTTTTTTTTTTATTGTAATACATTTACTTGAGGGAGACTTTGTACAAAATTCGTTTGCTGAAGCAACCGTGAAGCAGTTATGCAGTATGGCATGGCTGTGTTTCGGTTTGAACGGTGGGATATGACAGTGAGTTTACAGGGTATAGAGAAATAACACCTGAGTCCTCTGGAATGGCAAAACATAGGGCGTATCATGGGCGAAACAGTATACTCTATTATGTTACATGGTGCTACTTATGTCTATATGCGACGATTACCACTTTCCATTTCTTCTTAATGGATGACAATGAAATGGTATCCCCACCTGCGCTATCTGGCGTGGCACCAGTGACGGATGATAAGTTAGGATGAAACAAGTCAGTCAGTCCATCATGATGAATTCATCAATAATTAACAATAATGGTTTCCCGGGGAAACCGGGAGGAGGTCGACCTGATCTTACATTGCTAGCAATGGAGCAGTCAGACCCCATTACTAACAATCTCTTTCTTCCCCCACTAGGTGGGCCATCACACTATTTGTCATTCTAAGTAGCATAAAAAAAAATTCATTCCTTGGCATAGAAAGAGTTATTTTGCCCTCATTTGTCGGGATAAAAATTATGGAAAGTTAAAACAATATTATCAACTACTAATATTTTTATATTGTATAAACTATTGCTATTACCACTAATTATCACTACCTCTACTGCTACTTTAGGAATTATACCACGTTCTGTTTTTTTGTTTGTTGTTATACGAGATTACAAATATTTATACAGAAAATATTAATATTTAACCTCAATAGATATCCCGTATATGTAAATAAAGCCGATATTAGTAAATTATAATACCTTATACTTATGTTATTTCTATTCAGGTTACATACGTTACGCCATTTCCTGTCAAGAACCCTCATCCAAAATTACAACAATTAGATGTCAGCGATAATTTTGACTTAATGGACGGTAAGTTTATATCAATAATATGGCGGTGGTTATATAAATTATACTCGTAATATATTTATTTAATTAATTAATAATTAAAGCAATCAACAAGACATCTATTATTATTAGAGTTTTTATTTCAAATGCTATCTTCTAGTTTTTCGAGTTTTCATCTATGTAAATAGTTTAGGTATTGGCTTAAATATTATTACGGCAAGTAATTATTTTTATAGAAGAAAATGAATATTTTATAATTTATTTATTTTAGCCAAAATTACACTTTTTTATGCAACTTAGCATTTTAACAAACAAGCTGACTGCCCACCTGATGGAAAGTGGTAACTGTCGCCTATAGACAAAAGCAGTACTGTGGACATAACAGAGTATACTGTTTATTTACTGAATTTTTCAAACATGTCAATATTTGAACTTTTCGGCACAACATTATAATAATTTTTTATTCTGTTAATTGTAGGAAAGTGACGCAAATTAGTCGTAAATATTTATTTTTGGAAATAGACAATATTTTTTACTACGAGGTAATTTTCGCAGTGTATTTATATTAACTTGTTCTAAGAGTAGATATATAATTAAAATATCATATCATCATCATCATTATCACCGAAATTATTAATTATATTTCGCTGATGGGCGTGGATCCCTATAAGAGGATTTAGTATAAGATTCTTTATCAAGTTTTCTTTTAAAAAATATTGTTTTATCATTCTTTCCATATTCTGTACATTATAGCTAAATTATAAAAAACTATTGATGTTAGAAGCGAAAAAAAGTTAGAACACTTGATATGATACGATGAACTTGTGAACATTACAATAGAAGGTAAGATAGAAGGAAATAGGGAAGGGAGAGACTAAGACATAGATACATCTGGCAGATCAAGGAAAAAGTTAGTGTCGTGTCGTATCAAGAGGTGATGAGATTCACTGAAAATTGTAGTGAGTAAGTAGCAAGAGCTTCACTGACAAGAGCGCAGCTCTTAAATAGGGAATGAAAAAATATAGCTTAATATATAAGAGGAAGAGAGAGAGCAAACTTTGATTAGAGAAAAGTGGACAGATTTCCAAAAAAATAATTACATCTTTTTTATTAGTAATAATATACCTGTATAAGATAGAATAATAACGATTCATTATTTTCAGAAAAAATGTTGAATGTGAAGGCATTGTTAAATAAAGAAATCAGCTTTAGTAATCCTATAAAAATGTTTACATTCACAATTGAATTATTTGAAAAAACCGTTCAAAATCCTAATGTTGTGAAAGTGTTCAATGACACTAATCAGAAATTTGATGCAGTGATATCTGAATGGATGTACAATGATGCTTATTCTGGGTACGTATTTAAGTTTTATTTTAATATATAAATGTAATATAAATTAAGAAAGGCAACAATAATGATAATAGTAAATAAAGGTAGTAATAATAATAAAAAAAAAAACGTTTGCTGTGGCTTCACAATTCCAGGGCATATCTCTTAACATCTCTAAAAGCATTGGGATTCTTGGTGTCGACATCTCTAGTGACCTTCCAAAGGGGGATCAAGACATTTCTTCAGGGTCAGCAACTCGCGCTTAATACCCCTGGTATTACAAGCGTTCATAGGCTACGTTAACCGTTTACTATCAGATCGGCCGTATATTTGTTTGCCACCCCAGTGGTGTATATATATAAATATATTTCTTATTTATTTTATATAAATAAATTAAATCATGTGTGAAATCAAATAATAAATAATCATCCAGTAAAAAAATAAAAAGATTAGATAAAAATAAATTATTTTAATGGTCAATGACTTTTATTATATGTAAAAATTGATTTTAAAGTAAAAACCTCATTGCACAAATTTGTGACGATTGTATTTATTACAAGAACTTTAAAAATACATTTGTATCAGTAACTTAATCATTCCAGGATTGCTACTTTGTTCGATTGTCCTTTCATCTGGCTTTCCACTATCGAGCCACATTGGATTATACTTAGTTTGATTGATGAAAGTACAAATCCATCTTATGTGCCAGATAGTTTGTCAAGTAATATACCGCCATTCAATTTCAAAGAACGAGTCAGTGGATTATTCTTCCAGCTTTTAAGTTCAGCATTTAAAACTTTGTAAGTATGAGATTACGTACTGATTATTAAATCTGCATATATTATCGGAAATATAAATTTTGCATGTATAATCTATTAATGTCATCTGTATTTTTATTTGAAGATGATGGTAGTGAAGTAACTGGTAGTGTGATTCAAAATCTGTAAGTCAAAAGACTGTAGTTTTTTGTATATTATTCTGCAGTAATTGCTTGTTATTTGTCTGATCATGTATCTACTTGTTATCATCATCTAGTAAACTAAATGTTTAGTTGTTTTTCAAAAATATATGCATGTATCTTTGCAAATGTTAAAGCATTGTTGTATATTACATTATTACTATATTTTTAGTTACTTGAATGGCGTCATTGAAAGAGAATTTGAAAGATTGCTCGGGCCCTATTTAACTAAGAGAGGAAAAGCTATTCCTTCATTCAGTGACGTTAATTACAATGTGTCTCTAGTTTTGGGAAATTCTCACGTATCTTTAGGACAAGCAATAAGATTACCCCAAAATTACATACCTATTGGAGGATACCATATAGATCCTGATGTAAAACCATTACCAGAAGTACGTGTAATGAAATGACAATTGTTTCTATAATTTATTTTACATTTAATATTGTTAATATTTTTAACGTCAAGTTTGCAGTTAAAATAGCTGTATTAAATACGATTATCATTATTAGCTTTAATGCTCAAGTTTTGTGTATAAATATAAAGATAACAGATATAATAAATTTAACAGGATCTGAAAAAAATATTGGACAATGCGAAAAATGGCTTAATATACTTCAGCATGGGATCGAACCTAAAGAGTAAGGATCTTCCAGATGAACTAAAACGTGGATTCCTCAATATTTTTAGTAACTTGAAACAGACAGTGCTATGGAAATTTGAAGAAGCAATTCCTGATTTGCCCAAAAATGTTCATATTGTGCAGTGGGCTCCACAACCTAGTATATTAGGTAATTTATATTATGATTTAATGAAAAAAAAAATAGAAATAACGTTATAGTTTACTTTATGATTTTATTTTTTGTTAATATATTTTCAGCACATCCAAATTGCATTCTTTTCATCACACACGGTGGACTTTTGTCTACGACAGAAACAGTTCATTTTGGAAAACCTATTATTGGAATCCCTGTATTTGGTGATCAGTTCACTAATATCGAAAGAGCTGTGAATAAAGGATTCGCTATAAAAGTAACTCTGTCTTACACAATGTTGGACGAGTTTAAAGTTGCTATTGATGAAGCTCTGAACAATCCCAAGTAAGTAGAAAAGTGACTTAAAAAATATTAATAAATACTTGAAAATCTATACAAGCAATAAATAGCTGTACAATGATAAAAATATTTGTATGAGTAAAATGTAGGAATCGGAGTGATTCAGACTTAACCTATAAACAGGTACTTTAAAAGCGATTATAAATGATTACTTATTCGAATAGATAAATACTCGCACGTATCATTAATTAGAAACTGTCTTATGTCTTTACCGTCAGAGATTAATAAAATAAATTAGGTAAATGAATACTTAGCTGGAGTGTGGAATAGTCAATAGATATAAAGATATTTTTAATTTATTCTATTTTATTAAACTCTGTAGCCGTTCATTTCGTTCCAATAATTTTAACATTACTGTAGTTTATAATATTAAATATTTATTTATTTCAACCGTCATCTGCAAGGAAAAAAAAAAAAACAAATTCGACAATAACATTTTCAGATACAGAAACAAAGCGAAAGAGCTCTCAGCCATTTACCACGACCGTCCCGTGTCTCCTGGTAAAGAGTTGGTGCACTGGGTGGAGCACGTGGTGCGCACGCGCGGCGCGCCGCACCTGCGCTCACCGGCGTTGCACGTGCCTTTCTATCAGAAGTTCTATTTAGATTTATTGGGAATTATTGTAGCAATTCTTTCAGTAATAGTAATTGTATTAAAACGAGTATTAAAATTGAAGTGTAAGAAAAAAGAAAATCTGAAGAAGAAGAAGAACTAATAGATTCTTCTAATTAATTTGCTAATTATTATGTATGTTTAAAATAAATATTATTTCAAGTAATCAAATGATATATTTTAATTGTTATCTTGATGAATTTTTGTAAGTATTTATAAAATTTGCCACATACGATGGCTTTTATTTCCTTTCAATAAATTTAATTTACGTTAATTATTTAAAAAATGCTAAAACTTTCTTAAGTAAGTGTGATAATGTTTTATTAAGTTTAAATGTTTTATTATTGTTTGGTGTCTAAAGTAATACTATTGGAAACGAAGGGCTCCTTCTCAATTCTAATTTTCAATAACTAGAAGTCATGAGAAATGGATCATAATTATATTTATATAAAAAAAAAAAAAACTAAAATCTATGAAGTTTAACTATTCATGATTTCTCTAACTCATGTTTGACTAACAGAATATAAAAATGTTGAAATAACTAGTATATATACTTCGTAACTCGAATCTTTAAATGGTTCTCCTATATAAATGGGTGTGCCTCAAGGGTGCATCCTTAGTCCCTAGTTGTTATTTATGACATAATACAGGATTTTCTGTGATTTTTATATTTAATATTAGGTAGTAATATTAAAATATGTGTAAAATTTTCAAAGAAAATTGTAGGTTTACATTTTTTTATTTCTTTTTTTACAATATAGGGGGCAAACGAGCATGCAGTTCACCTGATGGTAAGTGACTACCGCCGCCCATGATCACCCACAACACCAGAGGCATTGCAAGAGTGCTGCCGGCTTTTTAAAAAGGAATATGCTCCTTTTTGATGGTTTTGATGTTGTATCGGTTTGGAAATACTGTTGTTGGAAGTTTTCTGTTAATAAGATTGAAACCTATAGAATACTGAGGTTATTCCTTGTATGGCTGTGTTTCGGATTGAAGGGTGGGATATAGCAGTGAATTTACAGGGTACAGAGAAATAACACTTGAGTCCTCGGGAATGGCAACGCATGGGGAGTATGATGGGCGAAACAGTATACTCTATTAGGTCCATGGTACTGCTCATGTCTATAGGCAACGGTTACCACTTTGCATCAGGTGGGAGGTCAGCTTGTTTGCCATTCTAAGTTGCATAAAAATATCGTCGTAATGTCTCGTAATTATGTAATTATAATAATTACTATATAAAATAATAATAATTAAAAAGAATACAATAATTACAATACAATTCACATGAATACTATATTCAAATTCATGCATTTTATTCATTTAGATTTTTTCATTACAACAGTGTTATATATAAAATCATATCAGTCTAAAATTGTATATGTTTTAGTGATTATCATCAAAGATTACAGTGATTGATGATTATAGTATCCGAAAGAGTCTACATCACGTACAACACACACGTACAACACGAAAACAACTGCTTATTTAGTATAACAAATAACTCTAAATGACCTGTCAAGTCATCTCGAGTTATCATCATGTATGCTTAATATCATGCTTAATGCGCATTGAGCATGATATTAAGATAAGATGCATTATTTTTATATATAAAACATTCAACTTATATTTTCACAAAAAAAAAAACAATTATTTTGACTAAAAAACTAAATTGAATAAAATTTCTATGGGAGAAATCTGTACGTCTATCCTTTGAGATAAAAATAAATCTAAGTCGGAACTGACAGAGTTATGAGGTAAGAAACTTAAAAAAAAATGAATTAAGAATCTCCTTTTTGAAGTTGGTTAAAAATTAACTTGAAAGATTATTCTTGGTAATGTTGATTAAAAAAATGGTTTTTGAATGTAATAAATTTCTTTTCAAATGATGTACAAGTTTCTATGGTTGTCTTTTGCGATAGCAGCAACAAACTTATGTCATGCGTACAAAATCTTTGTTGTGTTTCCATTTCCTGCCAAGAGTCATGGTATTCACCAAGAATATCTAATATACCAAATAATGATTTTAATAATGTATATATATATATATATATATATATATATATATATATATATATATATATATATATATATATATATATATATATATATATATATATATATATATATGATAATATATACTAATGGTATACGCTGGCGGCGTACCAGTGAGGGATGATAGATGAGAAATAGATGAGTATGAAAAGGCAGGTCAGTTAGACCATCGTTATAAATATACCTGAAATCTAGCACGAGGGTATACAGGGGCAACATTGTGAAGGTCGACCTGATAGCGTATATTGCTATCAGTGAGACTGGTATTTTAACAATCCTAACCCCCCCAAATTTATATATTTGTATAACGGACATTTTATAAACATACTATGTTTAATATTGTTGATGTAATCATCGACTTCATCCGGAAGTCTTCAAGGTCAGTACGGTGATTTACGTCGCAGCGTCTCGTCTCGTACTGAGGACTGCAGCTCGCAGAGCTCGTAAAGATAATAGGTACGAGCGTATTAAAATATTGTCTTGCTATTTGATGTTTATAGGTTCCATCCTCGCACAATACATTCATGATTCTGTTTGTTTGTTAATATGGGTATTTTCTACGTATATATATAAAAAATCTATTTACTCGTATATGTATGTTCATCACTTGTATAGTACCCACAATACAAGTTCCGCTGAATTTGGGCGATTCGTTGGCGCTAGTTGATAATTGTTCTCTTTATGATTAGATATTATATTTTTGATTTTATTTATCTACGTGTTTTAAGTATTATAAAATTATATAATATATTAACACAGAACACATGTCATATGTTGAAAGATTAAATCAATCAATAATTAATTGGACTAATTGCTTTGGAATTTGTATGATACTCGTATTGTGTTGTTAACGATACGTAATACAAATACATTATTTGTTATGAAATGTTATGCAAGAATGATTTTTTGTTTTACCATGAAGGTGGCAAACAAGTATACAGGCTGTTTTATGGTAAACAATTACTGTAGGCTATGGAGAATATATACTTTTTTTTTATGCAACTTAGAATGACAAACAAGTTGACGGCCCACCTGATGCAAAGTGGTAACCGTCGCCTATAGACGTGAGCAGTACCATGGACATAACAGAGTATACTGTTTCGCCCATGATACTCCCATGCGTTGTCATTCCTGAGGACTCAGGTGTTATTCCTCTATATCCTGTAAATTTACTGCCATATCTCACCCTTCAAACTGAAACACAGCCATGCAAAGACAGCTACTTCACGGTAGAAACACGAATAGTTTGTGCAAAGTTTCTGGTAAGGTCTTTTTTATTTAAATTCAATTTTATGGTTTTATTATTTACAGGAAACACATCAAATATATAGTCGATTTTAAATAAACAAATTGTTTTTAACAATCCAGTAAAGAAGTTTCATATAACCAGTAATCTATTTGAAAAAACTATTTTAAATAGACATATTGTAAAAGTGTTCAATGATACAAACCAAAGTTTTGATGCTATCATTGCTGAGTGGATGTATCGATGCTTACTCTGGGTAAGTATGGGGCTTTTAAATTGAATAAATTTTGTAAAATTGAATTTAGTATATAAGAATAAAAAAGGAAGAAAAAAGATAGAATAGATCAGGGCCTCTAGACAAGTGGCAAGCGAATTTGTCGATGGAATCGACATCGCTAGCAAGTTCGTGAGATAGAATGAGATAGCAACGCCGAGTGGCACATTTTAATTCAATTAAATTTCCATCGACGAATTCGCTTGCCATTTGCCTACAGGCTTTGAAGTCTTTAAGAACAAAAGATTAAAAAGAAATGTTAGAATATAGCAAGAAATATACTGCACTTAAAATAGAAATAGGCAGGTTTATATTAAAAAATAATAATAATGTAATTCTCTTTAAAAAATTGATTATATTCCAGACATTTTAAAAATTAACAAATATTTACATTTTGACAAAGTTAGAAATCAATCTACATACATGTTTTCCATTTAAAAATAAAATACATTTTATTATATAAAAAAAAAACATTTCAAGAACAAAACTCTTCGCTAAGGCAGTCAAACGATTAAAATATTATACATTAGGAGATTTCTTAGAACATAGTGTACTATTACATAATTATGGAAATAACCAAGAATTCTAGCTTAGACCAATTTCACTAGAATCACATTGAATTTCAAAAACTATTTATTAGAATCGGACGTGGTGATCAGTAAGCTCTGTTCTCGAAATAGGATTTTATTATAGCGACGAATATTTCTGATAAAAACGAATGGCCTTCATATAACTTGAATGACATCACGCTAGTCCTGACAATAACTCTGTCTGCCTTCAAAAGTAATATTGTAACCAATCTTATACTTGTAACAAATAAATGTCAACAAATAAACAAATACAAATAAAATATGATAAACAACAATTTAATGAACGAATGAATGAAAAAAAAATACAGCGTTTATATACTGTGGAAGCTAATATAAAAATAAAGTTTTAATACATAGTGTATTAAACATAAATCTTATTGCACCACGTTACAATATGGTGGGCATGTGACAGCGCCTACTAACGATGACTAGTCAGAAAATGTTATCTTATTTTTATTATACTCGTATTGCTTAACGAGTATTTCGCTGTTGATGATAACTCTTTCTTTTAATTATCTACTGTACAAGGTTTTTTTTGATGGGTGAAAATACTTAGTATATAATGTAAATAGTACTCATATGTAATTTTAAAGTTATGAATTTTTTATATGTAAAGATTGGTTGACCTCTATGAATAAGAGGATGAAAATATTGAGTATAACTTGGCATGGTAACATTTCTCACTGACTTGTTTTACTTAGCATTCATAAACTATTTAGCACCTACGTATTTATTTTACAGTTGCTTATTAGATTCAAAGTGATACTCTTAGTTTTCGTTAGATGGCGCTCTTTATAAAGGGATATTCGTACTTTATCTAGTATCTCCGATTAAGGCCAACTTTTGTATCACTTTTCATTAAAATTAGTGTAATAAATATAGGCATTGGTTTAATACAGAAATAATGAAATAGATTTTGAGGTAGATTCTGAATTTTAATTTAATATTACAGTCAAATCTTTATTGTAAGAGCCAATAAGAAATAATTTTCTAATAAATTTAAGTCAAAATAATAATAATTATGTTACACAAAAAATTAAAATAATTAACTTATCAAAAATTAAAACATACATATTGCAATAATACTTTGTCATTATTTGACCTCTTTTGAACTATGAAACATGCTTTATATATGATAACATATTTTGTCTTATTTTTTGTAAGTTTAGTTAAAAATAAACCGTATGACAAACTAGGAAATTACGAGAACACACAGATATTTTTTAAAAAATTTCGAAATTGAACACACAGTATAATAATCTCACAACTGCACCACGAAGTTCCTCAATTAGCAACCAGCATCGGCACTATTTCTCAATAGACATTACTACATGCGTCACTTTGCATTTCAAATTAGAGAACATGCTCCCGACTTCGATATTCGTATTCGAGATTAGTGCTGTCTAATAATTCGATGGGTATCGATAATTAATAACAACAGTCGATTCTAAGATTAGTAATGCCATATATATATATATATATACAACTTAGAATGGCAAACAAGTTGACGGTCCACCTGATGGAAAGTGGTCCTATAGACAATTAGCAATACCTCCCATGCGTTGACATTCCTGACAACTCAGGTGTTATTGCCTGTACAATAGACACAGTCATGCAAACACAACTGCTTCACTAGAAACACGAATTGCATTTTTGTACAAATTCCTTCTGAGATCACTATAATGAAATCAAAACTGTCCTTTAAGTACATATTGTACATATTTTACATTGAATACATTTCTACTGTCAAAACACTTTCTGAAATGTAACTTATGAGTTTATTTTTATTTCGATATTTTATTAACTTGTTTTACTTTTATACTATGTTTTAAATTATATAATTTGATACTGCTTAGTAGTTCGCATTCACACGACTTTATAAATTTTTTGAATAAACTAACAGTTAAATTTCTTACCCGTTCTTAGTGGCTGAAATTAGGTTCTGAATGGGAGGGTAAATAATGAAAAAATGTTTATTCAAAAGTACATATATATATATATATATACATTCTTTCTTTCTTTCTTTCTTTCTTTTTATATTACATACGTTACTTAATTGCAAATGAAACGATTAATTTTATCTATTTTTATAATTGTCTGTTTCTGATTTGCGAGTTAGCATTTTATGTAAAAACAGACAAATTGTTTATAAGGAAATTTTTACTGTGTCTTAAATTAAATGTGGGTCAATATCTAGCTTATAGAAAGTTTAAATATTATGATATTGATATTGTTTGAAAGATAATGTATAGGTAACATGTGTATAAGTTGAAGACGTCTAGCAAACACTAAATAGATTATAACTAAGTACTACTAACGGATTAATCGATATCAATAATAAGTTACCGTGTGGTCCCGGCATAGAATAGGCTACCTCTTTCTTTCCCGTGGGTGTCGTAAGAATCGACTAAGGGAGGACGAGGAATGGGCAGCAGCGTCCCTCTTAAAACATCTCTAAAGCCTAACTGCGGATGCCAACCCGCCTGCTAAGCGTGGCAACTACTAGCAAGACCTTCCAGGGGGGAGGCTTATGTTCAGCAGTGGACAATTAAGCCTGATATGATAATGATACTTTTCTCTTGTGAATGTTACGCGATTCGTCACCAGTTTTTTTTATTATAAGGGTTTTATACACTACTTTTTTACTACAATGCATTTACCCTTACGCAGTCGCCATTCAAGAACCTATTTTCCCCATCGGTTGTCGGATTATTCATTGATTGATTGTTGTTGTTTTATATGGATACTATCGATTAATTGTTTATATTGATTACTAGATTTTTGCCGGCGATTTGGTATTCTTCGAATTTCATAAGTAGAAAAACCAATGAAATATGCCACTTCTAAATAACTTACTATGATAAAACATATTCACGCATCATGATAATACATATCAGTTAGACTTTTTTTTTTATGTAACTTAAAATGGCAAACAAGCTGACGGACCACCTGATGGAAAGTGGTAACCGTCGCCTATAGACAGTACCATGGACATAACAGAGTGTACTATTTCGCCCATGATACTCCCCATACGTTGCTGTTCCTGAGAACTCAGGTGTTATTGTTTTGTACCCTGTAAATTCACTGCCCTTCAAACCGAAACTCAGCTATGCAAACACAACTGCTTCGCGGTAGAAACACGAATAGGACAGAGGTACCTAAGAAAACGGCTTTTGTACAAAATCTTCCTCTATGGTTTTTTAGGAATACAACTGTGAAAACCACTTCCAAATTGGTGTAGTAGTTTTTGCGTAATGATAGAACAAACATATAGATAGACTGACAGACAGGTAGACACACAATTTCTAAAAATCATTGTTTTAACTTCTAATGGTCTTATTAATGCACTTATGTCTATTTTACTTAAAGATCTCTCATGTACAGATATTGCTTAGT